CACAATATGGTCTGATTTGATACAGTATGATGTGGTTTAGAACATAGGGTAAGATATGAGATATGTTATGAGATGGCATGTGCAATAGGATAAGACACAATACTGCATGATAACTAGTAGTGTTGCACCACAAATACCACCATTGTAATATTATGTGAAATGATTAGGTACAACTTGATATGATTGGGTTTGGTTTGATGCCACTTCTACTTCTGAAAAGCTTTTATAAGGTATCGTTTGTTTTGATTTTGCTCTTTGTGAATCACAGCTGTTAAACAGCTTTAATAATAGTCAAAAACACATAAGTCATAAAATTTCATTACCTGAAACATCAACATCTCTTCCTGCTTTACTCTTTTTGAGTAAAGCAGGAACTGTAAAACTTTTATTGAACTCCTGCATTTCTGCACAACACAGTCCCTCCTTCGCTTAAAAGTGTCCCACTTCTTGCACTTTCTTTCCTTGTGTTTAATGTTTTCCAAGTTTTAGATTTTTGTTTTTACATAAGTAGATGTTTTTCCCCTTACATCTTCCAACAGTGCACTGAACTTTCAGCTGACATTCAGCTCATCTGGATGTCTTTTTATTGCCTCAGAGCAAACTTCTGTAGGATTCGAAGAATGAATGGCACACACCCACTACAATGCACAGTGCACTGAGGAATCTCTATCTTGGTGTCCTTGTCTGGGACATCTATTGTGTGCACATTTTAGAGGAATGATCAGAATGCACGCTGATGTAACCAGCACTTCTGATGCTCACCTTCACCGTCATTGTAGTTGTTCTTAAAAAGCATGGTAAACATGTGAGGAATCCAAACATGCTGCTAAGACAGTGACATAAATAGTGGAAAGAAGAGGAGGAAGATTCTTTCTCCTTGCATGTAGATGCAGAAAATCTAGTTTCTGAATTTGGTGTCATGCCATGAGAGTTGGCCTCCTTTCCTGTCACTCGTTCACTGCCCCATCCGGTTCAACCCGTGTGGTTAAGGTCATGACCCTGATACTTGGCACCCAGCGTCCGGGAGAACGACACTCTTGTTCAAAAACCTGCACTGACTTCAGATGCCAGGATGAGTCATCCAGAAACTTGAAGACTTCAGCGGCGCATGTAGCTGTCATCCCCTCCGGTGCGTTTACCCTCCAGAACGTTACAGTCCACATGTTCTGCCAAAGTGTCACTCTGATTCAACATCAACAACATTTTGGATTTGGTGTTTGGCCTTCAAAACCTTTCAGAGTGTGTAAATATTTGGATGTTTTTAACTGTAATATCCAAAGGGGGAATTCTACAACAGTGTCTGGCAGATTTCCCACCAATCCTCACCCCTGATTCTGAGGTTACTCTTACTGTACTGATCCTGTACTATGGTAGAGGCCAAGTAAGGGAATCCTGCAACTTCCCAAGGACCAATGAATCACAAAATATTACAGCAGACTATGAATTTGTGGGAATTTACTTACTTACTTACATGCGTCTTTTAATGCAAAATGAGCCATTAAAACACATTTGAGACTCTTTTTACAGCTTCCCAACAGTTCGGTTGATCAGGGACCGTGATTAATGAGACACCTATGTACATCAAGTGTATATCTGTGTACAGATGGAGACACATAATTAACAGAAACTCAGACCCTGTGCGGTAAGCATGTGCTCTACAGCCCTGGTTCCATTGGTTGCTAGTTTGATCTCAAGCTTTGACCTTTTGCTGCATGTCACCCACCCCCTTCAACATTTTTGCCTCTCTTTGTTAGTCCAAAACAAAACAAAAAACCTCTAAAATACTCTCAAATCTTTTGACTTATGATGATATATTCAGTAACATATTTAAGTTTCTTGCTAAATGTAGAGTGTGTGCCCCATTTGCTGCATTTTCCACCTACTCTCTACACTCTTCTTTCCCTTTCTTTTCAGCCGTGCTATCAGCCTGAAAATGTAACTTTTAAAACAGTTTCTCTGTGGATCCAAAGGTTGTCTTGCAAACACAGAGTCAGTTTCACATGTATAATACAATACAACAAGTTCTGGCGTGTCGATATAAACAGTTCTGACATGTTTATGTTGTTATTTTTCCTGGGGATAATCTGCATTCAGCTGCCAGCGTGTCACCTCATATCTCAAGTCAAAGTCATGACAACTGATTTGATTTCCAACGGCCCGTCAATCACAGTCCCAGTCAGCGGGGAATTTGAGCTCTGGTAAAATAAGATTAATTTTAGGTGACTTTATAAAACTTGAAATCCTCCATAAAAAGGAAAGTTTTCAGTCATAAAAGTTACAATTAATGTTCGACCCGAAGATAAATCAAATTAAACATGATTAACTTTGTTCACGAGTACAAAGCAAAGACTGAACAATCAAGGAGAAAGAAAATAGTGAAATGCTGAGATACAGCAGCCTCTCTGATTCTGACATTTTTGAAGACATATAATTATAACTTTGATGAGAAATATTTGAAATCTCTTGAATATTAACGGGTTTACCATCAAGTGTTTAAATCTGAAGAAACCAAACACCTGCCTCTGGTGGAAAAAAAGTGTGAGAGTGTCCATGCAGATCTGGATAAGCTGCTGCTGTACCTCTGTGGCCGCTTAATGATTTGAAATTTTAGGATGTGGCTCCCTCTAGTGGATCATCAGGAACATCCTACACATAAATACTATCACTCTGAAGCAGATTCAGTGTGTATAAGATTTGTTGACACACAGGGCCTTTGACTTTCGCAGAGGTCAAATGAAGCAACAGCATTTTTTATCCTTTCTATCTAGACTACTCACATCTACTTTGTTTACTGACTTTCAGGCATCACAAATGATTTATTCCTGTTTATTATGTTTTGATTTTTAAAAGTAACACATTAGAGTGGCAAGACTTCAATCTTGGGTCTTTAATTTGCTAAACTCATTCAGAGGATGTCATCTAGAGTCACACCAAATTGAAATACAAAGAAAGTGACCTGCAAAAGTTAACTTTAACACTAGTCCTGTCAAGCAAGGCAAAAAACATTTATAGGATCATAAACTGGCCAATAAGATTTTAAGGCAGGTCCGTTTATCCCTGGCCACCCCTTGGATCTGTTCTTGGTAGTGACCATCCTTAGTTTCAGTAAAGTTAGTCCAGGATTGGTCAGATAATGTTTTCTGTGTGTAGATGATGTTGGATATCTCAGTGTTTCTTTATTTAAGTTTTCACAGCTTAAGTTTGACTGTAATTTAAAATGTGGTTTTATTGTATGTCAGCAGTTTACAGCTCATTTCAGAGCCCCCAGGTGGCAGAAACAAAATCTGTAAATTCAGGTTCAACAGCATGATTACGAGAACAAAAGGACCTCACTCCAGGTTTTATGACAGCAGACATATCATAAGAGCTGAGATCAGGCGTAAAAGCAGCTGATGTAAGTAATACAGTACATGCTGTTTTATGAGCTTATTAAAACAAAAACATGTCTGCTGCTTTGCACAGTGTAGTCACAATAAAAAGCACGCTGTAGTTCATCACCTCACTAACTTTGATGGTGTGAATCCTTTGAACATTTTTAGGATATATGTAAGCAACTAAACTTTAAAAAAATCAACAGTTTCCTGAGGAAGTCAAAGTCATATCGATGAGTTTACAATGCACTGTTATTTAATGCTTGAAAACCTTTTCCATTTTACTTTACTACCATGACAGGCTGTGCATTAAATTCAATGTGAGAGTCTTGTTTTAATGATAAATAGACTTCGAGATGCTGCCAAACTGGTGAAATCTCTGTGGTCGATACAAAAACCTGAGAAATAAGGGAGTGATGCAACTTTTTCTAAATTCTACAGATTTATTTATATTCTATCATCCAGCCCAAATCTATCTTCTGTTTGTTGAATAGCCTACAGTGTGTTAAGATATTCACTGATTTCTTTCTTTTGTAAAAGTAGCTGCACAATTGCACCATAAAATACTCTGTAACAGGCCAAAGTCCTGCATTTACTACAACACCAAGACATTTTAAGTATAAGAATTAAAATTAAACCTTATGATCAATATGAAAAAAAAAAAAGTACATTTCAGAATCAGAAATACTTTAATAATCCCCAGGGAGAAATAGCTTTTGTCACAGTACTCCAGTGCAAATACAGTAAAAAGAAGAGAAAACTAATAGATAAAATAAGTAAAAATTAAGAGATAATATACAAGTATTAACACTATAAACAACACAAATAGTGACATCATTTAATCAAACACATTTAATAATATTACAACAATAGCACTGCCTTGCAGTCAATAATGCACAGCTGTGCTTTAATGTTGAAGATATTATGGGTGGGGCTGATTATAACTTAATCATATAGTGTTGTGAGACTTAATCTATGATATATGATGACATAAGATCATTGACGGGTAGCTTGATTAATGGATATGCACACTTTGTATGAATATTTTAAATCTACAACTAACTGATTGTGAACGATTTTATTAAGTGAAATCAAAATTTGCTTTATAAAACTAGAAAATTGCAGTTCAGACTGAATTAAATATGATTTATTATGCATTTTTTCCCGTTTTTATAATAATAATAATAATTGTAGAGTGAGCTGATGTATTGTATATGTACTAGAGCTGAGACGATATGCTTTTCCCCCAATTTGATTCTTCAACGATACACATCAAATGTGAGTCAGTTTTAAGATTTATTCTTAAATTTGAAAAAAAAAAGATTTTTTAACATAAAAATCGATTTTAAAAATGTAAAACAAAAAATCGCGACACTTATGTGAATCCATTTTTTCTCCCACCCCTAATATGAACACATTTTTGTAAAACTATAAAAATGGGTAATATGTCATCATTTGTCACCAGCCTTCGCGCCTGCAGTGCAGCAGTACACACCGTGACCACTAGGTGGCAGTGATGTCGCTGCCGCACAACAAAACAAAACTTGATGTTTAAAAAAAACAAAAAAGGGGAAGAAAAAGAAAAAGGCAGGAAGCTAGCAGCAGCAGCGGCTAATCCCGGGTAATGACCGGGTGTGAACTTCAGTGTGTGGTTTACAACTTTACAGTCAGTTAAGAAAGAAACTCACCGAGAGAGAGCAGCGGCAGCAGTGGCAGCTTCCTTTCAGACAGAGGAAACAAGGAAGTGAAGAGTTGAGTGACTTCCAGTTGTTTTCCGCCGGTAAGTCCCCGTGGGTTTTTCACGCTTTCTGCCGTCTGACCTCTCGGCGTGGTGTCTCAGGAAAACTGGATTTCTTGTGGACTCGGTAAGCAGGAAAGTCCTTTTAGTCCCTTTACTGCACCCGTGTGTGAGTCTAAGGCGGTTTAGGATCGATTTCTGTGTTTTTTGAGCGTGTTTTCCCCCACGAAGGTCCACCAAAGTCTTCATTCATTTAGGGTCAGGGTTTCAGGACACACACTGTCGCTTGGATCAGACTGCTGGACACCTGTAACTTCTGCTCCTGTTATATACACTGTTATTGCAGCAGAAAGAGGATGTGATATTTCACTTTTATATAAAGTTAACCCCTGAACACATGTGCTCCATTGTGAGTCTGAGTCTGTTGACACACATTCTGTTCAGCTGCTAACGGTGGGAAAATGTGAGTCCCTGCTTTAGAGGCTGTTAAACTCTCCGTGCTATTTTACAGTGTTATAGGTCAGAAAAAGTGATAAATTCTTTATAGTTACCCCTGTGTCTACATAATCATATACAGGATGATGATATCGGACTTTGACCATATACGATACGCCGATATGTGACATTTTTGTGTCTAAACTCTTACATGACATGTTTAAACTCACCCTTCTCTGTCATTGCCTGTGTATAAAGAGCACATCAACTTATCATCTGTTCATATTAGCATACATTTTTGTATCTTGTAGGGCTGGGCGATATGAGAAAAAGTTTATCACGATGTATATTTTTCATATCAGTCGATATCGGTATATCACGACAGGGTTTTTCCTGCGTTCAAAATTGCGTGGCGGCCGCCTCCACCTAATTTTTGATTTCGCTCAACACAGCGTAAAGCTCCAGCTGTGTTGATTGAGCGATTAATGTCCCGATGCAGCAGCAACGTATTTTAACTGCAGTTGCAGGGTTGCGCCACTATAAAGGCGCTATATCAACAGCAGTGCACCGGAAAGACCTGAAGCATCTACCGAAGAAGAAACGGATCGAATCGTGTTTTTTCAAGTTTTTTTCCCGCTAGTTGGTGCTGTCGACGTCCTGATTTTCCCTGGTGGATGGTACAAACAGGTAAATACTGCTTCTCTTTTTTGCATCCAAGCATGACGTGTTTATTTAAAAAAAAAAAAGTTTACTCCGTTTTTAGCGTTGCAGTTATGACAGGCAAAATCAGCCAGTACTTTAGAAAGCGATCTCGCGAGGAGGAAAGTCAAGAGTCCAGGTGAAACACAGCAGAGAAAAAACGTAACAGGCAGTTAAAATGCTATAATTCATGTTGGTGAGAACGTGGAAATTTGTGTCAGGTCTGAAAGTACTTCACAAGGGACTGGTGATCGCGAGGGTCAGAATGCAGGACAGGACGAGTCGGCGAGGCGAGGGTAATTAATTAATTAGTTTCCAATTAGGAGCATAACAACGCAAAGCCGACGTGTACGTGGTTTTTATTTCTCTTTCTAGATCTTCTCAAAAACACAGAGCCAGTGGCTTTGACAAGCAGTGGCTCAATCAATTTACCGGGCTCAGGCATACTGAGGAAGGCATGCACTGCTATTTATGCCAAAAGCACTGTGCCCCAACACAGCAGGCAATTGCTGCCTCCTTAGTGAGACAGCCATCAACCAACTACAGGCTGGACACATTAAAAAGACATGAGGTGACAGCCATTCACAAAGCAGCAGAAGAGAAAGAGAAATATATTAAAGATGGTAGTACCTAAAAAAACTCAACTAGTAAAGTTACAAAAAATAAATAACATAGTTTAGATAGTTTAAGAAATAATTGGTTGTCGTTTTTTTTTTTTAGGGAGGACACTGCAGCGTATACATATATATGATTGAAAACACTATCACTCTTCATGTCTGTATCAGAATAAAAACAAAAATACTTAATGCATGATGAATTGTTTTGTTTAAGGTGAAGACACCTCTGTGGAACAGACTGAAGGAGAGGCACTTGGATGTCTGTTGTAAGGTGGCCGTTGATGGACCAGACCAGGAGGCCTTGGACTACAAGGAGTGCATGAGGAGGTTCTACAGAATGAAAAAGAGGAGGCTGAAATGTTCTGTCTGGTTGCGAGATGTGTGGATGAAGTGTACTTTCAATTTAAAGTTGCCAGCTGATTTGTGTATGTATATAGTTTTAATAAATGAATGCTTTAACATGATAATGGTCACACTCTTTTTTGAACTCTTAACTTAAAGTATGTTGCCTGTAAAAGAAAGTGAATCGGTTGAATTTACAAATACATGCACGTCGTGGCGCATGGTCAGGATGGTGCCACCTCTGCCTCAATTTGAGCCAGGAAAAACCCTGCACGATTAGGGTTTGGCATCGAGTCTTGAGTATCGATGGGGACTGGGACTAAAGGTCCTTACACACTGGGAGCGTTTTTTTCGTGCGATTATTTCGGATGTCAGTATTTTTTTTCAAACCCGTATCCTGTCAATACAAGCGTTCACATCAGCGATGTTTTCCTGTTAATTGTTTAAAGTCATTATGAATCCTGCATAAATCCATCTTTTTTGTGTGTGCTAATATTATTACTGATATTAGTTTATTTACTTGTAACGAGAGGGCAGGTCTGTCTATAGCTGATATACTAATCAGGAATGCCCCACTGAGAGTAAAAGGTTCACCCTTACAAGAGTGTCCTCAGAGATTTGAGGCAGTATGTTCCAAGTTAAGTACAAATGAACTACACGCGTATTAATTATAAAAAAACATGTCAGCAGTTTTACCTTCAACACCTTCACTCTGCTTTTAAACAGATCTAGAGGGACCAGATCTCTTGAGGTCTAAGTTCTCTTGCAGGAGATTCCAAGCACTTCAAGACAAAAAGCAGGAATAAGTCATGTGCCTGAGAGCAAAGACTGTAGCTTCTGGTGTTTTTGAAGTTAATGAAATTACATAAAAAAGTAGGGAGCAAGTTGAGTGTCACCTTTATAAATAAGGACATGTCGGTGATTTAGTCTTAAGTGTAGAATATGCTGGTCAGCCAACTTGAGCAGACCGGAGGCAGTGATATAAGAGATTATGACAGTATATCTGACTACAAATATTTATGATTATGTTTATATACAAAGTACATGACGTGTAAGTCAGTAACATGTCTATAAATCAGTGGGAAAGACAAAGACGTGGTTAAACTGTGGGTTTAAGAATCTGGCTGATATACTGAAGGTTTTCATTCCTTCCATGATAACAGAATTCATATTAAACACTACCCAGTGTCCTTTTTAGATTCAATATACATTCATTGGAAATGGAAAAACATGGTGTCCTCAATTAGAAAACATAATGATGGTATTGGCCTTGTGATGGTCAGTGCCGATATGAAGCAGATTTGGTCAAAATGTCGTTAACTGGCCTGATACTTATCGATTAATCTGTCTGTAAATGTTATTGGAATGCACCAGTGTATTGACTGAGTATCTCTGACTGATATCGGCCCTGTGAGCAGATATCACTATGTTTGCAAATATTTTGATGTGCATTCATTGCAGTAGGAGGGAACAACAAACAAGCCCTGTGTTTCAGCCTTTTATGATATTTGGAGTTTTAGTGATTTTGGAAAATAAACAGTATTTCTTTTTCATAAATTATATTCAACTACTTTTCTAACCATTAGTGAATCACTTTTAATGTAAATTAATCCAGGAAAGTCTCTTATTTAGTTGAAAATAGCACTTTACTGAGTTGTAAGAGACTTTTGTGGCTTCTGAACCAACATTTATAACATACCGATTTGTTTAGGTCACTTATTCAGATTTGGGGAATCATCATAAACTAAACCTGAATCGTACTAATCAAATTAAAAGTACCGGCTATCACTGTGTGTAGACAGCAGCATGTTAAATAATTGATATTTATTACAGTTCCTGCTTGCTGTTTGTTGTCAGAACCCAGTTTATCTGTCCATCTGTCGTGTCTTTCCTGCATCTTTTCATTATCTGCTGCTGCTGCTGCATCATCCCAGTTTCACCCCAGAGACCCATAAAAGTTTCATTTCATCGTAAGCTTGTAAACTCGACACAATGATATTTATCTGCAGCTTAGAAGCAGCAGAACAAAGTCCCGTATTTTCCCATGCTCCATAAATCATCACCTTAACTCTGCAGAGGTCCCGTCTCCTGCACTGTGGCGTGTTTGTATTGATGAGTTGAAATAATGGGCCTTGGTTTGCAGTAAACAAGCAGACCTATTATGTCCTGTGTTCGCAGTAATGACGGCTGTTTGTATTTGCAAACAAAGCTCATTTCTCCAGTGCTTGGTAAATATTGAATTAACAAGCTTGTAGGAGCGACTGTAGCTGCTGTGTCCTGATAACATCACTGGCGTGCTATCTGACGCTCAGGGTGGGGTAACTGTCTCAGGGCTCGGGTTTGGGTCCAACTTTGATAAGTGAGCGCACGTGTACAGTTAAAGAAGTAATCCTGAAGCTTAAGATGTCCCCTTTGTTGTCTTTTTCTTTCCAGGGATCTGCACAAAGTTTTCCAATCAAACCCCGATGTGTTACTCTGTAATTGACAGGCGAGCTGTTGCCATGAGCACAGGGTGTCACAGTGTTTTTTTCATTAGCCGCTTTATCAGAGAAATGATAGAGAATAGGAGTTAATGAGCAGCTCCCCCCTCACCGGTCATAAACACGACACAGGCTTCCTGAGACAGACGGTCTCAAAGGTTAAAAGCCTTTTATTGGAGCCTGGTTGTTGATCTGCGGCCCTGCATTGATGGCGGAGGTGACTCATCCATGGACGGCCGCCTGCAGGTGACGTCTGGGGATGTTTTTAATCAGACCCCTAATTCATTTATGGGTGATACAGTATAAAGGCAGACAGGAGACCACCTGACACAATGATTTTTGTCTGGTTCCTCCGCCTGCCGTCTCCTCGCTCCGTTTCATCCATTTAATCATTAAGACATGAAGTCATCCATGACTTTTACCGACCTCCATTTGCATCCAAAAAATGACAACATCTCGTCAGAAGATTGGACACAGCTCATTGCTCTGTAATGACTGCAGATGAGGGTTGACTTCAAAAACAGCCGATCGCAATGAGAAGAAATGAGAGCTGAGAGGAGCGTTATACACGAGTTTGATTCCTTTTGTTCAAGCATTTTCTTAATCGTTTTTTCTACATATCTTAAATGCAAATGTCGTGGTGAAGAAAGAGCTGAGCCGTAAGGCGAGACTCTAGATTTACTGGTGGATCTACGTGTCGATCCTCACCTATGGTCATGAACTTTGGGTAATGACCGAAAGAACAAGATCGTGGATACAAGCCTGAGACTGGGGAGGAAAGGTCACAAATTAAAGAGAATTTCTGGTAGGGCTGGGTGATAAAACAAAACTGTACCGATACTGAAATTTACAACAATAACTGACGTCATTTTGCCCATATCGGTATATTTGGTGTCATAAAAATAAATAAATAAAAATTAGTTTTGGATGTGTGTAGGTAGGCTATGGTCTCATGTCCTTATAAGACGTTGTCCCACATCAGAGACGTGACTCCACCTCATCCAGTCCGTAACAAAGAGGAAAAGACAGGTGAGGAGATGGAGGACGGTTCAAAAGTTGTAGCAGCAGAAGTAGACAAAGTTAATGTGGGAGGGGCTGAGCAGCTTGTGGAGAAGTTATCGTCCATTTATGGTTATTGAGGTGAACTGCTCAATATATCGAGATATTGATTTGAGGCCATATCGCCCTAGTTGTAGCTTGATTGATATCTACTGTCACAGTGCTATAATGATCTACCACATGAATGTAAACAAGCACAGATGATAGATTTTACCTCGTCACAGGCCACCACCAGCCAGCGGGGAAGATAAAGTTTGTAATAGATTTATTCATCTATTCATCGTTAAGTGTTTTCGTAAGTTTTAGAGGAGTTAATGATGTAAATTAAAATTTTCAGACAAGTAGGAATTTGGTCTCTTTGGACGTCCAGGATTAGGAGTCAAACATGCAATCAGTATGATGAGGACAGTGGAGACGATGGAGATGGAAGAAGAAATATTTGTGCCTGGCTTTGATTTGATTTGATGATTTGCATTTCGAAAGCATCCTCAACAATGATTACAGACGTGTTTCCCAGTTTGCTTTTGCAGAAATCTTTGTGTCCTCAGTTTGTGCAACAGTAGTAGGACGCAAGACTTGTGTGCTCTCCGTGGACACGGTGGGAGATGAGTTGATTTTCCGTGTAAATTGAGCTTCACAGTTTCGCAAAAGAATTATAAGAATGCAAAATTGAAGTGTCAATGTTGCCGAGTCATGAGCGATCGAGGACAGTCACAACACTGTCTGAGTATCCGGCATCAAGTTATTTTAATCAATAAAGTCAGCAGGTTTAATGGGTTTGGATTCACAGTCTGGATGAGTGGACACTTTCCCCTGCTGAGTTTTTTACAGCGTGTGTGTTCAGGGTGGGCTTACCCTGCTTGTAGAGGAAAGGTCATGTCATTGGTGTACTGAAGGCAGAATCAGCGGCGCCTTCTCCCCGCAGTTATAGGTATGTATTTACAAGTTTATCCTCTGTTAGTGTTTTTCGACCCCGGGCCAGCAAGAAGGGCTTCCAGCTGGTTTAGTGCAGCCTGTCATCGCCTCACAGGTTAGTCATGATGAGTTATCTTGGGGTAACGTAGTAGCATATGGCACCAAACACCCGTGGCTTGGCCAGTTTGCCCCCCTACCTCCCTGCAGAAGAGGACACAGTTATTTCTGGCCATCAAGGTTAGAAAGGGTCACGTGGGAGATCTGGTGGAGGTATGTGCTGGTAGACAGTCCCAGTTACAGGAGGACCGTGTTCAATCTGAAGTCGCTCGGATGTTTAAACGCTGCCAGTAAAAGAAAAGTTTTACTGTAAGAGAGTGGAAGTGACTTTAAATAAGTTCTTGTAGTCATTCGAAGAGCGCCTGGAGTGCCCAGTCGGCGACCGAGTGGTGATATGATCCATCCGTCTGTCCTGGTGGCTTTTCCCCTCGAGTCAGCTGTTTAGCTCGGGTTGAAGGGTCAGGGTGGCGATGGTGACGGTGTTTGAAGTGAGTGTGAAGGGGGTGTTTGACTATATCGATGAGTGACACATGAGCCGCTGTTGGCCGGGTCCCTCTGTCAGCGAAGGGGCAGGTTTCTACTCCTCACCCGGGTATGTTTCACAGCAGCAGCAGCAGCTCTCAAGCTTCAGCTCAGTTATGGGGAAGTGACATAACCGCTTTTGTTTCTTTGATTGTGTTGTATAGGATCTGATGTCAGTGAGGGAGTGGTAACACACTCAGTCTACTAAGACTGCAGCTCATTCAAATCAATGAGGAAAGGCCAAATGTGAGAAAAACACTGATTTAATAGGGGTGAGGGGAACTCGTAATCATACAACTGTTTTATGGCTGAATGATTTTGGACCCTGAAATGAACAGTTAGCGTGCAGAGATTTGATTAGTTACCAAGTTTGGTCAAATTTTACTTTTTTATGTTTAATTTTAGAGGTATTGTTTTGATTGCACACAAAAATGCAAAAGTTTTTTCAGCATTAGTGTAAAATATTGAGCTGTAACTTTTCTGACAGGTATTATATAAGAAACGAAAACAACATCCTTTCAAGACATCAATTATACTTGATAAGACAAAATCGTTTTGGCAGCTCTGGATGTGTTGGAAATTGCGTCTGATTTCACAAATCTAAATGACGGACAAAAAGAGATTTTCAGTGGTATTTAAAGAGCAGTTTTAGAGAAACAGCCTCAAACTGAAGAGAAAGAACATTCAACCAAGACAAAGTCAGATATTTCTCTTTGCACTGATTCAGAAATGTCATTATGTTAGCAAGTGAAAAACCATGACGGTACAGCAGAGTTTAATAACATTTTAAAAATGAAGATTTGTGGAGTCTACTGTGGAGAGACTGGGGAGGAAAGATCATAAATTAAAGAGAATCTGTGGTAGGGCTGGGCGATCAACCAAAAATTTACCTTTACCAAAATCTATGACAATAATCTGTTGATAATTCGAGGCTTCCATAATGACAGGCACAAAATTCTGGTCCTATGTTATTTATCAGATGAAGTAAAGTCACCTGTCAGTATCCAGTTTTGTAGCTAGGGCTGGGCGAATCATGTGTTCGATTGAATCAGTTGATCAATTCGGATCATGAAAATTCTTAGTTATTGATTTCTGTCCCAATTTTTTATGGACTGATTTTTCTAATCATTCATCTCTTTGCTGGAAATATTTAGATGTACCCAAATACGTAAACTTTGCATTGTCTGCTAGGGCTGGGCGATAAACCCCAAAAATTTACCAATACCGAAATTTACGACAATAACCAACATCATTTTGCCCACATAGGTATATTTGGTGTCAAAAAATAAATAAATAAAAGTTGGTTTTGGATGTCCCTTTAAGACGCTGTCCTACGTCGGAGACGTGACTCCACCCCATCCGGTCTGTATAGACAGGTGAGGAGATGGAGGACGGTTCAAAAGTTATTGCGGCTGAAGTAGACAAAGTTAATGTGGGAGGGGGTGAGCAGCTTGTGGAGTAGTTATCGTCCATTTATCGTTATCGAGGTGAACTGCTCAATGATTTGAGGCCATATCGCCCAGCCCTAATCTCTGACTTGTCTGAATCTATCCAACTAAAGCTCCTTCTAAAGAAACCCTGACATGAGACTTCAAGAAAAAAGGACATATAGAGTCATTATTCAGGACTGAGCCCCCTGCACATGTTGCATAAGAGACTCTGTCTGAAAGTGAAATATGAAGCACAGTAACGCGATCCACTTTGATGTACATACAGGAGGACACAATAGATAGAAGCGGTCTGGCTGCTCAAAGACCTGCGTGGTCATGGTAACAACAAACAGCAGCATGGGCCCTTTGGAAAGTGCATTGTGCTGAGTCAGCACGGACACTGTGCTGGTGATGAGTGTGCATCTTCTTGCCTGCAGAAGCTGTGAACGAGAACTAAAAATAACCAGAACTAAAAGCCGGCGCAGTGACAGAAAACTTAGAGGAATAATGTACAGCAAGAAGAGTCTTTTATAAAGCAGTGGGATATGTTTAGGAATTTAAAATAAGTAAAGTGAATATGTGGATTCCTCCTTTCCCAGCAGTGCATCTAACTTACTTATGTGGTTATCAGTGAAAGCATTACCTGTTGAATTCCTGTTGCTAAATAATTGTTTTAACTCTTTTTTTTATGAGTATTTCAGGAGCAAATATGTTAGAAATTCTTTCAATCTAAAACTTTGATAACAGGCTGACTTATGTAACCTATTTCTTAAGTCAGGAGTGCTGCAATAACCCAGTTTCCCCAGGAATCAATAAAATGTGTCTTCTTTTGTCTGACATCTGTTTCACAAGGGTGTATGAAGCAACCCGGTAAGAGCCAGTCCTCTGAGTATTTGTTTAAGTTAGCTTAGTTAGGACGGCTGTGCACATCTACCATTTCTCAGTCTTTCTGTCGTGTTTTTCTCTTTATGAATATGAACTATTTACACCCAGAGGAGTTTTATTTAAGCTGTTTTCCTCTCTTCTTTCTAGGGTAAAGCAAAAAGCGCCCTCATGATGGTCATGGATCTCTCAGAGTGAGGACCCCGTCTCCAGACTTGGACATGTTACTTCTCAGAGTCAGACCTCCTCTGTCCTGACACAGGGAGTTTTACAACTAAGATCCCGACAGTCTACCTCAACCCACGTGGAGTCCACTCCTTCTGATCTACCTCAACCCTCGCTCTTCAGACACGGGCGCACGTAGCCGTTATCAGCCAGCTCGCCAGCAGACCCTTCGCTTTATCAGCAGGCTTTCAGGTGTCAGTCACAGCACAGTCGACCGGTTTCTCCCTGCTCAGCCACTCGTGGTAACACCCGAAGCAGACATGTCACATAGGGGTTTGTGATGTCCGAGCCCTGCTTCAGACCAGGACTTAGACTAGCACTTGGACCCAGAGCGGTGGAAAGAGAAGGACAGGTGGGGCGGAGTCGGAGAGGTGTTCCTCGGTTTGTGGTTGGTAGTGAAGATGACGAGCAAGACCTGGGCCAGATGGAGGTGGGCATGAAGAACGAGATGTTTCGAGAAGAAGACATGGAGGATGATGAGGATGAGTCGGTAAGAGATGACTCCACAGGTGTGAATTTAGAGGTCAAAATGAAGAGATTTAATTTTTTTATTTAACACCAAAGATGAGACGTTTTAAAATGATCATACTGGAAGTTTTATTCTGAAAGTTTTATTTGGAATCGGACTGTGGAAAAAAGACACAGGCTGAAGTATACAGAGCCCGGTATGAGAACATTACAGTAGATAAACAACTGGGAGGCTACTGCTCTGCTGTTTATTCCTGCGGCTATAAAAGGACTTTATGATTGTGCTGTGTTAGCTCCTCACCTACTTGTCACCTACTAATTCGCTCCCTCTATTTTCTGTCTGTTTGTGTCTCTGTTTCACTCTCAGCATTTTATTACCTCGCTGTTATCTTATCAGCTGTGGAACAACAGCAAAGACTTAATGACTCACTAATGAAAGACTCGTTGAACTCAGGCGAGCAAGTTTGACACTCTCCAAACAACCTCGTCCAAAGTTTTAGTCTGCTAAAAACCAATCACTTTTTTATCGTCACATCTTCAGTTATCAGTTAAATTGTCATGCTGCTGGTCCTAAAAGTCATAAGGCTCGTTTAACAGACTTAAATGGAAAAGTTGAAAATCCAACGCTGGGGTATGATCCAGAATCTGACCCTAGGGCTGTAATCAACCAAAGAAATTCTTGGTCGACTAAAACCCTGAAATTTTCGACCAAAAATCTGACTCTGGGATCCGACTTTGATGGCAAACCCTTCTGCGGCAGGGGACGACGTGTCTTGGCGGGGTGAAAATATACTGATTTCAGCACAAGAAGGCAATTAAACTTAGATTGATTAACGTGGACGCTCTTCAATCTTCCTGTCACCAGCTGGTCTCCGGTGGGTTGAGCGAATTCCAAAATGGTGAAAACAAGGGGGGGTGTTCTGAGACAGGCTGTACCTGTGAAACGGAGGTGGTCTAAAAACACCCCCATTAGCACTTGGTACGAAATTAACCATGGACTGTTAACTGACGCAGAAAAAAATCGAGTCGACCAATCAGAATTTTGGTCGACCAATAAGTCGACCAGTTCATCAAGACTTTATAGCCACATTTTTTTCAATGTGATGTCTTTTTAAAGCTTAAACTGGGAAACACTCAGGGTCGGGAAAACAACCTTTCACCCAGGAACAAGTACTAGCTAAGAAAAACACACAGTTGTTCTTGTTGCATTAAAAAGCTTTGCTTCCTCCTTTTGTGCTATATACAACAATAGTAGCCACTGTTAAAATGTTGCAGGTCACATGACACCTTGCATCTAGAAAAGCAGTTTTTTTTTGTCAAAAGGATCTTAACCATTCACTCTGATCTCCTTTAAAGCACATCCATACATCTTCTCTGTCTTTATGTCTCTGAAATGAACTCATCATCTCCTCCTTTCTGTCCCCTCCATCAGCCCCCAGAGCGACAGATCGTGGTGGGCATCTGTGCCATGATGAAGAAGTCCAAATCCAAGCCCATGACTCAGATCCTGGAGCGCCTTTGTAAGTTTGACTACATCAACGTGGTGATATTCCCGGAGGAGGTGATCCTGGAGGAACCCGTGGAGAACTGGCCTCTCTGTGACTGCCTCATCTCCTTCCACTCCAAAGGTAAAACTTCACACACAAGTTTTTTCAAAGCGTAAAACAAAGGATTGTTTGTTTGTCCTTCAATCCAGATTTTCTCTGCTTTAATCTCTGCACATGAACCCTCGGTGTCCTGCAGTTGCATCATGTTTTGATAGAAACGATAAAAGACCGGCATGTTTTGAACAAGAATTGTTTATAAGGTGAACTTTTCTGTTTGTTTTGTGGCATCAGAGCCTCTGAAAAAAACATCTACTTGGTATTTGTTTTTCTTTGTATCCATGAGAGAACAGACGGGATAAGTTCCCTGTTACACAAAGTCCATGAAGTCCAGCTGTAATTAAGTACTTTAACACCCTGTGTAGTATCCGTACCTTAGAAGTCATACATTGGGAAGTTTGCCAGGTTTTGTCCCAGCCGTCTGGCAGAGAGCACAGCTCTTTATGGGAACTCGCTAGTGGGAAACAATGAGAACTGGTGGCAGTGGAAACATCTATTTAAGGCGTACCATGAATGTTGTTCCTCAGCTGACTTTGTGTGCTTTATAAAGGCAGAGCCACATGAATGAGGTCAGCGCACCACTTAATGTTCATGTCCTATATCCTCAGTGAGTGAGCATGTGTTACTATAAAGAGCTGAAACATCCACCAGGAAACGCTGTATTGTAGATCTACATCTACATTCATACAGTGTTTTTGGTTGTTTTTCTGTCTGACTCTATTTTGTTTTAGAACACCCCACACATGGGCTAAAATACATGCATGCATGTACATGCACACAGTATAATAACTTTATTTATATATCACTTTTGAAAACAACTTTATTAAGTTCTTTGACATGAAAGAAAAAAAATAAAGATAAAAACAACAGAACAACAACAAAAAGAGAACACTTGGGGGGGAAAAGAGTCTAGACGAGACTAAAACCCAGACTACATATTCTAACGAGACATTATCAGCAATAAAAAAACAGACATTAAGACAAAGACATCATAAGAACCTGTGATACCCAGCAAACACAGGCATCCAACCACAAAAACCTGAGACTAAGGGGACTGAAGTTTAGAAAGGAATGTAAAAGAGAAGAAGTAAGAAGTAAAAACATTGAGAGAAGTAAAATTGTATATGAAAAATAAATGTAAAGGAGTAAGTCAGACGAAGGGAACCGCTAAAGTGACACAAGTACCCCAAAAAATAAAAAATAAAAATAATAATAACACCTATTTATATAGAACCTTACAACATCCGGAAAGATGAACAAAGGGCTTTGCACGGTCAAATACACAAATACAGGAAAAGAAAATACATGACAAGTGATGAATGTCACAGGATATCATAACAATAAAAAAGGTAAGAGGACACAGAAACAATCAAAAAGTAAATGGCACAAAATATTAAAAGCCTGTTTAAATAGGTGCGTTTTAAGATGTGTTTCAAAGAGTGCCAGGTCATTGATAAAAAGTAATTCAGGGGGGAGAAATTAAGAAGAGTAAAATATATTGAAGAAGACAACATCATGTAAAAGCAAGTCTATAAAAATGAGTTTGAAGAAGTGATTTAAAAGCAGCAGCATAACGGGGCAAACAAGCACCCCAAGTGGATCAGGGTTCAGTGTCTTGTTTAAAGGAACTTCTCCAATATTAAACTCCAAATTCGGCACCATGAGCCATGCAGGGACTTGAAGCATAGATCCTCCGGTTTCCAAACCAAGTCCTTCCAGACTGAGCTGTTTGCATCCTGAAAAAACAAAGAGAATAAAAAGACAGACTGTGTCAAATACAAAACTTAAGAAAACTTGAACAATAAAAGACGAGTTGTGTTATGTTCCTTTAAGACGGAAACTGAGATTGAAGCTCATTTAGGGGTTGAATTATAAGATGATGTTAGTCAAGTGATCGAGCTGCGCTCTAATTCAGCTGACATTAAGGTCTAATTAAAAACCTGTCAGAAGTTATTAAAAGCCATAAAAGTGACGGTACAGCCATCAAATTAAAGATGTTTCACAGTTTTAATCCATCAGTCGAGTGTTTCGGTGATAAATGTCACACTGAGAAAGAAGAGCAGAAACCTTTATTTGAGTTTTAAACAAACTCATGCTGCTCGTGACTTTTTAGATAAATTATTTGACCATATGTTGTACAAGTTTACATTTAAAGACTTAGTGTATCGCTCGACTTCTTCCAGGTTTCCCGCTGGACAAAGCCGTGGAGTACGCCAAGCTGAGGAACCCACTGCTCATCAACGACCTCAACATGCAGTATTTCATTCAGGACAGGTACAGCCGAGCTAAAACACCTGCACACAAACGAGCAACTCTGATCACGCTCAAAGACAGAAACAACAAACACCTGATGATTTCACAGATGCATCCCAAACCCACTCGAGACAGAAATGTGGTCACACTAAGAGACGGTGTCAGTTTTCCCTCCAGCTAATTTGACAGCTGCCGGCCTCAGAGATGGGATTAATGTTGAAGTAGCATCCCTGATTGCCACCTGCTCATTTAAATCGAACATCTCTGCTGAGATTCATTTGCATCTCTCTCGGTAAATGCAGCAGCTGGATCCTTGATGCAATCAACCTGTTGTAGCTGTGGTGTTTTTACCCTCATCATCAGCAGAGTGGTCTCTTCACAGGAATGAAAATAGCTGATCTGTTTTTGTCGCACACTTTATAGATAACATACACTTTCAGTTTTATAAAGCTGCACACACAAAAACCCTGTGGTAAGCTTTTTTTATAGAGGTTGTTACTAAGTGGAGTCAAACTTGGTCTTAATAGCACAGGTCATATACAAGGCAACACGATGTGCTTCATTATTAGAGTATTACCTGTGAGCTTATGCTAATAAAGGTGTTTGATCCCCTGTCAGGAGGGAGGTGTACCGGATCCTGCAGGAAGAGGGCATTGACCTTCCTCGTTATGCCGTGCTGAACCGAGACCCCGACAATCCTGAAGGTGAGGAGGAGCTCTTATAATGAACACGCTTGTTTACTTTATAGTGCTGACGTTAAGCTAAACGTCTAAGAGGATACATCTGTGTAAAATAAGACATAAAGGTAGGGCTGGGTGAAATGGCCTCAAATCAATGTCACGATATATTGATCAGTTCACCTCGATAACGATAAATGGATGATAACTACTCTACATGCTGGGCTTGGATATGAGACCATACCCTACCTACACTCATTAAAAACCATCCATCCGTTTTCTACTGCTTTTCCCGTTGGGGGTCGCAGGGGGGCTGGAGCCTATCCCAGCATCTTGGGGCGAAGGCAGGGGACACCCTGGACAAGTCACCACTTTATCACAGGGCTGACATATAGAGACGAACAACCATCCACACTCACATTCACACTAACCCTACTTCTGCATGTTTTTGGGATGTGGGAGGCGACAAGAACACCTGGAGTAAACTCATGCAGACACAGGTAGAACATGCAAACTCCACACAGAATCGCCCTAACCCACTGTGTGGTGACAGTGCCAACCACTACACCACTGTGCCACCTCATCAAAAAACAACTTTATTTGTTTCTTTGACACCGAATATACAGATATGAGCAAAATGATGTCAGTTATTGTAAATTTTGGTGTCAGTAAGTTTTCGGTTTATCGCCCAGCCCTACATAAAGGACGTTGTTAATCCTGCAAATGCAGCAGCTTCTGATAGAGTTCTGTTTAGGTTTGACTTCAGGTAACAAAGAAACTTCAAAGCATTGTCAGCAGCGGTGGAAAATATGGTCTGAAATTTATATCATGATGTTTTGAGGAAATATTTTAAAAAAACAACATTTCTACTGTGACTGCAGCTGAATGGCAGCAGCAGTTATCGGTCATTTTTCACTGACTTCTTTGTCCATCTGCCACCGTAGTTTCCAAAATCAACCTGTCATTATATGTTTATCTCAACCAGCAGCATTTGGTCATCATGGGTTAGATGATAATAATGAAGCTTTATTATATACTGTTTATTAATATTTCATCCTCTTGATAAAACCCTGTCATGTTCTTTTCTCACTTGCTAACAGAGAAAAATGTTGATTTTAAACCCCGGTATGAAGTTGACCTTCCTACTCGACTCTGGAAACAAAGTTAGTCTATTCTGAGTTTGTTAGTCTTCATCGTCTTACCTCATCCTCCTGTAAATATTGGAGCGAACAGCTGATCTGTCTAGAGTAAACCCTGCCTGATCCCACCCTAAAGAACAGGATAAGCAGCAGAGATAATGAATGAATAAACATATGGATTATTTTCAGGCTTTGTTCCGTTGCTAATGACTTGCTGTAATTTTTTTAATCAGAGAGTTAATCTGCTGCATCTTTGAGGTTTAAGAGTGAATAATGAAGCACAAACGAAGCCTCTTTAGTTTATTTCTGTCTATTATTTTGGCTTATAGTAGATTTAAATTGTGATTAAACAAGATAGTTGATCAATAGTTTTTATCCCAGATCAGTAAAGATCAGACTTGATTTGATTGTAGTTACAGTTTATTCAGTATGTAAACATGTTGGTGCTGTTCCTAATACGGTTAAGATCATCTTGTGTTCAGTATTTCTCACCAGTCCTCCGCTCTCTGTGCAGAGTGTAACCTGGTGGAGTGTGAGGACCACGTCGAAGTGAACGGGGAGGTTTTTCCCAAACCCTTTGTGGAGAAACCCGTGTGTGCCGAGGACCACAACGTCTACATCTACTACCCGACGTCTGCAGGAGGAGGCAGCCAGAGACTCTTCAGGAAGGTAGCTGTCTCCCAAACAATGCAAAGACGGGATTTATTTATTTCTCTGACGCTCTCCAGGGATTCTTACTTTAGTTCAGAGAGCTGTCTTTGCTCACATGACTTGTCAACTCTGTGGAAAAATATTACCAAAAGGTCATGACTCAGTGATGCAGAATATAGGGAAGTCAAATAGATGACTAGAAAATTATTCATCATCATTCATGCTAGTCAGCAGCAGAATTAGTCTGTTAAAGCCTCTGTGAGGAGTTTTTCACTGGTTTTGAAAATGACTTTTCTTAAAGCAAACAGGAACACCAGCAACAAGATCTGCAATTTCTATAGAAGTTACTGTAAGAGAGTACCAGACTGTTAATGTCAAACTAACAGTCTGGTAAATAAATTAAGACCATTTTCCGATCTTCAGAGTAGTAGTCTCGCCAGAATTCAAATTTCCAAATAGACAGATAGGAAAGTAGTTCCTTCAGAACATTTCAAGATATATCATTTAAAAGAAAATGTCAGTAAAACTTGTGTAGGTGTACAAGGCCATAGGGAGCAGCAGAGTTTGACCTGTCTGTTCAATCAAGTATGTAAAGAAATTTGTATTTGTATTTTGTATTCCACGTGTGTCTCTTTGCTGTAGATTGGAAGTCGCAGCAGCGTGTACTCCCCAGAAAGCAGCGTACGAAAGACCGGATCCTACATCTACGAGGAGTTCATGCCCACAGATGGTACTGATGTGAAGGTACTGTGCAGCTTTGTTCAGTTTGAAGCACAAGGTGAAATATGGATTAGTTTCATATTTTGATAGCTAATTGCGTTTTGCTAACTGGCTACATTTACTCTCACTGATTTGAGATGAAGTCCTGTTTGTTGGTCCCAGACAAACTGAAATGCTCTAAGACATCCTCCTTTCTGTGTCCGTGTGTCTCCTGCATGTGTTTCATGATGGTTCAGGTTTACACAGTGGGTCCAGACTACGCCCACGCTGAGGCGCGTAAATCTCCGGCCCTGGATGGAAAGGTGGAGAGGGACAGCGAGGGGAAGGAGATCCGCTACCCGGTCATGCTGACCGCGATGGAGAAACTAGTCGCCCGCAAAGTCTGCCTGGCCTTCAAGGTAAACTTTTCTGAACTTCCTCTTTTAATATAGAAAAAAACCCCAGTTATCTGTGAGCTTATGGTCTCATTTTTGTCCCTTTTTATCTCCTCTCCTTAACCAAACTCCACCGGGTGCCTTTTTATGTGCCGCTAACATAAAGATGCATTAGCGTGTGTTTACCTGCACTTCAACAAAAGGCTCTCAGCTCATTAAACCGTCTCTAGAAAATCTCTTCAAACCAAATAGTTTAAACACAGACAGCTGGGAAGCTTTCAAATGTGGAAATATTGTTGATGCTTGATGGTTTTACAAGAAAACATCATTTCCTGATGAGCTGGTTAGTGAGAGCTGCCAGAGGCCTTTATTTGTGAATCGAGCAAACATTCGAATTATTCATGTCAATCTGTTCTCGCCCTCCTATTATACAGCACAGTTATTATCAAGCATTAAGCTGATAGGGAGCATCTCTGAGGATGAGTCCTCTAACACCTGTCGGTCATTAGGAGTGAGTCAGCTGATTTAGTAACCGCACTAGACTCCCAAATAAACAAAGTATGAGATGAGATAATCAGTAAGACAAAGTTGTTTTTACTCGAGGACAGATTGAATTGTCAGAGGTCTCAAAAGCTCAGTTTTAAATGTGTGTGATTTATTTTTCTTTTAGCAAACGGTGTGTGGGTTCGACCTGCTCAGAGCCAACGGTCACTCTTTCGTCTGTGACGTCAACGGCTTCAGCTTCGTCAAAAACTCCATGAAGTACTACGACGACTGTGCCAAAGTCCTGGGGTAGGTGACACTGAGAAAAACATTATTCCTGTTTTTTTCTAAAAACAAAAATAATTCATCGTCTTTTGGCAGAGCTCACTGTCTGAAAGTCTCTGTGACCCCCTGATAAAATTTTGGATATTGACAAAAAGCAGCAATAAAAGTTTTTTGGTTTGATTTGATATGCTTTTACATACTTCTAACCTTGATTTTTATTCAGTATTATCAGTTTTAAAACTCACAAAGATGTTGAAATAGGTCTCTGGTTTGATAATAAACATCATCACGTCCTCTGGATTGAACAGTTTGGCTGTCTTCTCGTCTTGTTCTCCAGCACTGATCTCTGACATCTCTGTTTTTTCCTCTGACGTGAATACTCACTTGTCCTGTTGTCAGCATAACATCTGATTTAGTTTCTGATTTACCGCCTCACCCTTCAGGCAAAGCAAATAACGCTGAACGGTCAACGGCTCGTAAATTTCATGAAATGAAAGACACAGACACGGGACATGTATCTCTTCATGAGTGATGGACACAAACTTCATCAAATCCCCCAATAAACTCATGTGCAGCAGAAAGATCTCATATTCAGAGATGATATGAAGTTATTTATCTTTATATTTATACTTTATAGTGTTGGTTATGGTAGCAGCATCTTATGAACTACTAAAGCTGTCTTTCTAGTTTAAATTGAATAAATCTGTTAAATTCACTTTCTTGTAAATTTGACTTGTTTTTCTTGTTTTGTTATTAAGTCTGTTGTTTTATGTGCTTCACAGGAACATGGTGATGAGGGAGTTAGCCCCTCAGTTCCACATCCCCTGGTCCATTCCCATGGAGGCCGAAGACATCCCCATCGTTCCAACAACCTCAGGAACCATGTATGCACTAAAAACCAAAAACTTACATGCTGAGATTCTGAGTTTCTCAAAAGCCTGATCAGATTCTTTCTGTACTCTTTGTTTAGTCAAAATCTAAATCCAAGATTATTAAAATGCTTCCAGTGAGAGATTCAAGTATATGTTTTTACACTCACTATTTGGTCACTGATATGCTCAGCAAGGAGAGGAAGAGGTTAAGTTCAGTATGAAGAGATTTATTATTTACTGTGTTTGGTCCACTCCGCTATCTTACCCAGGATGGAGCTGCGCTGTGTCATTGCCATTATCCGCCATGGAGACCGCACACCAAAGCAGAAGATGAAGATGGAGGTTCGACATCCTCTGTAAGACTCAACATTCAGATTTCTGTCAAAATGTCTTTTTTTTTTTTTTTTTTTTTTTATACTTCTGGACTTTTTGCCTTTATTTGATAAGGCAGATGTGGAGGGACAGGAAATCTGAGGCTATAGTTCTTGTGTCACTGGTCCATCACTCCTGATCTTGTTGCACTCCAACTTTATTTATTTATTTTTTTGACACTGAATAAACAGATGTGGGCAAAATGAGGTCGGTTATTATCAAAAATTTCGGTGTCTGTAAATTTTCGGTTTATCGCCCAGCCCTATGAACAGTAAAGCAACTCTATGATGTACAAAAGCTAATGAGACCAATGATGGTTAAACTGATAGAGTCAATCATTTTTAATGCCTCCAAGTGCTGTGAGGGGGTATGTTACGCTAATAGAACATCTCTAGTCTTTATACCCCCTGCAAAATATTCAAGATGGGTCATATGTTTAATTGTAAAAAGACAATAAAAGGAGTTTTATTTTTTGGTTAGTTGATAACACTTACAGACAAAATCGTCTGTAGTTGGAGTTACCACTTTGTCCACAGGGGGCGCCAAAGTCAACAGAGACTGAAAGTTCCTCACAGCACCTTTAAAGATGAACTAATGTGTCAAATCTGTTCTGTTTTAAAGATGTCGCCATGGTGATTTCGACTCACTGTTTTATACGCCTCCTGATTGTTTTTGTCTCGCGCAGATTCTTCGAGTTGTTTGAGAAGTACGGAGGCTACAAGTCGGGAAAGCTGAAGCTGAAGAAGCCAAAACAGCTTCAGGTGAGCGAGGTTGATTGTAATCTCTCGTAAATGCTTCTCCTTTTTCCGCCTGTTTGTTTCCCTCAGACTGAGACTGAAGCATTTTATATCAAAATGAAGCAGAGCATTATGTCAAGCATTATTATCGTTATTAAGAAACAGAAACCACTGTTGTTCTGTTGCCATATCGTCCTTTTAGTTTTTTTTATTTATGAAGCCATCCTCTGAGCTGCCAGTCTCGTCTTAAATCAGGCGGGTCAGCTGCAGAGACTTCAGTGTTAGTTTATTCGACTCCTGAAAATTAAAAAGATAAGAGACAAATTAAGGCTAACTTCCTCTGCATCTACAGGAAGTGCTGGATATCGCCCGCCTGCTGCTCGTCGAACTCGGCCAGCACAACGACTGCGAGATCGAGGAGAAGAAATCCAAACTGGAGCAGCTGAAGACCGTCCTGGAGATGTGAGTGAAGTCTGAACTTCAACCACACGCTCTCTCTCTCTCTCACAGACACACACACACACACACACACACACACACACCATCGTTCTCTGATTTCCCTCTCATCGTCCTTCATCATCAAACATCCACTCATGATGCAAAAACTAGCCTCATCTCTCCACTCTCCACCTGGGTCCAGTCATCACTCACAGACAGATGTTTATTCCTTCCTCCCTCCTGTGTCTCTAACTCTCTGCTTTATCGTTTCTTCCCTCCTCTGCCTCTCTCTCTCTTTCTCTCTTTCCACCCATCCCTCCTTCTTTCTCTCTAAAAGGGAATCCAGCTTGAATGACACTCAGTACGCACCCTCTCCCTTGTCTCTTTAAAGGATGAGGTTTTATCACCCTCCTTTTCTTTAGACTTCTTAGACTGTGTGTGCAAATATTAGGAACACCTCTCCTCCAGCTGACATAAATGCTAAAGCTCTCACTTCTTTAAACCAGTCTGCTTTAAGATTAGACTTTTAAATCCACGTCTTCGAGGTATTCCTAATGTTTCGTACACCGAGTGTCTCATTTTCCATTAACATCCATTCATTTTAGCCGTTAACACCATACACATACACAGTTCGATGTATATGATGTTTTCACTGTACTTCTGTGTATGTAAATCAGTGTGTGATGTGCTACTTGTGTGCATGATGTTCTCACTACAGACCAGGTTGACTCTTAATCTCCTAACCACTTCCTTCCTCACGCCTCCAATCAGCGTAAACACCCGTTTCAGGGATTTTCCTCCCGCAGAGATTTAAAATAAGTGGAACAGCAGAGTAGTCTTTGAGTTAGAGCTTCTTAAATATTCAACCAGGAGGAAGTTTCTTGAAGTTTTGTGAGTTTAAATAAGTCAGGGGAAGATGTGTCGGCTCGTTTGTGACATGCAGTCGAACCCCTACACCGTACAACCTTGAAGATAACATCCTGCAGGTTACACCAGCAGTAGTTTTAAATCGATAGGAGTCTGACTGCAGACCTCCACTGTGAGGACGAGCTACACTGAGAGGACTCAAGGAGACAATTTTTCTGACGCGCTCCAGTTTGTTTGAAGTGGTCATCCCATTTTGTATTTTCCCCTTTGTCGAACACATGAATACATAAGAAAATCATATTAGCATTATATACATGAAATGAAGCCCCAAGAAATAAAATAAATTCACACAAGACAAAAAATACATACTTTTATTTTGAAAGGCTTTGAATCGACTTCCAAAGAAAAAAAAACATTCTCCCGGTATATTTGCTTTTATTTTGAAAGGCTTTGAATCAACCTCAGACAAAAAAAATACGCCAAGTATATCAAATCAGCTTCTGGTCCACTCAGTGGAGGTGGGTCCTGACCCTGGAGGTCTGCAGCCAGACCGTCTTGGTTAAATCTGCTCTCTCCATGCTGAAGTGCAGTCTTCATACAAAATAAACTTTCCTCGTGACTTTTGACAGTCGGATTCATCATTTACTGTGAATTTTTTTAGGTGAAAGCGTTGGCTGCAACTCTAACTTCTACTCCCTCAAACCACTTTCAAACATCAAATATCACAAGATAATAATTATTAGTATCAATACTGATGGTCTTGTCTCATTTCAAATACCATTATATGCACAGCTATAAATTTGAGTCTGTTTCATAAAGCAGCTTTAAATGTATCGGATACATTATATGCAAATACCATCTGTTAATCAAAGTATAAGGTTGTGTAGTGATGCAGCATACTGCTGTATGGCAGAGGATTCACATTTAACATGAGACAGTGCACTTTAATCAGTAGGTTAGCAGGTAGGACATCCTGAAGGACCTCTCTGCTTCTCTCTTCAAATACCTGCAGCAGAGCATGGATCAGGTGCTTGAGGTAATCAAACACAAAGGAGACAGAAAGAGTCTCAGTGATTGCAGGTAGTGGTCTGATATGGGTCAAGAACGATGGTCGGTATACCTCGGGGGCTGCGTATACACTCAGGTGGCCCCTCCAGTCTAGGAAACACTGCACTGGTCTGGTGTGACGCCTATTTAGAGATCCAGCAGCGATTAAGTAACTCCAGGTTTAATCCAAAGACAACTGGAGTTGGTTTAAGTCCCTGAAGATCACCTTTCCTCTTCAGATGTTGTTGGATCAAGCCTCAAATACTGGGACCTGGATCACAGGTCCTGTACATCAGTAAGCACCTTTGTGAAATCTCATCCTACTTTGCTTAAAAGTCAGACATGTGGTTCAGCGTGGATCTTTGCAGTGGAGTCCTAACCTGCTGAAAACTCCTCACAGGAGCTTTAATGAGGTGAAATACCTGTGTCTGGATCTGAGAGTAAAAAGAAAACACCAAGACATCCTCGACCAGACTGCTGTGTAGTGCTGTCTTCAGATCCCCTGGCTCCCTGCCAGAGTTATTTATCCTGGTCCAGGGTCCTTCATCATGTGGCGTTCGGAGGCGTACTCTCAGCTGCCTGTCCCATTAAAGACCACCATGCGGTCATTAGTCTGCAGGATGTGCTAAATTCTTTTCTCAAGCGGAGTGTGCTTGGCAAGAAGAGCCTTGTCCTGATGTGTGTGTGTGCATGTGACTGTGAGGGATTAACCACACGGTTATAACTGGGATTGACTTCCATCTGTCGTGCTTGTGAAAGCAGCCGTGCAAACACTATCACACCTTCTTTCCTAACGTACACACACACGTGCACAAACACCCGCAGACATCACACTCCAGTGTCCTCTAGGGGTAACAGTAATTACCTGACTTAAAGTACCTGCCGAGTGACTGGATTATTAATAAACCATTAACCTTTACCGGGACTCAGCTGTGTGTGTGTGTGTGATGGTAGTTTCAGGGTGAAGAAGTTGCCACCTTGTTCTGTCTTGAGAGGAGAGTCAGATCCTCTGTTGAATATGATGGAAACGTGTTGCATTCACTTACAAAGTAAAAAAAAGGGAAACTGAGTAATTTTTTTCCTCTTTCTGTTTTTCTGACAAATTTTGATTTTGTTTTTCATGCTATTTTTTCGTCTTTCTGTTATTCAGACTATTTTTTCATCTGTTTTTTATACTAATTTTTTTCCCCCTCTTTCTGTTTTTTAGGCTGATTTTTTTCTTCTTTCAGTTTTTTTGACAATTTTTTCTTTTGTTTTTCATGCTATTTTTTGTCTGTTATTCTGACAATTTTTTTTCTTTTTTCATACAATTTTTTTTTCCGTCTTCCTGTTTTTCAGACAAAATTTTATTGTTTTTTTGTGCTTTTTTCCGTTTTTTTTTTTTTTGTCTTTCTGTTTTTTGGACTATTTTTTTTCTCTAACTGAGCAAAATACCTCCAAATTCAGTGAGAATCTCATACAGTCAGATAACATTAACCACCGTGGCTGGTCCAAATCCGTGGATTCTCCAGCCCCTAGATAACTTCAACTACAGGGTCAATGAGAGTAAAGCATGTTATCAGTTAAACAGAGAGTATGCAAATCCTGAGGTGACTGCGCAAAGTAGACAAACTTGTGACAATTTCATCTTTCTGATTTAAAGAAAGGAGTACCTCCCAGTGTCTCAAACCCAAAAGAAAGTAAAACTTGATTAAACTAAATAAGTGGGCCGTGTTTGCTTTCAATAAATCGAGCAGAGGGGGCTGAAAGCGCCTGTTTTTAAATGATCATGATCCCAGAGAAAAGGAAAAACAATTAGTCTGAAAAACAAAACAAAAAAAGTCTGAAAAACAGAAAAGAAAAATAAAATTACTCTGAAAAACAGAAAAAATTAGTCAGAGGAACAGAACAAAAAAGATTACTCTGAAAGCCCCTTTTTTTGTTGAATGCAATACACTTTCGTAGAATATGAAGCTAAAAGCTGGAAAACTGGATACATTCTCTCTCTGCATGTATGTGTGTGTGTACTGTCTGTGAATGTGCACATCAAAATGTGTCTGCTTTGTGTGTATGTGTGTGTGTGTATGTGTGTGAATCTTTGTCTCCAGGTACGGTCATTTCTCAGGTATCAACAGGAAAGTCCAGCTGACGTACCTGCGCAACGGCCAACCCAAGGCATCGAGTGAAGAAGAGGGTAATAACAGGAACACAGATGTACACACAATAAACACAGAGTACATGTTTATACACACTTGATTACAAAATACAGGATGATTTCTAATGAGTGTTTGTCAAAGACCTGGAGTCTTTCATCGCTCTTTAAATGGATGTTTTAGTCGAATAAACTGCTCCTGGTTTGAAGCTTCAGTTTTGAGTTTTTCAGCAAGTTTCATCAGTTTTACTTTCTTTGTTACTCAACTTCTTCTTTTCTAAGTGTTCAAGGATACACCCAGCAACATCTGAACGTAGGAGCAGTTTAGCAAAAGCATTAAAAGTGAAGCTGAACACATCTTTTATAGAGAACCTACAACCGAAATATCTTCAAAATGATAAGTTATATTTAAAAAAGTTACTCTGCATATGCTCCTTAAGAAAATAGATCCATCCAGATCTGGTTTGGGGTGAAAAGGCTTGTACATGCTGCATATCACTGCATTTATTAGAGCATTCATTTTGCACTAAAGCCAGTCTCAGGGCTGGAGATTTTTCTACATGTTGGATACTAGAGATTCACTGAGGAGAAAAAGATTACTTACTAGTTACTAACAAAAAGGCATTGGGTGAAAATGAGCAACATTTAGACATTTTTTTATTCACACTCTGCACGTAAATTGACAAAAAATGTATATTTATGGGGCTCAAAGACAAAATTCCTTGAAGTTTTGAAGTTTATTTGATTTTTTTTGTGTCTGTTTTTAGACTCCAAGAAGGACGGTCCGTCTCTGCTGCTGGTGTTGAAGTGGGGTGGGGAGCTTACACCTGCAGGCCGGGTTCAGGCTGAGGAGCTGGGCAGGGCCTTTCGCTGCATGTATCCTGGAGGTCAAGGTAACACACACACTCACACACACATCGTTTGTTCTCTGGTTTCCTTCTATATAATTCAAGTTTTCTTTGTCTCTCTTGTTTTTGAAGGGAAAGTTGCACAAAAAACACTCAAATCTATGAAATGTTGCGTAACTTATGGTATAAAAGTGATATTCACATAAAAATCTTGGTATTTCCTTGAGTGAAATTTGTTTAAAAACATCCCACTAATACTCTCCAGGTTTACTCAAAAATAAAATACAATATAAGTACCATATTTGTTATTTTTTCCTGTGAGAAATCCACCTTATAAACATCAGATTTAAATTTTTGAAGTCGTGTATCTCGTCTCTATGATTGCTGTGTGCCGTGCCAACAGTGTGCAAACTCTGAATGCCCACGTGAGGAGTTATAAATAACAAACATTCACATGTACAGTACATGTACAGTATGCATACTGTAACTGGATTAAAAGTCTTTGAATTCCATGTGAACACACACACCTACACTTACAACACAAACTCACACTCAAACTCACAAAGGCACAACATCACTGGAGGAGAGTTTTATTAAATGTAGTCTGCAGGGATAATAGTGACAGCTCATTTTGTCCTCCCATGTTTGCTTTGGCTCATTGAAGTTTATTTCCAGCCCCCCTCTGTAGTCACTCGGAGCACTGCAGTATGCAGTGTCAACATTGCATAGCTGACATACGTCGTGTCAACGGGGGGTCGAAGGTGGAGGTTATTTTAGAGTTGACAAGCCAGACTTTCAGGCTTCTGCAGCTGCTGGATCCGCGTTTTTGACCGCTCTGTATTTGCTTTCAGGGATGAATGAGCTGGTCTGAAAACACCTCTATAGGCTGATGATCAAAAACAGTTAATTCTTTATGAATAGAACTCACTTTTTTCACCATAACTCATGTTTTATGCCTCAATTAGGATATTTAGCTGTCTCTGATAGATGGTTTACAGCAGATAAAAACTGCCAGCATCATAAATCTTTTATCTGAGTCATGGAGGATGTGCAAGTACTCAAATCAACATTATGACATTACAGCCTCTAACAAACCACGTGTAAAGCAGAGTCTATAACCCGTACTTTTGTCACAGTGGTTTTATTTTGATTAACGTGACAAATTAATGATGTCCTGTCCACGGAGCTTGTATTTCACTTTCACCAGAATCCACAGTAGCCTTAATATTCTGTTCTAGATGCTGCAGTTTGAAGTAAAATTGGGATAAACACTGGAAACAAGTGCTATAACAGGTTACAGTTTTAACTCTCCTCTTCAAGCACTCGCTACCGCTCTAAATCATCAACATAGGGCTGGGCGATATGGCCACAAATCAATATCAAGATATATTGAGCAATTCACCTGGATAACAATAAATTGACGATACCAAATACACCGATATGGGCAAAATGATGTTGGTTATTGCCGTAAATTTTGGTATCGATAAATTTTCGGTTTATCGCCCAACCCTAACACTGCACATAATGTAGCACACGGCAGCAAAGAGACACATCTTTCTTACCCACAAACACTGGAAGTGTAAGTTAGCTTCTTTGAACAAAACCACTTTATTCAGTTCATTTAAAAACTTAATATTGAATATTGAGTTTCCCTTCAAGGATCAATAAAGTTCTTGTTCTTCTTCTTAAAAATAAAAGACCGCCCAGCAGTGAAAGCACGAGTGTGCTAAAGCAGTGATTTTGTGTTTTTATCTCAATAGAAGCTGCCTCAGTATAAATAAAGGACTGTGATTGGTCGAGTAAATCTGATACTGAGAGTAATGGGTGGTCCCAGGGTTGGCTGATGGGTCTGAAACCATGCGCCAGTTATGACCAGATTTGAGGACAGCTGATCACACCCAGCCTTAATACTATTATTCTCTCAAGTTCAGAGGTCATAAACGGTGCAGTTTCTTTTCTCCATGAGCAGAGTCACTCTTGTTTCTTTCACTCCTGGGTCACCCTTCAAACCCACCTGTTAGACTTTCCCTCTTGATGCTTTGTTTCAGAGCGCATGTCAAACCACTCCCACACTGCACAGGGAAGCCGAACAGAAAGCAGAAACACTGTCTGTCGTCCTTTTTGTTGCTTCTTTTTCCGATGAAAACAAGGCCCTCTGCTCATCCCAGCCACTGTTTTCATACTTTTTTTTCCTCCACAAGTGTCTGTTGTCTATTAACTCTGCTCTTCTCTTCTTACCTGTTGTTGCACTGTGTAAACTACTAGCCGGTAACCGCCGGTCCCTTGGCTGTGAGTCCCCTATTGACTTTGGTAAGAGAAGGGTTTCCTGGGCATCTCCGCTCTTCCGCTTCTGTCTCATCCTGCGCATTTCTCACTGCGCCCACTAACGTGCTTCGATCTCTCCTCTCATCTCATTATGATTTTTGTTTCATTCCACTTGGCGAAAAAAAAAAAAAAGTCCGGTTTGTCCTACATTGAGATTGCTGTGGACTGTTTGTGTCGTCAATGATGTGTTCCCCGAGGTGATCCACCGTGGCAAATGTTGTTTTGGTCACTTGTTCGCTCATACAAAGGAGGCAAAAATTGACAGTTTGTCTTTGTATGCTCGCGCGGATCATCTCACACTAATCCTACTGCATTTTTTTGCCCATGAGGCCTTGGGATGTTGTTGTTTGTTTGATGAAAAGCCAGGTCCCCAACATGTCCCAGATCTTTTTCTGTCAAACGAGGTATGATAACGTGGGGAAGCTCGTGGTGTAATACCCAGCTGTTTGGCTGTACACTAAAAAAAAAATGCATGAAGCATCAGTGTGATTTGGTCTGTAGCGTTGGTATGCATCCACCTCCTACAGAACATGAATATCAGTTCATTCAGCATGTTATATGATCAAGTTATTAATACAGTGTCTGTCGATCTCTCTCCAGGGGAGCTGTCTGCTGTAATTTGGGGGTTTTGCTCGACGCCTATTTGCTTCACTTTCACTTCATGTTGAAAACAGTAGTATTCAAGTTGAATTGAAATGATTGATGCTAAAAACATACTCGAAAACCTGATGAGGAAAATGCATTTGAACTGAAAGTGATGTCGCACCAGCAAAGGTGCAGAATCAGACGTGTGACTTTGAATAAAATGCTTGGTACTTTTGGGTACAATCAAGACAACGTTTAATGTTTTTCTCTTTTCTTTAAACTGCCTCCTGACTCAACAGTCTTCATTAAGAGATCATTTAACAGTACCAGCTCGAACCGGGTAACCACGGTGTCCCACTTTGTGTGTGATCTTCCAGGTGATTATGCTGGATTTCCAGGATGCGGCCTCCTGCGATTGCACAGCACCTACCGCCACGACCTGAAGATCTACGCTTCAGACGAAGGCAGGGTCCAGATGACGGCAGCTGCGTTTGCAAAGGTAACTCACAATCGTATAAACTTAAAACCAGTGTACAACTGTGAAAGGCAGATTATATCTTTGACTTTGAGCCTGGCTGTATGGTGGCCCTGAGGTGCAAAACATAACAGCAAATTAGAAAACATACAGAGATTAACCACTGTATTTTCTCTTTTTGTAGTTGTGTTTTCTGATTTTCTGTTGTGTTTCGCACCTAAGGGCCACCGTATGGTTGTGCCTGTGCAGTAATTCAACTTACAACAGTAAAAATAAGCGATATTGTTGTCACTGAATTTGTTGTATCATCACATTTTTCTGGTGGTTTTTAATTTAATTAATTTAATCTTTGGGGGAAAAAAAATGTTAGGGCCACCGTAAACTCCATATTCCTGACAAAAAGACAAAGTTTATAGTTATTAGAGAAAACTCTGCCAAGGGGAACATTTTACTGACATGTGACATTTTTCTACTGTTATGGCTGTCTTTGATTCCTTTAATAACACAACCTGATGTGATGCAAAAAATCAGCCTTTGCTTCTGATTTATCTCCTTTATTTTTCAGTCTGGTTCATATTTCTTTAATCACTAATTTTGCTCATTTCCTCTTTATGTTGAACAGAGACAAAATTTACAGTGACAACACTGCTGCTTCTATATTGTGAGTTTTAACGACTGTAACTGCAGCCATGAGGCGGTGGCCAAACTAGCAGCTTTTTTCCAAGGTTTTATGCAGAAAAGATTATCAACAAGTGATGCACCTGGTTTCTAAAAGATGGTAGGAAGAGTTTTTTGGGCAGAGAGATGCGGTGTACGGCCTTGTTCAGAGAGGGCGCTAAAATCAATACAAACCGAAAGGTCTTAACTGAAGCTTTACATACACTAAAGCCAAATAGAGAAGAACGTCTTCTTTCTTTCTTCTTTCCTTGAAAAAATTGATCTTCCAAAAGTTTTTAATTTCCTTTCAGCAGATTTACAAACAAAACAAGGTTTCAGCTCCATTCAGAGGAAATTAAAAGTTTATTTAAGAAGTTATGAGAAACTAAGAAATTCCTGCAAAACTTTAAAGATCCAAATCCACGACTAGAAAAGTGAATTTGTGCTCATTGATTACTTTTAGAAAACCTTGTAGAGTTTGATGGTCGTTGAAACAGATCAGTGTTACCCTGATTTACTTCTCCTCAGAGCTCAGATCTGGTAATGCTAGACTTCATTTTCACCTCTGTTTTTCCTGGTTTCTCTGCAGGGTCTGCTGGCTCTAGAAGGAGAATTGACACCGATCCTGGTCCAGATGGTGAAGAGCGCCAACATGAACGGACTGCTGGACAGCGACAGCGACTCTCTGACTGACTGCCAGCAGAAAGTGAAGGCCAGGCTGCATGAAATCATGCAGAAGGACCAGGAGTTTACCGAGGACGACTATCAGAAGGTGTGTGGTGGACCTGAGGGTGAAACTTCAGCATCTTGTGCAATATCTTGTTTGCCTGCAAGTTTCCACATGTCATGTTTAATCAGTTGGAGGTCCTCATACTTGAAATAATTCAACTTCTCTTAAGAGTTGTGAAAATATTGATATGTAAGTCACTTTTTTGTTATGAAATACTCTCTGTGCAGTGTTTGTTTTGGAACACAGAGTGATATTCAGGCTGAACTCAGTGAAATAATAAACCAAACAACGTGTCAGAAGCTGTAAATGTTACATAAATTCCTCCACACCTTTCATTTCAGCTTTGTTTTTCTTCTGGTTTCCATCAAAGCTTTTCTGACCATTTAAGGACATCCTCCCTGTTTTTAGGTTTAAAGTTTCTGCTGCCCGTCCACAGTGATGACAATGCTTTAGTTCTCAACTCCCTCCTGAAAATATTCTTTGACATGATTTTCATTTACAGCATATTTTCTTCTCCGTCTGTCTCTATTGTGCCACAGTTGACGCCCACTGGCAGCCCATCCCTGGTGAACTCAATGAAAGTCATCCAGAATCCAGTCGCAACCTGTGACAAGGTCTACGCCCTCATCCAGAGTCTCAACTCACAGATCCGCAAGAGGCTGGAGGACCCGAAGTCTGCAGGTAGTTTAAAGCTGTTCAGAGGTGTAGCTGACCTCATAAGAATATCATGAGAAAGGTCAAATTTAGATTGTATTAGAGAAGTGAACTTTGATAATTTTTAGAGTTATTGCATGTAAAATAAAACATTTTCAGCCATTTATATTTAAATTTTGATGATTTTGGATTATAACTTCTGAAAATGATTATCAATTGATTCAAATTTTTTGAAGATTTCATCTGATCACTCAAAATATAATAATAAAATACAGACTTTTAGAAAGTAAGCTCAATTTTACACTCAATAGTTGTCAGGAATCACTTTCCTGTGTAGCTGATGGAGCCTTTTTGTGATGCTCTGAGATAGGGCTGGGCGATAAACTGAAAATTTACAGATACCAAAATTTTCGACAGTAACCAACGTCATTTTGCCCATATCGGTATGTTTGGTGTCAAAAAATAAATAAAAGTTAGTTTTGGATGTGTGTAGGTAGGCTATGGTCTCATGTCCCTTTTAAGAGATGTGACTCCACCCCTTCCAGTCCATATCAAAGATGGAAAAACAGGTGAGGAGATGGAGGACAGTTCAAAAGTTGTAGCGGCTGAAGTAGACAAAGTTAATGTGGGAGGGGCTGAGCAGCTTGTGGAGTAGTTATCGTCCATTTATCGTAATCGACGTGAAAATACTCTGCTGCATTAAAAAAAGCAGAAAAGGTTCAAATATTTGTGTTTGCACAGTGAAATCTCTGTTATTGCTTTAAAGACATGCATCAATATTTAATGCTAAAGGTGACTGTTTTTTTCTTTAGACCTACAGCTCTACCACAGCGAGACGTTGGAGCTGATGCTGCAGCGCTGGTCCAAACTGGAGAGGGATTTCCGCATGAAGAACGGCCGCTACGACATCAGCAAGATCCCGGACATCTACGACTGTATCAAATACGACTCGCAGCACAACGCCTCACTCGGACTGGAGGACACACTGGAGCTGTTCAGGCTGTCCCGCGCCCTGGCTGACATCGTCATCCCACAGGTCAGATGAAAACACTGTGATGAAGTTTTGAAGGTGGTGTCTTTGTTTTCATTATCGCAGAGGAAAGAATATTGAATCTCACAGATTTAAAAGAGGACTATCTTTTATTGTGCCTAATAATTGAATGAACTGAAGATTTGTCTGTCTGAAAGGAGAACTAAGAAGCGCTTAAATCATCTGCGGGAACCGAGGATGTTGAGAGAATTCTTCCAGAAAGCTATTTGCAGTAACTTTTAAACATTGATTGCATTACTTTGTGGTCACGAAACCAGCTTCTTTTCCTCAGAGCATAAAATCAAACTTTACTGATCTCCTTTGTGAAATGTAAGTTGTAATACAAGGTGTGTGACTCAGCAGTGGGAATCAAAATGGACTTTGCAAATGTCTAAAAACTAGAAAAAAAGTGAAAGTATCAGAGGAAGAGCGGTGTTAAAGTGAGAGATGATGATGGTGATGATGATGATGTGTCCAGCATGTTTTATTCATGAGATAAGGCCCCCGTCCTGTCATGACCAGATCAAAGTAAGAGGATGAAAGCTCCAATAACCTGCCGTTCCTTTCATTTTCTCCACGTCAGGAGTATGGCATCACCAAAGCGGAGAAACTCGACATCGCTCAGGCTTACTGCGTCCCCCTGATGAAGAAAATCCAGCTGGACCTGCAGAGGACCCACGAGGACGAGGCCGTCAACAAGCTGCACCCCCTGTGAGAAAACACAGCCCACCGCTGAAGTGCACACAAACATGTTTACATGTATATACAGGCCGTGCTCAGACAGTGTCAACAGTGCGTGTCTGTGTGTGTTTACAGCGTGTTGCTGTCTGTTTGATAAGCTCTGTGTCATTTCCTGTCTCCCGGTGTTCAGGTATTCTCGTGGCGTGATGTCTCCAGGCCGTCACGTCCGCACACGTCTCTACTTCACCAGCGAGAGCCATGTCCACTCGCTGCTCAGTGTTTTCCGCTACGGAGGCCTGCTGGATGTACGCTCACGTTTTCAGTCTCTCAGTCTTGTTTGCATTTAACACCAGCTTTAGTTTACAAAGATTTATCTGCAGAGCATGAAAGGAAGTGTGTAGGTCATTAACTGCACATTATAGAGAAAATAAAAAAGTGTACAAAATTGTGTCATCAGAAAAAAACTGAAGGTTTGCATGTGTGACAGTATTGCATAATATAGTAATATGAAAGAGGACCCAAAATAGGTCCCTGTGGGACACCACTTTGTGTCATTAACGTCACATTATAGAGAAAATGAGAAAGTGTACAAAATTGTGTCATCATCAAAAAAGAGGGTTTGCATGTGTGACATTATTACATAAATTATTAACTCATTCAGTGCAATTGACGGATTTTTCCGTTTTTTTTGTTTTCCACCAGAGGGCGCTCCTCCCCAACACGTGACAAAATTTGGGGTCGTTCTGAATGCAGAAAAGCCAACAAATATGTCATAACCATGTTAGAGTAACAAAAACAAGTACTCGCCGGTGAGAAATGTGCCAGTTAGCCGAGTTGTGGAGTGTTTTTTATTTATGAGGAGAGTAGGAAAATGCCGAAGTCATTAGCCAAGAGCAAACAGTCTTGGTGCATCGGCTCCCTTGGGCGCGGTGCTACCGTCTCTGGGTCCAGTGGAGACTTCGTCACATCGTCAGACGACAATCAAAGAAACAATTTTCCGGTGTGTCGTTGTGCTGTCGGTGCCTGTACTGGTGTGCGAGACTGAGACAGAATTCAGAGACAGTCCCGGCGGAGAGGACGCTGTTTACTTCGTGTGGTTTACATCGCGGCGTCAAATTGACCTATCACAATTGGATCTCCAGAGTGATGAGGAGTGGTGTCTGAGGAGGGAGGACCTTGATGCCACTGGTAAAGTAGTTTGAAGTGAAATGAAATAGACGGAGTGGGTTAGAGACCAACTTTTTTTCCTGATGAAAGAAGAGAATCACTCCTTTCCTTTGAGATAATGCACTTAATTCTAGTCCAAGCACAAGATATTCTGTGGGGCCTGAAAAATAAGGTAGTTTCGATTGCGGTCAATGGTGGCACTGGGTGAGAATTGCATAAATGAACCTGGCACTGAATGAGTTAATATAAATGATAAATAAAAGAGGACCCAAAATAGGCCCCTGTGGGACACCACTTCGAGTTTTTAAAGAACTCCTGTATTCTGTATTTATGTGTTTGCATCAACGTTTGTGTGACTATCAGGAGGAGAAGGACCAACAGTGGAAACAGGCCATGGACTACCTGAGTGCTGTTTCTGAGTTGAACTACATGACACAGATCGTCATCATGCTCTATGAAGACAACAACAAGGTACACATGAAGAGGGTTTCATGATGCCGCCTTGTCGGCTCCACGACTTTATCTTCATGGTTTCTTTTGTACTTTTAGGACCCTTCATCAGAGGAGCGTTTCCACGTGGAGCTTCACTTCAGCCCAGGAGTCAAAGGATGTGAAGATGAGGAGAACGTTCCTCTTGGCTTCGGCTTCCGACCAGCTTCATCTGAGGTGTGTGTGTGTCCCGCATTTTCTCTCTTTTTCTGATTTGACAGTTTTATGAATCTGAACAACTTTTTACTGTTTCAAAAAGAGCAACCCAAATATAAGACTCCCTTTCTTGGATGATTCTCTTAATTGTTATTCATTTGACACGACGTGCACTTGAAGTGAGATGAATCAGTCAGATTTCTCTCCTTAAACAGTCTTTTTTTTTCTGCACCAGAGGACGTGTAAAATCGCAGAGCCTTATCTAAAATTAGATAAATGATTTAGGCAATTGTCTCTGTGTTTTCATGGTTATCAGGACTGCCTGTCTGACACTGCTCTACTTTTCAAAAACACTGGCAGTGCGTCGGTGTGTCTAAAAAAGATAAAAGCTCTCCGGGGCTCCAGAGTCGTTAAATCCTTAATTGTGAAATCCTCATATTTACCTGATTTTACCTAAAGTTTGTCAGTGTTGATCCGACACAGTCAGAGATAACAACTCCTTTTATAAAAGCTTTTGTTATTTTCCGTTTGTGTTCAATCCCATTGGACTTTTCTGTAATTAAAAGTGTTTTAACTCAGCATTTTAATAGACATAACTGTAGGATTCACAAGGTAAACTTGTGGAATGTCGTTGAACGTGACCTAGGTGAGAGGTTTTTTATGTTTTTATCCATAAATAATCTTCCTTAGGTTTTTTAGTCCACTTTTGTGCGTGGGAGATAATCATGGTACCTTCTCTTCCTCTCCTCCCCGACCAATCAGAATGAAGACAAAAAGCCCAATCAGGGCAGCCTTGAGGACCTCTGCCAGGACCAGACGGACCAGGCGATTGCTGCCTCTGAGCCCATCAACATCCAGAGGAGGTCCCCCATGATCCGCAACCGCAAGACAGGCTCCATGGAGGTACCGCAGCATAAATCAGGACAGACCCAGACCGGGTTTTTCTTTGTTGTAGTCTCCCTTTATTCTGTAGTGCTGGTTCAGTTTTTTTTTCCTTTTTAATGTGAATTGATTTGAAGTCACTGGAAGCATCAGGTCCCTGGTTTACAGTAGCAGCCGTCTCATATTTAACCCCTGGTCTTCATGGCCCCACTCAGGTCCTCTCTGAGACCTCCCCCACCCAGTCCTCCAAAGGCTCCACCTCCCACCGACTCTTCCCCTCTGTGTCGCGCCAGTCTCCTGAGATCAAACCAGCCATTGGCCTAGGTGGGCACCTCATTCCTGGTGTGTGTGTGTTTCCACTGTATATGTATGTGTGTGTGTGGAGAGAGAGATAACGCCAACAGACACACTGACCTCCCAACACATTTATCTCCAGCTGTCATCACTGATCCTCCTCCTCATCACATGTCCCACCTGTGACTTCTCCCTCCGTCTCCGTCTTCTTTGTTTTTCTTTCCCTTTTTTATTTCCATCATCCTTCCCTTCCTTCTCTTTCTCTCCCTCTGATGGTCACATAACTTCCACCCCCCCCCTCTGAGCTTAGCTTGGCAGCAGCCAAACAGGATCAGACTCCAAACTATGCAGGCAAGAGGTCAGCAGGGAGGGTTGTGTTCGCAGCCGGCTGCAGGATCTCTGGTGTCGCCTTGAGAGTCATACAGATATCTCCAGGAAGGTGTTGAAGTGGCAGCATAGGGTACACACCGTCTCTGCTTTTATCTCTTATTGACGCAGGAGAGTCGTTAAACTTAACTGATGATCGCAGATTTACTTTAGAGTCAATAAGATGCGGAACGTAACCCATGTCGCAGGTGTGTACAGGGATATATGAAAGAGGATTAGGACAACGAGAAGAGGAAAAAATAATTGCAGGAGGGAGATTTTTTTAATCTCCATTTTGAGATTAAAGTTGTAATTTGAAAAAGTGTAAATTTCGACATAATTCATATCAACTTAATGTCGAAATTTCGACGTTGATCTAAAAAATTTAGTTTTTTTAATCTCGAAATTAAGACATTATTTACATTTTGAAATTTTGTAATCTCAAAATTTCTACTTTAATCTCGAAATTTCAATGTTTAATCTCAAAATTTTGACTTTATTGACATAATTTTGATTTTTTTTATCTCAAAATATCAACCTTGATGTCAAAATTTCGTCTTTAATCTCAGAATTTGGACTTTAATCTCCTTCCTGTAATCACTTTTTTTCTCCTCATGCGGCCCTAATACTCTTTCATAGGTATATACTTATCTTTGACCGTATGCACTTTATTCCTGCTTTATTACTCCTTAATTCCAGTTTTAGCGCACAGATCTAAAACACTAACTTCTGAAGGTACAACCAAAGCACGTACAGTTTGGCGTCAGTCAAAATAAACTCATATTACCTGCTTTTGGCCACTCCTAAAAAAAAGTATATTTCACACATTAATACTTTTATATTTTCAACCCAAGTTTACCGTATTTTCCAATTTTTTTGTTGCTCCTCTCTCCACGTCTTAAGTGCGTTACCTCCTGGTCAGTGTTTTATGTATTTATCATGAGGAGGAATGATAATCCTTACACCATCCAGATGAGGACATTTTAGCCGTACATAAAAGAAATTAAAACACTTAAACAGTCGAGATTATGCATCACTGCAGTTGATGCTCGAAATGTAATCCAAGTTTGAGACGTCAGTATTCAAATCCAAAAACCAGAAGCCCTAAAAATCTGGGCTCAAGTCAAACTCAAGTCCTGGACTCAAGTACCTCAACACAGGTCCAACGTTTGCTGTGAACACAGGCACAGCAAGGGTTTAGTTTTATAGAAAAACAGCTTCAGTGTTTGGAGGAGAGAGCAGAGTCTGATGAAGTAAATATTAGTAATCTTTTATTCTGAGCACAATAGAGAAAACTGAGATTAAAACACCACTTTATGAATATTAACCTCTGTAAACAAGCACATAGTCGGCTTAAGCATTAGTACAGATTCACCTTATTATGGCTGAAATAATAGGAAAGTTTGTGCACGCACAGGAAAGAATTAATATTACTATAATCTTCATTTTAGAGTTCATGTATAGTTTAAATTAATCCGCAGGATGACTAATAGCGTTGAGGTAATTACGTAATGATACGGCTTAAAAAGATACGCCTAAAGAATTGTAAAAGATAATCAGCTCCCATAGTGTCAGGAGATTAAAGCGGTTTGATTTAATATATCATTAAAATGAATCACACAGAGTGATTCTCTCTTTATGTTGGACGACTGTGACTTATAGGATGATGCTGGGAGTTATATAGATGTAAGAACGCCTTTTCCATACTTATTAGCAGCTGTGTGGTTCTCTGTATTCACTGCAGTCTAACTGCATCATTAGTTTAAGACCAGAATATGATGAAACTGTCAATGGAAAATGTGCATTGTTGCACTAAAGTAGGTGTAGATGTTTGGGTAGTTCTGTTCAACCCTCTTTCCTGGCACATAAACACTGTTTTAAATGCCTCAAATTAGGGCTGGGCGATAAAACGATAATTATATTTATCAAAAATGAATTTCCCTCTATCAATTTGAAACATGGTCAATATGCTTTTTCGATAGCCAGCATTCTGATTATACGAATAGCCAATGAAAAGGGGAGTTGCTCCAGGTCCGCTTCGCGCTGAACCAATCATGTGCTGAATTAGAACCAAGTAGCAAACAACTGCGTAGTAGCAGGCAGCAGCTACACCCAACCATAGCACTTTAACACGTGAAGCCGACAGCACTGTAGGTGACATCGTCGACAATACTGGCACGAAAACGTCAGTGGTGTGGCGGTAGAGTAATGAACAGAGTAATGTGCACTGCAAATCATGTTGAGTAGATGTTCCCACAAAGTTGGGGAATACCTCAAATCTGTTTCACCACCTGAAGCAGAGCACACGCAATGCAAAAGGTTACAAACCCTGAGCGGAGCAAGTGCGAAGCAGCCCACGGCGCCTGTGCAGCCAAAACAGCTGACCATTCAGTCCGTTAATCTCTCGTGCAACGCCTCATGACCAAATGCCTAAGAGACGCAAAGACGTCACAGATGCAGTAGCTTATTGTATTTCAAAAGACATGCCACTAATAAGCACTGTTAAATTTGATTTTTGATATCATGATATATATTGATATGCACTGATACAAAAAAAATATACCGTGATAAACTTTTTCCCATATCGCCCAGCCCTATATCAAATATAGCACATAGGCTGCATCGAACCTGCCTAAAAGAGCAGTTTTGATACCACAAATAGCTTTATTTTTACTACAGGTAGTTGAAGATGCTTTATAGGGCTTTCGTGAGTTGATGTGTGTACCGATGCGACTTCACCTCCAACAACCCGCTAACACTTTGACACTCACACAGGCATGAGAGCTCGCCGGCTAAATGAAGACGTGTGGAAGAAACCATAAAACTGTTAGTGTGAGAACAGGAGAGGAGTCACGGTGCAGAGGGAAACAGAAATGAACCCCTGAACCTCTCTCTTTAGTGCTTCACTACTTACCGCTCCCATAATAAGTGCAGCTTATTCCTTTGTTTGTATAAGAAAGGACAAAATGAGGTAATTAAACGGGTAAATAAATGCGTGTGTAGGCGTAAGAGCATTTGTTATAAGTCAGTTTTGTTAGTTTTACTGTAAACACAGTCACGTTTGATTTCAGCATTTCTAGCAGACAAACAAGAGCAGGTAAAAGAGCAGAGTGGGCGTCGTGCTGCGTCCCAGTGAATGTGTTAATCAGCCTGTCGCTCAGAGTTTAATTATGTCGAGTCTGAGAGCAGCAGTCGCTTCTATGTTTGTGTAGCATCAAAACGCGGCACGCTAAAGCCTCTGGGTATTCTCTGAGTGGAGCCCGCCACTTTGTTCAGTTATGTATAGTAAGTGTGAGGCCGCTGAGTGATCCCTCCCTGTTCATCGTCAACACCAATAACAGAGGGGCACACGCAGGTCACAGATGAGAGCGGCAGGTGTCGGAGACGACCTCTTCTGTCCTTCGTACTATTTATAGAACAAAGAAATGAAGTGCAAATAATCTCCTTCAGATCTCTAAAATTCCAAATATAATTACTTCCTGTGCTCGGTCTGCAAAGTTTATTCTGATTTAAAGTACTTAGGTAGAGTAAATATCACAGTTGTCTCCTCATTTTCACTCACAGTGTGTTTGTCTCCTTTCTGCTGCTTTTTTGCACATAAAACACACACAAACACACACACACACTGGTGCACACACAATGTAACATGTCTAACAGATGTAATGGCTGTTGTGAAAACCCTGTCGCCTGCATGTTTTTATTTACAGAACCAAACTGCTGCTTTTTAAGCAGCGATTAGGAGATCATTATTACAGGCTGTTGTTTTTCACAGCGTAACTGATAAACAGCAGAATTTTACTGGTTTTAAAGAGCTGGGACGCTGTGTCAAATTTGGATGAATTTGTTGGGTTCTGGATGTTTAATGAAAAGTCGTGCAGAGACAGCATATCGAATGTTTGAGCTGATAATTTGCAGTTGAGAGTTAAAAAAAAAAAAGATGATTTTTATGACTTTGAGACCGTTTAAGAGGACGAACACGGTCTTTTAGAAATCATGAATCCTCCACTCTAAAGAGGACAGGGACTGTCTGGTTTGTTTTCAGTGCACAGTTCAAAAGACAGCATCCATGATGGTAAGGTATGGGTACATTACACATTCAGAGAGGCAGTGTTTTTATTTATTTTTTCCCTTTTAAGGAGAAAAAAAATACAAAAATAACCCCACGAATACAGATCATACAGGTGCAAAACAAAACCATCACAGTAAAGCTCATCTTCAGTAAGGTAAACAGATAAACATACAGACATAACAGGGCAGTAACTCAACTCAACTTTATTTATATAGCACTTTACACACAACAGAGTTGATCCAAAGTGCTTTACAACAACACAGAGGAAAAAAAACAAAACAAAAGACGAGAACAAACAGACGATGAAGAAGAAGAGCAGACTGAGTGACAGAAATAATAATGATGATAGCAATAAAAATATTGTTTTTTCATACCATCACTATCATCATTCATAATAGTAATAATAAATAACAATAATAATAAAAATGAAAATGACAACACAGATCTACCGACCTACATGGGAAACAGTTGAGATATAAGAGTTAGGGACAGTTAAAAGCTAGGGAGTAAAAGTGTTTTTTAAGATGAGTCATAAAAATCTCAATGGTGGGGGAGAATCTGATGGTGGGAGGAAGAGAATTCCACAGTTTTCCACAGTCACATGCAGTATTTACACGGTCCAAAACATAAATCCTCCTAAAGAATTTCCAGTAGTCCAGAAGTCAACTGAAGTTATCCTGGAAGGTAAAATACTTCACTAAAAATAATAGCAGAAAAATAGAAAGAGAAAAAACAACAGATGTATAATAAATACATAGAAATATTAGTTTGTTGATGGTTTACATACAAGGGGAACATGTTTCCAAAGCTTTCCTTCCCTCTAAGAACATCATGAAAGAATTCCACATACTGTCAAAAATGAAATATTTACCGTTTAATGTAAAAGTACGTTTTTTCCAGTGCAAGAGAATCTGACAGTTCTGCAAGTCAGACGCTTAGACTTAGTTTAGTCGTGGATTTCCAAGATTTGGATACTGTATATTTAGCTTGTAACATGCAAAAAGTGATCATGCATTTGTTTGCTTTGCTAAGTTTATAATTTACGAGGAAATAGAGAGGCGTTGTTGATGTCAGACAATATGTGCAGATTTGGAGCAACAAATTCTTCCATCCTGAAGACTCCTTTTTTCAGGAACGACCTTCATATTCCAGCAAGTTTACGCCAAACCACCTTATCGTGGCTCTGTAGTAGAAGAGTCCTGGTGCTAAACTAGCCCATTGTAGTTCCAACTTGACTCCCATTAAAAGAATGAAATGAGTTCAAACATTAGATATGCTGTCTTTTCTCTATTTTCTATAATTTACAAACTTAGCGACAAGTGACACAGTGTACCTCGCCTCTTATCGTTTGTGGTGCCGCTAACGTCGCTCCAGGGTTTTCACACAGGTGTACATTTCTTTTAAATGTACACACACTCATGCCAGGATCTGTTTGTGATGAATCATGGCATGGTGTGTATGAAAAGCTAACCCTCACCCTGCACACCCCCTTCCCCTCCCGGCTCCCCCTCCTCCTCCTCACACAGGCTCGCTCTGCTCTGGGCTCTTCAGTGCCTCCGCCCTCGGGGTGTCCTGTAGCGCCCCCAACCTGCGGGATTACGTCCGCACGCACCACCACCACTACCGAAAACCACCTCTGTCCCCCGGCAGTCTGCCGTGCCAGATTGGCATGTTTGGTATGTTCACACACGAGGGGGGCTTTTTTTCCGGCTTTTCCACCTTTGAGGACGTCCCTCTGGCGTTTAGAAGAATCCTCCTTTTCCGTCTTCTTCTTCTCGCTCCTCTGAGCTCTTAATACTTTGATTTTGGGACGTTTCATATTTGTTAACGATCAAAGCTACCTTCTTTTTTTGATGTTTGGATCCCCAAACCGGAGCAGGAATTTCAATCTGTTGCGTCACACTTCTTGAGTGATTTGTGATTTCGCAGTGTGCATGAGAAGGTCTCTAATTTGACTGCAGAGTGAATAAATATGCAGCTAACGGTCAGCATGCGTTCGATTTTGAGTCATCCTGCAGGTTTTGGTAATCAATGATAACACCACCTTCTGCCTGGGTTTTTTAACATGTTGAAATGCTCTCTCTCTCTCTCTCTCTCTCTGTGCATGTTGTTTTTTGGTTCTAGCCACATCCTCTCTCTGGGAATTTAATTTTATAATCCACGGCAAAGTCGTTTTTGTGTGTGGTAGCCAGAAGCATGGCTTTCTTCATTAATCACTCTTTATGGTAATCCTTACATTAAGAAACTCAGCCGGTTATTTGGAACAGATATACTTTCAAGACTCAATAATCCACCTTTAAATAATCCCCACTCTCATTCCTCCTCCACACTTTCTCCCTCAGCTTCATGCTCTAATGGTGAGTACAAACAAGCTGTTTCTGCAGCCAGCAGAGGTCCTTCCAGCAGGTGAAATTCTCCCCAAACATCTGGATGGGATATCTTTTCAAAGCCTCTCTAATCACGAGTTTTAATGCTTTCCAAAGATGACTGTGACACACCCTCAGGTGAAGTCAGTCTCTCTAGAAAATTCCTCTCGGCTCTTCAAAGCTGCAGGGATTTCTCTCCCTCCTCTCTGCGGGTTTCAAACACATGTAGCTGAGCTGTTCGGTTTATCCACCGGGTGTCACTCTGAGTGTGAGTTTACACTCCGCCAGCAGCTTCCAGATGCTTCCTCTCTCAGTCGTGTTTTAGTCTCTGAGAGGCAGGTGAAGGTTTGGGCTGACGTCAGTGCTGTTCGTTTTAGGGGAGAGAAGGCAACATCAGGATAAACACCTCGGCTAATTCACTGTGAGAGCGAAAAAGAGTTTACCTGATGAGCGAGTGAATTCAGTCCTGCAGTGTCGGTGATGATTGTACCAAAGTGCTCAGTAATACTCCTCCTTCATACCAGCTACCTTATTTATGTTTCGACTTATTAATATGAGGAGCAGGCGGTGGGAATCTTCCTCGTCAGAGTTGACCATGTTTCCCCCAAACTCCAGAAATTCATGACCCCCTAACTGGTCAATCCATAATTATTAGACATTTGATCTAGGGCTGCACGATTCATCAATTTTAAATCATAATCGGATTATTTAATCAAGATGATGTAAAAAAAAAAGGAAAATAGCGAAATCAATTTCCTCTCAACCACTTACTGGCTTGGCATATGCTCTACATCTTCTTCAGTGGTTTCGTTTTGAGAGATGATAGAAAAAGTTTTTATTTGTAAAGTGAAGTTTGGTGAAGTTGTCACTAAATAAAGAATCAAAATCAAAAATCGAGTCTTCAAAGAAAAAAAATCAGAGTTTATTTTTGGCCAAAATCATGCAGCCCTGATTTGAACATCATAACGGCGGCCAAACAACCACAGCGTTATCCTTAAATTATTTTTAAAAAGGTCGAGAGAAAAGTATTAGTCATCTTGTGTTCAGACTGCAGCAGTGACTCTTGTCACTGAACAATCATGATTTATCAGCAGGATTTCTTGAATTTCAAACCCTTCCTTTGTTTCTGTTTTTATTGAAGTGGATCAAATGTGCAGTTTTAGATGATTACACATTTTTTCGGAGGTCGTTCTCTCGCTCTATCTCAGGGGTTCTGGCCCCACCTTGAGAACCACTTCTTTTGTTTCAACCCTAAATTGATTTATTTTAAATTATTTCATAATCAATATTTTCATATAGAACACATACGTTTCCACAGAACATTAACACTCTAAGGAACATTTTAAAGTCTTTCAATCAACTATTTAGCAGTATTGTTTCCTCTGCAGACGGCTGGTTTTAGTGAGTTAGCTGTACTTCTATTGCATCTGTCAAATAAACACTTTCAGTAATAAACAGACACTATGGTATATAGTTTAATGGTATATAATATAACAAAGAGCCACTTGTTTGTGTTCCCAGTTCAGGCGTAGACCTGTAAAACTGTATGTTCGCCACATTAGGGCCGAGTCAAGCGGGCTCCACCCCCTCCCCCCTTATGTCTTTAAGCTAAGCTAACCAAGCCTCATTTTGACCACACAGTCATTAACATTAGTGCAGAACAACATTGTCTTCTAACTCTCATCGAGAAAACGAGCGAATCTTGAGGAAGACGTCCAAGGACGGGAAGAGGAGAGATGGGATCCAGTGAAAAGCGTCACTCCTCCAGCATGTTTTCTGTCCATCTTTCACTTCCTCCACTCCTCAACCTTTCCATCCATCCATCCATCCATTTTCTCCGTTTATCTCCTCTTTGTTTATTCAGAGCTGAGCCTCTTTTTCACGCATGCTGGTTGGCAGACTGATGTTGATGACTCGACAGGCCAGCTCTCTCTCTCTCCCTCTTTCTCTCTCTGGTTCTGTTGTTCTCTATTTTTTCCCCCTCTTATTTCAGTCTCACACAAACAGGCAGGCAAACAGGCTGGCAGACAGACACCAGCAGTCCCAGTAACACCAGTTACCTTTCTTATCTCCTCAGAGCTGTTCTCTATGCCGCCAGTAAAGAGATTTTCTGTGTCGTTTGCCAGGCATCCGACTAATGGTATGTCTGCTTTTATTCAAGTTTGTTTCGACACTCCTCCAGTTTTTCCTGTTATCATGCATGACCTTTTGTTGGGAAAACACTTCCTGTGTTTTATGTCCTTGGGGGTTTGCGGTTTGACTGCGTTAATTACATTAAACGTCTCGACTGAAATAGAAAAATGTGGAGAGTTTCTGTTTCACCACACACCCTTGGTGTTCAGTGTCCCTTGTGTTGTTTTCAGCCTCCACCTCTAACACCACCCGCTCTGCTTGTTTAATTCACCTCCCTTATCCTGCTGATCTTTACAGATTGGATTAATTTATGGTCTGTGTCTTTATCTAATATTGATTATTGTAATCGGAGATCACAGTGGGAAGATAATCAGTCCTGTGCACATCATAACACGTCCTCACCAAAAATGGTTTGTTGATTTATTTTTCTTTTTTTAAAACAACAACAAATGTACTACTGAAGCAGCGTTGTCATGATGACAGCCAGCATCACTGACGGGTGCACCTGTAACCACACCCACACAGTGATGCCAGGGTGTGGCGTTAAACTAACAGAGGTCCCTCAGGTGAGATCTCCAGGTGTGTTAGTTTACCCTTCGACCTGCATGTGAGCCGCTCTCCAGCACGAAGGAGGAGCTCCTCACAAAATCAGACGGAGAGATGTTCTGAGATGAACATCAGGCGGTTTTGTGAACCTTTCCTCACTTAGATGCTGGATTGTAGCTTTGCAAACACACCAAACAACAACAACACAAAACAAGAGAATCATGTGTTCGATTTAATCAGTCAATCAATTCAGATCATGAAAATTCTTCATTATTGATTTCTGTCCCAAATTTTTATGGACTGATTTTCCTAATCATCCAGTTCTTTGCTGGAAATATTTAGATGTACTCAAATACGTAGGCTTTGCATTGTCTTCTAGGGCTGGGCGATAAACCAAAAATTTACCGGTACCGAAATTTAAGATAATAACCGATGTCATTTTTCCCATGTCAGTATATTCTGTGTTAAAAACATAAATAAATAAAAGTTGGTTTTGGATGTGTGTAGGTAGGCTATGGTCTCATGTCTCTTTTAAGACGCTTAAGACATCAGAGACGTGACTCCACCCCATCCAGTCCGTAACAAAGAGGGAAAGACAGGTGAGGAGATGGAGGACAGTTCAAAAGTTGTAGCGGCTGAAGTAGACGAAGTTAATGTGGGAGGGGGTGAGCAGCTTGTGGAGTAGTTATCGTCCATTTATCGTTATCGAGGTGAACTGCTCAATATATCGTGATATTAATTTAAGGCCATATCGCCCAGCCCTAACATCTTCTAAATTCTTCTCATCTACTCAGCGCTGCTTTTCAAGAAAATCTCATTCTTGTAATGACTGATGCAGTTGGTTGGTCTGATTATTCATTTCAAAAAGTTTCTGGATCCAAGAAAAAATGTCTTCTCAGATTTGAAGGACATTAAAGCTGCTGCTACGACCTTTTGGCTTGTGTTGATTGGTGTCTGTTTGACTCTAAACCAGAAAAAAGATCCTCATAGTGCCTCTAATATCTCTGTGGAGTGAAAGTTGGATCAACCAAAACAGTTTAAGGCCTCATGTTTGACTCAGACATGATAATTACCTTTTTTTTTTTTTTTTTAATAATCAGCTGTGAAAACTTATTTTTCTGTTGCTGCCTTCTAATGCAGAAACCCTCTTTAATCTTTTTTCTCACATTTCTCGTGAGAGGAAGTGTTTGCTTCACTCAACAGCAAAGGTGATTCAAACAGAAACAGAGTATGTTTACATGCCGCTAAAAAAGCAACAATGATTTGTCGTGATATTTATCTCAAAATATATGCAAACACGTTAGTCTGATTAAAACCGCACTTAACCTAATTTGTCATAGTTGGACTTAATTTATCAGGGGATTGACTTCATGCTCTAGTCGAGTCAAGCAGGTGTAGGTACCAGATTTGTTCGGGCTGCCAGATCAGCTCAGGGTCTGGTGCCTATTGATGACATCACGCTATATGATTGGCTGGAAGTTGGTTCGGATGACGTAGAAGATTGTGGTTGGTCCACACGTTACAGAATTTTTGTTTTTATTTGCTGGGTGGGATTTCTGCGCTCGCTTCCTCAGGCTGGTTTTCACACAAATGATATTAGATCAAGTGTTGAAGGTAGACGACCATCTGTTGTTTGTCAGCAACCCCATGTCACTGATACCATCCATCCTGTCTGAATTAGATCATCTCAAGAGAGTGTCTGGCTGAAATCTGAAGTCAGAGGAGAGTGAAGATACATCCCTCTTGGATCGCACTTTGAGGCTGTTACAGTGTGTAAATAGATCATTAATGATGCCACTTGTTAAATGGAGTCTGAGTGACACTGATGGACTAAAGAAGAGGCAAATAAAGGCGACTCCAAAGTGTAGAAGTCCTTAAACGTTTATTTGGATATGACTGGATGATATTAAGTTCTCACTGGCTCAGATATGATCAGCTGGCATGTGTTGGCGGTCTTTTAAGCGCTGTCTGTACACGAGAAATCGCATGTTGTTGAAGCACGGGGATCGTCTGTTTTGTTGATTCAGACAGCGTCAAGATAATCCAGAAATGTGGTGTGAAATATCAGAACATCAGCTCCAAATGGAAACAGTTTTTGCTGCAACGATGTGGCCAAAAAAACAAAGAAAAGAAATCCGTTTGTGCACTTCAGGCAATGTTGGTGTATTAACAAACAAATTAGCAATGAATTCCCACAAGATAGTTTCCACATGGTGGGTGTGGAGCCTCTGGGCATCCTGGAAGAGTTTGAGGTTGGAGAGGAGTTAATCCAGATGGTTGCTGGTCACCTACCTGGTTGAGTCATGGATCGATTCCTAAAACTCAAGAACAAATTAACTTTTAAAGAGTGAGGGGCTCACTGTTTCTGGACCAGGTTTTGGAGAATTGTGTCCTCCATCATTGTTTCCCATGCAGATCCTTGTCCCTTGTGTGTTCGCACTAAACCCTGATGTAATCGATTATTGACGTGTATCGACGACTTCTTTCAAATGACCTCTTGTTATCTGTTGTTTGAACTCTGTCTGCTCTAAAATAGAAAAGAGCGATGGTGACGGTTTTGTTGTTGAGGTTGAGTCACACGGATGTGCTCAGGCCGGAATCTTGGAGTTTAAGAGGTTCTGACCCGTATTGATTCCTGTAAAGATCGACACACTTCAGACGCCGAGTTCTACCGATACAATCAGTGTCTTAAGGTCACCCCACTTTGTGTTCAGCTTCTATCTTCCCTCTTCCTCCTCCTGCAACACCACACTCTCTCCTCCTCTGTTCTCCCTGCTCTGCCTCTCGCCCCTGTAGAGCCCCCAGAGCTGGCCCCGCTGGGGTTCGCCCCTCTGGCTGTTGACGGGATCACAGCCCACCACCTGCGCCACTGTCCCTACCACCTCCGCTTCCTGAAGACCTGGCTGATGTCTGGTCAGGAGCTGCCAGAATCTCTGCACGGTCAGCCTCTGTAGACCCCTCTGGCTCTCCTCCCTCCAGCCCCATCCAGCCTGCGTTGGGGCTTGTGGGACGCTGATACTGCCAGTCGAGCTTTGCTTTGTCTGGTTTTCTGCTTCTGCTGTCTTCTTTTCCTTTAGTCTTCTTGTCACATGTACAGCTCTGCTCCGCTTAATGTCCAAAGGAAAACCTGTTCCTGTTTTCCTTTGTTTTTTTTTGGTGTGACTGTCAGAAAGTGTAACACCGGCTTTGAAGGAAGAAAATGCTCCTTTCCGGCCTGCACACTGAAACACACAGTGAATCTGAGGATTACCTTTAACGTCTTTTAGATTTTGGTTTCACTCAGAGCTGTGTGGTTTACTCTGTGCCTGCCTGTGTCGTTTAAAGGAATGCAGTTTTCTCCCTCACTTATTCTGATTATCGTGTTGATTCTAATAGAAAGTGGGTCTGCAAAGGTTTAATAATGAAGCTGATGGGTATTTGAGCTAGCTGTAGCTTCCTCCATCTGTCATCGTCTTAATTAGCAAAGAAAAACAGACACCGACATTAAAAAGAAATCATAAGCTTTGAGTCAGAAGAATCCAGCTCACCTGGGACTGTTTGTGATTCCCATTACAGTGTCTAACATCAGGAAAGGGAAGTACGGGGGAAAAGGGATAAATAAGACAAGATTATTTGAAGATTTAAATAGTTTATACCACCTCCTGAATCTGAATCTAGAGTTTTAGACTTTTGCCACATTTTCGCCCAATAAACAAACTTTCCTTGTAAACTAAGCTGGGGTGACCATATTCTGAATCCCCAAAAAGAGGACACTACTGTGATGGACAAAACCCGGGACATTTGAAGGATTTTATAAACTCCCCCGGACAAGGCTGGACAAGGTCAGACAGCCCCCCAAAAAAGAAGACATGTCTGGGTAAAAGAGGACGTATGGTCACCTTAACTAAGCTAGCACACATATGCTATATTAGATGTCAAATTTGGTTTAACACAGAAAAGAGAATTTTCAGTGTAAGACCTGAGATCATGAACACTATTTTACATACCGGCAGAACTAGTTCGGCATCAACATCAGTATCCCAATAACACTCTTGGCTTTAACATTTTATGTCGTTTTTTTTTTTTTTTTTGTCGCCGCACGCTTGATTAAGAATAACTCAACGTCGGCATCGCTTCTCTGTCATTTTACTAGTTCAAAAAAGGGCGGGGCTTTAAACCAGCTGTGTCAACAACAATGGTGGAGGAAACTAACCAGGACACAGTTTCATGGCCCAGAGCAGGCTGCAACTTCCTGTGTTTAGAAATAAGGCTAATGCGGAAATTTAATAAAACTGCAGTTCCTCTAGAGTCCACTAGAGGCTGGCTCCTAAAGCAACACAAGCCACATACACACCCATTTAAAAAAGGATCCTCACAGCAAAAATAAACACATTTACAGTCTGGTACAAAAATCTGTTTCAGTCTAACTGATTTCTCTAACTGCACTCACTAAATGGGGATTATTACATGTTTTTATAACTTCTAGTTTTAAAGATTTGAAACTTGCCTCAAGTCCACCTCTTTGCCACTTGGTAGGTTTGCCAAAAGTTAGGTCGAGTAAATGTTTCGGACACAGTAACCACTCTTAACGGGCTTCAAACTCAGAAATCAGTAGGTGGCATCACTGAGATTACACCCATGATTTCTACTGTGTATGGTCTGCTCATGCTACAACATGATTCCACATATTCCTGTGTTCTTCTTGGCAAAATACAAATGAAAATACAAATAAATGAAGCATATGAGCTTTGAGCTTTGAGCTTTGTAACCCAGCAACAGTGAGCACAGGAGAACTGCTCTATGATCGAGGCCAGAGCAAAAAAGCTGCATCTAAAGACAAACGGACCTTATTATCCTTAAAGAGGGTTAATGAAAAGTCCACATGTGCTGGGCAGACATTTGAAGACCAGAACCTCTTCACTGGAGGAGTCGTGCACGCTCCGTCCTGAGCACCGTGCACGGACAGAACGGCCCTGACATTTGTTCAGTAACAAGCTCTGTGGGAACGCGTCGGATACTGATGGCACCAATTTAGCCTTCGCACCAGGAGGGTCACAACTGGGCACTGCTGTCTCCCCCCGAGGCTCTCGAAATATGTTTCCCGGCTAAGAGGCAGATATTTGAGCGTCTGCTGCAGAAATGTGGGCCATCATCCCATCCCTCATTTGAATTGACTGATTAAGTGGTGTCTTGTTCATAAACGGGTGATTTAGCTAAGAGTTTCTGGAGCGTGTCTTGGCATAAATGGCTCTCTAACCGAGCTCTACGGTTCTCCTCCTGCAGAAAGAAAATACAGAGTGCGATGAGTTTAAAATGCTTTCATTTCACAACTAAAGCTCGGATTATTCGTGTTTTTCTTTATTTTAATAGAACCATCATCTCTTTCCCATGCTGCTGTCTTGGTGTTCAGACGTGTTTGTAAATGTTGGAGTGAACGGTGCAGCGTTTCCTGCTCCCGCTGCATCTGGTGTGTGAGCTGAATTTGATATCCACACTGAGAGGCTGCAGCAGAGATAGGGAGGAGTAGGAGGCAATAAATGCCATCTTATGTCATTTTTATACCACTCTTGCTTTAGAGCACAGTGACAAAAAAGAGAGGAAACAGTTGGAGGTGAGGATTAATGTCAGCTAACAAACGTAAAGAGCGAGATCAAAGTCTGCTTCTGCCACTGAAACACTTCCTCCTGAGGCTTTGTATTATCAATTTAAGTTAGGTAGGTGTTATATTTCTGCTGTCATCAAAGCCTCGGCACCATGAGGCAGAGATGTTACCCTCTCTGATGAATAAAGATGCTTTGGCCGTCATCCAGTAAAAAAGAAATGAAGGAAAAATACAGTCATAAAAAAATCATCTGTCCACAGTTCACACAAGGTCTGTGGCTGAGTAGCTCATGATTGATCCCAGGGAGGAGCTTTGACTGGTTTTTGTGCTTTAACTGCAGTTTATTCCGCTTGCGTCTTTAAATCAGACGACTTCTTTCAGGAAGTAGCCACAGAAAGATCTGGAGTCACGGCACATTAATCATGAAGAAACACGAGGCTGACCAGCGTACTCCGGGGATACGGATGAACTGGAACCTCCATCCATTTTCCTTTTTTTATATATTCTCGTGGTATCTCATCGCTTTGTCATGATCGTGATGTTCTTTTATCGGGCGTACATGCCTTGGCACCGCTATTTGTTTTATGCTGTTTTAAAGGGATGTTACGGCGTAAAATTAAGTTATGGTCAAACACACCGAAACACAGAGTTAGACACACCCTCGCAAGATTAATTTTGGGAGCCCTGACGAGTCACAGAGTGCAGCCATTATTTCCATTAAGTATTAATCATCATAATAATCATTTTGCACTGCAGACGTGCTAATTCTTCTGCCTTACCCCCAATTTCCACCACATCCGGAATGGCTAATTCATACCGGATCCCTTTGTGAGGTAAATTCATGGCCAATTTTTGACAGTGGGAATCGCGAGAACTCGCAAGAACCCGTGGATTCATGTACAATCCCAATCGCGATACCGAGTTGTCTCTATAAAGACAACCACATAACCATATAAGCAGTAGATTGTGTCCTTCCAGAGGAGGAGATCCACTTCTTGACTTTTAGAATCAGCATCTCCTCATCCTTAATGTCATCGGGGTGGAATGCTGTCTAAAAACCTTTCACTTGTTTGTCCCTCCCTGTTTGCATGATGTGAAATACGATCAGCCTGTTTTATTTTGTGTCTCTGCCTGACTTCCTTTCCAGTACGGACTAATTTGTGCTGAGTTTATCCGGCATGCTCCGGTGTTCAGAAAAAGTAGAACTCTTGCGATCAGCTGCAGAGCCCGCTGATCAGCAGCGGAACGGAAAGAAACCGGTGGAAAATGACACATTATCTTGAATGGAAATGATCAGCTGCGATCGGTGCCTACGGCCTTTTCGCTGCTGTTCTGGATGCCGTGGAAATTTGGGGTTAGTGTCTCGATCTGATTGCATTTCCATAAAGAAATTATCATAAATGTTTTTCCTTGAGCTGCGAAACTCCCCTACACTTGGTGATCGACTCGTCAGGGCTGCTGGAAGAGAGTGGGTGAGTTGTGTTTGGTCTCTTTGCTAAAGAAATCAGACAAAGTTAAAAAGATGTTTGGTGGCTTGTACTATGGCTGGGACCCTATATGTCCTGTTGATGAAGTTAGGTGCTGTTCTGAGCATTATTTGTGGTTATAGAGTGGCGTTTTGGTCGAGGTTTGAGCATGGAGACGTAGACCACTGTGTCGTTACTAAAGTTGGTATAACTAGAGAAGCAAGCGGTCGGCAACGTTCATCTCTCAAGGGGGTGTCTAACTCGGTGTTATGGTCCGTTAGACCACTGTTAGATCACTCTGGAATTCCCTTTAAACATAAACAGATGTGTTTTAATTGAAGCTACAGTGAGAATGTTTGTGTTTATGTGGGTGTTTGGCGCCCCCTGTGGTCAAAGAAGTACCATTAATCTCTGTGTTGAACTTGTCCTGCTTTCTTTAAACATTTTAATTAATTTTTCCCTCAGTAGATAATAGTTGTTGTTTGATCACATTCGTCCACTGCACATCACACGGCAGTCGATCCCTTAGGTCTGACTAACCAGACTGCAGGTTTGGTTTGTTGGTGTAGAAACATTTAACCAGCTGCTGTAGCACTAATTTCTGACCTTAAAGTAGCTTTGAACTCCAGCAGGAGATGAGTAGAGACGTCTGTGTGATGTCTGTGCTTGTTTTTTTCGTGTGACTTTGACTTAAAGAACGGCCAACATGCACAGAGAGCTGTAGTGTCACTCCTCCTCCTCCTCCTCCTCCTCTTCTTCTGTGTGATGGAGAAGTCGTACGAGCAGCTGTGTTTTCTGTCTCTTCTGTTTGCGCTGCAGGCTTTGAAGGCTGCTCCATGGTGCCCTCCATCTACCCGCTGGAGACGCTGCACAACTCGCTGTCACTGAAGCAGGTGGACGAGTTCCTCAACACGGTGTGTGAGAGCAGCAGCGAGGCCCACGCCAAAACAATGAAAGGTAAGCTGTCTGGAAAAAAACGACACCGTTCTAAGTTCTTCGTGAGTAAATTCAGGAGAAAACGACATTTCTTGTAAGCATCTGCGCCATTGTTACTCCAAGGCTGCAATTCATTGATTTAAAGGTAATACTAAGAGGAAAAGAAGGTTTCTACTCTCCTCTATCAACAGAAGTGAGGTTGGCTTTATATTCCAGCTCAGCGTATCTGCAGTAAAACCCTGAGATCTACTGCTAACTTCACAGACCAGAGAAAACAGGACAGGAGGAACACTGTCCGGTACTTTAAGGCTTCATATCATCTCCAAATATTCTGAGTTTGTGTTGGAGTGGAATTAACAGGAAGTCAAGTAATCACGACTGAAGAGCGAGTACAATTTCAATCAAGAGAAAATGAATTAATCCACCGTCACCTGCATAAAATGGCAGGTTTGAGACTAATTTGGCACTAAATGGAGAAATATAGGGCTGAGCGATAAAACAAAAAAATGTACTGATACCAAAATTTATGACAGTAACCAACATCATTTTGCCCATATCGGTATGATCGGTGTAAAAAAAATGAATAAATAAAGGTTAGTTTGATGTGTGAAGGTAGGTTATGGTCTCATGTCCCTTTTAAGACGCTGTCCTACGTCAGAGATGGAGGACGGTTCAAAAGTCGTAGCGGCTGAAGAAGATAAAGTTAATGTTGGAGGGGGTGAGCAGCTTGTGGAGGTGTTATCATCCATTTATCGTTATTGAGGTGAAATCGTGATACTGATTTGAGGCCATATCGCCCAGCCGTATAGAAATGGAGGTATAGATTTTTGTATAACTCCATTTTGAGGACAAACTATCAATGTAAGACCCTCTTAGTAAACTTTCACTAACAGTTATATTTTAATTATTTGCAATAGGAGCATATCTAAGAAAACTGCTGAAGTTAAAGCATCCATCAGTATATTAAAGGGACGGCATCTTAATCAAAAACATCATGACGTCTTCACCAGGAACTTTCTGACCATTACAAATGCTCCCAGTCCCCCTAGTGGTCACCTTTCTCTCTGTGTCATTGTGTCATTGTGGTCTTCTGTAAAGCTAGTTATGCTAGTTTGATCAATCATGTTTTAGCAGCAGCTGGCATTCATGCTTCATGTTTTTTTAGTCTTTTCATGATGAACTATTAATTAGAAAACAGGTTTGAGATAGGCTTCAGCAATGACAACAACTGCATGAACTCCTCGCTTTCTTAAAAAATCAAAAACTACTCATAAATTAGAAAGTCATGACTCATCCCTCAAGTGTTGAAAACTTACAGTTCTGGTGAATTTGAACAAGTAAATTCCAGTCTATGTGTAAAACAATTTCTTCTGGATATGCACTTGTACGCAGACTAAAAAAGGGTTTGTATGATTATTTAAATATTGTATATTTTGTGATATTATCTTCTCTGAATGAGAATGACAGAAGGACTGAACAGTGAGGATGCTGCAAAAATGAAATCAATCATCTCTGCACTGTGTTCCCGTAGAGACTAATGACCTTTTAGTTTCTGGTTTTGGAGCGTCTGATCGTGATGTTGTTTTTGTTTCTGTCCTCGCTCCAGCGCTCTCCAGCCTCTTCGACTCTCAGAGCCAGACGTCTCTGTACAGCCCTCAGCAGGCGCTGTCCTCCTCTGGATCGGAAACTTCTCTGCGGCCACCGAGCCAGCCTCTGTGGCGTGAGTGTTGATTTCATTTTCAGGGATTTTTCTGGTATTTTGCAGCTTGTAATGAAGCTCTGATGGAAACCTCACGGTGCTGGTGCCTCAGAAATGAAAATGATGCCAATGAGTTACTGAGATATTTATTTAACATACACATTAGGGGCACTTATGTAATCAATTTCATTAGATATAAGGGCTGGATGGTGATGGCAAAAAAATAATCCTGATTATTTTGACTGATATTGAAATCATGAATAATAAACACGATTATTCATTGGTTTCAAAACTTGAGAATTAATTGAATCACCAAAACTTTACTTTAAATCTAACTTAAAATAACAGCCAGAAATGAATTAGTAATGAGTAAACAAGTAAAAAAATAATAACAGTAGTAAATTCAAATAATGATAACAATAAAAACCATAAATAAAAATAAATACCCAATCTACATGCACTCCAAAAAACACCAATAACACAGCCAAAAAAACAACAACAAAGTACTCTTTGAAAGTTTAAAAAAAAAACTTTTTAATAACAAAAAGGATTGGCCACAAAGTGTTTTACTTCCTCAGCTGTGTGATCGCCGACTACTTGCCAATGCTAATACTCAGCATGCGCGTTCTGTAGTGCAGAGCCCATGTGTGGGTACATGTACGGCTTTATTCAGCTGTGGTGGTGCGCCACGATCATCAGCATATGGGGAAAACTCTGAAGTTGGTTGTGTTGTCTTGTGGAGCCAACAAAGTGTTTCCAGATAACTGAAGTTGTCCTACCTTTCTTCTCAACCAGAGGCTGCCTTTCTGCCATGTTTTCAATCGCTCGCTCCTCATATTATTGATCCACACACATCACACTTACAGCAGCTGCACGTAACAGGGGTGCATTCAACGGGTTTCTCCAGCACAGCAACCGCAGCGTGCGTCACATCAATTGTTTATCTTCGATTATAATGTTTTTATGATCGAGATTAGCCAAAATCGAAATCATGATAAAAAATTTATCGTCTAGCACTAATAGATATATTTTACATTAGGGCTGGGTGATAAACCAAAAATCTACCAATACGGAAATTTACAAGATTAAACAACGTCATTTTGCCATTGCCAATATATTTGGTGTCTAAATAAATCAAAACATAAAAGTTGGTTTTGGATGTGTGTAGGTAGCCTATGGTCTCATGTCCCTTTAAGATGCTGTCCTCCATCAGAGACGTGACTCCACCCCTTCCAGTCTGTAACAAAGAGGGAAAGACAGGTGAGGAGATGGAGGACGGTGAAGTAGACGAAGTTAATGTGGGAGGGGGTGAGCAGCTTGTGGACAAGTTATCGTCCATTTATCGTTATCGAGGTGAACTGTTCAATATATCCTGATATTGATATGAGACCATATCGCCCAGCTCTATTTCAAATTCAGAATAGGAGACTGATTTGAGCAGCAGTGATGTTGTTATACCTCCTGAGAACCAGTGTTCGTGGTCAAAATACTCCATGTTTCCCTCATGTAGTGCAGCTCCTGCTCCTCGGTATCAGATCAGTTTCAGTTTCAGCAGAGAACACGTCTTTTTAATCATCAGCTCTTCCTCTAAAGCTGCTCTGCAGATGGACTTTCGCTGTACTCGACAACTCCCCTGTGTAAAAATGAGTAAGTGTGAGAATGAGAGGAGAGTGATGCTGAGGGAGACTGTGCACGCTCAGCAAAAACCAGCGTTCAGGGTGAAAAACCTGCGCCCTCAGATGACCCCCGTGTAACTGATAGTATCTGTAACCACTGCAGATAAATGATCACCTATCAGGGCGCATCTGCTCAGCGTATAGTTGTGTATCAGGGCTGAGATCAGGAGGAAGGTTTGTGTCCTTTAACACCCGCGGATCTTAAAAGTACGTTCTGTTATTACAGACAAGAAAGGCTGCTGTGAGGAGAAAACCTTCAGTGTGCTAAACAAAGCTGCTTTCTGTACTAATTAGCAATAGAAAGTAAAATATTCAAGAGATAATAACTAAGGAGAGAAAAACAGCCAACTGTCTTTGAAAGTTGTTTGAGGGATTCAGTCCGGATAATTTACCGTCTACAAAGTGAAGGAGGAACGATAGAGAGACGCCTCACCTGATAAAACGTTCACAAAAACAGGAAATAAATGTAGTGATCAGTTTAAACTGTTTTTATTATGGTCTTAAAAAGTCTTTAATTTGACTTGTTGAAACCCGCAGAAACCCTGTATATACCAGATAATAGGAATTGATCCTACATAGGCTTAAGCCTTCATACACGAGTAACTCCTGGTCCTCTAGGCAACACAAGAAGATATTTTTTTTTCAGGTTTAAAGACTCAGAGTGAAACATCTGTGTGTCTACAGCTGATCTGAGATCCACCGACACCCTAAAGTCTTAGATTTGCGTCATTTTCATACCAAAATTGCCGAGAAGCTGGCATCTGTTCCTGGAAGCATATCTGATCTCTGAGATCACCAGACAATGAATATTTAAAGCCTCCATCCTTACGAATGGGTTTGATATTTATGAACACATGAATTAAAGACCCGAAATGTCAGAGAAGCTGATTTCCAGCAGAATGTGACGCCCTGGCAGGTCTTTCTGTTGGATCGGCGACACACATAAAACTTCCATCAGGCCTCGGAGAGAACAATCAAACCTCTCTCTCTTTTTTACCTCCTCTTCCTCTTCCTCTTCCTCTTCCCTCTGGGTGGTTAGCCGACTGTTTTATCCCCCTGCCAGTGCGGATGATTGATGAAGTGTCCAGCTCCCCGTTTTTCATCTCCACGCCCGTGTGTGTGTGTGTATTTTATTTACATTGTTGGCATCTGTTGTGGATATTTTTCCGTCTTTCTTTCTATCTGCTCCAGACCAGGTTCACGGTAACAGCCGGTAACTCAATTAGCTTCGTTCGTCCCCCTTTGTGCGGCAGACGGGCGGGGGCGCCGGAGGTTAAATCTGGTTAAGTGCGACACTCCTATTGGCTGTAGTTACAGGACAGCTGAGTGATGCGATCGGAGTAAAACAAGCATAAAACATCTGTCGTTGTTCATCATCACTCTAAAAATCCTGAAATGTTAATGAATTTGTTGATTAATGAACGCTGAGAGTCTCGTCTCTTTAAGTTCTCGGTGTACGTCTGATCACCGTTACACACTCTGACGTACGTGTGGCTCGATTTATGAAACCAAAAACACTGTTTTTATCAAGTTCTCCATGGTAACAGAGGATGATGTGGCGAGAGGATGACGCTGTTTATGTACTAGATCAACTCAGCCCTCTTTTTTTTTTTTTTTATTCACTTCATGTCCCCCCTCGCCGTGACGCACAGTAACAAATTCTGAAAACGCACTCTCAGTGATGAACACTCGAGTTGCTAACGTGTTTTATAAGAAACTGTTTTCAGACGTTTTGTGTCCGTGCTTTGAAATCTGCGTTCCTTAAAGATGGCTGTCTGTGTTGTTTTATTCAAAGATGGCAGCATCCCCTCCAGCGCCGTATCCAGCGCCGGCCCCTCCTCCCCGATCACCGAGAGCTCCGGCCTGAACTTCAGCTTCAGTGAGTAGACAGGCAGCCTGAAAATCACAAAGACTTCTGGGTATTCAAGGGCTCCTACTCGAGACTTCTCTGTCTCTTCCTGTTTTTGATTCATCTTTCTCTCCTGCTCACATTCACAAAAAAAACAAAAATCACTGGAGGAGAGACTCGCAGAGAGGCCACTCTGCCTCGGGTGTTACGAAACACTCAGACTGTAAATAAAACGGAGCTCCTGATTTCTGATCACCGGGGAAACAAAAGGAGACAGAAACACTTCAGACATTCACTTCACAATCCTCTCCACTGAGCCGCAGAGCATCAAGCCAACATCCACGCCAGTTGTGCCTTCAGTTTAATTAAGACGCTGCCTACGCTGGAAACACCGTCGGCGCCTGCTGTTCCTCCAAAAAATGCTCTTCAACCAAATATGTCACGCACCAGCTGCCTCAGTCCTGATCTCAGGCATGTACGACCGAGAAATACATCACAGACAGGGAGTCCGAGCGTCAGCGCTTATCGATTTTAATTTGTTGTTCTTCACTTTTCTGCTGAAGCTGCAGCTCAAGAAAAAACATCCACTTAAATTCAGTGACATTTGTCCTCTCTGCTGCTTTTTACGCTTGTGTTGTTTTTCAGCCACATGTAGTTAAAAGTTAAAGCTCAGAGGAAAAGTCTGACATTTTGGCCAATGTGCTTGTTTATTTCTTTTATTTAACCAGGAGTTAAACAGACGGGCTGGACGTTTAGCTGCAGCCTGTTAACTCAGCTCTGGAACAAACAGGGAACTGTTGTGGTTTTTAATTGTATCTCCAAGGTAATGCTTTTGCTGTTTGTTCAGGAAGGCAGCTGAAGAGATACAGGAAACCAGAAGGGGAAGAAAAAGTGTACGGAAGACGATCAGGGCCACTGGGAAAAAAAAAAAAAGAAAAAATATATTATTTTGAGTTTAAAGTGAGAATTTTTCTGGGAATAATAATAACTTTAAAAAAAATTATATTGTGCCTTTTTTTTATTTTTTCAGTGGCCCTAATCCTCTTCTGTGAAAGTGGGATTGACATGCGCTTAAGGGGGAAGACGTTAAAAGTCTAATTCAGGACTTTAGGAACTTAGAGAGTCCAAAAAACTCGACTGACAGCCTTTTAAAACCTTTTTCTTCCCGTTGTCAGAGCTGAGCTGCTGGATTTAGCTGCCGTTTTGGTTCACAGCTCCTCAGTTTCACTCGTTTCTTATAACTTCTGGTTAAAAAAAAAAGAGAAATCATTTGTCATTACCGTATTTTTCGTACTATAAGGCGCACTTAAAATCCTTTTGACTTGTCGGAGCGCTGCAGCTACCGTAGCCTCACAGAGTTATTGAATGAGTTAAATAAAGTTTGACTTATCTGACTGTTTTGTTTGGCTTAATGCGCCTTATTATCTGGTGCGCCTTATGTATGAAAATAGACGCGTTCATTGATTGTGCGCCTTATAGCGCGAAAAATACGGTACTTGAAGATTAAGTAGAATTGGTTTAACTCTTTGCAAAAACTGCTTAAATGATGACAAATGCCAAAAATTGAGTTTCATCTTGAGCTATTTTAAATCCAAATCTAACTCAAATTAAAACAATCAGACTTTTTTATGACAAACATCAAACTAACAACAGAATTGTATGTCAGAGATTATTTACTGACTTCAGGATGTCATGAGTTTTTAGTTTAACATCCAGACGAACACAACTTTGTGTTAAAGTTCAGAAACTGTTTTTCAAAGCGTGTAAAAAAACTCGAGCCAGCTTTCTCAAACTGTCTATTTCAGTGTTGATCTGCTGTTTAATGGACCCAAAGTTACCTGTTAATGTGCCTTCACATGACTTTGAACAGAGGACTGCTGTATTTTTTCTTTACTTTCTCAGTTTGAGGAGGTTTTTAGGAATCAGATCTGGGTTAAAAAACTTTAGATGTAGTTTTGTTTTTAGAATTAAAGGGAAGAACCACTCAAATGAGCTGAAAGTAGGGGTTTATTTTTACATTTTGACAACTACCTAAAGAGGTGTTACCGGATTAGACTGAATATTCAGATCGTTTATGTCTGCTGTCACCAAATTTCATGTGTGTTTCAATGTTCAGTCGTTGTTTCAAAGATTGAACGCCTCAGGTGACAAAATCGTGGTTTAATCGATTAAAGATTGTGACTGAATCGGGGTCAGCTCACTTTCAGTTCTGCTTTAAACTTTTATTTAAACTTTGACCTGAATTTGCAGATTTAAACGTCTGTTTTTTCACTGTGAATCTTACAAGGCTGTAAAGTCCTAGTTGACCTGGTCCTGGTCGACTTATTGATCGATACGTGCTGAGTCAACCAAAATTCTGATTGGTCAACTCAATTTTTTTCCACGTCAATTTACAGTCTGTGGTTAATTTTATCAGGAGGAATGTACCAAGTGCTAATGGGGGTGTTTTCAGAGCACCCCTGTTTCAAAGGTAACAGCCTGTCTTAAAACACCCCCCCTGTTTTCACCATTTTGGATTCGCCCAACCCACTGGAGACCGGCTGGAGACAGGAAGATTAAAGAGCGTTGATGTTAATCAACGTCTGGTGGGTTGCAGAATATTTGCTTTTATTTTTAGTGTTTCAACCTTCATCGTGTGTAATTGCCTTCTTGTGCTGATATCAGTACATTTTTTTACATTTTTTCTTACAGATGAGAAAGAGGAGAAAAAATAATTACAGGAGGGAGATTGTTTTAAATTTCTATTTCAAGATTGAAGTGAAAATTTTGACTTAAATCTCAAATTTTTAGTTTTTTTTTTTTTTAAGTTTTTTTTGGAAATTTCAACTTTATAAACAAAATTTCAAATTTTTTTAATCCTGAAATGTCAACTTTATTGACACAGTTTCAATTTTTTTTTAATCCTAACATTTCGAATTTAATCTTGAAATTTCAACTTTGAGATAATTTCAATTATTTTGATCCCGAAATTTCGACATTGTTCACATTTCATAATCTTGAAATTTTGACTTAGTTGACATAATTTCAATTTTTTTAATCTTGAAATTTCAATTTTTAATGTTGAAATTTCGACTGACATAAATTTAATTTTTTTAATCTTGAAATTTTGACTTTAATCACAAAATTTTGACATTAATTTTTTTCCTGTAATTATTATTTTTTCTCTTCATGTGGCCCTAATCCTCTTCCATAGAGCCGAGACGCCCCCCGCCGATTAGTCGAGTTTTTGGTCCAAAATTTCAGGGTTTTAGTCGACCGAGAATTTCTGTGGTTGATATGTGCCTTTGCCTCGTATGCTTGAGCTGTTATTCTGCAGCCCTGCAGCCTTAACAGAAGAGATAAATCTGCTCCTTTCAAAGTGGTGGAGCTGAAAATGAACTGACCCCAAAACCTGTAAAAACCTGCTGTAGAACAAAAGCTTTAAAGAAATTCATCTGTTTTAATTCTTATCACACAGAGAGGCAGTTCGATAAAATCAGTAATAGTTTTAAGAACGAGGGTTAATGATTTTCTACCTAAAGGTGTGTTAATGTAGAGAGTTTTAGTTGTGTATTTATGTGATTATTTAATGTGATATTTAATGTCAGCCAAAGAGGAAGAGGAGGAGTGTTAATGTGATGATGAAGAGTATGGCTGCTGGAGAACAAAGTGGACCTTATAAATGTGTAAAAAAAACTTTGTCTGTGAATCTTTGGAGGTTAACGGAGAGAAGAGGAGGGGAGGGAGGAATAAAAGTGATTTTAATTTTAACCTGGAAAATGTTCATTTAACAAATCTGTGAATCTGTGGAGGTTCAGATGTGATGATGATGATGATGATGATGATGATGATGGGAAGAGGAAGAGGAGGAATAAGGTGTGTCTGTGTGATGGGGGCTGTATTAGTGATATTAATTCTACTGTGGAAAATGTCAAAGAATATGTCAACAAGTCCACAGGCAGCATGTGTTTCTCCTCCTCGTCATCACAGGCCTGTTGCACATGTGCTGCACTGACTCTGTGTGTGTGTGTGTGTGTGTGTGTGTGTGTGTGTGTGTGTGTGTGTGTGTGTGTGTGTGTGTGTGTGTGTGTGTGTGTGTGTGTGTGTGTGTGTGTGTGTGTGTATTTGAGAGTGTGAGACAGTGCAGACACACACTAAGCCTGTTATTGCTCCATAAACAATTCTCCATGTCACCGCTCTGCCAACACTTTCTCCCACTGTTTTATTTCTCTCTCTCTCTCTCTCTCTCTCTCTCTCTCTCTCTCTCTCCCTCTCTCTCTCTCTCTCTCTCTCTCTCTCTCTCTCCCTCTCTCTCTCCCTATCTTAAGCTTTCATTCTATTCTGTCACTCCTCCGTCCTCCCTCCTCTCCTTGTTTCACCTCTCCTTTCCTCTCTGTCTACTTAAGCTTTTCACCTGATTTTAATCCATTTTATCCTTTCCTTGTTTCCTTATCTCCTCTCTTTGTTTCCTCTCCTCTTTGTCTTCTGACCTCCTCGTGTCCTTCCTTATCGTCTATTGCTAACCTTCCTTTTTTGTCCTTTCCTCATTCACTCTCCTTTTTCCTCTCCTACCTGTTTTTTTTACTCACCTAGTTTCTTCCATCTGTCTTTTCATTACTCTTCTTCCTCTCTTTGTTACCTTTCCTTCCCTTGTATCCTTTCCTATTTCCTCTCCTTGACTCCTCTTGCACCTCGCACTTATTCACAGTCTTGTCTCCTCACCTTGAAACCTTTCTTTCCTTATCTCCTTACCTATTTCCTCTTTGGTTCCTCATGGTTTCCTAGCTGCCTTGTTCCCTGCCTTCTTTTTGTTTCCTTTCCTAGACTCCTTCAGTGTCTTGTCTTGACCCTTTCTCCCTTTAACCATTACTTTTATTGTTTCCTTTCCTTGTCTCCTCTCCTTAAAAAACCTTTCTTTCCTTATCTCCTTTCCCATTTCCACTTTGTTCCCTCTTTGTCTCCTACCTGCCTCTTTCCCTGCCTTCCTTTTGTCTCCTTTCCTAGACTCCTCACCTTGAAACCTTTCTTTCCTTATATCCTTACCTAATTCCTCTTTGTTCCCTCTTTGTCTCCTACCTGCCTCTTTCCCTGCCTTCCTTTTGTCTCCTTTCCTAGACTCCTTCAGTGTCTTTCCTTTACTTTTTCTCCCTTTAACCATTTCTTTCTATTGTTTCCTTTCCTTGTCTCCTCACCTTGAAACCTTTCTTTCCTTATCTCCTTACCCATGCCTCTTTCCCTGCCTTCTTTGTGTTTCCTTTCCTTCTCTCCTCACCTTCCCTAATCACAAGTTTCATATTATCTCCACTTTTTACCCCCTGTCTCATTTCCTCTTTTTTGTTTTCCTCCTTTTCTTTGTCTCCTCTTTTCCTAACCTCTCCTCTTGTCCCCTCTTTTACTCCCTTTTTCCTATCCTCCTCTTCTCCTCTTTTTTTTTACTTCACCCTGTTTTTTTCCTCCTCCTCTCTGAACAGCTTTTTGAGAAAAGTGATGACTCACGCCTCCCTTCTATTGCTCCCATGCGTTGCCATGGTGACGCCCCCAGATGTATTTGACTCCCCCTGAGAGACGCTGACTGAATGGAGAAGGGTTTGGAGGGGGGTTCAGACAGAGACCGCCGACTCACCGGAAGCCAAAAGCTGATGTCATCCTCTCTGTCTGCATGACAAGTCTTCTTCTTCTTCTTCTTCTCGGGCTTTATTTTTCCTACACACACACACACACACACACACACACACACACACACGCACACACATCCATTCAGCCTGTTTCTGTCAGCTCGAACTGCCTCTCAGTCTTTTGGTTACAAACAGTCCTCGTCCTCTTCTCCCTTCGACACAAACCTCTGCAGTTTACTCTGTCACTCACAGTAACCACGAGAGGATCGCTAATTGGCGACCAGTCGTCTGAATGACCTTGTGGGAAGTTGTACTCCAGCAGAGAAAGACATTTATGCTGTCGCCTACAGAAACTTTCCATATTTGTCAGAGGAAATACTATAAAAAAAAAGAGGGAGAGTAAAACGTTATCTTACGCTCCTCAGGGGTAAATCCAGTCGAAGTGTTTTCAGCTCATCTAATTGGGGATCCCACACACTTGATATGATGTAAACAAAACAGACCAGAAAAAGCAAAATACAACATGAAAAATGGGAAGAAATGTGTATGGACTGATTTCACTCAGAGCCGATTCCCCCCTAATTAATCTGCCACGACACTTTGTAAGTATTAATCTATATTTTTGTTTTCATCAGAAGGTAAAGAAGTAACTCCAACCCCGATAATTTACCTTGACTTATATGAAAATGCTTTTTCTATAGCTCAGCTGACATTAATTTACCATAAATCAAGCCAAAATCAGCCTATTTTTAACAACATGCTGCTCCTGTAACCAGTTACTCCTTCTGCCTCTCCCTCTAATCCCAGTATAGTCTCGGCTAGGGCTGGGCGATTAACTGAAAATTTACCGACGCTGAAATTTATGATAATAACCGTCGTCATTTTGCCCATGTCAGTATATTCGTGTCAAAAAAAAAAAGTTGTTTGTGGATGTGTGGTTTCATGTTCCTTGAAGACTCTGTCCTACATCGGAGACATGTCTCCACCCCATCCAGTCCGTAACAAAGAGGGAAAGACAGGTGAGGAGATGGTTCAAAAGTGTAGCGACTGGAGCGGAGGCTGAAGTAGACGAAGTTAATGTGGGAGTAGTTATCGTCCATTTATCCTTATCGAGGTGAACTGCTCAATATATTGTGGTATTGATTTGAGGCCATATCGCCCAGCCCTAGTCTCAGCAGATGACTGTCTAGCATGAGTCTGGTTCTGCTCGAGGTTTCTGCCTGTTAAAGGAAGTTTTTCACTCTCAACTGTAATTAGCTTAATGCTGTAAAGTGCTACACTCAAGCTCGACCCTCCAAAACGTTACTCAGTCTTTTCCCACTTAATGTTGGATCTTTGTGAATATAATTAAAGAGTAAGGTCTGTAAACCTGCAGCTGTAAACCCCTAAATGGAGCTGTTTGTGGACATCTTTTACCCTTCAGTTTGAGTAAACGGCCACTCCTGTGATTTTATTCTAGAAAGATGCAGATTTTAGGGAATACAGGATAGTATATATTTCATTATCAGGAGCGTAGCTAAGGGTGGCACTGCCCCTCTTGAAACCTGATCAGCCACTTTAAAATCTGACGCTATGACTGGTCAAAACAACTTATGTTAACTGAAATCTAAAAGCCTGCCGTCTTTCTTCTTCCTATCTTCTGTCACATCTCTTTCAATGTGTGCTTTCGATCCATAAGAGGTCACTGCGTCCCAAAACCCTCGCCTCCCTCCCCGCTGTTCAATAACTCAACCTCTGCCAGCTATATTCTCCGAGATCCAAATGTAAATTCAGAAAGAGAAGTGGGAGTTAAAAAAAGACCAGCGAATAGAGGAGGACTAATAGATGTGCTGAGAGAGGGAGAGAACTGCCCTCATCTCAGACTCGCCATCCAAACGCCGCAAAGACGGCTGGAGGGTTTTCAGTTAAGACCTCGAGTGGCGCCTCCACACCCACAGTCTGTCCACTTGACTCGTCCGTAAGGAGGGAGAACGTGTTGCGATGGTAACGGGGGGGACAGTTGGCATAAGAAGAAAGAGGGCTGTTAAGTGTAGGGAAGAGACAGCTGAGCCGCAATATGGATGAAAAAAGGCCAAAGTTTGATCCGTCTCCTCGTCTGACTTTGAGAAAGACACAAACACTGAAAGGCAAAGATAAATCACACGGCGGAGACTGAACGAGGTGAAGGTGTACATCCATCAAGGTTAATTTAGGGCTGAATTGATCCCTCCTCTCCCTCCTCGGGGACTCAATTGTTTCCCTCCTCTGCTTTCTTCAGTTACAGATCTTTAAATATCAAATGAAAAACTTCTAAGTCACTCTGACAGGTGAAGCTTGAGGACTGAGCTGAGCTGCTGCGGCACAACATCACTTCTTTCCAGCTGATGAATCACAGCCCATCATCGAAATGACCGAGCATGATTCTCCAACCCTGGAGCCGAAGTCTTGCCTCTTAATCCCACGTGAGATTAAAATGTTTACTGCATGCTCACTCCTGGCAGGTGTTTTTGTTATTCTGACTCACAGTTTATATCTTAGTTGACTCGGGTTTTAAAGTTTGTCGAAGAAAAATGTTAACCCTAATATTAAGACCATCATTTTTAGAGGGTAAAGACTGTTTAGGAGGAGTTGCAACAGAAATGAAAAGGAAAGGCCTGATTTTTCTAGAAATATGTCCAAACTGAACATGCTAAATAAAAAGTTTTAAAATTGTAATAATTTACGATTTCGTATCAAGAAATTTCATTTTTGACTTCATCACCAGAATAAAAGCTGCAGAGTTGAGCGTATCATTGGCACCAGGACCGCCGTGAATAGCTTCAAGCAGATGAAGAGGATGACGAAGAGGACTGTCACTGGTTTCATTAAAACTGTAAGTTCTAATTATGAGTTTAAGTCAGCCGCTGGTTTCATGGGGGCTACAGTTATGGACCTGCTAATACATGAGCTAAATAACACGGGCACTAACGGCTACAAGGACGGTGTTAAAGTACTTACAAATACAGTCATCATTGTTTTTCAGTTTGGTTTAGACACGTTTCAGTTTTGCTCTTTAAACCAAACAAATTAAATCTGGGCTGCAGGGAACGATACTCCTTCATTTTGAACATTCCCATAATTTTCTGGGATAAATCTTTGATAAAAACTGTCATCATAAAAGTGTCTCTTAGCACTTTCCCTGAGTCTGAAATGATGTCCTGAAAATTTTCCTTTGTCCTCAAAGTCCAAAGAATTAATTTAATTTTAAACCTCAATAAACAAAGAAGAAACTTTGATTCCTTGAAAAGTGACGAGTACAGATGATCTAAGTAGGTGGGTTTGATTGAGGATGAGGACCATGAGTAGGATGGAAAATGTCGAGAGAAAAAAAAGTCATGATTTTAAAATATAAAAGTCCTCAGAGAGAACCGTTGTATTGTTTCGAGACAAAAGTGTGTAAGTGACAAATTTAGGAGACGAAAACCCTGATCTTATAAAACTTCAGGCTTTGGTTAATTTATCTGTAAAATAACCAGCTGCCAACACCAAAAAAGATAATTTAAAGTTCGGTGGCTGCAAAAACCTGCACAAGCTGCTTATTTTCCTATTCATCCTCATAATAGACTTTTTCTCTTGCACAACCCATTGAAGACCCACTCCAATGAGAATCATGTTTTTCTTGTTGTCTACATGTTTATATGATATTTTCTGATGCTACAGGACATATCATGAGAAAACTAAGTGTGAAATTGCATATCTGGGTATTTCTGCATTCAAGTCTGTGAATCTCTGGCAGACCCAATGAAAGGTTCAAATTCAGTGAGATTTCCTATGTCACAATTCCAAGCTCCGCCCCCGGCACCCTGTTCTGTAGGCCAAACTAGTAGAGAGTAGAGAGGACGATTGCATAACAAGCATGTGTGTTAGCGGATTGCAATACTTATAAGAAAGCTAATTATGATATTAACTTTCATCATCTCCCGAAAGACATTAGTGTCTCAGAGCTGAATAACTCCTATGTTACCTGCCGCTTTTACTACACCAGTAATGTTAGGCTACAATCTAGAGTGAAGAGGAGCGTGCAGAGCAGTTCTGTCTCCACCCACGACTCGGAGGCGAATTGCTAATGATCTACTGGAGCTCTGCAGAAGAAAAGTCCTTGAAAATAACCCAGTTCCTGTGATTTTGGCTAAAAACTTCATAATCACAGTTTAAAGACCACTGAGAACACTTTAAGTAGTAAAAAAATGATCAGAGTGGGAATTTAAGAATCCAGTTTATCAAATTGTGGCGCTGCAGAGCTAAATGACTCCACATGAGAAATGAAAAGTCAAAATAACACCCAATTTTTCACTCATGATGTTACAACTTTATCCCTAAAATCCAATTTTTTATCCACAAGACCCTAAAAACCATCATATTCACCTTTCTCTGCTTTAATATTTACTGACTGATCCAATTATGTCTCATTAAAAACCTGCAAAGATCCAAAAAACACAGACAAAAAAAATCACTGCACACACACACGTAGATTTCAATGTACTTTAATTGATGATCACCAGGCTGTTTCCCTTTTACAATGAATCTGCAGTAGTTCTAGTTTTTACCAGTTAGATTTAAAGAGACAGAGAGATATTGAATATTGCACTGAGGAAGAAAAACATAACTAAGATTAATACAATGCAAAAGAGAGAGAGAGAGTAGAGAGAAAGAGAAGAGAGAGAGAGAATCAAACAGAACTACCAATACAGCGTCTTCTTAACAACATGTTAATAGGGCAAACAATAAAAGCACAGCCCAGTATTATATTACTGTAGGTCATTTCAGTACCAGTTAAGACAATTAGCTTTTTTTTTTTTTTTTCAAATATATCTCTTTAAAATAGCATTGTATCTTTTATTATCATTATTATTATTATCATGTTAAACAATTACATTCAGGATTATAACTAAATAAATCACATGCAGATAGATTAGATGGACAGATGACACCATATTGTGATCAAATGATATGGTCTTTTAAATGCAAGTATGGCGATGGACTAAAACGGAAAGATGCACTTTTTTTTTTTTTTTAATCGTTCTGTTCTTGTCAGCGTTTGTGTCGTTTTTCTCTGTTCCAGGAGTCGTAAGCAGTTTTCTGTCGCTAAAATCGTCTAAAATGAACAGATATCACAAGAAGGATATTTAGTTTGTTGTTGTTGTTGTTGTTTCTTTCAGGTTTGTTCTTTTTTTCGGATCGGTATTTACAGATCTGTGCACCACGGTACGTTAACGTCCGTCCGTGTAGCTTTTTTAGTTTTCGGTTCACCGATGGTTTGGAGTCTGCATGTGTTTCAAGTCATATTCAGGAAAAGTTGCAGCTGCAGTAAGTACTATTTCTGTGACTGTTAGTTTGTTCGTTGAGGGTTCTGTGTTCAAACTGATCTCTTTCTGTTACTGAAATGACAAATAGTCAAAACAGACATCAGTACCCGCCCACTCCGCGTGCTCCCCAAGATTTCAATCTGTCTAGGTTGGTGTGAGAGTTTGTTTTTTTGTTTTATTTTTTTTGTTATTTTTTTTCTTCGTTTTTTTTTGTCACTTGTTTTTGTTCCAGCAGCATTCTCATGTAGTACCGACTCTACATTCAGAAAAATAGATCTCCTGTATAGTGCATTCAGCCTGTGCGCAGTCACACAGTCCAGTACTGAGCGTTTCACAGCGTCCTACAAACGCCTCGAAAAATAAAGCCTCAAGGCCTGATATTTGGAATCTGAAAACACGATTCGACGACAGTATAACAACATATCAGATCCACACACTGAAAAAAGCTTCTCCTTGTCTTTGCATACACTTCACCAGACGGGATCCAAGGAGGGCTGAAAAGGACTTTTTTGTTGAATTGATCCGATCACAAACTCTCATAAACCCGAGGGAGTCGATTTGATCTTGTGCGGGCTGTGATCCTCCCCTCAGACGAGAGAGCCTGTGTGCGTACTTGTGCGTTTCCCAGCTAATAAACACCCTGCATCAGACTCTTTTGCATGTGGGATTAGAAAAAAAAAAGCTGTGTCTGCCTCTTAAATAGTGCAATAATGGGAAAATATAGTGCTTAGAAAAATAATTACATTCAGTGGCGACTTTGTGAAACTTTGATTTGAAGCTGAGGGAGGCCAGAGGGCACAGAGGGCAAGAAGAGCGAGGAGGAAGAGGAGTCCTAGATGAAGTTGACCACATTTTTCCAAGATTTGAACCGTTTTGAGGAAAGAAACAAACAAACATAAAAATCTGGGACTCAAAATTGTCATTTATGTCCCTAAAATTTAATCTGTGCAACCTTAAAATGTGTTTTTTTGAGAATTGTGCAAATAAATGCTGGTGCAACACGTGCCAATGCTTCCATAAACAAACATGCATCATCATCGACTCCTTCTAACTGTGCTTTCACTCTGATACTCCTGGAGTTGGTCATGCACAGTTGTTGGATGGAAGTTGCAGGTAACACAGTTTTTTTGTTGTGGTTTTCACATATTTTTTTGCTTTGACTTTTAAAAGTTTCGAGTAGAAAACTTCTTCTCGGCTCAAACAAAGTACCTTCTGGAAATCCAAGCCTCCTGTGCAGTCTGTCCCCTGAGCTTCAAATCATAAAACACAAAAACATAAGTAGCTAGCTTTTCATGGACAATCTTGCAGAAATGGGCGCTTTTGTGCAAACCAAAAAAAAAAAAAACAGGATAAAATCAAAAACATTTTCTTATCAGCAAAATAAATCAAATTTAAATTTTGCAGATTAAAATTTCTTAATGAAGGGCTAAAACTTGGCCGTGTGCGTTTGAGCCTTTTTTTTCTTCTTTCACACTTAAACCCACAGGAAACTCACTCACTAATCCATGCTGTGCTATAAAAACACTCCACTCTGAGCGCATCATAAACTCACAAACACAAAAAAAACCTACTTCTTAGATATTCCTATTTATAACGTCTTTTTCCGGTTCAGTCAAAATCATTCACATTCATGCTCATCCTATACATAAAACTCTGGGATTAAGAGAAGATCATTGCTTTATATTAAATCTGGTCTCGCTTTAGAGGAGCGTTTTGTACATTTTTCTCTCTTTATATATATATATATATGTATATTTTTATACAAGTAATAATCTGCTGCTACTCTCGCTCTCAACTACAAACAAAAATCCGACTTTTAAACTCCCACACCTCTTAAAAGTACATTCCTATTTGGTGCAATATTTTGCTCAAAGACATTCATATTGGTTTGAAAGTTTGTATTTTTCGTAGGGGTGTTATTTTTCGATTGTGGACGAGGTTTGTGCGTGTACTTTACGAGCTGATTGGTCCTCAGTTGAAGAGTTTGGCGTCTTTTATATACCCTGGCTTTGCTTTAAAATGGCTGACATGTCCTCAAAACTTCCCCCTCAGGCTAAAGGCACGTGAAAGAAGCCTCCTGTTACACACTCGTGTAGTTCTTCTCCTTTAAAATCAATAAATATAGATATTGCAGTTCACACTGGTGTTGACGTTCCCTCCGGGGGGGACTAGCGGTTAAGCTTACGTTGCTACATTTGTCACAGGTCACTTCTTGTTTTTGTTTTTTTTCTCTCCATCACTTAATGATATCGACAGACGGTAAAATGTAGCTGAACGAGAGGAAATGATGGAAAGTTAAACCTTCTTCGCTTCAGGATAACAATTTGCTGCATCGTCACAAAATATATAATTTGTCAACAAAACCTTTTTGTAGAAACACTTATGTTTACCGAAGTACATACGACCAACAGAGACCGTGATAAAGACTTAAAGAGGGACCGTTACACCCAGCAGAGATATGATGATTGTGCAAACATCGTCTCTTAGCCCAGCGCTTATTGAATTCACTTGAGCATAGACAGCCAAACGGTGTAGTATCTATCTGCACTATTCCACACTCAAAGGATTAACCCTACGCACTTCTGACAGAGTCTGAGCTAAAACGCAAGCATCATGCACCAGCAAAGCCGTGAAAGCCGAGAGAGAGAATCCAAACAGGCGGCAGCTTCAGGTAGGGCTGAGCGATAAACCAGAATTTTCCGATACCGAAATTTATGACAATAATCGAAGTCATTTTACTCATATCAGTGTATTCGGTGTCAAAAAATTAAATAAAAGTTGGTTTTAGATGCGTGTGACTCCACCCCATCCAGTCCGTAACAAAGAGGGAAAGACAGGTGAGGAGATGGAGGACGGTTCAAAAGTTGTAGTGGCTGAAGTAGACGAAGTTAATGTGGGAGGGGGTGAGCAGCTTGTGGAGTAATTATCGTCTATTTATCGTTATCGAGGTTAACTGCTCAATATATCGTGATATTGATTTGAGGCCATATCGCCCAGCCCTAGCTTCAGGCGCCCCCTAAAACTTCATCACAAAATGACAAGAAGTAACACATCTTTTTCACGTAATATCGATTTACTCCTCTAACGAGATTTTCCAAAAACTACATTTGCGTGAGCAGAAGTGCAATGGATGAGTTTTACCATGTGCACCGATCGAATAACAGCTTCACATGATGAAACGTTTCTACTCTTATAAAACACTGTAAAAAGAAATGATGGGTCACTGATTATTTCAGGAGTGGATTTTTTTACAGTGTTTGGCACTTGTTTCAGACTTTTGAACAAGAAATTTGCCACTCAGGGACGACTACTTTTGAATTATGCCTTTAAAATAATTCCCGAACTACATTTTAGTTTAGTTGTGTTACTTTTTTAAAGGTTGTGAACTCTTTTATTAACTGTGGTTAGGTTTTTTAGATGGTCTTCTAATGTAGGGGCTGTTTGGGTGGGTGATTTACACAGAAACACAAACATAAAAACAGGTTATTATCTGCGAAATAACCCCTCACTGTCACACAGAGCACAAACCCAGAGTTCTGATTTGATTTCAGCTAACATGATCTAGTGTACTGAGAGCTGCGGCGAATGCGTTTGAGACTGATACCGTGAGCGAGCGAGGAGCTTCGAAGGAGCAGAGTGTGGCGTTCGCTCTTGCTCTTCTTCCTCCAGCGGGGGACGGATGACAGAGAGTGTGGGGGGGGGAATGAGAGGGGAGCGTGGGGGAGCGCAGCACGGCTCCTGGAGCTCAGAATTCAATCTTGCAGGCGGGGAAGGACTCGTCCTGCATGACTACGGTGCTGCTGGAGGCCAGAACCATGATGTTCAGGTCCTGCTGCTTCTCGTGAGTCTGCTGGTACCATTCCCGGGTCACCTCCGTGTCGTGAGTGGGGATAAGGGTCACCTGATGAGGAGAGAGAGAAACGGTTTAGGAGAGGAGACGGTTCATGAACTATCCTGTGGTCATCGTGCTTTCTAAGATGTGTACCATCTGAAGATGCAATAAAAATCTGTGTTTACAGACGGTGGTTTATGGAAGACAGCTTGACCCTTTTTGGTGATTTCTACTGGAGAGTTGCATCTGTTTCAATAGCAGTTTTTGGCCTCGTCTATAGACGGGTTTCTGTGCAACGTCATCGCAGGTATGCTCGCGCAGCCAGGGGGCAGAAAGCGGGACATTTCTTATTTGTTTACTAACGGAACCAACAGAGAATACAAATGACAAGAAGCTGTTGTGCTGTAAATCGTTGTCAACATTTTTACTTTGACTTTGTTAGCATTCACTAACATTTAAATTCATGGACATTGAAAGACAACGATTTTTCAATGAAATGACATGTGATGCAATGAAAGACAAAGCGATTTTTCAATGAAATGACATTTTATTGCAATTGTATCAGGGAGAACGTGCAAAGAATACAGCATCTTCATTGGTATCAGTTCACTCTGAAGCAGACTTTTGCCTCCTGGTTGCAGGAAACTCGTCTCTGGATCCTCATGTGCTTCAGTAGGATCATTATTCTGAAACTTCTGGACTATTTTCTCATGTCACCTCTCACAGAAGAACAGTAAACCTCTTCCCATCTTTACATCTGAGTGAATTAGGCTCTCTGTACTCTCAGTGTTGTCACCAGCCTGTTGCAGGTTAATCTCATTAGTCTGGACATGTTCCTCCAAGGTTTTTCTTTCTGTTCATTAAACAGGTTTTCCTTGTTTTGTTGTACGAGTTCAATTCAGACTTTGTTGAAACATGTTGCTGGCATCTAAATTTCTATTTAATATTTTCATAAAACAAAATGTTTTCAATTTGAACTTTTGAAATATGTATTTTTATATGGGGTTTTAAGATTTTGCAAAACATCATTTTTTTCTCTCAAATTGAAATCGTACTCACCACCCAAACATTTTTCGAGCTAGCTTTGTTTAATTTAATTTTTTTCGTAATTTATGGTTTTGTATATCGTGGTGAACCTTTGAACAAAGCAGTACCTCTAATTTCTTTGCTCATTTTTCTCAGAGCAAATGTAAGCATTGTAATTTAAAATGAAAAATAATTTTTAAAAAAAATGCTGAAATTTTTTGCAGTGTGATGCATCAATTATTAAACATCTTTGCCATGATAGATGGAAAAATCTGTTCCTGCAGCATGCTGTTCATCACTTCCTCTGACAACTACTTTATGGCGGCATTTCTAGACGTTAAAAATCATAGCTTGTATTTAGTCAATCTAATACTCAAGGGTTCCAAATCAAAAGACACAAAATGTAAGTGGTAAGCTTGTAACAATCTTGCAAAAATGGGCCTCCAAAACAAGATATAATCAAGATTGCACTTGATTTTAGTCCAGATGCCCTTTGGATTAAACTCTAAATTCCCATGACCTGAAAGACTGAGAGTACTCATAAACAGGACGATGAGAGGGTTCGATGTGACTCTGGTATTTTTGCCTAAAGTACGATCCTTCCTCGAGAGGTTGCTTAGCTTAGCTTATATTGGTGCAAAGCTTAGAAATGAAAGTAATAGCGAGCTTTGGTTCTGATAAAAGGGAACAAATTAGCCTATCAGTACCTCTAAAGCTCATTACTGACTTAGCGTTACATCTTGTTAGTTTGATTGATTAAAAAACAAAAGGTTAAAACAACAAGTTCTTGAAACGTGCCGGACTACTTCATGGCTCGACGGATGAAACAAAAAAACTCAAGATTCCTTTCAGAAATGACCGTCGTGATTTTTGATCATTTATATTTCGCTGAAACTCCCATGAGGCATTGGGGCTCCTGGTTTTATGATCAACATGAACTTTTTATTTACTGGTTTACCCTCAAATGTCAGCCTTGAACTTTTTTGCACTCCAACGCCGTATTCGCAACTTTCATCCATTCACGTACTCCATCCAACGGCTGTCTTTGTCTTATCGGATCCAGTCATGGTAGCAGAAGGCTAAGCAATTAATTCCAAAAATCCCTATCAACCTTACCCAGCTCCCCCTAGGCATCCATTGGCATTACGAGGTCGAGTGTGATATGTAATCCCTTAAGTGTGCCCAAAAAAACTCAAAAGTAGGCACCCTACTCAGATTTCCGAACTATCTCAGCTGGATTCCTTCCATTTGGAGGAACTGCGGCTCTGCGTAGAGCTCCTTACAACAACCTCTAAGTCTAAGCTCTGCCACCCTGCTGGGGAATCTCATTATAGACATTTGTCCCGCCAATCTCAACCCTGAGGTCACTACTCAAAGCTCGTAACAATAGGTGAGGAATGGGACACATAACAAAGATTTGCATTCTGGCGTCACCTCATCTTCACTACAGCCGTTTGGTACGATGCTTATATCGGTGCTTTCTCTGTAGCAAGTTCTCCACCCATTAAACCATCTACTGGGGATATTGTTTTTGATAAAGAAACAACTACATCATCTGCAAACATGACAATTTCAAAAACAGGTGACAAGAAGCAACCCTGGTACCCACTGAAAACACGTTTTACCCAGTGAAAATCAAGCAGCCCATACCGGTGGTCTGAGTATCATAGGTCCTTTGCTTTAACGCTTTAACACTTGATTGACAACCCATGATGATCCCCTCCCTTTACAGCTGACGGGGTTTGTCACAGAACGTTCAGTGTCTGTGTCCCTGGCTCCACTTTCGCTGGGTGATATCAGGCGAGTTAATCACACGTCATTGTGGCAAGAAAAGCCTCGGCTACTATCCTGGGTGGTTTGCTGTCCTGAGTTGCCCTTACTGAGTGAGAGGTAAGCTCAGGAGGGAGGTTGGACAGAGGTAGCTGCTGATGATGAAGGTCTGGCACACATTTTGTCTCAAGGTAAAGAGGAATTGATTCGTTTAACAACTGAACTTTTACTTTACTCAGGATCATTTATCCCTATATCAGACTTTTTGAGGCTCATTTAAGGATATGGGTCAAGTTTCGTCAGGATCTTTGGACTCTGATTCTCATTAGGGGTCATGTTTGGCTGGTCTGAAGCTCTTTCCACTCTTCAACAACATTTTTAGTCTGAGTTTATCTTCCGTCACTTTAACAAACTTAAACCCAGCTCTGCTTACCCTTTCAGGGTCTCTAAAGGATATCCCAAAACGTCTCTGGGGCCACACGAAAAAAGAAAGATGTATCCAATGTATGCTAACCCGCTCTCAGTTTTGTTTGTCCCTCAACCTAACAAAGCTGCCACCTCCACATCACAGTAAAGCTTGTACACCATGGGTTTGACTAGCACACTCGCTGCTTGACTTAGTAGTAGGACTGACGATCACACTTCAGAAGGCTGTGGCATACTGAGGAAAAACTGAGGGGAGAGCAAAAGCAGGTGGAAAGCAGACGATGACATCTCAGCGCCAATTGTGGATAATCTGGGAATAAACAGCAATAAATCTGAGCAGCTTTATGTTGTTTCAAAAGCCAATCAAAAGATTAGATTTCCCAACTTCTTGATAGGCATAACAAATGAAAGGTCCAACCTCTGAGTTATACTGCAGAGGCAGGCCAGAGTGAAGCATCTACTGGGACTTCAAACTGCTGGCTACTCTTGAATTGCTTAAAAATTGACATCCTTTCCCAGAGGCACCTGATTGGCGATGATGACTGCCAATGGGTTGCAGTAATGATACAGTAATACTGTGACAGCTCATTGATGAGCACAACAAGTATACCTGTAAATTGGAGCCCCACTGAGCTTTGCCCTCCAGCAAGGCGTCTAGGACTCCACGGCTGGGCTCTCCGCTGCCCGGGTCGTTCCCGCTCACTACATAGTATGCAGCTCGAACTCTTTTGAAGAACTCCTGGTCTACGTTCTTCGCACTGCAGTGGTTTGGCACGTAAGCCAGGTCGACATAGACGGGAGGTCCAGGGGGGACAGCTGAGCTTGTTTTCTGGGAATTGTTGACTGAAAATGGAGAAGAATAAAATTACATACTTTTGATCTGGAGCTCAGCTTCACATTTAATCTTTAAACTGACTGATAAACAAAAGCGAGACCAGATTAGATGTGTATTGATGGTTTCCACATACCTGGGCTACTCTTGACACCATTGACCAAGCCCTTGTCACTCCTAACGCTGTGGGTCTCAGACATCTTGTTCATCCTGGAGCTCTTCTCCATATCCCTCCTCCTGAGCGAGGCCGATCGAGGGGAGGCAGAGTCCTTGGAGGTCTGCTTCACTGGAGTATAGGACCTCTTCCTGACTTCGTTCTTCCGAGCTGGGGAAGCTGACTTCGGTTTGCCCTTCCTAAGGCCTTTTGTGGTCTTGTGCTCCTTCTTGAGAAGTTTCTCTGTACTGCTGTGGTCATTCAGGAGAGCCTCTGGATCCACCATGCACACATCTGGGTGTGGAGGGTGGGGATGAGGGTCCTTCATCGGTGTGGGAAGGGGATCATGAGTCTTCTGAGCTGATCTTGGTGAAGGAGGATGATGACCTCCTGCAGCTCCAGATGCAGATAACTTGTCAACTGGCAGGTGTTCAGCGTCTTCGTCTGAGTCCAGATTTCCTTCGGCTGTTATTGACGGACACTCCTCAGTTTCTGGTGGCACGTCAGAGTCAGACTGTGTCGGCAAAGATTCGCTCACCGACGTTGGAGGTGTTTCCTCTCCTGCTAATGTCACAGCCAAGCCAGAGGACATCCCACCGGGTAGCTGGTGCGGCCCCTGTCCAGAGTCTCCATGGTGACTCTGAGCATGGTGACGCCTCTGCTTGTGCGACCTCCTCTTCACCGAGTGTTGCTCCTGATCATCCTCGTCCCCCTCTTGGGAACGGTCGCTCTGTCCGTCCTCCTCGCCCTCGTCACTGGACAGCAGGTGAGGGCTGGGGTTGATGAACGATGGCGACAGCTCTCCTTTGCGATGTTTGTATTCGCAGGAGGAGAAGCCAGGATGGGAGGCGGATGAGGAGGTGGCCCCGGTGCTCAAGTCAGAGGGACGATCAGCCTTTTTGCTTGAAGCTTCCGTTTGACATGTATCTTTTGAGGAGGAAACAGAGGTGCTGTGGGTACCAGACATCCATTCCATCGCTTCCTCCTCCACCTCTTCATCATCATCGTCATCATCATCTCTATAACCTGCAGGAGGGGCACTTGGGTAGTCATCAGGCCTTTGTAAGAGCTCCCAATCAGATATACTGCTCCTTCTCCTCATCTCCAACCTCTCTGAGGGCTTTTCCAATAAGCTTTTCTCCTCCACCTTCTCTGCCTCTCCTTTTTTACCATCTTCTACTTTTGTGCACATCGTTGGATCAGATGATGACGTCTTATCCTCTGAAATGTCTTTACATGTTTTTTCCTCCATTTTTGGCTTGGCTTCATCTTTAGCGGTTTCTGTCTTTACTTTCTGGTCCATTTCCGATACCTTTACATCTTTCTTTTCCTCAGGTGTTTTCTCCTTCTCTTTATCTTCTGTTCTGGATGAGTCTGTCGTGGCACTCGTGGTTTTGCCAGCTTCACTACCACACAGTGAGGAAACCGAGACAGTCTGATGAGTTTCCGTCGTCGAGGTAATGGTGGTAGAGGTCTTTTCTGTGGAGAGTGTCATGCTTTCCACCAGACATGACCCGGTCGGAGTCGATAAAGTCTCTTTATGCTCAGCTACTTTGATTTTTTCACATTCAATACGACACGGAAGGGTGCTGTCCTCCATTTCTAGGGTATCAGGCTCCTCATCTTGAGCCGGCACTCTCCCGGATGACTCAGCCCTTTGGAGGGGGGAGACATCAAAAGTGGATAAACTCTCTGGTACCTTTGCCGGTTCGATACCTTGCACAGATGGTGCTGAAGAAGAGGCTGTTGTAGTCTTAGTCTCTAACATATAAAAACTATCAGTGCTTGACTTTGTGTCCTTTTCAGACTTTGGAGGATCATCAGTTTGCTTTGAGGTTGAAGACAAGTCTGTAGACAACGGTTTGGTCTCCTCAGATTGGATGGGCACCTTGGTTGCAGGTTTTGTGGTCACCTCCATGTACTCCTCTCTATGAAATCCACCAAAGCAGGAGCTTGTGGTTTCTGTCCTGAACGATGGCTCCTCCTTTGCAAGAGGTACCTCAGAACTCGATAGTGTTGTTAAAGTTTTAACTCTGTCCCCGAGTTGTTGGCTTGAAGGCGAGGACATTGAGGCTGAAGATGAGAAACTGTACGACGTAGAGGAATAGGTTGTCGTTGAGTATGTTAAGGTAGTGTATGTGCAAGCTGAGGTAGTTCCTCTGGGTTTTTCTGTGATATCTGCTGCCTGCCTGTCATCTTTACTTTCCTCTTTTATCTCCTTTTGAAGCTTAACATCTCCGTGTTGGGGTAGGAGGGGGGAATCAGAGAGAGTAAGGGTTTCCTCTTTTGATTCCGATTGACTCTTTCCGTTTTCTAAATGCTCAGGGTAACCGCCGGGTTTGCTCGGTCCGATATCTGCGTAGCTACTTCCAAGTGGAGGAGAGGAGCTAGATGTATCCTTGGGCGTAGGCTCTGACCTGTCGGAGATTCCTGCAAAGCTGCTTGTGGACAAAACTTGAGGAGACTCCTTCGACAAAAAGCTTGGCGACTCAGGCACTTTTTCTTCATCTGCTTTTTTAGACTGAAGTACCTCAGAGGGTGGGAAGTCCTCAACTGATGACAACTTCCTCTTTGCACCAGACTCAGGAGACATCTGCTTTTTGTCCGTGTCCTCTGACTTCTCGGTTTCGGGAAGTTTGGGGGCGTCTAACAAGCAGCTTCCGTCCACTTTGGGAGCACTTTGATCTGGTTTGGACACTGTTTTGCAAACGTCTTCACTCTTCGTGTCAAGAGGTTTGGATGTGGCACCGTTCATATCCAAGTGATCATCTTTAAGCGGCTTTGGTTCAGGAGACGACGCCGTTTTGCTCAAGTCCTGCTTTTCTGTCTCTGTGACCTTTGAGGCGGAGGCACCGTCGGGCGTTGGTTTACTGATTGGTTCCTCTTTATGGACACTCAAGTCAGGCGACTGTGACTTCTTATTGGGGTCTTCCACCTCTGTCGGCGTAGCACTGCCGTCGGAGTCACGTCTGCACATTTCCTTTTCAGACTGTTCCCTTGCACCTTTTTCCATGTCAACATCACTGGACACCTCCTCTTCTTCCTCCTCCTCATCTTCTTCATCATCATCATCAACATTGAAATCCTCTCCCTCTACAAGTAACCTTTTGTCTATCAGGCCCTCTTTTCCGTCAGGATAATCTAACAATGATTTAGAAGCTGCGGAGCTGCTAACTTGGCTATTGTCGGATGCTAAAACGTTATCATCTACTACATGTCCTGAAAATGTCGCCGCGGACGCTGCTCCCAAGTCGCTCGAAGTTTCCTCTGTCTTTGATGGAGAAGCTTTCTGAGGTAAAATGTCTTTCTCTGCAGGTGAACGCCGACCAGACGGAGATCCCTCCATTTTGTCTTTGAGTGACTCGGCAGATTTCTCTCTCTCCTTTTCTGTTCTCTTATCTGACGGTTCTGCAAAGGCTGCAGGAGTGGCTGAAACTTGGGTGCCTAGATCCGGATAGCTCCACGATGAAGAGGTCGTTTCTTGGCTTAATGATGTGCCTGTAGATACAACAACGCAGGAGGCAACTTTATCGCTTTCCGTTGCTCCTGTTTGAGCAGCGTCGCCCATCATATCCTCTTTCTCTTTCTCTGTTTTCTCAGGTTTGTCCTCTTTCGGGCTGAAAGAGTATGATTCAGCAGCCTGTGACATTTTGTTGTCTTGGATGTCCACAGATGAAAAGCTCTTGTCAACATAAGGTGCTTCTGGCCTTTCTTCTCTCTCACTCTCCTCCTCTTGGCCTTTTTCTCTGTCTTCGCTTTCAGGTGAGGCACTTGGGCTGTGATGGCTGCTTCTTTCACTCTCTGTAAGGGATGCCGCGCTGTAGTCGACTCTGCTGAAGGATAAAGGCTCTTCCTTGTACTGGTCATCCAGGAGGAACATGGCTGCTCCAGCATCTACCTGGCTTGCTCGTCTGTTATCATCAATACCCATATCAGAGGTGTGATCGAAACCTGGTGTGACTTCACTTTCTTCTCTCGTGTCCAGGTCATGATCCTTTGGGAAGGGCTTCTCATACGGATCGTACTTTGATGCGGCCATGGTTTGCTTTTCGTCTTTGAGACTTGTCGTTTCTGTCTCCGAGGTCGATTTTTCGACGCTCTCCTTTTTCGCAGAGTCAGATTTTATATCTTCGGTGTGGCCGGCCTCTTTAGAGTCTTTGTCCAACATAAAGTACGAACAAGGCTGTGATAATCCTGGCGAGGCAACCTCCCTCTCTCCCTCCATCTCCCTCTCTGCCTCCTTGACCGGTTTCTCGTCCGGCTTTGTCTTCTCTGTAGCGCTGGCTAAAGAGCTCGCCTGAGGCGGTACCTGTTTCTCCTGCTGTGGCGTTTCCTCCACGCTGGACTGGCTCTCGATGCTTGAAAGCGTGCTGCTCCTCTGTTGACTGTCAGTGCTCGATACTGTTGACAGCACCGGCTTCTTCTCAGTCAAGTCTGACGCCGGTTCTGTTTTACCCGCGGGGATATCAGAGGCTTGTTTGGGAACAGAGGACGCCTCCTCCTTTGATGTGACAGTATCAAAGGACGGTTCTGGCTTGGCGAGAGGTGCAGGTGTGATTTCTGTTTTTACATCTTTGCCTGCTTCTGCCGGGAGTTCGTGTTCGTCTTTGTCGAACTCTTTGATGTCTTCATCAATCGAGGGCTCCTGCATCGTCAGCGTTGGTATTACGACGGTGATCTTTTGCGTGACCGGTGGTTTCGTTTGGTCACTTGTCTGTAGAGTCTGGGAGGAGGGCGGACCTGCAGGTGAAATGTCATGTTCTGGTTTTTTGGGCTCCACCGACAAAGGTCTGGAGCCGGCTCCTCCCATACATATGTCCTCCTCTTCCTCGTCTTCCCTGTCTTCATCAGAAGAATGAACCACAAATGCAGGTTTGTACTCCGTCTTTGATGCTGCTGCGTCTTCCTGAGCTGGCTGCTTTGTTGTTTTGTCCTGCTCTTTTTCTTGTAACTCCTCTCTCTCCCATTTCTCCTCCTTGGCATCAGAAGAGTCGTACTTTTCCTTCTCAGCGACCTCCTCTTTCTTTGAACCAACAACATCCTTATCTTTAACTGTCTCTGGTTTTGTCTTTTCATCTTTTATGTCTTCATAGGTGTAATCTTTCTCTTGTTCTTTTTCCATTTTCTGCTCTTTGCTAAGTTCAGCGACATGTGCATCGTCTTTTTCTTTCTCTATCTTCTCCTCTTGACTCATAACAGCCTTTGCTTCTTTGTCTTGTTCTTTTTCCTCTTTCTGGATTTGGCCGGGAGACACACAAGTGTCGTCTTTAGCTGGTTTCAGGGGTTCACTTGATGTACTTACAGAAACGTCTGGCTGTTTGTCTTTTGACGAATCGCTGAGAGTTTCCTTCTCTGTCGGCACATCAGGGGTTTCTTCTCGCATTTGCTTATCACCGATGTCATGAATATCTTCCTTTTTAGTTTCTTTTTCCTCTACTGTCTGACTTACAGGAGGTTGTACTCCGTTTTCATCAGCTGTTTCAGACTCTAAAGGATAATCATCCTTCCCTTTTTGCTCATCTTTGGGGCTTGATATGGGAACATGTATCTCCTTCTCTGTCTCCTGTTTGATGGATTCAGGAACAGCATCTTTTTTAACCTCCTCTGTGGTTTTAACTTCAGGTGACTCTTTCTCGTCCTTTGGTTGTGCAACACTTGAGTCTTCCTCCTGCTCTTTGTCACCCTTTTCAGCATCTTTACTCTTAATTTCTTCCAGAACTGGTTTGTGTTCAGGGATATCGGTCTTTGTCGGCTCTTTAACCTCAGAAACGACGCTCATTTCCACCTCTTTGTCATCCTCGATGGGTTTCACAGCAGTATCATCTTTTTCTTTCTGCTCCTTCACGGATACAGAATCAAGAACAACACTCTTTTCTTTCTCTGTCTCTTGTACTTCCTCTTTTACCGTTACATCTTCTTTCGCGGTTTCTTTCGCCTCTTCTTTTATGAGTTTTTCATCAGGTTTGGCGTCTTTCGTATCTTCCGTCTTATCCGTGACAGGTTTTTCACCATCCTTTTCTTTGCTTTCCTCCTTCTCCTCGGTAGGTTTAATATCAGAAACTTCATCTTTGACTGGCTCTTTAACTTCCTTGACAGTTTCGGTTTCATCACTACGATCTGGAGCAGACACGTCCTCTTCCTTAGATGGTTTCACTGTTGTAGTTTCCTCTTTGTCTGCTGCTTTTTCTTCTTTGTCCTCTATCGGCATTTTAACGTCAGAAGTGTCTTTACTGACTTCTTTCTCCTTTTCTTCTTGTACAGCAGGTTTGGCAACTGAAGTGTCATCCTTCAGGCTCATTTCATCCTTGGGTATCTTGACGGCAGATGTATCCTCCTTCGTTACCACATCCTCATCTTCAGTTTTGGTGGTTTTGACATCTTCATCCTTTTCTTCCTCCTCGACTGGTTTGACAGCATCTTTAAAAACGTCTTTCTCTTCTGTTTTTATTGGCATGGCAGAGGAATCATCTTCTTTCTTCGCTTCCATGTGCTTCTCACTGGCGGGTTTTATTTCCATGGTGTCATCTTTACTTTCCTCGGGCTCTTTTTCTTCTCCGACTGTTGCTTCAGCAGCGGAAACATCTTCTTTAGTTGAGAGTTGATCTTTTTCCTCTGTCTTCTCCGGTTTCACTGCAGCTGCTTCGTCTTTAATTTCCTCTTGTGTTTTTAGTTCCTCGACAGCTGGTTTAGTCGGAGAAGTGTCGTCCTTGCTTGGCGGTTGATCTTCTCCCTCTGTCTTGATTAGTTTTGCAGCCGCGGTATCATCTTTACTCGTGTCGTCCTTCTTTGCTTCGTCTGCTGCAGGTTTGAAGATGTGAACATCATCCTTGCTTGCAGTCACATCTTTTTCCTGATCCTTGGAGATTTTAGTCTCAGAACTTTCATCTTTACTTGTCTCCTTCTCTTTTTCCGGCTCTGTGGATGGCTCGACAGAAACGCTCTCATCTTTACTCCCCGTTGCTTCGATTTCCTCGGTTTTGGCGAGGCTGATAGTTGAGATAGCGTCTTTACACGTCTCTTCTGTCATAGTAACAGCAGGCGAATCAACCTTACTAATCATTTCTTCTTCTTTGATGAGTTTAGCAGCAGTCATGTCCTCCATCTCCTCCTTTTCTGCAACAGGCTTGGTAGTAGAGATGTCTATCTTCTCCATCTCTTTCTCCTCTTTCTTAACTTCCATCTCTTTGATATCAAATGTTTCTGTCTCTTTCTTCTCGTCTTTAACAGGCTCAACGACAAGCACATCATCCTTCTTCGCCTCTTCTTTCTTTTCGTCTTTCAGTGGCTCTGAGGTTTCGACTTTTTCGACCTCTTTTTCATCAGCTTTGACGGCGCTAACGTCAGAGGTTACACTCTCTTCTGTTACCTTCTCCTCCTCTTTCAACATCGTACTATCAGATGCTTCGGTAGTTTTTACCTCTTCCTCTTTAACCTCATCTTTGGTCTTTAGGTCATCTTCTTTTTTTGTGTCTTTCTGCTCCTGCTCATCTGCGATTGGTTTGGTCTCAGATGCAACTACATCCACCTTTTCCTCTTTAGGACTTTTAGGCACTGACTGTTCATCTTTGATAACAATCTCTTTTTCAATTTTTTCATCTTTTCCAGGTTTAGCGTCAGAAATATCGTCCTTCACGGCTTCTTTCTCTGCTTTCTCATCTGCGGCGGGCTCGGCTGAAACGTGTTCCCTGATGACGGATTCCTGCTGCGGTTCATCCTTGAGTTTTACGACATCAGAGGTGTCGTCTTTCTCTTGCTCTTGCTCTGCCTTGACGGTTTTACCAGCGGATTTATCATCATGATCATCGTCATCGCCGCCTTTCTCATGATCATCCTCATCATCATCGAGGAAACCGCTTTCCCGCTCTGGAAATTTACCTTGAAGAGGCACTTTAGGTTCTTTCTCCGTAAGCCCTTTGTCGATCACTTCATCACTTTGTTCGGATGACAGGAGGGAATCCTCCGACACTCCGGGCGGCTGAACCTCTGTAGATGATGATTGTTTGTCGTCATCTTTTGCTCCTGTTACGATCTCTTTTTCTGAATCCTTTGGAGCTGAAACCTCCTTCACGTCGGCTTGTTTCTCCAAAGATGTTTTAACTTGATCCTGATCCATGATAACTTTGTCATCATCTTTCTGCACCTCCGGTTTTGCTTCATCTTTCTTTAAACTTTTATCTTCAGCTGCTGTGACAACATCAAGGATCTCCTCTTGCTTTTGCGAATCCCACTCAGCAGATCCCTTGACCTCCCCTTCCACTGGTGACTGACGGAGCGGGGAGTGAGCAGCACTGGGCGGTCCGGACTGGGGAGGGGAGGCCATTTTCACAGTGATATCATCTGGACTGAAGCAGCGCTCTTCACTCTCTGAAGTTACTGAGTCAGATCCAAATGGTCTTGTAGGCACAACAGAAGAAACATCTTTAGGCGCGACTGTTTCTTTATTTTCTTCTTCAACTGGTAGATGGACGGAGGCTGAAACTGGAGGCACAGAGTCGGCCGGTGGTTCAGGAACCTTCTCTTTACCCTGTAACAACATAGTGGCTGCATAGCCCTCCTGGAGCTTCTCTAGTGACATGTCAACATTAGGAGTTTGATCCTCTTCCTCTTCTTCTTCCTCCTCCTCTTCCTCATCTTTAGCATCAGGAGCTTTGGCAGCCATCTTAGCTTCTGCGACAGGAAGTGTTAAGTCTTCAGACGGAGATTTGGGCTGTTTGTCATCTTCTAAGGAGGGCGGTGAAAGAGTTCCTGCAGACAGTGGCTGCTCTTTGCCTTGGTCGGATGGGGTCGACAGAGGAGCGGGGCTTTTCGGCGGTTCTTCAGCTGTAGGTGCGACGGCGGACGCTACAGATTGGTCTTCGGCGATAGAAGTGGGGAAGGAGGATATTTTGTCGTACTCTGTGATGGAGGTTGCGGAGGACACATGCTCCTCTTCTGCCAGTGGAGCCGTGATGATGTTGGTGAATGCTGATACTTGCTCTTGCACGCCTGGGATGAAGCCTTTCTCGGTCATGGCCGCAGCTTGCATCTCCCTCATACCGTGAATGTCGACGAATGATCCAGTCTGATCTGGAACAGATATGTCGTAAGAGCCGACATCGTACTGGAGGTGCGGTATCCTTTCCTCCGCTTCCTCGTGGATCTCCTCGTCGGAGATTGTCTGCTCTGTCTCAGAGTAGCCGGGGATGGTCTCGTCTTGGATGTATGAGATTGGTTCAGCTGCAGCCGCTCCTTGAGCTACTGAGGTTATAGGAGCCGTAGCTCCTCCTACATGTGACAGGTAACCCTCCTCCTCCTCCTCCTCCTCTTCCTCTTTTGCAGCAGTCAGGATTTCAGAGGCTATTTGTTCCTCTGCAGCATCCTCAGGCTTGACTTTGATTTCTTCATCTGCTATTGCGTCCAAATCCTCCACCTCCTCCAGTTCAGCCTTCTCCACCACCTCCTCCTCTTCCTCCTCCATTTGTAGCTCCTCTTTTGTCACAGCCTTGGCAGTAAGAATTTCTGATTTCTCCATTTCTTCTATTTCATGCTTCCTGTCGAGCCCTTCATCCTGAGTCTCCTTCCATTTTGACTCGTCTTCCTCTTCACCGATTCCCATATCCTCTTCCTCCTCTTGTATGATTTTCTTTTCGGCAACCGGAGCCTCTTCCTCTTTCTCCTCCTCATCTTGAGAGGCCGCTCCTTCATCTTCAAACTTTTGAGCCTCTTCGTCCTTCTCTTGTGTCGACTCTTTGTCCTTAGCTTCGGCTTCTTCTTCTGGGGCCGCGGCCTCCTTTTCTGGAGACTTGGGAACTTCAGATCCAGGTTCTTGTGCTTCGTGTTCCTCTTGGGTAAGGCTTTGTGATGTCGGCTCTGGTGATACCTCTTTAACATCAGAGGGCTCTGCTGATACAGCGACAGTATCTGCTCGCTTTAGTTCTTCAAACTCCTTAGTGAGGTCCTCAGGAGTGGAGGGAACAGATATCGCCTCAACAGCCCCGTTCTCCACGGGTTCAGCTTGGATAGTTTCAGGTTTTGGTTCTTCTTTCTTTGTCTCAGCGGGTTCGGCCTTCGCGGTTTTGACTTTTGCGGTCTTTGCCTTACTGGACGCTTTCGCTTTATGTAATGTCTTTCTGACTTCTGGTGTAAGAGGTTTGAGGTCAGGCTTTGTAATTTTCCTCAGCTCAGGTTTGGAGCCATCTTTCTTTTTGTCCTCTTTGGACTTTGCATCTTTCTTTTCATCTTTTTTAGCCGAGTCATCTTTCTTCACTCGTTTGATCTCTTTCTTTTCCTTGTCCTTTTTCTCGTCTATCTTTGACAACCTTTCCTTCGAGTGCTTTTTTAAGGTTTTTTCTTTCAAGAGCTTTTTCTTCTCTGGCACATCAGTTTTACTTTTGGGAGTTTTTGTCGGCTTTTTCTCCTCCGTCTTCTCTGATATGTTTTCCTTCACGGAGTCACTCTTCGCCTCTGTGGCGGCGGACACGTCGTCCTGTCCGTCAGCCTCTTTCTTCGAGGCCTTTGCGGTCGTCTTCGGAGACGACCTGAGACTCTCTTTGCTGTCTGTCCTTTGCTTTAATTTGGTTTGTTTTATGACAGAAGGCGGAGCTCCTGAGGCGATGTCCTTTTGTGTGGCTACAGGATAGCGCAAGTAGTCAAGGTGCTTTAGTTTTTCCAGCCCCTCTAGGATCTTGTTTTGTGGTGCATTCCCAGGGAAAAGCACTCTGATGATCTTTTCTGTAGGGCTGGCAGGAAGCCACACAACGAGAGCGGTTACTGATGTCAGGTAGGGGACGGATATTTCTCCTTCTTTCCCATTTGGCAGCACGATACCAGTTTTGGCCTTGCTGTTGCCAGCCCACTTCTGCATTAAGAATTGCATTTCTTTGCTGTCTTTGACCGGGTTGAGGACGTACATGTCTAACCTGCCCACTCCCATCTTGTGGAACAAGGTGATGGGCTCGATAGTGTTGCTGATCACTCGAAAGAGAGGTTCTGGTTTGATTCCTAGTTTGTTAAGGTACTGTAAGGTCAGCGAGGCCTCTTCGATGCTGCGCTTGACTTTGAGATTCGATTCAGGCATCCGGAGCTTCTCTGGCACGTTGAAAAATACAACACCCAGTTCGGGAGAGATCAGGTTTTTCATCCATTCGTTGTAGTTGGTGGAGTCTTGAGACTGCTCCTCCTCCTGCTCCGCGATCTTCCTCTGGAGCAGCCCGTTGATTCCTGGCAGATTGTCGGCACCAATGTGTGTGAGCAGGATGGAGTCAATGCGGTCCAAGTGGCGGACGAGTTTCCAGAAGCAGGATTTCCGCTCAGAGCCTCCATCCACTAAGATGTTGAAGCCGTTCACGGCGAAGAGAGCGGAGTCTCCTCGTCCGCCGGGGAAAATGTAGCAACATGGCTTGGACAGTTTCAGGAAGCCCCCTGAGGTGGGCGGCTCCAGGAGGTCGAAAGGTGAAGGGACGTCGACGGTCTCAGAGATGTACTCTGTGAACTCGGTGACGCCCTCCATCTTGGGGAGAACGGGGTCAGGGTTTAGTCTGTATTCCAGGAACTCCTGTAGGGTCTGATGCTGTCCCAGGGAGCTCCAGCCCACCTCCCCGCGGCAGGACACGGTAAGTGTGGCCTGCTGCTTGGGGGCTGCTGTGCCCAATAATTCACTGACCTGCCAGAGAGACACGCCCACATGCATCAGTTAGTAAAGTTGTGGTCAACTTGTTACGACAAAACAACAAAAACAACTTTCTCTCGGATCTGGATTCTGTCGGATTATTTCTCTTTCTGTTCAGGTCAATGAATGCAGATCTACAGTATAACAAAGCATTTACATAATCATACATATTCAGGTTCTCACTCTGAGGCATTCATTAAAGTACAGTATGCATTTTTTATCAGCTTATTGATACATGACTCACCCCAGGATCAGCAAAGACACGTGAAAAGGTCTGGTAGGTAAAAACCCCAGTTTGAAGGAGTAGGCCGCCGTGATCTGAGCTCTGACCACTCAAGACCAGGAGCTTGTGTCCTGCTGAGTCTGTGACTAGAGACTGGATCTAGGACAGAGAGAGAGAGAGAGAAAAGACGGAGAAAGAGGACGGTTAAAGGAGAGCCAGGACAGAGGGAGAAATGCCTGCATCATGGCAATGAAAGATGAGCTTGAATTGTGTCAAGGTCAAGAAGATTCAGGAATTAATCCCTCTGCAAAATATACAGAACAGATGAACTGACTCAAAAGTCAGAGTGATTTTACACCGTTTATTGGTGGTGAATGGATCGATCAGTCGGCCCATCGATTGAGCTGTTCACTTTTAAACAGCTGTTAGCTGTTTCCAAGAGGCCGTTACAAAAGCAAAAAAGGTACCATAGCTTGACTTAATTGTTGTTCTGTAATCTTCAGCATTATAGAGCATTTTTCAATCTGATGAATTAGTAAAAAACTAAGGAAGACAAGAAAAAACATGGAATTTTCTTTTTTTATGCTCTGTTATCTTGTGATAAGGAGTTACTATCTTGTTATCTTAATATAATAAAATTTGTTTTCAAGAATTTATTTTCGTCATCCCGACATAACAAAGTTCATTTTCTTGTAATTACGTTTTTTTTCCATTATTTCAATATAACAAAGATCGTTTTCTCATGATAGCTGTAATGGCGTTTTACCCAACCTCAACGGTAACTTTTAAAAACCCTCAAGATTGGAATATTTCTGAAACGCAGCAGCTACTGTTGTCAAGAGCAAGCCAAGGTTTTTAGCGAAAACACTGACATGCTCCATTTTGCACATGCTCATTACACTTTTAACATGGGAACATTGAACTGCCATGTGTGAATCGTTAAAAGTGTAAGTGCAGAGTGGAGCGTGCCGTCAGCGTTTTCATTAAAAACCCTAGCTTGCTGTTGACACCAGTGGCTGCGACATTTCGGAAAAGGGCGTTTTAAAAGTTACCGTTGAGGTTGGCTGGAACGCCATTTCTGTTATCACGAGCAAACGATTTTTGGAATATCTATCGCGGAAAAAGATAATTTGTTATTACGAGAAAACACATTTGTTATGGGGAGATAACAGGATAATAAGTCCTTATCATGAGATAACTGCATCATTGACTTAGACAACCATGTGTTCTATTACGTAACATACATGGAATAATTGAATTGTATATTACTTTTTAAAATATTCTTTACATGCCTCATATTTCCTGTATTAACAATTGCAGATGGCCGGACAGAAATCTAGAAGTTTCTTGTTGCTATCTTGAAATGAGCCACCACTAAGGAAGGCCAGAAATAGAATAATATAATAAAATAAATAACAGAAAACAAAAGAAAAGATTTTCTGATCTTTTATATGAACCTCACATGCATAAACCAATATTCATCTGTAGGTCAATCTGTTGCAAAAACCTTTGTTTCTGTATGATGGTAACCCTTTCTTTTACGGTACACTTATTACCAGGTAATTAACAGGTAATTACCTAGTAACAACATGAATTTATCTGGTAATTACATGATAACTACTAAGACAATACTGTCTAGCTACCAGGTAGGTAACCTTCCATCATCATACAAATTTGAAGTCGAATTGCTCTGGTATTTCCAGGATTTTCTCCGCTTCCTGGAACCACCACTTGCGCAGTAGTATTGTACGCAAAGAAAAGAAGAAAAACTAGACAGTATTAACTTAGTAGTTATGATTTAGACATGAGAAAGTCTAAATTATGAGGGTGACTGACAGACACACGCCTTAGTAAGAAGACGTTCATTAATAACTCAGAGGATCGCTGCAGCCAGCTGAGTGCAATACCTAAATAAACACGCCATAATTACCTCGGATATGACGGTGTCTCCTGCGGGGTTGACGAGCACCACGGTCTCTAAGACATCACTTCTGTGGTGGAGAGTTCTTTGTCCTGCAGGAGAAGAAGAAGAATGTAAACATGACGTTAATCTTTCTGCTTTAAAAGTTAAATCCGGGATTCAATTCATCAACGTCTATAGGATGAATAAGGTGAACAAGGTGACCAGACACTCAGCCGTCTAGCTCGAGGACATACGACTGGACCACATCCAGACCGGATCAGGAAACCCTTTTTAAATCGGTGATCGTTAGAGAAGCCTACAACCTACAGTACATGTGCATCGAGCAAGAGTAAGAGACGGAGAGGAAAACGTCTCTGATGTCTGCTGGATGGATTTTAAGATTGAACCCATTAGTGCCATTAAATTTTAAGAACCTTCTTTGGGTCCTGAACTCGATTTTGTACAATGTGATGGTGGTGGAAAAGGCTCGTTGAAGGTGACATAAAAAAGCTCTTAGCTAATAAAAATGACCTTTACAGAAGAGTCCTTTCCATACATCCTCATGAATATTCATCAGAATTATACATCAGCTGTTAATGCCTCTGAGGGGTGATGTTAAGCTTTTGATTCCCCTCTGTTTCAGCACAGATGCAGCCTCTAATATTAGAGAGGTCTAATAATAGAGAGATCTCAGTGACTCCTCCATCCTACGGGATCTTCAGTGGCTCTCATGAGTTTGCAGCTCTTTGCCGTCTTTTTAGGATCCGGGCTGTCAACACGTGTTTTTCCATGAAAACCTCCGACGTCAATCATTCTCAGCCTCAGATCCAAATAAAGATGGACTCATCAGAGCAGTGAGGAGAGTTATTTAAAGTTGGGATGGTAAAGATGAATTCACACAAGATGTTAATCAGCTGAGTTCTTGTTTTTCGAGGCCGTCTGTGAGTCAGAGAAATCACTTAGTGAACTTTATGACATTTGATTATGTGATCCTCTTTCAGCCGATAATTGTGTTTCATGCCTTCTTAATCTTTATTGAACCAATTTACTGAACTAAAAATGAACTAAATTATAATGTTTATGTATAAAACCATCAGCTGAACTGAACCATCCTACATTCAGACACATTTATAGTCTCTTCTCTTTAACGCAGTGAAGACCTAACCCGGCTGTTCTGACACCTGGTTATGAGAAATTATTCAGGAGTTACAGGACTGCGATTTAAAGGGTTGGTTGGATGTGCATTAATCATTGAAACCTTTCAGCCCAATCTGTCCCTCAGCAGCTCAATAATGGTCTCGTAATTGGCTTCATTTAAGATAATAATAATAAGAATGACTTTATTTATCCCCAAAGGGAAATTCAATAATGCTAACCTCGTGACTTTAGCAGCTGCAACAGGAAGATAGGATCTCAGATGACTGAAAATGTCTGTTTTTTAACAGGTTGGGATTACAGATAGAACGGTTAATCGCTCGGCTGATTAATGGGGTTTTGGTTAAATAAGTCTTATATCGGTATATGGCCGATATCATCATCTTCAGCAGTTCAGCCATGTTTTAAAAATTCTCTGTACTGATCTTGAATGTAAACAACCACGACTTTAACCTGATGTTGGCATTACATTTCAGCCTGAGGCCAGCCTGCTTTGTCATTATAAAAATCTGCATCGTTTTCATTGTTGAAAACTGATATCAGTCGACCAAAAATTGGGATTACTGCGCTGCAGTGTGTGGAATGATACTCTTCAAACTGTAGAGTAAGCAAAAAAGGAAAACGAGTTTTATTTGTTTAATTTGACATTATAAACACAGTTAAATCTGCCACAACCTTGTGGCTATGGTAGCATATGCTAAATTATCAGCAGTTCGCCGTAGGGGTACCCTGATACAACTTTTTTACTTCCCATATTGATCTGATATCGGCACAAACTTCTGCATGACAAGTTCTGCACTCGGCTGCAATGTCTTTTTCGGACTTTAACGAAAAATTTTGCCGAACAGCCGACATCACTCCTACTCCTTTCTACTTTGTTTGTAACTAAGTGCACATTGATGTTGTGATCACGCTGTTGCTGCTAGCCAGAGGTGCTGGAGTGGAGTCTCGAATGGACTGCTTGTATCGGAGGGCTGATATCAGAGATTTTAGATGCAGGCTGATATTGGACCGATTTCTGATTTCCGATATCCGATATCAATATATCGGGACAGCCCTAGTTAGTATGCAGTATACTGTTGGACTATGTAGATTCTAGTTTAGTCTAAGATTTCAGTCACTGTCTATTATTGACTCCTAAAAGTTCAGACTTTAACTCAAACCGTCCATTTGGTCTAAGGGGGTAAAGGGTTGGTGGTAGTCGGGATGTTTTCTTCAGCTGACACTTTTTGGACCTCATTATCAACAGTAGAAAAAGACGATTCATTAAGACAGAAACAGTGATTTATCCTGATTGATCAATAAAAGTCGAACTTTAAATAAATGCTAAATAGGGTGGCCTAACTGGGGTCACCTGAATCAAAAAGATTGGACACGCCCCTGACGGTCGAGGATAACAACACCACCAGAGTAGAAATTAAGAACTACTTTTTTTAAACACAGAAACAAAAAAAAAGGAAAAAACTGGTTTGAAATATAAAATCCACAAAAACATTGACTTAAAAAAAACAAACATAACTGAGGCAAACCAGAGGATGTGGCTCCCTCTGTTGATGTTACCATAGCAACACACTGACAACCATATGTATTTTTCCCCCTGCAGACACACTGCAGTAACCAGCGCTAATGTGAGACAGAAAAGTGGGATATTTTTACTCGACCCCTGCATGGAGCGATGGAGGAGAGGGGGAGGAGACTGGAGGATTTTGTTGATGGTCATAAAACGATGAAACCGCTTCCACCGTTCAAACAAACAAACACGCTGCTGCTGCTGCTGCTGCTGCAGTCAGGAGGAGTTCTAACACTTCAGCAGATCTGCCCACAGACGCGTCCGCTTTCACAGCAGCACCGTGACTAAGCTGTGAGGGTGAGCCATGATTTGCAAGTTCGCTTTGATACTTCCAATGCAGAGGAGAGAGAGAGACACACAACACCGACTGAAGCAACCTCAGCGACACAGAAACCAGCGCACCTGCCTCAATCTGTGAAGAGTGAAGCCCGGAGAGACAGCGTGTCCCTTTGACCCCCCTGCTGTGCTTTTCTCAGGTGAGAGGGAAGAGGAGGAGGAGGAGGAGGAGGAGGAGGAGGAGAGGCTGCTGATGGCTGCCTGCGGGGCGAACACTCGCTGACACTGCAGACTGGTACAATGTGATACTACAACAACAAAGGCACTCTAAGTCAGTCTGAAACGCTGCTGTTCAAAGAACATCAACAATGTGGAGCATCTGAGGAGAGGACTGTCTCTGCTGCTGTTACAGATTCACCCTCACTCTGAAACACAGCTAATGATCGAGAATCTGCAGGGGTGACACTGATGCACGGGGAGTAAAATAGACTTAAGTGCCTCACAAACAAACAGACAAGAAATGAGAAGAGAAGTCGAATGCAAATATAATCAAACTGTAGATCCATCACAGTAATGATCGTTATGAAATAAAAGAGGAGAGAAACTCTTCAAACTAAACTTCAAAAAGGCTCTAATGTCCAAGATTTCTTCCATGTCATCTTAATATTTAATCTGTACGAGGTACAAGATCCTCACCTTCCTTCATGTGTGTCTGTTTGCACCTGAACTTCTAATAAAAGTCGATCTGACTGCAGTGACACGGTGCTGCCTGAGAGTCTGTTAATAACAGTCTATACTGAGAGACAACAGGATGTGTAAACTGTGAAGCCGACAGAGGATTTGAGGTGGTTGTTTGAAAGTGCAGGTGATGGAGCCGAGTTAGTCATCCCACCCACTGAGGAGAGATGACTGTTTACATTTTTACTTTCTCTCTCATCACTTTTCTACCGGATCTTCGGGCAAAGATGAGAGTGTTACATGGTGTTAAAATAAAGTTGGGTCATCGTCAGATTGTAGGTGTGTTGTTTTAGCACATCCTGGATTTGTGTTACTACCCAGCGCGACCAAACAACATCCGTTTTTATGAGTTTGATTTCATTTATGTAGTTGAATATTGATTTTTTACAATGTTCTCAACGTGAAGTTATGATCATCGGTCTCTTGACAAAACACACAATTAACCACCCAAACCTGCAGGTGGGACATTTTGTCTCCCCCTGCTGGCTTTAAAGTACCCGCACAAACACGATTAACCCTTTTTATAACCTTTAGATCGATACAGGGCTTGGCGATATAAGAACAAGTTTATCATGATATTTTTTTTTTCATATTAGTCGATATCGATAAATATCACAATATAAAAAATGAAATTTAACAGTGCTGATTGGTAGCAGGTCTTTTGCAATACAATAATTACTGCATCTGTGAGGTCTTTGTGTCTCTTCGATGTTCTGTCGTAAGGCAAAGCAGACTGAATGGTCCTTTTAGGGTTTGTAACCTTTTGCACTGCATGTGCTCTGCTGCGTGGCTCTGCTTAATTCATTTCTAAAGTTTGTTCACAGCTCCGTAAGGATTACTGGAGGAGGCGGGGTTTATGACCTATACTGCAGCCCGTCACCAGAGGGTGCTGTTCTCACGATGGTTCACCCAGTGAGGAGGCAGACGGCGTCCATTCTGTATACAGTCTACGGACTTGACCAGAGAAACAGAAGGAGAGGAGCATGTGTCGGGGCGGCGGGATAATAGTATTTAAAGAAAAGAAAGGTAAGCAAACTTAAGTTATTTTAAAGATACACCCCAATAATTCAGAGAATAAAACTTTTCTGTACATAAACTAGCCGAATAAAAGAATTAAACTCATGCTGCTGTCACCCTCGCCTTACTATGGGCACAGTGTTGGAAATGAATAACATGATGATTATATACTGTTTTAGATCGAGCCCTTGCCAAACGAAACAGCTGCAGCGATGGTTCTAGTCATCTAGTCCACCGATATCTTAAAAGATATAGTTGGACTGATAAAAAGGGTTAAGGGAAAAGTTGTTCTTGGTTGTGGCGCCTGTTCTTTAATCATTAAGTTAACAAGACAATGTAGAGCCCAGAGTCTCTTAATTTATTGTCTGTAATCTTTCTTTGTGTACCGCTAAAATGTCAAATTTAAGCTCCGGCTTTGACAAGTTTCTCGCCAACAAAAATGATGAATGCACTCGGACTAAAAAGAGCTGTCACATGAGAAAGACTGATGGTGTTTTCAGTGACTCGCGTCAAGGTGGGAATCGACTCATCTCTGCGGAGCGTCAGACACGCCTTGATTAAAGACGTCTCCACCTCCTGCAGCATCCACACACCAACAACTCGTCAGCCTTGATCCGTGTCTATCCTCCATGTTGGAGCTGACGAAGATGTAAAATTACACATTTTATTCTCCCTCTCTTAAAAAAAAAGTGCAGGTAGAGCTCATCTTAAAGAAGATTTAAGGGTTTTTTATGTCTACTGCAGCAGGAGAGAGGATCTAAATCTGTTTAATAAGAAAGTCAGCGTTGGATAAAGTATCCACCATCCATCAACAATCTAGTCTTTTACCACTGAGCACTTAAAAAGCGATAAATAACAGAGCCGCTGCTGGAAATGACACCCCATGATGGGAGTCAGCCCACAGCGTGTCTTTCCACCCTCAGAGATACAAACAGTGTGAAGTTAAAGTCTCCTCGGGCGGCCCAGCGTCTGTTTCTCAGCTTAAACGTGTTTATTTAAACAGTCCTTTTGAAGAGTGCAATGTTCAGCCAACTTACCCTCGTCTATTCATCCCCCTGGCAATCGCAGACAGAGAGACAGCATCATCCTTTTACATAAAGTGACTCCGAGCCAAAAGGCATTTTGAGAATCTCATGCTCTGTTACAAAAAAAAAGGGACTCACGGCTGATAATTTCTTCTTATACCTTCACTTACTGCCCGCTTAATCAATCTTAAATACTCAGAGCTTCCTATCATATCAGCTCGCCAGCTCAGGAAAGTGCCTGTGACTCGGAAACATCAAAGAGGTGAATCTCATTAACATTTCATTTGCATATCGTTGTGACACTTCACTGCGGTTCGATGAGTTCACAGCGAATGACGTGAGACTGAATAAAGGATTTTTTAAAAAGAGAGATAATTTGAGGAAATTGAGGATGAGTCTTTAAAAACTTTCAATGTAATAAGTCTGAAAAAAAAGGGAAAAAAATGAAAAACTGCTCTTTAGGTTGAGAAATTAACTCAGCTCACTGTAATGTGAAATCTATGTTTGTAATTTCTGTGCCTGAAGTGCAGAAATATGAAGAAATTCTGTTTACTAATATTGGGCTCCAAATGCGCTATTGTGTAACTGTTCCTCAAATCTGAGTATAACAGCATTAACATTTAGTTTGCAAGTGAGCTGTTTGGGCTAATATCACTCGTTGTGTGATGTGTGAGCTGCAGTGACGAGCCTGTAAAGCTAGCTAGTACTTCACAAGTTTAGGTTTGCATATATTTTGTTATGCCGAGCAGCTGCTGGCCAGTAGAGATGTCCTGATCCGATATTGATATCAGATATCGGTCCGATATCAGCAAAAAAAAAAACAAATATCGGATTATATCAGCCTGCATCTAAAATCTCCGATATCAGCACTCCGATACAAGCAGTCCACTCCAGACTCCACTCCAGCACCTCTATCGAGCAGCGCCCAGTTTCAGCATGCAGAGCTCACGCATTTTTCATTAAAGTCCGAAAGAGACTAAGCGCAAAACTTGTCATGAACAAGTTTGTGCTATTATCGGATTAATATGGGTAACAGCCAATACTGTTTTTGTTTTTAATCATTCTTTATTTAGTGTCTCTATCTATCTATCTATCTATCTATCTATCTATCTATCTATCTATCTATCTATCTATCTATCTATCTATCTATCTATCTATCTATCTATCTATCTATCTATCTATCTATCTATCTATCTATCTATCTATCTATCTATCTATCTATCTATAAGGCTACAATATCGGTATCATATCAGAAGTTACAAACTTGTATCGGGACACCTCTACTGGACAGACAAACCTGACTGTCCTGCAGGAGCTGCGACAAAGAGTGAGCTGTAAAACTGACCAGTTCTCATTCTGGCCTTGTTCGGATGTTCAGTATCAGGACACAGAAGCATTAAAGCCTCTTATCTTCTTACTCGACACCATAAACTGTAAAAGAAATGGACGTAGCATCGATGGAATCGCCCAGTTGTTTCTAAAGCAGGATTTATTTTTTAAAAATTCATTTACAACTTTTCAGATCATAATACTCTCAAACTCTGCGACACTACGAGACGCAATCACTCATCTAATCTCATTTATATCCAGGTAGTAAAGTATTATAGGATGATATCTTTGAGCTAATAACCGGAGCTATGGAAGACAAGCATGTTGGGCCTATAAGAGTTACTACATTCCTTTATTGAAGCAGCAAGCTTCAGTGAAGTTCAGCTGAACATCCTGGCGCTGTAGTTTAAAGCAAATATCTCTACAAACAACAGCAGCAAGCAGAGCATATGTTCGGGACTATTTTTAGCAGCGGAAGAATCAACATTTGCTCTGGTGATTGTATGCAGGCAGCAGGAGGAGGATGTAAGTGGTTATGAAGAAAAACACGTCAATTATTTCCCGATAGGAAGAACGTCAAGTTTTAGATCTGTTTCTCAGGATATTCATCTTCACCATCACGCCAAAGACACACCTCTGTGTCTGGTTTCTGTGCAAACGGATCACATATCTGCAGTGATCCATTTTCCTGACAAAAATAGCCCCGATGACAGGGGAGGCGCTGAATCTCCTGCACCCTGCTTCTGTCTGTTGACTGAAGGATCTACACTTGTGAACTCTTCACTCTCTCTTTCTCTGTATCCTGCCATGACTCCGTCAGTAACATCAGGTCTCGAGGAGGAAGGTCGTTCGTCAGGCAGAGCCCAACGCTTCTGCTCATTTTTGGTTCTTTTTCGGCTGACCCGTTTGATATAAATACTCGTGTCTGAACTCCCCGAACGAGAGCGTTCTGTTTAAAGACGACTAAAACGGAGCACTGATCGACCGAGGCCCAGCCACTGCACTGCTCCACATAGCCTGCTCTACATTCAAGGTGGTGTGAGGGATGACGAGTTAAACATTTAAAGCTGTTTTATTCAAACATCTGTGTGATAAAAAGAACAAATTTAATATTTAAATTCACCACCTTTAAGTCAAAAGCATAAAAATATGTGTATTATAGCCCGAACAATATGCGAAGACCTCAGAGCTGAAAATGAATCAGCACCAAGGCCAGCTCCTCTTTCAGCTGCAAAAAGTCATAATTGTGATGTAATGCCAGACAGAAAGCCAACATCCTGAGCTAAATATAAAACCGTTGAGTGTGAGGGAGGATTGTATTGTGCTATAGAGCCACACACGTCAGCACACTCATCAAACAAGGTCAGAGCGTTCAGGTTTGCGATAATGCAGATTTTTCAGCTCCCAAAGGAACGAAAAACAGGGAGGTGAAGTTATGTCGGGCCTGCAGTCAGTTACTTAATCAAAAGATAGTAAAGATATTTAAATATAACTAATTTATCCTCTTAACATAATTATTCTATTAATTAGTTTGTTCTGCTGTAATTTTAACACAGGCTACAGCAGAACAAACTATCAGGCGGCTGCAGGGTGGGAGAGAGGAGAGCAGGGAGAGGAGCAGGAGGAGGAAACAAGTGTTTCTTTTTTCTTTATAAAAGCCAAAATATGTTTTTTTATAAATCATTTGATGCAAAGTTCATCTGATCGATGACAGTTTTTTTAATTTAAGGGGTTTTAAAGAGTGCAAAAAATAAAGATAAAAATACAGAGTATGTATTTGCTTAGATTGGAAAGAGTGAATGATGAGGTAGGGCTGGGCGATATGGCCTCAAATCATTTTCACGATATATTGAGGAGTTCAACTCGATAACGATAACTACTTCACAAGCTGCTCACCCCCTCCCACATTAACTTTGTCTACTTCAGCCGCTACAACTTCTGAACTGTCCTCCATCTCCTCACTTGTCTTTCTCTCTGTTACGAACTGGATGGGGTGGAGTCACGTCTCTGATGTAGGACAGCGTCTTAAAGGGACATGAGACCATAGCCTACCTACACACTTCCAAAACCAACTGTTATTTATTTTTTAGACATCAAATATACCGATACGGTCCAAATGACCTTGGTTATTGTCTTAAATTTCGGTATCTGCACATTTTCGGTTTATCGCCCAGCCCTATAAGATATGTTACCGAAAGCTAACCATGTGTATTCTTTATTAGAGCCAGACACTAAAAGTGCTCTCGGCTATCACCCTGCATTCATGTGGCGTCGGTCAGTGCTTGTTTAAGCCTCAAGTTGGAAAATATCTCCAAAACTTGATCAAGAATTTGGCGTCTGACCCAGAATCATATTTTTCATCAACATGGCAGAAAAATGATGTTTCATTTAGGAAGAGTGTGACTGCCGAAGCCGCCCCGCCTGAACTCTCATCTTACTAGTCTTCCAAAATGAAAAAAATGACGTTGGTTATTGTTGTAAATTCCGTTATTAGTAAATTTTCGGTTTATCGCCCAGACCTATGATGACGAGCATCACACATTCAAACTGAACAAACACTTTTATGACACCCAGAGAGCAGACAAACACTGCAGCAGGTATAACCTGATGTGACAACAACTCCCAGCAGAATCCAGAAACCAACATCTTAAGCTGCTTGAGAACAGCAGACCAAACAGGACCGACTGGGACGGATTATAAGTCAGTGATCAGGAGTAGGAGGATGATCACGTCTACAACTGACACAAAGCATCAACATGTTTATCCTACAAGTCCATTGTTGGACCATCTACCGCTGGGATTATGTTATGACACCTGAAACAGCTAAAATTGTTGATCCAGATCCAAAGGGGGGCGTTTAAAACCTCTGCAATATAGATAAAGCGTAGAGTTAGAGTTTCAGTCTGTTTCATGACCAGCTGAAAACTCACAGGAGCTTAAAAGCACCACAGATGAAATGCGATCAGTCCATGTCTGCACTCTTACCACATAACCCCTGGCTAAAACCCCGGGCTTGTTTTCGCTAAGAGAAATTAAGTTATATAATAAACAAGTTAATGAAGCTGATCCGACGCCTTAGGATTCGTCTCCATATACTCGTCGCATCAAATGAGGCTGATTGAAGCTGACATCGAAAAAGTTATCACCCTGCTCTTAATCTCAGACTGAGTAGCAGCGTCTGAGTTTGGATAAAGTGGTGTGAAGTGGGCTGGAAAATTAAAGAAGCCGGCGCTGTGTCATCTCGGTGTCTTTACCCATCATAAAGCCGAGGATGAAAGCTCCAGGACTGGCCATTTGTTTGCGTCTGAACTCGACTGAATCAGCCTGAAAACTACTGAATTAATGACCCCTTTATTTTAATATGAGCCTCGTTGTTAAAACGTTTTACAACTCTGAATATTCTTAGTTAATATCAAGCTGTGCAATAATGGAAATGGAGAAAAACACTAATTAATTATAGCCGATTAGGTAATGCTGTTTATCTCAACTAAGTAAACACATGAACTTATGTCACCTTCAATATCTTTTGTTTACTGTAAATAAATGCTTAACCGCCTTATAATAACTGTCAGAGCCACTATAATTACCCCACCAGGTGTGGATTATTTTAATTTTAGAAGGACTTTAACCAAAGACGTTACCCCCCCAGGACACAAAGTAGCCCCTTGGACCACAATCACTGTCAACATCAGCAGGAAGCCACAGTCTTAGTTTCTGGTGCTAATCCTGGTCCTGTGATTTGGCAGCGCTGAGCGAGTGAAGGCCTGTGTGCCAGAAACACTCGCTGTTCTTTCTAAGAAAAGAAAAAAACATCCATTCAGTCTCTGCTACGAGAAGTCTGGAGAATCCACAGGTGGTTGTTCAGCGGGGTGTTAAATTTTCAGTAAAAACGGCCGATTGTGCTGGAATAAAAAAAAGGCAAAACATCCACAACAAGCCAAAGATATTTTATGTTATGAATAAAGGGTTCAGAACATAAATAAGGAGGGACAAGTTAGTCAAAACAAGTGAGCACAACCTTTTTTTTAAGATCGATGAGAAAAAATATGTAAAGCCACATTTACTTTGGGCATTACTTGAAAAATACAGAACACAAAATACTTCAATTAAAGCTCCAGTGAGGGGTTTTTGATTCGTGTCAATTTTGGCGCCCCCTGTGGACAAAAGCAGTCTTTGCTTTTGACCAAAAATATTAGACTTCTTTGATACCTGCCCTCTCACATATATGTCAAGCATAAAAACTATAATATCAAAACCATCAAACTTGATGCTGATGACTTAATGAAAAGGCATCAATATGAATTCCATAAATATCAAAGTTAAAACTCCTTATAGAAGCTTTAAGTTTGACTTTAGATGCCTTCGATTCTGCAGGAGAAAATATGTTTAAATAATAAAGTATGAGTCAATATCTCAGAGTAAATCCTTCAAACTTCCCCAGAGGAATCACCCTAAGAGTACCTTATCCTATAATAACTCTAGTCTGGAGTTAGCTAACACCAGCTTACATTTATACTTATATTGAGTGTTTTCGGTCAAGAATCAAAAAAGATTTTTAATTTGAAAGAAAAGTCCTTTTTAAAGCAGGGAGTGGACATATAAACTGGTATTAAATGGAAAAACTCAAGTTAAAGGTCCTGAAAATAGTTTTCAGTCACTTTTAATGACCTCTTCAAATCACTTTTTATAAGATAAAGGACTATTTCAGTCACAACAAAGCCATAACCATTAGGCTGACTAAATTTCCCACTTTAAACTGCTCATTATCGACACATGAGCCATTATTTAATGAATGAGGAGATGAGAGAAAAGAGGAGCGGCCGGCTGACTGCAAACTGACTCCCTAACTTCTTCAGAACTTTTCACCTGATTTAACTCAGAGATGGAGTATTAACGGGTATCACCATGTCTGACACATTAGAAGAGAGGGATCAATAGAAGAAGAAGAGGAGAAGGTAGAGGTGGAGGAACTGTCGATGGAGGAGTCAGACGTCTTTGGTTTTTCAGTCACTGAGTATCAGAGTGTTTGAGGACAGACTCAGAGTTAGTTCAACTCCTGTAACAACAGCTATCCCAGTCTGAACCTTTACTCTGCTCCTCAAAGGGCCCCTGAGCTCCTTTCGCTCGTCTGTCATTCAGGCATCATTGCTGCAGACTGCCATGGTGATGCCCTACAGACGCATACACACAAACACAAACCTGGCAGCTGCACATATGCACACATGTCAATACGTCCAACAGCAATTGCAGATTTGTTGCACTAACTTGTGGAATTGTTTTCCAGAGTGGGTATTTTCATTGATATAAGTAGGGCTGGGCGATATGGCCTCAAATCAATATCACGATATATTGATCAGTTCACCTCGATAACGATAAATGGACATTAACTACTCCACATGCTGCTCACCCCCTCCCACATTAACTTCGTCTACTTCAGCCACTACAACTTTTGAACCGTCCTCCATCTCCTCACCTGTCTTTCCCTCTTTGTTACGGACTGGATGGGGTGGAGTCACGTCTCTGACGTAGGACAGCATCTTAAAGGGACATGAGACCATAGCCTACCTACACACCCCGAATATACTCTTATGGGCAAAATGACAACGCTTATTGTCGTAAATTTCAGTATCTGTAAATTTCGGTTTATCACCCAGCCCTAGATCTTGGCTCATGACAAATATATTATTAGAAAAATAAAGGTAAAAACCAAAAATAGGATTGAGGTCTTGAGGGGTCTAGAAATTCAAAAACCTTCAGTATTTTACTCCAAATATGTTACAGTCACATCTAATCAACCTGGGGCAAGTAGCAATGAGTAATATATTAGGTTGATATGTAATAGTAAATATGCAGCTTAATCTTCTTTACCAATGTAATGGAAAATACAGTACAAAAATAGTATTGATTGCAATAAAGAAAAGCAAGTTGACTAAATGTCAGTGACATTATTGGTCAGGTAGAACAAGATTGGGAAATTTATCGAATTTAGAGCCATTGATCAAACTGCAATATGTCGAGAACATGAGGGAATCAAATTAAAACTAAAGTCTAGTCCTCATTAAAGAAACTTGAGATGTCAGTCAGGTGTTGCATTTTACACAGCTGGTCTTTCTAGGATGAACATTTAAAGTACTGAACATGAATCAGATATGTGCTGTCGAATATTTGTAAAAACGAATATACAATATAAGGCTTATCCTGCGAAAATAAAATAATCTGTTCAAGAGAACCTTCGAGCTAGAGTGTCCATGAAGGAGTCAATGAAGATATTTATGTTAAAAGAATATATATTATAATTGATTATTTTTTACTTTGTTACATCATGGCTGTGAAAACATTGAAGTGATATTCAATAATCACCATTATCACAACTGTAGTATACACATGTATACTGCATTTATAGTTGAGGATGAACGATTTTAGCCCAGTCTACTTGCAAACCACCTCCAAAAAAATAAAAATAATAATCAGGTTTGTTTTAGAAATAGCAGGGATATTTTTTAAACTCAGTAAATCAGAACACAAAATAATCAAAAAAATCAAAGTGACATTTATAGAAAAACCCTGCAGAGTGACAGTCTGACCACCCTGAGTGAGCCTGAGAATCAGAGAGAGCTGCTGCAGGAGAGGGCAGTTCAGGAAATATTGGCAAAGTGTCATCGTCTCTTAGAGTCCGGTCCACAATGTGCCAGCCATGACATCATTACTGCTCCCCTTACTCCCCCCTCACACCCCCCCACTCCCCCCTCTCACCGTCTGAGGGTCTAAAGAGGCGCTGAAAGCAGTTTAAACACTACACTTCACACACACACACAAGTGAGAGAGAGAGAGAGAGCCGTACTCGCTGCCAAAACATCACACTTAAATGTGTCAGAGCATCTTTTCCAGGCCACCAACATTTCCCCTCGCTGTCTAACAGTATAAATACCCGCAGTAATGGGCCCTTTTTGTTCAGACTGTATCTGGAACAAGAAGTCACATTCACGACCAGTCACATGCCTGCAGTGTCTGTCCTACATGAACCTGTTCGATTGTGAGTTTGGATGTTGATCTGCTTTATTAAACAGCTGTGAGAGTTTTAAAGAGGTTTTTCATGGGGGCCAGTTTAGCTCAGATGGTTGAGAAGCAGGCGCCTCATGTACAGAAGCTACAGTCTGGATTGATTCCCTGTAATTAGGTGCATATCTCTCTTCCCTCAATTACTGTCTCTGTCCTGAGCTGTCCTTTCAAAGAAAAAGCCCCAAACTATAAAATGGGCAGACTTTTATTTTGAAGGGTCTGATTTATGTCCTACTTTCATACTAGGGCTGAGCGATAAACCGAAAATTTACCAATACCCAAATTTACGATAATAACCAACGTCATTTTGCCCACATCAGTATAGTCAGTGTCAAAAAAATAAATGAATAAAAGTTTGTTTTGGATGTGTGTAGGTAGGCTATGGTCTCATGTCCCTTTAAGACGCAGTCCTACATCAGAGATATGACTCCACCCCATCCAGTCCGTAACAAAGAGGGAAAGACAGGTGAGGAGATGGAGGACGGTTCAAAAGTTGCAGCGGCTGAAGTAGACGAAGTTAATGTGGGAGGAGGTGAACAGCTTGTGGAGTAGTTATCGTCCATTTATCGTTATCGAGATGAACTGATCAATATATCCTGATATTGATTTGAGGCCATATCGCCCAGCCCTAGGTTTTACACAAATCTTATGATACGTATCTGGTATTATGTCCTGCAGTAGTGTATCTATTTAAAATATGCAAATGTAATCATGTTTATGTAAAGTAAACATATTTAGGATTCAAGATTTGGTTAGTTGTACATTAATTTACACTCTCAGTACCTGGTACTCTCAGTTCCAGGAACTACATTCTCAGTAACTTCTGATTCCTTCAGTTCATTGTTGTCTGTGTTTTGACTTTAGAGTCTTTAGGATTAGGAAAAAATAATCTGCTCAGTCTGCAAATGCAGATTATAAATAACTGATGGATGACTTGACCGAACTGGGGTGTTGTAGTCGAGTTACTAAACCACCGGAAGTCCAAGTCCTTAGAACTCAAGTTCAAGTTGAGCCAAAGACACTAAAGAAGAACATCTGTCAAGTCAAAGTAAAGTCGAGTTTAACTTTAAGGATGGCTACACAGGAGATCACTTTTAGATCCTAGACTTCCACCCTGGCCTCGGCTTGATTGGGACAGTAAAATCCTGATGTTGACACCTTACACTCAAGGATTAACTGGAAGAAAATATTGGTTCAAATGAGTCTTGAATCAGGCCACGCCCTCCTGACCACTGGGGGTGACAAATCTAGCCCTGAATCTGCTCTAAAGTATTCTTGTATACGGCACTTTGTCTCGTCACAAATCCTGGAAATCAAAAGTCCAGACAGACTTGAGTCTCGATCTTCAGGACTCATGACGCCACTTAGACTGGGCGCTTATTACTGTCATACATCACTGCCAGTCAGAACCGTTGTTGCAGCAAGCTCCGCCCCTAAAGTTCCTGGTTCTCTGGGAGGTTTCTGTTGTGGAAACACAGTTTTAGTCTTTTTACTCTCCTACAGAGGTTTTTCCAAAGAGATGCACAGAAAGTATTTATGCAAATTAGACTGAGTTCATGTTTTTTTCTTTACAACTGGAGGAAATTTATGCTAACGTCATCTTTGCTGCCTTGGTACCGAGTGCAGGAGAAGGAAACAAAACCCAGATTTAGACCCACAGCAGTGACACTCACAACTTTGCTTTCTGACTCCCTTACAGCCTTTCTTTTAATATCAGGAGCTGACATTAATTTATTCTGTATCAACTCCTCCCTGACCTCAACACCACACACACACACACAGACACACACATGCTAACACAAGCTATTAAGAAAGGACACTCCTTGTTTTCGCTGCTGAAGTCTTGCAGTGTCAGGAAAGAGCGACAGTCATTATAAACTAGTTGTCAGCGATATGTTGACGAGTGAGGACGTCTCATTCATCATGGCTGACGGGGTCTCAGGGTCGCGCATATGCGGGCGAGTGAAACAACAGCTATGAAAAATAAGTGTCAGGGTGACCTTCCCGCACACAATGACAAGATATCCAATCCCTCAAGATGGGAAAAACCCACAGCGATGGAGAAGGGAGAGAAGAAGCTGTCCTCGTATGACAGGGACGTTAGGAGCGAGCACAGAGAGGTGTAAAAAAAGAGCCATACTGAAGTCACAGGCTGTTAAATTGGCTGCAGATAGACCGCTATTTGTTTGAAGCTTTTGCTGCAGCAGCTCTAGAGTGAGAGGAATCGGCCCTCAGGGATTTACTCCCAGCTTAAGGTGGTCTTAAAATGGCCAACATACCGGTTCAAGTCACTGACTAGTCATTTGGTAAAGACAGCTCACTTTAAACAACTGCTTCAAGCTGCTGAACGTAACCATGTTGACCCAGATACTAGATTTTTTCCTCGAAGTACATCTGAGAAAGTGGGATCATCTTGTACTCGGGGTTCAATATTTAATCGTCAATATTTGCTGCAACATACGGCGCCACTCATCAGTGATACAAGTGCACCCCTAATGATTTAGGCCAGTCTCCAATCATCACTACAGTGCCAGGGGGGATGAAAGATGAAGAGACACGGGGAACAAATAGGACGAGTTAACCACATATGTCTGGATTGTAGGGCTGGGCGATATGTCCCCAAATCAATATCATGATATATTGATCAGTTCACCTTGATAACAATAAATGGATGATAACTACTCCACAAGCTGCTCACCCCCTCCCACATTAACTTCGTCTACTTCAGCTGCTACAACCTTTGAACTGTCCTCCATCTCCTCACCTGTCTTTCCCTCTTTGTTACAGACTGGATGGGGTGGAGTCACGTCTCTGACGTAGGACAGCGTCTTAAAGGGACATGAGACCATAGCCTACCTACACACATCCAAAACCAACTTTTATTTATTTGACACCGAATGTATCAATATGGGCAAAATGACGTTGGTTATTGTTGTAAATTTCAGTATCTGTAAATATTCTGTTTATCGCCCAGCCCTACTGGATTGTTTCATGTTGTTGCTGCTCTGTGTTTAGTCCAACCATCTCTCTCCTTCTACCTCCACAGTTCAGGCAGATGGCTGTCAATCATGAGTCAGGTTCTTCCTGAGGTTTCTACCCAAATGTCTGCTCATAGTGGACCTGTGTTGGGTCTCAGGAAGAAATAAAAAAAAGAGCAAAGTCGAGACCGTATCAAGCTTTTTTTTTGATTCACCACCTTATCGATTAAACTTAATAACTGAATGACTGATGGACACACAGGTTTACCTCACCTTCGGCCTGGCACCACGGCTGTTTCTCAATCTGCTGTTGTGTTTGAAGGTTTGAAAGTCTACGTGTGGATTAAACAGAAAAATAAGGTGCTTCATATTTGAAAATTGTAACTCCCACTCTGGCAAAAACACATAAATAGAGACTGAAGGAGGGTTAAGCTACTTAGACTTTTGTGTAAAAAATAAAACAACACTATTAAATCTTCCACATAACAAATCTGGAGATGTTAATTCGCATTACCGCAGGGTTAACTGAAGGACAGGTTACCATGGACACAAGCTCCTCATTAGTAAACGTCCCCCTCCTCATTTGCATCGCCTGGTTTTAGAGCAAACCTGCTATGTTCAGCAAGATACAGGTCATCAGGTTAACCTTCACATGGTGTTTCTTGTGCATGTGTTATCCAAAGACTCCCTGCGTGTGTTCACCTCAAACACAGCAGCTCAATAACAGCAGTGGTAGTAAAATAGACCAATTCAGTCCAGATATGAGAGTAATTTAACCTCTCCCGAACAGGAAAATAGCTCTGAAATTCTTCTTTAATTCGAGGGCAGACCCCGACCTGATGATAAAATCCATCTTCAGTCGAGGAGCATTGTTCTGGATGTTGTTGTCATCCATCTATTGGCTGACTGGAGGAAAACAGTCAGTGTGGAGAGCATAAGAAGTGGCACACAATCAAACATAATGCAGTCCCCAACGAGTCAGCGTTAGTCTGAGGCTGACTCAGCTTTATTTGATACCTATAAACAGATCTCTGGATGCAACTGCAGCCAAGAGTCCATATTTTGCTTTTCAACACCATCCTTGCACAAGTCCTCCATCACTTATCAAATGCCACGCTAGAAGTCACTAAAAGTCGTACCCAGTTGTAACATCGTCAGAAGCTTCACGAGGCAGAAATGAAGCATGTATCGTAAGCAGCTTTCGAACAGGATAGCGATTTTCGGCCATGCTAAGGTCCGCCCCCTCAAAGTCTGGGTGTGTCGGCACATTGACTACATGGATTTCTGTCAGCAGATCAGAGTGGACAGATGGATGGAGGTTGGGGCCTCTGGGAATGACTCCTGATGGAGTAATCAATGTTTACTGCTGCTCTTCCTCTCTGACGGCTGAAGGGGATCGAAGGGAGAGGCGTCACCTCTACGCTCTGGTCCAATATGGCTGCCATCAGCATGCGTTCTCAGTCTGCAGGGTGACCACTCTCTCTGTCTGTTCTGCTTTTGTTCCAAATCTTTCCTGAGTAGTCTGTCTCATACTTCCACATTCAGACATGATTCGTTCTTACCGCCTCTTATTTTTGTCTTTGTCACTCGTCTTCAATGTCCGTAGATTCGTTTAGCTGCATAATGAATGTCTTTACTTTCGTCGCTTTGTGTATATCCCACTGGGAAAACAACATTGGTTTTTGGATCTATGAGTCTTTGGTTCTGATCTATCGGTTGGTGGCTGCATGTAAAAGCACCAAAAGATGTGGGTCATGTAGCTGCGCTGGTTTGTATTAAGAAGTAAAGAAAATAAAATGTTAAAAGCGTCTAAGAAAAGCGAGCTCGCCACGCAGAATGAACAGAGATAGAAACTGAATTGAGAGATAGAGACTGGGGGCTGAATAGCTTCGGCACCTCGGGACTATATTTTCTTCAGAAGAACAGGGACTCTTATCTCAGCAGGGGGTATTCGGGGAGTCGTGGGAGGGGTTGCAGGGTTTCGTCGCATTGGTCCGCACTAACAGTCGCGAGAGTCGTCTCTTTTTACATAAATACAATACAAACACAGCATGTCTATTTTCTGCATATCTGTACATTCACTATCTCCCTCTCACACTCAGAGTTGAGCAGCAGGGAGAGCCGGCTAAAGCAGACAGGGAGGTGCGAAACGCTGCAAAGACTGCTGCATTCTCCGAGCCAGAACCACCCCTCTTTTCTCTCTTTTGTTATCGACGGGTCCCGAGACTCAGGTCCGTTCACTCTGCGCTCCTGCTTTGTTTCACTAAATCTACCCCAGGTTAGCAGCATCTCAAACACACACAGACCTCGGCGTCCTATGTCCCGTGATGGTGATTCATGCTAGCTTTTTACTTATGTAACCAGCGCCTCTTAATCATACATAATTATCATTATTAACAATACTGTGACAAATTATGCAGCAATTATCATGTGGCTGTTGGTGAGATGGACGTATATCCCAAAAGGGTTCGACTGATGGCGCCTTATAGAAGTCGGGAACAATATTTTCAAGTGAAAGCTAATGTTTTTTAATGATGCTCTGCGTGTAAACAGCGATTTTCATGCCCTCAAAAATACGTGAGTGGTACTCAGTGTTTCCACTGACACAGCAGTAAAAATGGGACACTAACACTCTTCATTAAAACCCGACAGAATTAAAGCAGGTCAGTTTCTCCTTAAAGTAAGGTGACCCAATAACAGGTAAGGGACCTACAATTCACTTTAACTCCGTTTGAACAAATATACCGTATATAAATAACTTTAACTAGCAAATGTGTAATTATGTGGTAGTAATCAGGGAAGAGCTTGAAAAACAGTATTGTGTGTACAGTGTGCGAGCTATTTCTGAACTGTCATTATAAGCCGCTTAGATTATAGAGCAGTCACAAGTCCGACCATATTTTTCATCACATACCTCTATTTACCTCACTCTGACTGCCTGGGTGTCCACTACGGGAGGAAGGGTGAGTAAGCGGTTCAGACCTGCTGTTTATTTCATGCCACATATGAATAAAAAGTGATTAAGTCATAGATTTCCTGTTGATTGAAGTTAAAGCTTCTGTGAGAAGCTTTTTGTTTGTGTTGACTTTGGCGCCCCCTGTGGACACAACGATACGTCTTACATCTTTGCTTATATTTTCTTGTACGTGTGTTGGAAGTACAACACTAGAAAGCATGTGTCTTTCTGTTTTGGGGGTGAAGCTGTGGAACAGCTTTCCCGATGAACTCAAACAAAGCAATTAGTGATTTTTGTTTTGCCACATTTATCATATTGTGTATCGTTATGGTACAAATGAGAGATTTGAAGTTTTCTAGGTAAATATATAAAGTCCATATTTGTGTTTATATACGTGTATAAAGGTACGGTGCATATATGTATATATAAGGTCTTTTTTTTAGTATTAATGATTTGTTAATATTCATGTTAGACTTTGGAGCTTTGGTTAATTTTTGGCGACTTCAGAAATCCTTAAATTCTAGAGACATGTAAAAGGTCAACGAATAAGAAGGAATGAGGGTAGGTACAAGTAAGCTAAATAGCTTCTACCTACTCCTTTTCAAACTCCAAAAATTGGGGAGTTTCTTGTCTAAAAATTGTTTTGTATGTACATTTAATCGAATAAACAATATGTCTCTCAGAAGTATTATTGCTGTGGCGCTATAACAACAAAGCTAGCATGATAAAGCTGCTTGCAGCTGTACTCGAGCACATGGTGGCGTCAACTTTAGCGAGGTAACATTTTTCCCATGACGGTGCTAACATGGCGATTGTTGGCAAGTGCAATTAAACTCGAGAAAATCACGCTAGTATTGCTTTTTAGCATCGTCACATTTGTTTTGTAGGACTAAACCTAAAATACTATACTACCACTATTGTTGCTGATACAGTGAGATCGGAAGTCCTGCCCCTTCTTGATATTGATTGGTCAATGGTGGTAATGTAGTGAGTGCCACAGCAATCTAAGAGTTGACCCATTTTAACCTGAGAGCAGTTGAAATGCACTTTTTTTGCAGTGAGCACTGAAAATAGGTCCTGCCAGCAAAAAACATTGTTAGTGGACACAGGCCCTTATTCTTGCTGTGGTCCCAATACACTGGAATAGTAACGTTTTAACAGCTGTTTCTCTGCTTTACTTTAAAGTTGTATTACGCTGAATGAAACTATATACTAATATTTGAACACTGAGAGTTAAATCTCTTGTCTGTGTTTAAATTCCTGCTTCTGCAATATGGGAAGTTTGCGGCTAAGTAAAAGTTTGTGTCTGAAGTAGATTTTTAATTAAATTCCTCATCTTGTTTTGTCTCTTAGTTTTTCATGAGCTTATATCACATTTAAAGCGATGCCACAGCAATAAGTCAGATGATATTTGTGTTGGAAAACCACAGAGAGCTATAGGCAGATTCTGATTAAATATATTGAATACCAAGAAACCTAGAAATAACCTTCTTGAAAGTAGTAATGGACTTTGACAGCGATTGCTGGATGAGACATCAAAGTTCGTTTTGAACTGAGACTAAACCAATTAGCAGACAGGTTGTCTAAGGGAAACGAGCCAGCAGCAGTGTGATGCCAGTTCTCTGTATCGGCTTTATAATGGTCTCCATGTCCATCCAATAATGAAGCACACTTCCAGTGTTGCTGAACTACCTCTGCTGCATTTAGCTGAACCGAGTCAGTCAAAGCTCGGTGTCCATCCGAGGAAAAATAAACATAGCTGTTTAGGGATCAAACCTGGATCAAATACACAACTTCAAGGTATCTGTCTCTAACAGCTCGCCTCTGCAGGGACTGTGTACGGCAGATAATGGAAACTGAATGATGTACTTCACATGGGGGAATAAGGCCACACATCAAATTGGCGTTTAGTAAAGTGATAAAAGCAAAAATTGGCTGAATTAGCCAATAATTGTATAAATGATGGATGAATGAGTGCCCACTCTCACACAACGGGCCATTTCAACAACTTCCTGACCCGAGAAGACCTTTCAAAGTCCAACTGGTCAAGCCGATTTTCGAGCTCTGCCCCCCAACTAAATTTACATAATTAAGCTGGTCACTAATTGGAAAACCATCTAATGTCCCCATTCGGGCCTTTAACCGGTGACATAAGAAGGCTAATGCTTTAATAAGAGGATCTAATGAAGGGTGTCAATGATCACACTGGTCGGCATCTCAGTTCTGCTGAAGTGGTCCTGGGAGAGTCATGAGGGCTTTAGGGTGCATTATAGTGGTTAGCTGTTAAGCCATTCAGACATATCAGACGGGATAAATGTCTGTTTGTGCTTGACTGTGAATTTCTGAGTATCTTGTACTCTCAATCGATGAACATCATCTGAATGAGGAGCAGCCCTGACATGTGATCAAGTTCCCCTGGATGCTCACCTCGGCTATGCTGCGCTAAACCCGCCAGCTGCTAATCTGAGAGTGCAAGCACAGTTCATTGTCTCCATTGCAATCCAAAATCCTCGCAGATTAACAAATAAGCACTTTCAGTTGTAGCGTAAGTGAATTGGAATCGTGCGTGCTGGACGGTACGTGTGTTTAAAAACCGCCGTAAGCTCCATTGTGCTTGACCTGATGTTGTAAGAATAATAGGATATAACGAGATCACCTGATGCGCCGATCTGCCAGTTCTCCCAAAAAGTATTTAACTGTTTTATTTCTGGTTGCCAGGAGCTCAAATGACAAGTCTTTGTAAGGTTGGTTAAAAAACAATAATGGGTGACGGTTCCCTGCAAGTCTTTACGTAATCGCTCCTTGTTACTGCGAGGATTTGCTATTGTACTTTGTTTCACGTGATTGTACTGTGGAAGTGTTTTGTATTTGGACTTTCGGTCAGACAAAACAAGCTACCCTTTGACGTCACTTCAGGCTTAATAACAATAATAATAATAAGTGGATTAATAGCCTGAGTTTGTACCTGTCCCGCTCAGCATAATGCACGTTACCACAGCTTGATGAAGGCAAAAAATTTCTTGGCTAAAAGAGGAAAAAACAAAACAAGTCCCCCTCTGCGATTAATTAAAAGTAATGCACTGTCTAACATTCATTTTGGAAACTCTAAATCACAAAATTTCCCCTTTGTGATACTTCTCAGTGTTGATTTGGGATTATGCTGCTTGGCTGAGCTGCTCTTTCACAGTAGATGTCGATGTAATGTAACAGCCCTTCGTATACTTTCTTTTCTCCGCTGACTTGTGATTAAAATCTGCTCTCACCTTTATACAGCAGCTGCTGCTCGGTTTACTGGAACACTAGTCAATATCTAAAGCTCCACAGTAACTACACTCCCTCCTGGCAGATCTGAAGCAAATCCTCTTTAAAAACTCTCAAACTGATTTTTTTTTTCACTACAAAAGAAACCCAAGAGGATTCATTAATATTTATCTTTTTAAATGATAAAAAAGCCGGTGCAAATGCTGGACGTCTGCCTCCTACCTAAAACCAGAAGGACATCTCTTTTTTCTTTATGGTCCACATACAGCACTTAGTATAGGTCAAGTAGAAACCTTATTTTCATGTAGAGTCCGTGTGGGATGTGAGGAGTGAATCGTAGGAAGAAAATGTCAAAAAGTGACTCAGCACTCTCACTGCAGCTACTAACTGTTGATTCACTGGCAGCCTCACCAGCTAGGCTAATTGTTTGTTACTCTTTAGCTAGCTTCAAAAGGGGTAATTAAACAGAGGAGCCTGTATGTGAAACGCAGAGTGTCACTGCTCCAGGGAATTAAACCACTGTTCGGTTTATAACATCCCATTTAGACAATGTAATAGCTGCTTATGGGGCAGCTTATGTCAAGCAGTGACTCAGCAATGCTAGCTTAACTGTTAGCTTCTAATTTAATCGAAGACGAGAGAAAAGAGCTGGACTTTTGCTCTAAGTTTTCAGCAGATAGAAGAGCAAAGCAGTCTAGAATCACCATGTCATATAAGTCTAGAGCCTCTCTGCTGTTTTAAAGGGGGGTGTTAAACTGCTAGCTTGTTTATTACTGCTGTGATATTCAGTCATTCAGTAATAAGTGGCCATCTTGGTTGATTTAAAGAGCCTGACCAGTGCATATTTGTTCATTCGTCACATCAAACCCTGACAAACTCACCCTGTATGAGATGAATAATTGGGACTGTATCAAGACAGACAAGTGGGGACATTACAAAGCAGCAAATATCCGAGTCTTTTGGGCAGAAATGTAAACTCTGACTAGCTGACTACTCTAAAAACCAGGAAAAGTAAGTAAGTCAAAACTGAGCATCTCTAAACACAAGATCACAGAGTCGGGCAGGTAAAGGAAATCAATTTGGTTTACAGACAGCAGAGCAAACAGCACAAGCACTTTCTGCAGGTTAACATCCAAGTCTGTGCTGGTTACACATAGCTATGGTAGAGTTAACAAGACACAGCCAACCTGCAACTTTATCTCTGTTTTCTAGACTAAAAATGTCAAACCGTGCCGCACTACATGATACCAACTGTGCTTGGTTGCATCCTGATAGTAGAGTTTTTTAGCATTAGCAGCGGCCAGTTATCAAAGCTACAGTGCCGACTAGCTAGCAACAGCTAAGATGCAACAAGTGAACAGCATTTGGGCCGACTATAATAAAAACAACTAGTTTGTTTTACTTGCTGGTAATTCTAGTGCTGACCAGCAATAACGATGATGTTTGGGGATAAAGCGACGAAACACTCAGACCTAGCATCAAGAACTGAGCATAGTGTTAGTTCAGCCCTCACTTTATCTAAAATATTTGATAATTTGACCAATTACATACAAAAACATTTGACAAAACATATGAGTAAGAGGCAAGAGGGCGTACGACAAAAGCACCGTACAGCTCTGCACTGTTTGTTCGGAAAGCTTCCTCTTTTTTACGACCTTTCTTGGTCTGTCAAGGTTTTGTTTACTGCCTTGTTCCTGATTGATGCCAACGTTGTTCTGTACCTCAAGGCTCTTTGCTGCTGCTCTCCCCTCCTTGGCTTCCCATGTTGAGTGAGCACATTGAGTGAAAATAATTGATTCTCTTTGACGAAGTGGATCCTGATTGAAGTACCATTAGTCAGCAGAACTGTCTGGTTCCTGGGCAAGAACCAAGGGTTTAATCAAAGGTATCTCCATAGGTTAAGCAACCTGATCTGTCAGAAATTGAAGGGATTGTCGAGATTTAGTCACGAGGTCAGTTTAGGACACCAAGCTAGACGAGTTCAACTCAATTACCAAGGATCCAGAGCCTTAAACGGTTGGACCTATCCATGTCTACCGCCCAGGAATGACTGCTGTTTTCTCTTCAATTTGGTTCAGGCTATTTCGCAGCATCCATGACCAACCGATACTGATGTTGCACATGAGAGGAAATCTGATCACAGAGGTTGATGGCTTAATTTCAGCCCAAAATTAAAGTCTGGATTAGTATGCAGCAAAGTAATTATGAAGGCACGGCCATGCATGCTGACAGTCGCAGCCAAAATAGTCGTGCACGTAGACAGACAGTAGATTAGATCAGTTACACACACGCACGCACACACACACACATAGGGGCTGTATCGAAGCACCTTTGCTGAGTCACTGGAACCATTTAGCCCCAAAGAAACACAGGAAATCAGAGCGTCCTATAACACGATGAAAACCGAATAACACAGGAAGAAAACTGACTAACAGAGAAAAATAGCAGCTTTTCTTGGCACCAAGTGTTACCTCACAGACAGCCAACCACACACAAAATACACAAACACTGTTTAGGATGGTTCGACTGCAATGGCAACATCCTCGGCATGAATGAATCATCACAAAACACAGTTCTCTATTTCAGGGTATGGCTGTTTGCTGCTCGACCAAAACACATATAGACCCGTCTCTCCTCTCTCATATCTGATCCTACGTGATCATTTGTCCTCCTCTGAACCATAACACAGCTCGGGTGCTGACTTCATCTCATTACCTTACCAGCATGCCAACTGGAAACCATGGTAATGATACAAAGAGCACAGAGCAGGGCTGGCTTTTTTCTGTTTTTTCCAGATCTGGAGGGAGTGTTAGGTTTTCCTTTTTTTCCACCCATACCTGTAGGGGGCATTGAGTTCATCTGCATCACCTGAATGTTATTAGAAACTTCTCATCTTTTGCCACACCAGCTCGCAGTGACTGAGCAGAAATGAGCACAAACCTGGGGATCCTTGTCATCTCTTAATCCAACACATCAAACCCCAAACCTTTTCATTTATGGCGTGTTTTTCAATTCTGCAAAGTAAATACAGGCTGCATTCACTTCCATTCAAGCTTGCAAACAGCTGTTACTCATCTTTTGGATCATTTAACAGAGAAAATAGGTGAAATGAGCCCCTACTGCTTTATAGCCTGAATTAATCTCTTTACTATGGATAAAGAAAGGGCTCGCTGAAATCCCCTGGCTGAACCTGACATGCCTCTTCTTATGTCAAGGTAGATTTAAGAGGACTGATTGTTTAAGGAGTTAATGCTGTCTCATGCCCTTATTTCTCCCAGACATTGATCCTCTTACGCGCCACCAAAAACATTGCGCAGAGAGAAAAAAAGTAAATGTTTCGCTCTGGGATGTTTCGAGAATCTTACGCAACAGCAAGAGGCTAAAAAACGCGGATCGAAGCGCAAATGTTTGAGGAGAATCGTCACATCTTAAGAAAAATCAGAGCAGGGACGAAAAACAGGCAAAATACGCAGCAGTCGATCCACAGCATCCCACTCAAACAGGAGAAAAAAGAGCTGCAGTCGAAAACAACTCCGCGCCAAAAAGGCAGAAAAACAAACCTGAAAGAGGAGTTGAGGGATTGCAGAAACAGTTTACGTACCGTCATGGACGAGGAGCCACTTTACCGGAGAGTTGTGTGTCTACGACCGGCGAGGAGCGTCGGCGGAGCGTGTGTGTGTTTGTGTATGTGTGTGTGTGTATGTGTGTGTGTGTGCGTGCGCCGGGCGGAGACAGGAGCACAGAGGAGGAGATTTGGCACATTTGGAGAAGAACGCAGCCTGGTGGCGGAACGCAGCTCGCCGGGATGCGGCAACATCCGTCTGCAGACTGCCGAGCAGCGGCGTGCGGTCCAACCAGGGAGGGGCGCACCAGGCTCACACACTGCACCAGCAGTAACTCATTCAGTGCCGGAGAGGTGTGGGTGGTGGGTGGGTAGAGAGCGCTTTTGTAAGCGGAGGGAGGGAGAGAGACAGCGGATCTGTGATGTCTATGTGTGTCAGAGAGTGAGAGGTGTTATGCACCAGATCTTATACTGCTCAATGAAAACATGTCAGTCAGTCTAGGATCTTACAATGACAGTATGACAACAATTACCACAAGTTAGGGAGAAGCTGAACGTCAAATACGACCACGTTAAACAGAATAAGGATATATTGTTTGGATCGTTTCATTTTTGTTTAATTTGCATGTGTAAAAATCTTAATCTTTTTGTTTTTCCACAAAGATCAGGAGTTTAGTAGTTCCTCTGACACGGCCTGTGGTGCAAGTACGCTGTACTACCATTCCCTATCAGGGGCGTGTCCAGACTTTTCTGGCTAAGGGGGGCCCAGCTCATGCAATGACCATAGTATGTGTGGCATTAAAGGGATTTTCTGTTGTAAAGTTAATTTAGGGTCAAACACACCGTAACAAAGAGTTAGAAACCCCCTTGAGAGATGAATGTTGCCGACTGCTTGCTTCTCTAGTTATACCAACTTTAGCAATGACACAGCAGTCTGAGGAGCCATAAACAAACCTCAACCAAAGCACCACTCTATAGCCACAAATAATGCTCAGAACAGCACCTAACTTCATCAACAGGACATATAGGGTCACAGCCATAGAACTAGACACCAAACATCTTTTTAACTTTGACTAATTTCTTTAGCAAAGACACTAAACACAACTCACCTACTCTCTTCCAGCAGCCGCTTCTTTGTAGTGAGACCTCGGGTCAGTCCATTACGGACTGCTGCAGGGTGACGCAGCTCAAGGAAGAACATTTATGATCATTACCATATTAATCATTTTGCACTGCAGACACAGTAGTTCTTCTGCCTTAGCGTCTCGGTCTGATTGTATTTCCATGAAGAAATGATCATAAATGTTCTTCCTTGAGCTGCGAAACCCCGCTGTAGGCCGTAATTGACTGGCCCGAGGTCTCGTTACATGCAAGCAGCTCCTGGAAGAGAGTAGATGAGTTGTGTTTAGTCACTTTGCTAAAGAAATCAGTCAAAGTTAAAAAGATGTTTGTTGGCCATTACTGTTGTTATGACCCTATATGTCCTGTTGATGAAGTTAGGTGCTATTCTGAGCATTATTTGTGGCTATAGAGTGGTGTTTTTGTTTATAGTTCCTCAGACTGCTGTGTATTGCTATCATGCGGTCGTTACTAAAGTTGGTAAAACTCGAGAAGCAAGCGATCGGCAACATTCATCTCTTGAGGGGGTGTCTAATTCAGTGTTACGGTGTTCTTGACTATAACTTAAATTCACGTCGGAATATCCCTTTAAGTGACTCGCCTTTCTCTCTTCTCTAATCTACTTTAGCTACTTACAAATGTTGTCTGTCTGTACGTATTAACCATGAAACAGCAGGACAAGGTTCACAGCAGAATCTTGTCCTTAAAGGCCCCCAAAGAAAACTCCTGGTGCACAAAGAGTAGGAGCTACACATCTGCACATAAACTGCACATTGCTGAACACATTGGGAGTCCATATGCAGGAAGACAGATACTGACACTCAACCTAAAATCTATCAAACACCTTAGCTCACTGTGGTGCCTGAACTTTTGATGCCTGTGGGTCAGCAGAGGAGCAAGTTGCACCCAAATCGAGACAAGCCTGCATTCTTACTCCATGCCACGAAGTATAGTACAACAATTAGACACCATTACTTTGGGAGGAAAAACATATATAGTAATATTCAGACTACAATAGTGGATAGTTTGGAAAATCTCTGCTGATGGATCCACTCTGGTCTTTACAGAGAGAGTTTAGGGGAAGGCCTTTCACCTGCGGATGGAGCCAAGTCTATAAATAAAACGGTTTTCCCCGGTGCGAGAACTTGACTGAACTGAGCAGAGCCCTGACCTCAACCCCCCCCTCAGCAGGACCTCAGTTCAGCAGCTTTGGGATGAATCAAATCAAATCAAATCAAATTTTATTTATATAGCACTTTACAATATCCCAAATGGTACCCAAAGTGCTTTACATAAAAGCAATAAAATAACACAAGAAAAATGAACTGAAACTTCACTAATGCTCTTGAGACTAAATGAGAGCAAATCAAGCCAGCCAGGTCACAAAAGTGGCTCCGATTTCTCCGGCGAGGAGCGAAGGCTGATTTTACAGCATTTTGACTCTGTGATTATGATCATACACAATTGAGATACTTGAATAACTATGTTTAAGGTTTCAGTATCACTATAATTCAGGAGACAATGCTCAAACAGCTGCATGTCAGATCTGAATGCTAAGACCTGACTGTCTGCATCCATCCTTCCTCAATACTGAGAAGTTCTTACCGACTCGTTGACTTGGTGTCACGTTCTGTGTCAGCCGAGCCAATTCCCTCTCTCACGCTCTGTCCTAATCTCTTATTACTCTCTCTGCCCGTGCCGCTTTGTTCGACTGTCCTGAAACTCATCATAAAAGTATCCCGATTATGTTTGTGCTCCGGCAAAGAGGATTGAGGGCTTTTTGTGCGCGCTCCTTTGAGATTGTGTCGCTCTTTTGTTGAATCATTCTCGTATATTTTGTTTATTTCACCGTTAATATTTTGATCATCATGCATTGACGTCATCGAAGTTCACATTGTTGAACTTTTATTGTGTCTTTCTGGTGGCACAAGCGCACTGCACCAGTCTGACATTTTAACAATCCCCTGATACACACACAGACACACACACAGACACACACAGGCACCAGATCTATCCCATTATCTCCTTTGTTACTGTATTTAAACCTGATCAGATTATCAGATCAGCAGGGCCCATTCAGTAGATGTCCAGACCACGCCTCTTCACCCGCTAGTCCCGCCTTCTCATCTTAACAGCCAATCAGAGGAGCTGTAACAGACACGGCTGCGGCTTCAACAACAGGAACAGATTTTCTTTCCCTGGCTCGGCAACAAAGCCTTTTAGTCATACTGGTGGAAGGACAGAAGCACAACACTCGTCTGATTCCCAACACTGCCCACATCTCAAACTGTGTGAGGTGAAGCAAATGAGTCTGAAGCAGCTCTGAGGTACTGCTGCAGGAGAAAAAACCAAAACAATCACTTTTTTACAGGTTTGGCTGAAAGCTGATGATATTTTAGTGCTGAGTCATGGTCCATGTTTGATTTATGTTCTCGGATTTACTGTCCTTTTAGCTTTTGGTATACTTATAGTCTTCTCTTAATAAACCGCCTAGGCCTTTTATTGTTTTACCTCTTTCTCATTTCTTTTTATTATCATAATTTATATTGTTTTTTTTTTTATATTTACTATCCTGTTTTCTGCTTTAACCCCATTTTTGATACATTTTCCTTTTCTTAACTATTTTATATTTATATTTTGGTCCTCATGGTCTCATTTTATGTTGCATGGTTCTTGTATTGTCTGGGTACATTATGACATATGAAAATGGCCTTCAAATCCGTTTGAACTGAGCTTTTTGTTTTTATTTGTTTTTTATTATTTACATTGTCTACCATAAAAATGGCTCATCTTACTTTATTACGGTGACCATACCTCCTCTTTTACCTGGACATGTCCTGTATTTTGGGGGCTGTCCTGCCCTCCGGCTTTGTCCGGTTTTGTTCGGGGAGTTCTGAGTTTGTGTCACGTGGTCTTGATGTGTTGGAAGCGCGTAAAAGACACTCGATCCAACCCGAAAAACTCTCTAAATTAACTTTGTGCAACTCCGTGACTCCGCCCCTGCATAGTCGTGTCCTCTTTTCGGGATGTCAGAGTCCAGTCACCCTTATTTTAAATGCAATCCTTAAATGGTATCACTTTTAACTTTATTGGTTTATTATATGTTGTCGACAACCCTCTCTAGTGGAAAAAATATGTAACACCCACCATATTTCTAAATATTTCCACATACTAATTTAGTTTTTCAGCATTTTTGTTATAAATTATCAGCTGGCAAATATATGTTAGCATTTTTAATAATATCAGCTGATGATAATTACACAGACAGTTCATTTATTTATTAGCTTTTAATAGAAGACTGAGCTGCAGGGCTGTGCTAGCTTGAATTTTTAAGCGTCTGTCTTCTGTCTAAACCTGCTTCAACTCAAATTATTGTACACAGTCCTGCTTTAAAAAGAGATTTAACAAAAGAACATGGTTAAGTTTGAATTTAACATCATGAGAAACTTACGTGAGTTTGTGATTGAATAGGGTGACCATATTTAGACTTCCCAAAAAGAGGACATGACTATGCAGAGGCACGGAGTCGCATGAAGTTAGTTTTGAGAGTTTTTAGGGTCGGATCGAGTGTCTTTTACGTGCTTCTAACTCAGTAAGTCCACATGACACAAAATTGAAACTTATGTACAAAACCACAGACATTTTAAGGATTTTATAAACTTCCCTGGACAAACCCGGACAGCCCCCCAAAAAGATGACATGTGCAGGTAAAAGACGATGTGTGGTCACCCTAAATTAAAGCTCCTATGAGGAACTTTCTATGCTGATTTTTGCGGCCTCAGTGTTGAAAGTGCTGACCTCTTTATTATCTCCTCTTTTTGTCTTTTTATAATGAAGAATTGTTGATATTCGCTGTGGTGAAAGGAACAAAGGCTGTTTCTTCAGGTTCATGTGTTCATGTACACAACACTCGTCCCAGACATGCAGCAGCGTAAAGAGACCAGATGCTGGTCTGATACTTTGCCCTGGCAGCTCATGAGATGCTGTTTTTATGAGGTGTGGAGAATAAAAGTCTCGGTCTCGGGGGAATGATAATTTTCCTAAACGTTTCTCTGTCTATCCTCTGAAGTAAAGTCCTCTTACCTCTGATGTAGCTTCTTTATCTTAGGAGCTATTTTTATTCATGAAGAAGAGATTATGCACAGAGGTGGGAGATGAACTCATGAATGCAGGATTTATTTGTGCCACACCACACATGGGCATCTCAGCGCTACTTCATCTTTTCTCTTCTGTTTACGATAGATTATTACTCCTCTCTATCTTCAGGTCTTTTTTCTCTCCATCCCACTAACTCTTTTCTCTCTCTCTCTTTCTCAAATTCTGTTTCTAGCTTCTACTTTTTCATTTTCTCATATATTTCATCTTCTTTTTCACTCTCACTTACTTCTCTCTCTCTCAGACTGCAGCGATGGCAAGCCCTGGGATCAATATCACAGCTTTGCATAATTCAACAGCTGCCTCAATAATGTATGACGCAATGAACCACTTTGGGAAGGATGCCCCCCTTCTCTCCCTCTCTCTCTCTAAGACCCCGTTTACCCTGATTTCACAGTCAAATGCTTCTTTAGTCATCCAAACACAAGTTTACCACTGAGACACATCACAGATAACACCTGTGTCTGTCATGTTTTGTAAACATATCCAGCTCACGATGAGTGATATTTTTTCTACCAGCTTTGGGTCAAAGTATGCTCAGAAAAGCTTCATAAATAAAGGGCTATTCCAACTAATATGATCCACATCCACCAAATTAACAACGTTGACATTTTGGTCTTGTAATAGACTCTTTTTGCTCTCACTACAAAGAGAATAAAGTCAGACTAATCAAAATTCAACATGGAGGCAGTGGTAAAGGTGATTCTTGATAAGGGTTGCAAAGGGGCGGAAAATTTCAGGTAAATTTCCAGGAACTTTTCATAGGAAGTTAGGCTGGGAAATTTTGGAAATATTGCAAATTGGAAACTCTCCATGGGAATTATGGGAATTTATGGGAATTTGGGGGTAATTTAAACAAACTGTACCATATCCAAACATACATGTAAATATATATATTTTTTCTGATAAGCAGACATTCATGCAAAATAATACAATTAAAAAACATGACACACATCAGATGGTGAATGTGGCATTTTTCTGTAGAATAAAATAACAAAAAAACTTGTAAAAACACTAATGCAATGGCATGGACAGAAATATAGTTGGCTAAATAACTGTAATGGTCTTTAAAATATTTCACAATTGATGTATAAATTATGCTTACAAAAAAACATTTTGCAGGAGTCAGAAGAAACAGCATCACATTTGAGGTCGCTACCACCACCATAATAAGCTCGCCTCTTAAATGGTCAATGAAATGAAAAATAGCTTACATTTAGCACCTATTTTTATTCAATTTTTGCAAGTTAAATATTAATACTATTGTAGATCAAATATATTTACCCCATAATATATTTTATCAAAACTTACTTGACATTATAAAGTCCGTGGGCTCAAATGTCTTGTGCTTTGGGCACAAAAGTGTGGCCTCCAGAGTTCAAGAAACCATCTGTGATTATGCTACAATATATTTTCCCAAACTATATTTAAGTTCCCCATTGAGGGCCGACCTTCAATTTTGTAAATTTCAGATTTATTCCCGTTAATTCCCATGGAAAGTTTCCAACTTTGAAAATTCCCAGAATTTTGCAACCCTATTCTTGATGGTTATATATGTGTTTGGTTGACTAATTAAACATCACCACATTACTACTTGGCACTAGAATTACTACTACTCTTATGATTTTAATCCAAAAATATGTTGTTGTTTCTCAGCTGAAGCTTTTTTACTGGCGACTGCCATGATGCTTTGATTCTCTACTACCAGGATGTAAACAAGCACAGGCGACAGGTGTGATCTTGTTAATCACTCAACAAGACATGAACCTACAAGAAGGGCTGAAAGCTGATGGTGCTAGCTCGGTTATTGTGAAGCACACAACAGCAGAGCTAGCACCATCCGTTTTATATCATACTCATTCTTTCCTAACCCTTGGACTTGTTGGTAGGGCTGGGCGATAAAACTATAATGATATATATCAAAAATAAATTATCCTCGATATCGATATGAAACATGGTCAGTATGCTTTTCGATTGCCGGCATTCTGCGATGACAACATCGTTGACAACACTGGCATGAAAACGTTGATGGTGTGGGGATATTTTGTTTTTTTGAGGTTGGACATGAAGCAGAGTAATGTGCACAGCAAATCATGTCAAGTACATGTTAAATCTCATTCAAGAGTAACAGGAAACATTTAAGATATCGACTGATATGAAAAAATATATTGTGATAAACTTTGTCCCATATCGCCCAGCCCTACTAGTTGGTGAGTCAGACTTTAAGTTTCTGTTTGAAGGACTGGGATATAAGTCACTGCAGAGCATCTCCAGTCGGGATCAAGTCCTGTCTGGTTTGATCATGCTGCCCAAAAGCCTCATTAAAATGAGACTGCTGTTACGAGGGAATGTCCGTGAGCAAACCTGCCATCTGTAAAGTTTCCAGTGCAACCTCTCCACCATATTTGGTCTCAAAGACATCCATGTCATAACAGAAGTCCAGTAGAAATCTGCATCTGTGTGACTTTGGATTCTTCTTCATCTTCAGAGGCTCTTATCCTTCAGTTCATTGTTTTTCTCCTCCTATTTCCTAGTAGAGAGTTACTGCGGTATAAAGAACGAACGTTTTGACAGCATTTTGGTGTAATTTAAGGAGGACTCACTCACCATGTGGCTTGAATACAAATTTGCACAAAGAGCAAACTCATCCCTGAAATCTCTGAGCCTCCAAATTTCCAAATGATAAAAAGCATGTCAGCGTGGGATAGGGGACATTTTTTTATTATTCAACAGCTTCATAAGTTACCATATGGCAGCCTATAAAGAAGAATAGGAACCCAGTGTTAAACAGAGCTCTGGATTAGAGTTTAACTTCCCCTGTCTGGACATGGAAACATGACTTAAGAGGTCAGTTTCTATATCACATCAGGTAACCAGCTTATACCAGTTTGAAATGCAATTTAAAGTCACTGTAAACAGGTTGTTGTTTCTGGTTCCTCTAATACGACTAGAGAAGCTTTGGACCAGCTAAGTCCAATCAGAACACAAACAAAAGCAATGGTCAGATTTGTTTTCTGCTCGTCTAACTTTTCCTAAAGGAGGAATTCAGATTCGTTCTCCCCCGCTTTGACAAGAACATTACATCTGAGGGAAACGCCAGAGAAAGAGAGAGAGAGGGAGAGAGCGACGAAAGCAGAGTGATTCAACAATATGATTCAACAGTCATCATGTCTCAGTGCTGCAATTTGCATTATTCAAGAGCAATTTTTGTAGGAATGAAAGGATTCATTCAGATCTGACTCCGAGGAAGAGTCTCTGTGTCTGCTGCTGCAGCTGGAAAAATACAGCATCCTGTAAAAAGGGGATCAAAAGCTTGTCTGCAGTGCACTCACAGCAACGCTACAGCTGCCACAGATCAGTCGGAAAATAAGCAGCTATTCACCCGCTTTGAAAGCAGACCAAATCTTCAGCTTGCTCTACCTCATGAAGCTCTTCTCTGGCCCCTTACTCCAAGTTCGCCGTCCTGGGCAGTTCAGGGAAAACAGCGGTGACGCCACTTCTTTGTTGTCCTTTTTTTTTTAACACGGTAATGGATTGTTCAGATAACAAAGTCTGCCCACATGTGGAGGGTTAGACAGGTGAACAATGAGGGGCAGATTACAGCAGGGTAACAGTCCGGGATGACGCTGGACATTAAGCACTATTGGATTAGCATTAGAGAACAGTCCACAGATGTAGATTCAATCAGGTCCGTCCGGCGTCAGCTGGAGCAGTTTAGGAGCAGAGATCTCATAGTGAACCACTTCAGAGTTTTCAACCTCAATCTGTTTGAATCAACAAAATTATCCACTATGCCGTATCCATGACAGTGTTTTAATTATCTCATGAGTCCATTACTTATAATAAACCATAGTTATGATTATTTTTTTGTATCAAGGAGAAAACTACATCAACTACAACAATTTTAACATCACCTTTTTCCTCAGTGACGTTTAGGGCCTATGTCCACTGACAGCATTTGCAACACTAGTGGACACAGGCCCTTAAAACAGGGTAAACTGGATTTTAAAACCTCCATTTATTACACGGCTGTGTCAAGTACTTGATTCTGAATGGCCATCACATAGCAACGTGCCATAGCAACGGTCTGTTATTTCTCAATAGATGGTTGAGAGGGCGTGTTCTGGAAAACTCCCTCCAGTGAGTATTTTGCATCATTTCTTTCATTTACAGTTGAAAATGATGGGATGAATTCTGCATAAATACTACTTTGTACACAGCAATTTCTTGACTACAAATACTATGGTCATTACATAGCAACGGGCCATAGCAACGGTCTGTTATTTCTCGATAGATGGTTGAGAGGGCGTGTTCTGGAAAATTCCTCCAGTGAGTATTTTGCATCATTTTTATCATTTACAGCTGAAAATGATGGGATGAATTCTGCATGAATAATACTTTGTACACAGCAACTTCTTGACTACAAATACTATGGTCATCACATAGCAACATATCATAGCAACGGTCTGTTATTTCTCGATAGAAGGTGGGTAAACAAGAGGGCGTGTTTTGGAAAACTCCCTCCAGTGCGTATTTTGAATCATTTTTATCATTTACGCCCAAAAATGAGGGGATGAATTCTGCATGAATACCACTTTGTACACAGCAACTTCTTAACGACAAATACTACAAACAAACATTCAATATTTATGGTACACTGACCACTGGACGCCAGTGCTGCTAGTGGGAATTTCAACTCTTCACCCCACTCACCGCCTCAGGCACCAGAGAGAGTTTTACTAGAAAGCACAAGACAGGACGATGTGCAGGGAGGTGGAAGGAAAGGAGTCGACTAAGCACAAACACTCTTTCCTCTTCGGTTCAGCTCAGGGCCAGCGAAATAGAAACCGACAGCTGCTTGCATGCCTTTTTAACGGTAGCTGACGGTAGCTGTGCTGGGAGTGTTTATGCGCTCATGTTTCGTCACTGAGAAAGGAAATATGTGTGTGTCATTAGTCGGAGTGTTCGGAAAGGTTAACCTGCCCCTAATGTCAGTCCTGTGACCTTGACTTGAATAAACACATCGTCAAATCCCGCTGAGACGTTGGTGACCTCTTCCAACTCTTTCTAACAGCACCAGAGGGGGTAATCACAAACACACACTCACAGATTCACACACACACACACACACACACACACACACACACAAAGAGTTCCCCCCTCTCCTGCTGCAACAAGGTGAGACAACAGAAGTGCTGTGTCACTCTGTGGGTCAGGACACTGTTACACAGCAGAATTAAAGAGATGGTTACCTTGGGTTCTCAAACAGCCAATGAAACACAGCTGGGAGGAGGAAGAGGAGGAAGACAACAATCATAAAGGTGATCAGTAAGTGAGGTTCCATTTCTGCTGACTCAGCAGCAGCGTCTGCTAATGCTTATATCACTGTTTTGGTAACAACAACACCGACAATAATCCTTTTTGGGTGGATTTTGAATCTCTGGTGCAAGTCATCCTTGTTGGACTCAATGTGTCCTAAACTGAAGAAGAGCTGCAGTGGACTTAAGATTGAGTCCTAATGTCTTCAGTCCAGCGATGATAAATAGACAGATAGTGAAGATTGGCACCTGTAGGACATTCTCAGCACTTTTGTGGATGTTACTTGCAGAAAAGGCAATTTTATCACGAGCTGGGAAATTTTAAAGGCACTGTAAGGAGTTTTCATACCATCATAGTCTGTCTGTTCACATGCACAGTTACGGTTATGACTATGGCTCTCTTAGGTGATTTAACAGGACGACAGGCATGGGCAAGAATTGAATTATCGATGGAAGCATATCTGCCTTCACATGCCCCCTTTTGGCACTTTTGAGTCGACATGTCAAGGACCAAAACAATCCACAAACTCAACAGTTTAATCTCTTTTACATCCTGTCTTTGTCTGTAAAAGTTTTGTTTATTACCCTGCATCCTTGCAACACATTTATACAATTCAACATTTGGTCCAAAGACCTACATGTGAACTCTTGAGACTCAACCGAGCTTCGATTTCAAGTTTGTGTCAATTTTAAAAGTCCAGTTTCGGTCTGACTGGTGCAATAAATCGATATTTTGAACAGCACAGTATCATAATGAGTGTCTGTAGCGTTTCCGATGATGAAGACCGCATTTCCCATGAGCACCATCACCTATTGTTGAAGCGATTTGAAGAGAGTAAACCTTTTGCTTCAAGACAACCATTAACAGGATGCAGAGATATTTGTAGCTATGAGTCATAATCAATGGTAATGTAACAATGACTAAACTTAGTGAACTTTTGATTTAATAATGTTAGTTAGCCTAAAACAGATGACCAGAACTACCGCCTTACTGTTACAGTCAGGAAACAGTTAAAAACTCCTTACAGGAGCTTTAAAGTCTTTGCATCATCTTCTAAAATATAAATTAGAATAACGGATGAGGTTATATTGATCTCGACCCTTCAATGCTGATTTGAGGACAGACAGAAGTAAACACTGTTTGTGCCTCAGTGATACACTGTGGATCAAAATTAAAATGTATTTTTAAAGCTGCTTATCAACAACCCTGAAGGCAGAAGTGACAATATTGATGTTTCAGAAGTAAAACGTGCAAAGTTATATTCAATTATTCTCCTTTTTATTGGTCAGAAACTTTATGAGCTCCTGCTTCTTAAATTATTGATCAGCATCCAGACCCGATCAGCTCAAACTCCTGAATGAAACTATATTTGCTGTCATCTGGAAACAATAAACTGACACTGAATTATTTACATGGGAACGACTTTTTCATGAACTCTTTTAGAGAAGTGTTAGCTGAAACAAATCTGAGGGTGAATATTGATTATGAGTTGGAAAACAAAGCTTTTTAATTATTAAAACTTGCTTACTTGTATTTTCCCAAGTACCGGATTTCATTTGGGACTAAATAAAAGCAGCAACATAGCACAATCTGGAAAGTGCAGAAGTGAGGAGAGTAATGTTGATTTTTATGTGACTAATTACAGTGCAGAAAACACAGAGGAGCAGGCGGAGCTCGGGGGATCTGAGAGCAGAGGAAATAAGGAACAGACAGAGTCCTCGCTGTGGGGGGAAAAGCTCCCAGCTTCCCAACCATAACTTCTCCTGCCGCCACTCTGCTCAATCGATGCCTTCAAGGCAATCCAACAGTGATGAACATGTCGACTTTACACCATCCAATATAAGAGACGGACAGAAACTGACACAGGATGAAATATTTCAGCAGCGGGAGGCGATTCAAAGTGGGAGTAGGACGGAACAATGGAGCCATAAATATGACAAACAGTAAAGTTATTGGATGTGTGCTTGTTTGGTTGTTTTTACAGCATGGCGTCAGAGAAATGAACAACATGACAAACATGACAGGTGAGACTGAAACTGATCTCTGACAGTACATGTCAACTTGGTTATGTAGCCAAGTAATAAGCAGGAGTCCTGCTCACCCTATCAGGATTCCTTATTTTACGTTTTAACTGTAACCATGGCATCATACAGTTTATTAGAGGTCATTTAAAGATATTGTGAGGACTTTTTTTTAGTTTATGAAATGGACTGAAATTAATAATAAAGCTGCCTCATAAAATACAGAAGCAAACACTACCATCAGTGATGTGACAAATTAATTTTGTTTGTTATCAGGGCCTGATATTTTTATCGTACTATACTATAATACTTTTTAGGATACTATACTGTGACAGATTTTTTACACTAAGATCTAACATTTTTTAATCTTACCGGACTATGACATCTTTATCATACTACACTGTTACTTTTATCATATTATACTATGAGAACTTTTTCATTCGAATCTTTATCATGCTTTACCATGATTTTTATCACACTACACTTTAACATTTTTTACCATTCTATACTATGACATTTTTTTTCAAACTAAAATTTGACATTTTTATCATAGTATACTATAACATTTTTACCATTTTATACTGTGAGATTTTTAAGATACTATACTATGTCATTTTTTTCATACTCAAATTTGAACTTTTTGTCATACTATACTATGACATTTTTATCATACTGAAATGTGATATTTTTATCATACTATAATATGACCATTTTTATACATTATATACTGTGACATTTTTTAAATCCTCAAATTTTTAATCATAGTATACTATGACATTTTCAGCAAACTTCAAATTTTTATAGTTATATTTGAAATGTAATCATAGTATACTAAAGCATTTTTTTATCATACTATACTGTGACATTTTTGTCATACTATACTGTGGCAATTTTCTCATACTAAAATGTGATATTTTTATCATACTATAATATGACAATTTTTACACATAGTGTCCTATGAAATTTTTATATTTACATCTAGAATTTTTATCATTGTATAGTGTGACATTTTTATCATAGTGTACTGAGACATTTTTTAACAAATTATACTAAGATATTTCTTTCATTCTCAAATTTGAAATTTTTATTATCGTACGCCATAACATTTTTCTCATGTGATTTTTTTACCATACTGTACTATGACATTTTTTTACCATACTATACTATAACATTTTTATCATGCTACACTATGTGATTTTTTGAATACTAAAATTTTAAATTTTGATCAAGCTATAGTAATGATTTTTATCATATTATAGTCTGGCATTTTTTTCCACAAACTATTCTATTATGTTTTTATCATAAAATACTAGGACCTATTTTTTCGCAATTAATTTTTAGAATAATATACCTGACCTGGATTTAATCCCAAGACCTTCTGGTTACCAGGCGACTATGTTGACTATTACACCACAATCCTATCCTATGCCATTTTTAACATACTATACTATGTGCTTTTTTGAATAATAAAATTTGAAATTTTTATCATTCTATACTATCTACATTTTTATTAAATTATACGATGAAATTTTTTAACAAACTATACTATGACATTTTTTAAACATTACTATGACTTATTTTTTACAATTTATTGTTAGTAAAATATACCTGACCAGGACTTGAACCCAATACCTTGTGGTTATGAGGCGACAGTGCTGACCATTACACTACAATAATGTCTATGTCAGAGGAAAATCTTTTATTATACTTTACCGTTACTTTTAGGACATACTGTACTATGACATTTTTTCATACTTTACTATCAAATTTTTTTAACATAGTATACGATGACATTTTTTAAATCCTTAAATTTTTTAATAATAACATACTATGACATTTTTATCAAACTATAATGTGATATTTTTATCACGCTGTAATATGACCTTTTTTTACCATAGTATACTATGACATTTTTTAGACATACTATACTATGGGAATTTTTTATACTAAAATTTGAAATTCGTATCATACTATACTATGCCTTTTTTTATGACAAAATTTTAAAATTTTATCATTGTACACTATGACATTTTTATTATACTATACTATGACATCTTTATCATTCTACACCATGACAGTCTTTTCATACTCAAATGAAACATTTTTATCATACTATACTATGACTTTATCGCATGTATTATACTATGACATTTTTATCATAGTATAGTATTGAATTTTTAATCAAACTGTACTATAACATTGATATCATACAATACTATGACCTTTTTTTTATATATATTTAATTTATCATACTATATCTGACCCATGCGTACATTGTGGTTAAGCTGTGGCCCCGCCCCTTTTAGGTGAAAGCAGTCAATCTGAATTGAGTGGTTGTAAATGGAAATGTTGGGGGTCTTTAGCAATATAACAGTTTGAAATAAAATAACAGTATTATTTAATGGTTATTGTGTGTCAATCTTACTCTATAAAACAAGCAAAAATTTCATTGTCATTTTATAGCAGACACCTGTAGTACTCACTTTTATAATGATAAATATATTTGATTTGAGTAGAAAATGGCTGTGATTACCTCTCTGTGGTGCACTGTGGATGTCATTCAAATCTCTGTTTATAACACCCCCGGGGTTGTTCATTCAGAAAGAGAAGACTCTCACTGAAACCCTTAAAATCTGAACTTTTTACTGATGTTACGTAGACAATCGTTCATGATTCAAATAAAGTCTGTTCGTCTTTTGGCTGATTGTCTAGATTGCTTTTGTAGATCATACAGAGACAACAATGATCGTTTTAGTCTGTTCCATAGCCGGTAAAAAACTCCTGACTGGAGCTTTAAGTACAGAAGAAAAACAAGTTAAAGTCATTAAAATAGTTCACAACTTTTTTTTTCATGTTTTTAAGTCACAGTAGCTCATATTCATCAGGTCATCAGAGGATATTCTGAGTCATTTCATGGAAAATTATAAACACAGAATGAGTCAAAATCTTGATTTTATTATTCACACCTTCTTTCTGTGACGTAAAACAGAAGTGGCGCATAAACAGAGGAGGGCCATTACACCCAATCACCTCAGGGCATCATATCATTATCACAATGAGATTATGAGCATGACTCAGCAGATTAAGTGCATTCATAAAGCCAACAAAAACATTATCAAAGATCTGAGTCATATCCACTGAAGGCTTGTTGACTTCCAATCACTCCCACCTGTTGAACAGCTGAGGATCGTTTACAGGCTGGAGTCTCTGATTCACTCTGTGGAAAAATATATTTTAACCGACTTCAGATTGGTATTGGGTTAAAGTTATATGTAACTTTCTGAAAAGATGGTGGAATTAAGCTGCGTCATGTCACCGACCAGATTTTTTATCTCCACATGAGTGGACCCTTTAGCTTGGATCCTGTCAGATCATAATTCAGCCTCCTCATGTATTCCCCTCATGGCTTTACTTCAGTCTGCACAAAGAAATAAAAACAGTGGGTGGGAAACTCAGCCTGCCTTTAAAAAACAACCAGAAAAATGATCAGAAAACCTTCCCTGAACGCTGATATTGATGAGAGCAGAGTGACTGTCTGTTGTGATCAGAGCTTTCTTCTCTAATCTGCATGGATAATTTCCTGTTAGCGCCTTATTCTCAGACCTTCACTCTGACATTTTAGAAATGCTAAGTACCTTTCAGCGTGACTGAAATGAGATCTTAGATCAGCGACCTTACAAGCAACTAAAACAGGTTTCTTAAAGTTCAGAGCAAATACAGCGGTGACCTGAGAGCAATTAGAGGAAGAGCGAAACTGCGGGACAGCTCAGGAGTGAAACAGAGGTTTTTTTTTTTTAAGGCAATTAGAGCCATCGACCACCCAGATTTTAGGTGCAAAAATATTCCTTTAAGCTCACAATCATGAAGTAAGAAGGAAGTAGAAGACATTTCAGCACCGAGGGCTTACAGGAGAGAGCTGGGAGGGGTTTTCTTTCAGATAAGCATTACAGAGAGTCAGAGACGTGTGGGAGAAAGAGGAAAACTGGGTGGTACTTTCTAATATACTCCAGTCAAACAAAAAGTAAAGTTCTACATCCTTTCTTTCTACTTTACAAGACTTTCTGACCCTGTAGTGAACTTTTAAATTCAGCATTAAAACTAATGATGAGAATCTCAATGTTAATACTTCAGCACCAGCTGAGCGAGGACGGGTCATTAGCATTATCCAAAGTAGGGAGCCTGACATTTCAAGTAAGTGCTAAGCTAAGTCATCTTATCAAAACTGTATATCATGAAGAAAAAAAAAGAAGAATTTATCATTTATTATCAACAAAGTACAGCTGGTGTTCAACTCATGAAGTAAAAAAAGGGAAATCAAATCCATCTGTGATCAAATCTGTGATCCATTTTACCACTCAGATTCATTATTTTATTGTTGCACCAACTCCTGCAATATAAGTCAGTCATTAACGATTTAATGCTAATAAAAATGTTTTATTAAATATTAGTTTGGTCTGTCGGTTGGACGCCAGAACGCCATTGCCAATAAAGCACTACCCAAAATTAAATCTATATTTTTCTCTGTCTAAATAAGAAAAAAAATGTTTTAAAACTGACAAAATCATCTTTAAATCAATATATAATGTCAATTTGTTCATACTTTAAGTTTGTAGCTGTGTGAATAATGCTCTGTGAGTAAGCTGCTGTTTCAAATAACTACAAATTAATTTAATGCCCGTCATTACCACATTATAGTTGATGTCAAAAGCAGAAACAGACTGTTTTACAACTCCCATGAATAAAGATTCACAGAACGAGTTCATTTATTTTATTTTTTGTCAGAAAATATGACTAATGCATGAATAAATAAGATCAGATTTACCTGTTCGTACACAAACTGAAAGCTCCTCGCAGCTGCTTGGTTTAGATATTTGGAGCTTTGTAAGCATTTACGCGAGTAGCCTCAGTGTACCAGGAAAAAAAAAGAATGATGAAATGTTTACATGGTGATAAAATATTAACAGCTTGTGAAATCAGTTGATCGAGTTTCTTGTTTGTGAAGATATCCAAAATAAAAACTCTACATCATGCCTGCTGAGGATTTTCAGCACCTGGACACACCAGCCGCTGCTTTGACCTTCCTCATCTCATTCCAATAAAGGACGCTTTGACCCTCTCATCTCTGACACCTTGAGGGTCGTCCAAGTGCCATCCCACAGGGAGGAGAAATTGCCACGGCAACAGTTATGAAAAAGCCAGGGTCCCGAGGCACTGGTGCAAATTGGCTCCACCATCAAATATGAATCTGAAGTTGGTGTGTGCTGCCCCCGGGCCAACTCTCACCTCTATCCATGTCGCACGATGCCATGGAAATCACACTCCCATGAGTGTGTGTTCCCAACTGATGGAGTCTTTCTTTCCCCTACATACACACACAGATACACTAAAGTCCATTTAATAAAGGATATTTTCAATTATCACACAGCTACAACCTGGAATTAATTTTCTCACTGAGTAAATCCCTTTTGTTCGTATATTAATTGTGCTTATGTGTGTTTTTCTTTTTTACAGGTTCAGGCAAAATAATTTAAAAAGAAAATTAAACTCTAAAAAAACAACCTCTGTGTGTGCTGCAGATTGTTCTAGAAAGCCTCTTATTAGAGTCTGGGTGTCTGTCTCTTTCATGAGCTCCCTGCCTGACTAAGCCATCTCACCCAGTTCAACCTGTACTGTGTGTGTGTGTGAGAGAGAGAGTGTGTGTGTGTGAGAGTGTGTGTAGGAGGGAGGATCCACTCGTAATGATTACATCAAATATATTCCCACTGATTCTTTTTACTTTCTCCTCTCTCTCCGCCCACACCTCCCTGAATGAGAGAGAGACAGAGAGAGAGAGAGAGAGTAAGACAGAAAGTAAGAGAGAGAGAGAGAGATGTGATGTTTCACTTCTCACTTCAAAGGATCTCAGGACCTTTGGGGCGTCAGATGAGCCTGTTTCCCATAAACCGACTGCTGCTTCAGTCCTACTCAGTACTCTCAGTACTGCTTGACACAATATGGTTGATAAGATTCTTACAGAGATGCCCGCACTGAGCTGACACGCTGGCAGGAACATGAACAATCACTATACAGAGAGCACACAGTATCAATCTGTCAATGCTAGACTGAATGTACTCTCTTTAGTTACTGTATTCAAAGATGTTTCAACTGAATGTTTTTGTCGATCAAATCAAATACACTCCCATTGTTTGGCTCACGTCTGTCTAAAACTAACGCAGAGGTTTATTGTCGTTTCAGGTCATATTTGTGACACAATAGGAGAGAAAATAAGACCATCAAAGTGGATTGATCTAAAATTATAACACAACATCTATAAAGCCAGAGACAGTTGCTGCGTTCCAGTTGTACTCCGGAGTCGGAATTTCCAAGCTCTGAGTCAGAAATTCATCTGGAATGCCCACCTGAAGTCGGATGATCCTCACCAACCCCGACTTGACGACAACGTCATAATTCAAGATGGCAGTGCAGTGCATCAACAGTGAGGAGTAACAGTGAAAGCTGTTGTAATGTTTTATTTTTTAGCACTTCTGTTTTGTTTTTGTTAAATTAAATCAGTGGTATATGTTGTACTGCCCAACGTCTAACTGTGAACACGGTGCTATGGAGTTTGTAAGAGTGAAATACTGTGTTATGTGTCGTTTACAACTGGTATAGCTAACAACAACCTACAGCTAACAACGGCTAACAATGGCTAACAGCGGCTAACAACAGCTAACAGCGGCTAACAAAGGCTAACAACAGCTAACAACGGCTAACAAAAGCTAACAATGGCTAACAACAGGTAACAATAGCTAACAACGGCTAACAATAGCTTACAACGGCTAACAACAGCTAACAACGGCTAACAACAGCTAACAACGGCTAACAATAGCTTACAATATCTAACAACAGCTAACAACGGCTAACAACAGCTAACAACCTATAACACCAGCTGACAATGGCTAACAGTAGGCGTCCATCTTGGTTTTCCGACTTGCTTACTTGAACGCCGTCAACTCAGGTGTAACGTCATTCCCAGCCCTGATGTTTGACTTCGGAGGTAACTCAAACGCAGCATATAAGAAAGAAATTTTGAACTCTATACAGAAAAAAAAAGACCTAGATAGTCTTTAGCATGACTGAATATTAAGGTTTGATTCCTGTCCTGTAATCTGGTTAACAACTGTGAATGCAGCAGGACAGTAACATTTAACACAAACCACATAAATATTGATTTAAAGAAGACAGAGAGTCTTTTATCAAAATTATTAAAATAAACCTGATTTTAAAAAGACAGGGATTTCTGTCCATAGAGCAAAACTACAAATACTAAAACTCCTCAGGAAGAAGAAAAAACTACACAAAACACACACACACACTCACACTGTTGTGAATTCAGTGTGGGAGGGTTAATCAAAGTAAATCGCTTACACTAATCCATGACCTTTCTCACCCCGTCCTCGTCTGGGTATTTGTGTAGGCAGCCAGGGAGTGTGTATCAGTGTGCGTCTGTGTGTGTGGATATGTGCGGTGCATGTGGGTGTATATGTGTGTGCGCTTGTATATATATTGAGTGGATGTGCTTCTCAAACTCTTCAGGGCTGCTTTTGCAGATGTGCGTTTTCTTTCTCAGTCTGAAAATGTCCAGTCATTATGACAGTACACAGTTTCTACACCAGGGGGCGCTGTGTAGTGTCTGTCATGAGAAAATGATCATGAGAAAGTAAAAGTGAAGTGTTTGTTTTGAATGTTTCTGTCCCAGTCAGGAACTTAATCAGCATTTTTAACAAAAAAAAAAAGAGTGGTTTTGTTTCCCTTTGAATGAACGGGATCCTCCTGTACACTTTTAAAGAAATTTAAGATCTCAGATCAATAAAGATCGATGAAAAAGAAGAACACTAAGAGAAGAAATCTGCCTCAAATGTAAATCTAGAAGCACTGCCCAATTCTTTCTGGAAACCTCTGTGAAACAAAAGCTCCAAGCTGGAAGATTTTTCTGTATTTTTAGGTTCTCCTTTTCAGACATCATTATCCAGATTATGCATTCCTTGTGAACTCCTTTAAGAGCCCTAAAGGTGCAGATATCATAAAAAATACAGAGGATTCAATCATTAGTGAAACCTGTGCAAAAGTAAAACCTAACAATACACTTTTCATTTTAGCAAAGGAACAAAACATACAGTTTACATATGTTTACAACATATGTAAACAGATGACCCTCTAACCAACTTTACTTTCAACCAAATAACTTCATTTCTCTAAAGATACGACTTTTACATTATTCCATTAAAGCTCCTGTGAGGAACTTTCAGTTTGCGGCAAGTCTGGCGCCCCCATGTGGACAAAACCTTTTATTTTTCTACTTGTTTTATCCTGTACATGTGTGAGTCAAGTTTTACCATTAGCTTATTTTACCAACAAAAACACAATAAAGAGTTAATCACCTACCCCCCACAGAGGTTTCAAACACTCAAAATAACTCTAAAAATAATATTCAGCCTTTATGTACAGAGTCTCGTTTATTTTTTCAGGTTAAACAGAGACTTTAGTGATATTTTAAATAAAAGTTCCTCACAGGAGTTTTAATTTGGCGCCGGTCTGAGTCAAAGATCTTCTATGATTCAGATTCTGGGTTAATAATTTGCTCTAAACTTAATTTTCACAGCCAATAAAACACGTCCTCCTTGTTTACCTGTCCTCTTTATTTATCTCCAGTTGTGTCAATCAGTACTCCTTACTGTTATATGTGGATTACAAAGACATGAGTAAATCAGTATGATGGTAGATTTTATCCAATAAAATCGATAATCAATAAGAGCAAATATACCAAAACTTCTACAGTGTGCTTTAAAGATGCAAAAAAATTGTAAAAGTATCAAAGCAATCATTCAAAAATAGATGCCCTTGAATCTCTTCTTTTTGTTTTTACAAAATTAAGAGAGAAAAATTATTTTCTAATTCTGCACGAGAACTGAGTGATTTGAAATGCCTATTAAAACCTTTGCACTGTGAAATTTTAGGAAGTATAATTAAATTATTCCAGCTTTGATTTGAGCAGACTGATGTGCATGTAATAATAACAGGATGCTCACAAAAGGCTGTATTCTAAATTTTTAGTATTAACACAGACGGACTGCAAATGTCGATTTAGGTTATAAACGCAGCTTTAATGTAATCAGATGACCTTCAGTGTGCTGCACTTATAGGATACTGCAGTCTTGAATAGGAGACCAAAACCAACACTGTTTCTCAGTTACCATATTGTCAAAATTAGGCAGTTAGAAAACCTCTGTCATGGCCCTTTTTAAATAAATTAGCAACACCCTCAAGGAGAAAGCAACAGGATTACAATGGTACAGTAATTAAAGGGATCAAAAATCAAGAAAAAGCTGTGGAGTGATCAGTTAAATCATCATTTATACTCATTCAAGATGATCACATGCTAAGAAATTCAATTAAAATCAAAATGAAGGTTTCAAAAGGAGAAAAAAAAGATTTTTTTTTCTGAGTAAGAGAAAAATTAACCAAATAGAGCCAAACACAATCTCTCTTATCACTGGTGTTTATGTAAGAGCACATACATATACACCCGCCCGTATACGACTTTGAAGCCGAAAAGCTCTCAGTAATTCTGTGTTTTTTCTCCATTTCCTGAAACCAACATTGCGGGTGAGCTACGCAATCTTCGTATGCCCATAGGCTGTATCAAGTGTCAATCATATAAAACATGAACCCCCTAATAACTTTTAAAAATGAAGCTGCACAGAAAAAAGAGGACTTGAGCACAAACCAGTCTGACAGTAACTACATGTCAACATCACAACCAGGGGGGAGAAAAATGTAGATTCTGTGTAATTAATTTCTAAAGTTTGTCCACAGCTCCATAGGGATTGCTGGAGGAGGCAGGATTTATGACCTATACTGCAGCCCGTCACCAGAGGGTGCTGTTCTCAAGATGGCTCCACCCAGCGAGGAGGCAGACTCTGTCCATTCTATATATAGTCTATGATAGTAACACACCTGCCTAAAAAGTAATCAAACTAATTGGTGTCAGCTCCCAGATCGTACACGGTTTAGCTAGTAACATGTACTCGAACACACCCTAACTCCGTTTGCACTGTTCACTTCAAACTGTGTGTTTTAGGAAGTTTTAATAGAGCTCCTTCTGAGTACCAAACACACTAAAGAGCTTTAATTTTGTCTCCCAAGAGCATCTCAGACCAGGATCGATACTCTTTAGCCAAACAGACTTTATTAGTGAACCCATCAGCCCTCCTTCACCTTATCGCCGCTCTCGAAAATCAGCTGAGTGGATAAAGAGAAGTGCCGTTGTAGTTTTCCCACAATGGAAGTTTTTTTTCCGCCCACCCAAAGAAATGTGATCCCCTTATCTATTTTTGCACCGCAGCCATCGGGCTGCTCCCTATTGAAGCGTTATTGATCTGCCTGGTGGATGTGAAGGAGGGGATGTAATCAATGCTCTAAGCCTCTATTCTTGGTTCTCCTGCCTCTGCTTCCTCGGGTCATTTTGACAGTTTAGTTCTTGTAAGTCACACATACACTAGTTAACTTTCACTTCCTTTATGTTGGAAAAAAAGTAGAAATATCCTCTTAAAAATGGACTTTATTATCCGTGCATTATCAGCAGAAAATCCAGGGGTAACTGACTGACAAGATTAAGGAAAAGATAATCAATAGATGGCGCTGAGAATACCGCTGACATGCCATTTTTTTAAAGCAATGGTCCTTGAAACACAAACCTGTGGGGATTTGGCGTCATGTTAGCTCTGAGGCGACTGAAGGTCATTAAAACGGTCTCACCAATACGCCGCTGTGCTATTTTATATGACAAGACAGAGGGTTAGAAATCCAATACCTCATTCAGAAATCAATACAGCTTCGAACACACTTCATTAAATCTGCGGCATGTCAAAATAATCATCAGGATAAAGTCCCCTGAGGTGAGAACGATTGTTTAAGTCGTCATGTGTCACAGATGGAGCCTCTTTATCAGCAGTTTTTTTTATCAATAAACACCAAATGAAGGTGACTCACTTCAGCTCACAGGAGTGGAGGAGTGTTTCTTTGTGAGAGGACAGACTGAGACACAGATGGACAAAGGGTACAAATATTGTTTTTAGTTTCACAGGAGTCCGTCTGTTTTCTCTGGAGGTTCTAGCTACTTTTACAACCACCAAATTAAATCTGGTGACCATTCCTGCTGACGGCTGACTGCTGCTGCTACTTAGCATCCACCACCAGCGCGGTAATAATCTTTCCTTTAGATGTCCGTTCCTTCTCTGTGTGTGTTTAAGTGTGTGTGTGTGTCTGGAAATATATGTGTGTGTTTGTTCCCATCAGGCCCTCACCTGGCAGATGATTGAAATAATCCCCTATTCAGCAGCTGTTGTACTTTCAAACCGGGCTCTGGGCCGAAAATCATCTCATCACATAGACACTTGAGACACACACACGCACACACACACACACACACACACACACACACACACACACACACACAGTGGCCCTGAGCTGCAGGTCCACACTTCCCTGAACAGTCGCCATGGTGATGATACACAGAGTGGAGCTCTGATGCAGTGCGGTTGGATTAAATTCATTTCTGTCCATCATCCTTGAATTAAAAACAAATTGTTGTGATGTTTCATCCCCGCGTCTTTGTGCCGTTAATAAACCAAATGAAACTTTTCAAACACGCCTTACAGCTCTAACCTGTGGTGTTGTGCAGTTCATGAACGATTCGTTCAAAAGAACAGAACTGCTGAGTGAACGACATCAATGGAATCACGCAAAGACCTGATTCGTTCCTTTCTCAGTTCAGTTGAGCTCAGCTCCGAGCGTGGCGTGCCGGTCGAGAATGGAACTGCCGCCTTTGACTCTTTGGCGAACGACACACAGCCAGCCAGCGAGTAAACAGGAGGGCGGAGTCTTGTGATTTGCTCACAGCGAATGAACGACATGTATCAGTCAGACTGTGAACGAAATGAGCAACTTCCGAATGACTTGAGTCAGCCAGAGGATGGAGGGGTGTAGCATCGTTCATGAACTGCCGAGCGCCAGTTTGTTCACTGTGTTTTTATTTTTAATCTCGCCACTTTTCCGTGAGATAAAAGAATGACAATATGGGCTTGTTCCGCGGTTGTGCTGCATGTGTCACTCACTCATGTACTGCACCCAGCAGGACGGGTCTCAGAAGCACTGACTGAGTGAATCTTTTGAACGAATCATTTTAATGGACGGATTCTAAAGATTCAGTAGAGTCAAAAGAACTGTTCTTCCCATCACTACGAACCTTCAAAGCTCTAATTTTCCTCTTCTTAACCAGACAAACAGATTCAACTCCACTGCGTATCTTCAGAGCTCTTTATCATGCACATCCATAATCAATAACTCCTTAGAAAAGAGCAAACTCACTTCTGTTTTCAAACACACTGAGGTTCATCCTCTTTTAAAGACACCCAGACTCAGCCTCTCGGATTTCAACAATTTTAGGCCAATCTCTAAATTCCCGTTTTGATCAGGAGTCTTAAAGAAAGCCAACTTTTCTCTTTTATGAGACATAATAACATCTTTGAGAAACTTCCTCCTGGTTTGAGAGCTATGCACAGCACAGGAACGGCCCTCCTCACGGTCACCAACAACCGTCTTCAGCAGCAGGAGTGCAAAAAATCGACACCTCTCAAAAACTGGGTGGATATCCATATTTATGTACAACCTATGGTGACATCAGGTACAATTTTTACTGCACTGATCGCTGCTCCACGGGCTCACAGAGCTGCACATCACACTGACCTCTGACCTCGGAGGAGAAGTGGGCGGAGTGACGGGTTATAAACAGCTGCAGCTGCTGATCAAGGTCGCAGCACTTCAGGTCCACGTCCCAGGATCGAATTCCTGCGGGGGGGAAGAGGAGAGAGATTGCCTGAGGTCAACATAATGAAGCAGGACAGGACTGACATTAGTGATGCTGAAGGATCAGATGAACCACAGAAACACACACACAGATTTTCAGAGAGTAATCTGGAGAAGTTCCTCGCTCTTTTTCCTGAACTTGGAGGAAACCTTTTACCAGATGTTGCTGCAGCATCTCGTCTCCTTCGGCTCCGTTTCTCGCTCTGTTTAAGCTGCAGGGAAGGTCAGCCAGCGTGAAGCGTTCCTGCATTTCAAAAAGTCCTGAGACTGACGGCACAGCGTGAATCTCTCTCATCAGTATCGCCAACCTCAAAGCTTATCCTTGAAACGAGCAGGTATATCAGCTGCTGCATGACTGTTCAATACAAGAGCTTGTTCTTCATGCAGCAACGACCCGAGGCCTGCTTTAATAATGGAGGATCACTGCTGGATTCAAATCAGAATTTGCGAGCTGGTGTGTGATTTGTCTTTTTCTATTGGTAAAAAAAATACCCAGAATCAGTAAAGGCTCATTCAAATCAGCGTTAAGAGATTTTAAGCCAATTCTTGAAATACTGTTTTTACAACTGAGTATTAGGGCCACATTAAGATAAAAAATGAAGACTTCGAGATTTAAGTCGTTTATTCATGAGAATAAAGTCATTACTAATGAGAATAAAGTCATAATAAAATCATTATGATACTCATGATAATGTGTTGATGTGCCAAAAGTTTAAGTATCTCCTTGTTTGAGAAACATATATTGAAATACAGTTTCACGAAATGCTCCATGGTTCTCATTTCAACTCTCATCTTAAACGACAGGTTAGAATACAAGGAAGTAGGTAAGTAAGTCATTAGTGTAGTTATAACCTCTGTAATCATAAGGCTGTGGAAAATATCAACATCCAGCAGCATCCTGGGTAACATGGATGACTGAGGTTTTGTAACTCCAAGATGTTAACGATTGATTGGGTATTGAGTAGTTAATTGCCAAGAACGTACTGAGAGAAAAACACGTCAGACACAGAAGTTAAGAACTGTTAACAACAACTACAATGACGATGATGATAAAAAATGATAATAATAATAAAATAATGATGATAATAATAATGATAATAATGATACTTATAATAACAACAACAACAACAATAATAATAATAACTTAATAAATATAGCACTTTTAAAAACAGACGTTTACAAAGTGCTTTAACAGATAAAACAAAGGCAGAAACAGGCAGAACTCAGAGGACAATAAAACAACAATCAGATCGATAAAGATCAAAAGAGTCACAGATTTGCAGATAAATTATTAACAGTTGATAGTTGATGGCATCAGATCAGGAAGATGGAAAAGAAGAAGGTGAATAGAAAGATAAAAGAGAAAGAGTAAATAAATAAATTAAAACAGAAAGGAAGGAAGAGTATTAAAACATGAGAAGATGGTAAAATAGGGACTAAAACGATTAGAAACTGGTGAGTAGAGAAAGAAGAGCAGAGATTCAAAATAGTTTGATAAGTAATTGTAAGATACGTACGCTGATAAAATAGAATAATATAAATGGATAACAAGAAGGTTAAATTAAGTAGGTAGACAATAAAAACAAGCATCATGTAAAAGCAGGTCTAAAAAAGTGAGTTTCAATGCAAAGAGATTTCCCAGACGAACAAAGCTGGCACACCTGTATCTCTGAAACATCAGTACCTTTTCAGTCCGTGTTCCTGCTGACACTCAAGCATGAAGACGTACTTAATTTCTCAAAAAGAGCAAGAAATAGTCCCCTCTTCAGTTCTCTTGTTGCAGAAAATCATCAGTCAGTAGTTTGAGATGAGATTATTTCATGAGCCTGCTCCGCATGATGATATTCAGAGATCATGAATAAACCCAATAGACTGTTTTCTTCAAGAGAATTTGGCCAATAATCATTTCAAATAGTATCAGTTGGTGACATTTTAACTGCTGACCCATAATGAATATCAGTGATTTTAATACTTAAGTCACAACAGACATCATCAGTATAAACGCCCCCCCTCACAAACATCAGGCTTTTACATGAAAACTAGTTAAAGTTCACTGGATCAGTAGAAACGACTCGGTAATGAACTGATCAGCATCACACACACACACTCTGTCTCTCACACTCTCTCTCTCTCACACACACACACACACACACACACACACACACACACACACACACACACACACACACACACACACACACACACACACACACACACACACACACACAGCAGCTTTATCTGATCCTGCTGAGCTGCAGTGAGTCAAACTTCAGAGAGAACTCGTCAGATCTCATCCAGCAGGGTACGGACCAGAGCGCACACCTCTCTCATCTTATCCACTTGTGGATTTGCTCAGCTAGGGCAAGAAATTAGATTATTATAATTTTCTCAAATCCGAACCTCCGTGCAAAAATCTCTTCTTCCACCCTAAAAAAAAAAAGACTTTGAAGACCTTGTTCTGCCCTCGGCTGAGGAGGAAATGTTCCTGGCTGCAGACTGCAGTCTGCTCCAGGAATCGCTGTGTCACTGTTATCAGCCGTTTCATTAGCATTCATCGGCAAATGTCTTTCTTAGCGCCACCAGACGAATTAGAGCACAACCCTCCGCTTAGATGTTGATGTCCTCTCATACGAGGCAAACTGTTGAAAGATTGGCTTCAAGAGACGGACAAGATGATAAGAGTAAAGGAGGTCTTTATGTTTATGCATTTCAGTCTGCTTCGCTTGGAGGGAGACATCAGTCTGAGAAAGTTTTATACAAAGAGTAACAGAGAGGATGAGTGGACAGTATTTAATCAGACAGACGTTTTCTTAAGACTGAAGTGACCGGCTTTGACATGAGCAGGGGCGTGTCCACAGGGGTGTTCAGGGGTGTTTGCCCAAAGAACCAGGTTACAGACCAGTGTATCCTATCCTTCACTTTTAAGTTGGGTATGAACCCTCCTGACCAAAAAGGCTTCTTCAAACTATCTAAAATTTGTGAGGTAACTTCCAGGTCTCAGTAAGTTTTGAAGTGCGCTCTGCTTTGCTTTACACTGTTGTGCCTCGCTGTAACCAGCCAATTACCTCCCTGTGAAAATAAAGAAGAGAAAACATTCACCGCTGTTATGATTTGGCGAGAGCTGCAGTCATTGTGGGCGTTTTCTCCCTAATGGTTGCTGAGCGCTGTAGTCAACCTACATAATACTAGAGAATAAACTTGTAGAGTCCACACGGAGCAGAGATAATATCAAGTGAAAGTTGCTGATTTTACAAGTTAACATCTTGTAAATTTCCCTCGCTTGAAAAAGCAGCACGCAGCGTCCTCCCTGAGCTTCTAATGGGCGACTCAGCCGATGTTTAAGAAGTTCATAACCCGAGCCGCCGCCATTGTGTGTACGCATCGATGTTTACGTCTGGTTCACTCTGAGACGATGTTCCAGTTTAACAAAAGGTAAAAGGTTGAAAAAGGTCGTTTTTTTAATCCGTATTAACACAATCTTATCAGGTCTGTTATTGTACCAGGACGAGCTTAAGTGGCTTATTTTATCGAGTTATTTTACTCAGTGTAGGTTCACATGTCGGTTCATTCATTAGCAGATTAAACCAATCACAGACTGTGTTTCACATCGAGGTAATCGGTGATACCGATGGACGAGTAATGATCGGTACAAGTTCAGAAAAACCCTGCAGTCGTGCTGCATTCAGCCCAAAGATATGTGCAGTGGAAAAGCCAGAGGTTAGCCACAGACGGAGAAACTAGGGTTTTATATAGGGCTGGGCGATATAACCAGAATTTACAGATACCGAAATTTATGACAATAACCAACGTCATTTTGCCAACATCAGTATATTTGGTGTCAAAAAAATAAATAAATCAAAGTTGGTTTTGGATGTGTAGGTAGGCTATTGTCTCATGTCCCTTTAAGAGACGTGACTCCACCCCATCCAGTCTGTAACAAAGAGGGAAAGACAGGTGAGGAGATGGAGGACGGATCATAAGTTGTAGCGGCTGAAGTAGACGAAGTTAATGTTGGAGGGGGTGAGCAGCTTATGGAGCGGTTATTGTCCATTTATCGTTATCAAGGTGAACTGCTCAATATATCATGATATTGATTTGAGGCCATATTGCCCAGCCCTACAAAATAGTCACGGCTGCTTTAGATGAACAACACAGCCTCTGGTTTTGATGCAGGATTAGTCTGAAAAGTTTCTCTAACAGCTGGATGCTGTCAGCCCACTTTCAGAACTTGAACTCCTTAGTCACTGCAATATTTCAAGCTGACCACCTGACTCATTGTTCTCCCTGAAGGGCAAAGCTACAAGATTTTACAGCCGCTGTTCGAGCCGACAAAGAACCAGTTTCTGCTGCTGAAAAACGGGAAAAGTTAAAAAGGGTTAGAATTCAAATATAGTATTCATACCTCATTAGTTACCAGAAGATTGTGTGTAAAATATTTCATAATTCCCCACTTTGAGGTGCAGACAGAGATCTTATGGCTGCTTAATGCTGCAGAACACCTACAGCAGGCCGTAAGGAGGGGAAAGAGGTCTGATCAAAGTGTTATCCCGTACAGACTCTGAATCCAGACCTGGTACAGAGAGGGAGAGCTCTCTCTCTCTCTCTCTCCCTCTAAGACCGGTGTCAGAGTCACAGTTTCACTAATTTTCTCTTTCACTGGCCCAGGTTCTTGATCTGTTAAACCTAAAAGGTGTTAGAGGTCTGGCAGAAACACCGGATCACAAGCTCCAGACGTGCCTGTGATGTTTGAAGAGTCATTTTGTAGTACTGGGGATATATATGAGAAAACACTAAAGGCTGAAAAACAAATACAGAAAAAAAATAAAATAAAAAACAGGGCCTTTGAAATAAAGATAGGAGACATGTACATCAATCAACAAACACAACAAAATTACACTCAGTGAAAGATGTTATAGAAGTAAGCTGTGGGAGGATGACTGTTAGGGATTATCCTTAAACACACAGGGGAGGAAAAACAGTAAACAACACAAGTGTCTGTGAGCCGCATACTGAAAAATAAACCGATGAAAGATGCAGCTCTGGGCTTTTTGTTGCTTCTGGTTTAGGATAGCTCCAGGTTTATAAAGTCTGAAAAGACACAGTGGTATTTATAATCAGCTGGAAGTTTCTACATCACAGGCCTATCAAATTCGAATATCTTCAATGTTTGCCAACTCACTCTGTGTTGGAAATGACTCGTTTGTTATCGAAAGCTCCTGTGAGGAGTTTGTTTTGACTTTGGCGCCCCTTGTGGACAAAGAAGTGAGTCTCTATTTGTCAAACAAGTCCTGCGCTTGCACAAGTCTCCAAAGAAACAGACAGTTCAGACATGGTGTTATCAACTGCCTCCTCTGACATCTACCCTGCCTCAGCGGTAATGTGCATTGATAATAATAAATAGTTCATCATTTTGCTGTTGACCTCTTGTTGACCTCATTTCTTCATGTTATGTCAACTTAAAGTCAGGTTAAAGTCAAGTTTTCATCATGGCCACATACGCCTCAAACCCCCACTCCATGGCTGACGTCACTGAGACTACACCGGTGTTTTTGTTTTGACATGTTGGTCACTGGCAGTGGGTCTAAGGCACCTTACAGCTATCACTAGCTGTGTTTACATGAGCACAAATAATCGGAATAAACGCCCGATCAGAATGAAAATTTGTCATGTAAATATGTCGATCGGAAGATTCTGATCCAATTCGGCTCAATCGGAAAGAAATTGTATTCAGATCGAGAGGGGTGGTTTATGCTGATCATTATTACGAAATGTGTCCATGTAAAAACTCAGTACGTTTACATGACTCTCGAGAAAACCGAATTATCGCCTAACTCCGATTAAAACGAATATTGGATTACGTCGGCCAGGGTTAAAAATCTCCAATATCAGCACTCCGATACAGGCAGTCCATTCCAGACTTCACTCCAGCACCTCTATCTAGCAGCACCCGGATCCATGACGACACTCGGCTGAAACAGCGTGTCCTCCGGGTGAGCTACGCAATCTTCGTATGCCCACAGGCTGTATCAGGTGTCAATCATATAAAACATGAACCCCCTAATAACTTTTAAAAATGGAGCTGCACAGAAAAAAAGAGGACCTGAGCACAAACCAGTCTACATGTCAACATCGCAACCAGGGGGGAGAAAAATTTATATTCTGTGTAATAAATTTATAAAGTTTGTCCACAACTCCATAGGGATTGCTGGGGGAGGCGGGATTTATGACCTATACTGCAGCCCATCAACAGAGGGTGCTGTTCTCGGAGTGACTTCACCCAGCGAGGAGGCAGATGGCGTCCATTCTATATACAGTCTATGGGTGCGAACAAAGTAGCAAGGAGTAGGAACGATGTCGGCCTTGTGGCAGTATTTTTCAATAAAGTCCGAAAAAGATGTTTCAGGTGAGTGAAAAACTTGTCATGCACAACTTTGTGCCAATATCAGATCAATATCTGTATGAGCCAATACTGAAGGCTATAATATCTGTATCGTATCGGACGTAAAAAGTTGCATCAGGACACCTCTTGCTAAATCCAATGCATACCAAAAGTTTCCCACTGAGGCTTTAATTTTACAAATTAAAACCATATTTTTTCTGACTGATTTCACATTTGGCTGATGAAATCAAATCAAATCTGTCCTGTCAGATGTCGACGCTGCAGTGAGGGAGACTTGTTGCTGGCCTACAATGGGACCCTGAAGCTCTCCTGTAATGAGAGTCAATAGCGGGTCATTTACTGTGAGTCACTCTGAGTCACACTTAAAAACACGGCAGAACCAACGCTGCACTGAGATGAGGGGGTGTGATACTGAGCTCACCACAGACCTGTCAAGCCCCTCACGGAGGTAAAAGGGGGTCAGGGGGGGACGGATGGGGTTGCCATGGCGCTGGACTGGCATCTTAAAGTGGAATTGATTCTCTGGCCTGAGAAAAGCTTAGAGCGGCATCGGCACAGCAGAAAAAATTGCTGACCGGCACACTCCTCAATCCACACGTAGCAACGACGTCTCTCACAACTGCTCCACAAATCCCTAAACTTCAGACAGCCCACACTGACAGGATGACTGTGGAGATATTCAGCTGAGTAATGATGCCTGAGAGCTTCAAAATAAGAGTCCAGCTGGGAAATGAACGCTACTGTATGTGTTTTTCAGAAGATGCTGAGCGCAGACTGCAGATTTGGTTTGTTTACTGGTTTGAGGGTACATGACAGCTCATTTATGACAGGCTGAGACACCGACACACTCACACACACGCCTGCTCAAACTGCTGCAATACACAAACCCACATATTCATTATACATGCTCTAACCCTCTCGAGCTGATTCACGCTTCTGAGTGTCAAAATCACGTGACATATTTACGAGTCTGTAGCTACAAGACAAAACCTCACTGCGTCTCTGTTTCAACTTGTCTCGAAAGCGAAGACCTCAAACTATACACCAGTTTTTAATATTGTGTTGATAAACCAAACAGAACCAGAGTTATGATAAATCCAGGTTGAGACACTCTCCCCCACAGTCCAAAAGACCTTTTTCAGAACAAACTACAGCAACACAAACAAAAATGCAACAAAAACAAACAATTATGGAAAAAAACAAGTAGACTGACATGTAGAAGGAGGATCTACATACGTTTTCACATCATGTTTTTTGTAGTGGCATAAATAAAATGTGCCGTTTGTGAGACCATACATTGTTTTGCAAATAGTTGTACAAAAAACGCCTGAGGCTAGCCTGCATTTTAACATAAATAGTGATAAATTACTTTATTTGCTAAAATTGTGTATATGTTTTGAAGTTTACAATTTATATTTTCAGTCTAAAAGGTCCTTACACACCGGGGCCGACGCGGATATAGAACGCCAAATTACGAAATATTCGGAGTCCCGAAGTCCCGCCTCCTTCTCCTCTGATTGGCCAGAAAAGCTGGAACGTCATCACACGCTCAAGCCAAACGGTCAGCGCTTATAGCCAATCAGAGGCGGAGGTGGGCGGGACCTTCCCTTGACAACCTACAGTGTCCCGGGTGGAAGCGAGAAGACAAAAATGAAGTCTACTTCAACTTCAAGTGATGGCGATTTGATATATTACCAGATAAGCACATGAAACTATGGTAACAACCGTTAGCTTATGTTAGCACAGATGTTTAGTAAAAACAAAGACGTTTAGCAAACTGTTAAACACACAAAACAAAACAAAAAATCATATAAGAAATCTGACGCTATGACTCTCCACAAGTTGTCCTTCAGGTCGTTATCTTTGTAATGTTTGTATCTTCTATCAAAAATCACTCTGTTCTCCGATACGTAAACAATCAGCCGGTCGGCCATGTTGGATATACCGGTGAATCAGACGTCGCAAAAACACGCAATCTGATTGGGCAGAAGTGGACACACAGTATGCGAAACTTTAGGAAAATTGACCGTGATCCGGAAAAATAAATGCCGCAATATTGCAGGACAAGAAAACGTCGCTGATGTGAACGCTTGTATTGACAGGATACGGGTTCGAATAAAAATATTGACGTCACCTTAAGCGATGAAAATGGTTCGTTAAACATATTTGTGTTTTTTTACAGTAAAAAATGTCACTTTTTTCACTCGATTTTGTATAAAATTACTGTAAATTCACACAAGTGAGGTTGCGCCAAAAATGAATACCGAGCAAGGTGAGGTAAAATGTTTTTAAGGGGAGATATTAAGGTAAAATCAAAAGTAGCTAAAAAAAAATATCCAATTATAGCCCAGACTCCAGAGGGTTAAATGAATGTTTTGCTTCAACCCTCTGGAGCCACACTCATCATTCAGGTCTGATAGTGTCTGATCAATTATTAATTCATGCATTCATCAGTAATCCTGAAATAGAGTGAAGTATTTAGGTAGAGTGAGATGTAGTCTGCTCCTCTGCTGCTGCAGCTACAACTTGACTCTGCAGTTTTACAGTCTCAGAGTTCAGAGAGAGGGAAATGCGTGCTGTCCCATGGTGCAATGCTGCAGTAACTGCCATTACCTATACATACTACTCCAAGCACTGCGTCGAAACGTCTCTCTCTCTGCTCTCCAGGTTTAATTTTGTGACTTTCTCTCCTAAAGTTGCACATTAACAGACAGATAACATCCTCAGATCCAGACCTCCATCACTCACTCACTCACCTCTCTCTATCTGCGCTCTGGCTGCGTCCAGCTGCTGCTCGGTGCCGATCTCCCCGATCACTATCAGCATGTAGTAGCCGCTCCGGTTGAACGGCACCCCGAACCGCCGTCTCACTCCTCCCCGCCGATACCGTAGTCGCTCCTCGGACCCCGGTTTAAGTGTGCCGAAGCCCTCGTCCTCCTCCACTACCGGGAGCGTACCTCGCACCGGGATCTCCCATGGCAACATCCCCCGGTGCGGACGCCGGGGCTGACTCCATCGCCATGACAACTACCGGTATGCGCGAGGGGGAGAGCCTGGAGGGGTGGGGTGAGTGGAGAGGAGGTGGAGGGGGAGGTGGGGGTGAGGAAAGAGGGTGAGGAGAGGTGAGGGGAGGGAGGTGAGGATGTGTGTGGAACTGCACAGAGGTTAGAAAAATAGTTGTTTCCGGTGGAGATTTCAAAACAAAGGCCTCATTTAAAGGTGAGAGGAACATTCGACCCTCCATATTATCCATCACTCCCATCCTGCTGCACTGTGTTCCTGTTTTTACTATTTATTAAGTGTAAATATCTTTTAATATATACTTTTATTCATTTGGTTTTTATTCCACTACCACTCTACCTCCAGAAAGTGCAATATCACTCACCATGCTGCTATTTTATTTTTATTTTTTCTGTATAATAAATTAAATACCGTCATGCTGTGATATGGAGGCCAAACAACAGCATTTCGTTGCAGAGAGAAATCACTGCTGTGTTTTATTCTGTGCAATGACAAATAAAGTCTCCAAGTCTCTCTTAATAAGGAACGTTTTCGCTGTGGATATATTGCCCCCTCATACCATCTACTCACACGGTTTTCCTGTTTTTCGACTATTTTTCTAATGACAGAATCGACTGAAAGCTCACACCTTCCATAAAGCAGCAAACTGACCTTTTTATCCTCATGCAGGTATGTTTTCTATTGACGCTATGGTCACCTATCATGTCCTGTAAGTTTACTGTTGTATTCAGGATTTTCTCTGTCTTGGCTGTGTGTCAAAAACAGAGACACACCCCAGTGCACCAAGTTCAAAACAATGCTGTATTAAACCAGATCAAAACAAATTAAACTAAATTATAATACTTATAGAATGAGGTGTGTTGTGTGCTTGAGTGGAAGATATGTATAGGGGAGAGTGGGGTAAGATGAGACATTTTTAATATTTCTGATCACTACATCAAGTCAATCATAGTTTTGTCTCTAACTAGTGTTTCTGCATATATTTCAAGATGTTGTTGCAAGCAACAGGGGGTGGCTCAACTTACCCCACTCTCCTCCCCTGTGTGTGAGGGTGTTGTATGAGGCGAACACAAAGTGCAGCTTTAAGCGAATAAAACCCAAAGTTAACCAAAACAGTCGGCTATACCTGTGAGGAGGGAAGCAGAGAGACTGCATGAGGTTAAGTCATGTCAGCACCCAGGGCTCAGGTGTGCAGAATTACTCTAATTAGTGTGCTGCAGAGGGACACCTGTTAGACACGCCCCCAATATGAGATCACTGAACACTAGATAGCACCACAAGGACATCACACTCTTTCATTTGTTTCCTTGCATTAAATTCTCTCAGACAGAAAACCTCTCAAAGCACCACAAACAGGTAACTTGGAGAACACAAAGCTAGTTACAACGGCTTGTTGTTGCAACTGGATACAACTATGAACTGGATATTTCAACATAACCATCCTACAGGTTCGTCTTTCCAATCTAAAGCTATCAACAACACATAATAGATGTTGACAGATACCAAAACACTTGCAACATTTAGAAAATATTATGGAGAAACTAGTTTAAACAAACTGAAACCACAAGCAGACTCATGTTGACCAGCCAACTGCCAGAAGTGTGTCACTAAAACCTCCATATATATGACACAGTTCAGCTGCACCAAAACAAGCAAATTTACCATATAAAGCTGCAGAGGTGAGGTTTACTGGAGGTGTTTTGCATCGGACTGCTTTTAATTTACAAATTGGAAATGATGGCAAAGAAATACAGATATTCAGCACCCCTCCTCTGTGTCATTCACAAAGTTACATTTTTAGTCTCAAACTTTCAGCATAAGAAATAAAAGAAAAACAGGCCTGAGGGCAGAGACTGCTGTGGGATTATTTAAATCTGCTGCAGAAAAAGCATCAAAACCCTGATTTTATCTGAGACAGATGGCATTAACTGTTAAATATTCAGCTTTTTAATCAGAATATTTTAACCTGCGTAAGTGTTGATGTTGTTTGGACAACTTTAGTTTCACTCTGTATACGTAAAAAAACTTGCGTCTATCTATTTGCACAGTATTAGCAGCTTTAATGTTGCAGCACGAAACTGAAGACTCGCTCGCTAAAAACCAACAAAAGCTGGATCAACAGCTTGGGCATGTGAATAAACAGTGACACAAGAAAAAAGACATTTTATGGAAAACATTGTGCGCACAGTTGAGCAGGATTTGTAAGAAAAACTGGATTAGACCCTTCGAAACGTCACTCAGCTACTTTCAATCTCCTTTAGGATTCAGATGATGTTTAAATTCAGTCGCTCTTGAGCTGCGAATGTAAGGGACTTATTAAAATAATCTGTATGAGATTAAAGAAGGACAGTTTCCCCAGAGCTCAAACACTCACTCACACACACATCAGGCCACTCTGATAAAGACAGAGAAAATTCAGAGGAGTCTTAAAAAAAAGAGCCTCTTTGTTCTCACACAATTGTCCCTCATTCAGTTTCCCTCCTGGTTAACCTTGAGCTCGGCCCATTTCAGAGCGCAGCAGAGGGCGAATCAGCACCAGCCGTCAGCACCACACTGAGGGGATAATCAGGAGGTCTGTTTGGCCTCATAAGTCATCCTGGACATTCTTCTTTTGTCGGTATTATCACTGATTTAACACATGGAAAACTGGAGCACATACTGGCAGATCTGTCCCACTTTTGATCCATGCAAGTTTGGTAAATAACCTGTTAAAGATGTATTTTCCTCTGCAGCCTAAATCACAGTCTTTGTGTCTCAGTGCAAATTCCAAAATATACCTGTTTTAAGGACATATTTTTCTCTTAAACTCATATTAAACAAGGTGAAATGGTTAAAAATCCGTTTTGCAGGACTTGTTTAGGTCTCTTTAATGACTCGCTGCGCTTGTAGGAGACACCATGAAAGGAGTAAAAATAAACAGTGTAACATCCAACAGTAGCAGCATGAAGGCACCTCATACTGTGTGTTTTTACTGCAGATTTCTCTGACAGTGAGTCAGCACTTCGCTCCACAGAGAGACGAACGCCACAGTCCTGCTGCCCTCTAGTGGGGAGAAACAAGGCTCCCTACTCTACTGTGAAGTTAGAGGATGATGTAAGCTGTTTCACTTCATCAGGTGAGTGCTGAGAGGCGTGTCAGATCTGACTGAATGTGTCAGGTTTGGAGAGAAAAGGAGACAAATCAGAGTTAGGTAGGAGGATTGCTTTCAAATATCAGATGATTTTAGTGCGCTGTTCCTGAGGATGAGGTTTATTTAGACAGCTTATTCACGTTTGTTAAAGTCAGTCAAATATTAAAGCCACATTTTTTGATTGTTTTTCTGCAAAAAAAGGAGATTAAGTCATTTGATTCCAACGCCACAGTTTCAAAGTAACTTCATGAAGAAATGGCGCCCTCTGCTGGGCATCCAAAGTCAAGCATGCTGTTAAAACTCAATCACTTTAACCGTATATTTACAGTCTCTCCCCTTTAAATATAAGATTTTGAATAATTTAGAAAATAAGACTTTATAGCTTTAAAATGAAACAATAAACAGGATAAAACGTTTGGAAATTATTAGTGTTGGAAATCTTGTTGAGGGTTTAAGTGCTGGTTTACAACATCGATAAAACATGATCAGACAGAAATTAAAGTCCATGCTTTAGGTGAGTAAACTAAAATCTGTGTTTGGACCATCTGGAAGTCTTTTGAGGGACTTTGAGAGAGGACAGACTTGAAGATAGTGTTTAGTAAATTTGCAACAAACAAGTATGAGAATCTGAGAACATGACAAAATTCATATAAAAGTGAGGGACAACTTAAAAAATTATAATTGACTTTTCCCAAACTATTCATTTAAGCAGAGCTAAAAGATATAAGCAGTATGCAGATTTGCAATGCTTCTGTTTCCATGATGCTGCAAAATTAAAGGTGCAGTGTGTAGTTTTTCTGCAGCATTGAGCAGAGCAGATTTGGTAGAATTACGGCTAAATCCCACAGGATCCAGAACGGCTGTGATCAAATACACCAGCTTTATAATCAATGTGCGTGATTCCACACAATCCGTTCACCGTCCGGCTCTGCTCTGGCGGTCAGATCAGATACCCAAGGCTTCTATTTTTGCCGGACGCCACAGCATAACGCATCAATTCAGTGCAGCGGAAGTTGTATGCAGCCACAGAGTAAAATATCCGGTTAATTTTCAAAATAAAATAAAGTCAATACATTGAACTATTCTTTATGTGATAACAGGAAAGGACAGGGTTGTGGGATGTGGGTGTTTATATACACCGCCGATCTTATTCAATGTCTCACGGTGAAACATGCGAGCTCTCGTCCAGTCTCGCGAGAAATATCGGTAATATCGCAAGCCCATCTCCTCCGCTTTCGGCATCGGATTGGATATTGACGCTGTACGCTTGTGTTTTTGATCCACCTGCCATTCTGGAGTGGATCTGCATGCGGTGGAATACCGGCATTAGAATATACTAATTCAAGTCAGAACAAGACTTGTATATATTTTTAATGAGGGCCGCTGTCGGACAAACTCCCAACATTCCCATTTAGTATTTAGTGAGCAGCTGTGCAAAATGTGACGGTTAGAAGACCTGATAATTCATTAAAGTAACCGAGTAATCCAAGGACAAGTAAAATATCTGCACTGGCTCTGGGTGTGCTCCTGTTTTTATCAGGTAACTGTCATTGAAAAGTAAAAAGATTAATTACTTTGCACCGACCAATAAGTGTCAAAGCAGTCTGAGTTTGAGTCATGATCTCTAACTTTAAGGTTGCAGAGACTCTGCAGTCTGCCCCGGAGCCGGTTTGGCCCCGTCGCTGATGGACGTATTTGATGGGAGGCGGCTGCAGTTATTCTGAGCTGCAGAGCGAGTGACAGACGGAGCCTGGAGAAAGAAAAAAACCACACAGACAGACAGAGTGACGGACAGATAAATGGTGAAAGCAGCAGTTTGGGTTTCAGTGCAGATTCCCCACAGACTATCTGAGTCGCTGCAGACTCCGAGCGGTCACAAAGGTCTGCCTCTACCCCTCGCTCTGTGTCCCGTCTCCTCTGTCTCCACCGTCTCCTCCGTCTCCTCTGCCCTGCCAAAAATAGAAAAGAAAAGGAAACTGACAGGAAACTGTCAGAAAATGAGAAAACGGCCTTGAGCTGTTGTTGAGTGTGTGGTTTTGGTTTTCCCTGCTTCTGTTTGATTGAATTTAAATATTCTGGCAGGAAAACGAGCTCAGTAACACCTCAGACAGCAAACACCTCAGAAAAATACACAGAATAAAGAGCAACTGAAGTGAAACCATCTGACACAACAGAAATATACCTGTGAAATGAAGGAGTGAGGCGGGTACAGGGCCAGAGGGAGTGTTAACTCTAAAAAAACAAACTGAATACAAAATAAATTCAGATCCAACTCAAGGTTTGATCTTGACCTTTGAAAAAACAGCTCTGTAAAGTGAAGAAAATAATCAGTTCAATTAATAATGAACTTCAGCGGTTTATCATGTCTAACATATTTAAATCCATTATTTAGGATTTTGTCCCGGTATCGCGCCGCATGATCAACTGCTGCAGAACATTTGTCAGCTTCAGCTCATGTATATCACACTCAAATTTAGTCGCTATGGTTCCCTAACTGGACCAGAAATCGGTGATATGTTGAGCATAGACGTCACCTCGCTGAGTAGCATAGCAGTGGAGAATTGTATAAGTGTGTAGAGCTCATGATGACGTGGGAAAAACCATCGTGAACATCGACTACGTCCATGTTTTCTCTAGTCTTTAGGTATCCTGCTGTTATCAGTTGCTTCAATCATAGGTGGTATCTCAAACTGATGTCATTTAACTTAAAGTGTACATTACTTTTAACTTACCAGCATAGACATATGAGAGCTGGATAATGTCATTTAGAAACCAAAGATTTCATAAAGTTCACATCGCCCAAAGTCAGGGAAACAGAACAAAACCACAAGGTTAGGGCTGGGCGATACACCGAAAATTTACCGATACTGAAATTTACTACAATAACCAACGTCATTTTGCCCATATCAGTATATTCAGTGTCAAAACAGTAAATATATATATCGTATATCTATCGTATATATATATATATATCGTGATATTGATTTGAGGCCGTATCGCCCAGCCCTATTGGGAGTTGTAACAGATTTTGTGTTTTGATAAACTTTGGTTCATGGAGGGCATGTGAAACAAGACACAGTTTTTAATCAAAAGCAGAAACAAGTAAAACAACCAGCTGTTCTCCGTCCTCTAAACACAGTTTTCCAAACTCTGTTTTTAAGAGAAAATACAAATACAACCTCACATGAAAGCAAAGCATTTTATTAGATACTATATTCATCACTGAAATACAAAAGGCATTGGCTTATGATCTCCCAAAACAATGCATTAAGAGATGTTTGACTTCATAAAAATCATGTCTTTTATATATTTATATATAGAACAGGTGTAAAACTGAACCTTAAATTAGACCACCATCTGCTGCAGGAAACTTATCTCACGCTGTTATTCAGAAATGCTAACATGTTTCATCCAGGATGATATTTTCAACGCTACATCAAATAAACACACTAATGCATGTTTGTTTTTTTTTTGTTTTTGTTTTTCTCAGTTTAAGAAATGACAGAAAATATACATCAAATAATTTAGAGATTGGTGGTAGTTGCAGAAATACACAAGGAATACTTTTATGTACCTGGAACAAACTCACTAATAAGGAGAAGTGAAAACTAAGTTTAATCTGCATATTGTTGATGCTGGTTCCCTTCAGAATAAGGCAAATGTGATGATGAGTTTACACTGTAGTATCAGGGTTTAAAAACCAAATACATGAGAGGAAAATGAGAAATTGAGGACACGCGTCTCTGTCGTACCTGTGACCGCCAAACCTCACTGGAGCACAGTAAAATTTAACCAATCCTGATCTTACTAAGAGGGCAAACAGACCATTGAAACGGACTGTATGGTCTGTTTTTAGTTTATATATTTATTTAAAGAGAAACAACAGCATGGCTTTGGCTTCATCAGAAATGACTCTTGAACAAAGGCACTGATTGAACAAGTCGTTAAAGCTACTTTTTTACGGCTGCAAATTAAACTAAATTCTGTTTGTATGCTCATGAAATCAAAGATTAAAACTTGCTTGAAAGTTGTTGAAATTAGGGGTGTCCAGATACGATATTGATATTGCATATCAGTCCGATATCAGCATAAAAACGAATATCGGATTATATCGGCCTGCATCTAAAATCTCCGATATCAGCACTCTGATACAAGCAGTCCATTCCAGATTCCACTCCGGTACCTCTAGCTGGCAGCGCCCTGATCCAGCATGCAGAGCCCACAAAATCCCAACAACAGTTTGTACTAAGGTACGAACAAAGTAGAAAGAAGTATGAGTGATGTTGGTCTTGTGGCAGTATTTTTTGTTTAACCCTCACAAACTGTTCAAATCCTGTACCCTCACAGTATGTTATGGGTCAAAATTGCCCCTTCAAAGAGTTCAAAGAGCAGCTTTCTGTCACAGAAAGTTCTCTTGACTAGTTCGGTCATTTTGACCTCTGTCTAGGTGTGTCTGTGTGACTGTATGTATGTCTGTGTGCATGCGTGCGTGCGTGTGTGTGTGTTTCTGTCATGGTAATGATAGTTTCATAATGATTTGAATATATCTTTTTGAACAACAAACTTTATATCGAACACTGTTGTTACTGTTTGTCACTTGTCCCACACTGCTAGATCTAAAATCCATCTAAATATAGATATGGGTCAAATTTGACCCGTAACAGCCTTAGAGGGGAAAAATTTGTAGCACATAAACAAAAATACACATGAATATTTTTAAATTAATTTCATGTATTTTGGGCAACTTCAGGAAAAGTCGTCAAGTTTCAGGCTTAAAAAATGATGTTTAGGGTATTTTTACTGCTGTTAAAAGTCAAAACGGGTCAAATTTGACCCGAACAGTATGTGAGGGTTAAGTCTGAAAAAGACGTTGCAGTTCAGTGAAAAACTTGTCATGCACAATTTTGTCCCAATATCTGATCAATATCGGTATCGGTCAGTATTGAAGGCTACATTATCGGTATCATATCAGAAGTCAAAAAGCTGTATAGGGACACCCCTAGTTGAAATGAAACACTTCTGGGGCCTGTTCTACGAAGCAAGTTCAACCTAGCGAGGTAGCCTTGGAGCTACCTCGCTCAACTTAGCGCGGTAGCCAGCGGTCTCGCTAAACCGTCTGGATATCAACCTCGTAAATGGATCCAGCTTTGCTATGAGCGCGTGCACGGATGTTTGAACCTGATCTCCATGATTTAAAGGATTTTTTCAGAAAGAGTTCTAAAGATTTTTGGTTACGGAAAATGAAAATGAAAATTTTTAAAAGAGTGATCTGAGATCTGAGAGTGATGTGTGGGTGAGCCGGTGTGAGGCGTATCGCTGTTGAAAGATTAATTAAAGATTTTAGTAATGATCTACAGTAACAGCTACATCCAAAGTAATTAGAATAAACTACACTTTCTCTTTTTTTACAGCTCTTATCCTTCTTCCTCATTAGACTGATTTTTGCAGCGCACATTATTTTAGCTCCAATATGTTCGACAAACATGAGAAATGTATTTGAGGCAGTAAAAATGCCGATCAATGACACACACAAACAAACACTTCATCTTATTATATTACAGAATCAAAGACAAGTGTTCTGCAACCGCATGTTTACATGCACAGCACACACACATACATACACACACACACACACACACACACTTAACACACTCACCTACACAGTCACACATTACACTGAAGAGCATTGCCAAAAAAAGTGCACACGAAATTTACAAAGCGAGGACACACTGAAAGAGCGTCAGTCAACTTCATTCATACTGTTCTCCCAGAATGCATTTGGTGTGTGACTTTCCCCTCAGGAGTCACTCTGCAGGATGAAAGCAGCAGAGGTAACGTTAGGGGAGAGCGCGCATCGTTTCAGGGGTACAAGAAGGAGGCGAATAACGCGGCCCCACTTAGCTCAAGGTCTAAACATCATGAGGTTTTAACAACCAATCAAAAACAGGAGCAGATTTACACTTTCTGATTCTTTCAGCTTTGTTTTTAGACCTGACGACATACAGACCTCGACCTGTTTAATGGAGTTTAGTTTAACTCTGTCGACTGCTAGTTGTTTGCCTGGAAAGCTCCCTGAGCGGCGGAGGACGCCGCACCAGCAGCCGCCGTCTGGAAGGTTTTATTGGTGAGGACGCCCTGGGAGAACTCCTGCTGGGCCTTCTGGAAACTGGCTCCAGTCCGGCGGTACATTTGGTGGACCTAAAGACAAATAGAGAGGATAGTTAGATGAGTTTGGTATTTGGCTGTCCTCGTTTTTACTTTATAAAACATAATTGACCCAACACCGGAGAGGACACGGCTGCTGAACAACAGGTCAAAATGTAAGATGTGTAAATAAACGACATGAATCCTCACCATCTTGAGCAGGATGACGGACAGCACGGCGCACATGGTGAAGAGGATGGCCACTATGATCATGATGGCTCCCACTGCCGTGTTTTCTTTAAAGGCGATGAAGGCGGTGATCCAGCCGCTACAGACGAGAAACATCAGCGAGTTAAAGCAGGTTAGAAACAAAGGTAGTGAAACTGAAAATGAGATATTTGTATGGCAGCAGAAGTAAGTGGGATTACACGTGATGAGGAAAGGAAAATAAGGGGAAGAGGCAGAGTTCAGGTCCGATAAACCAGCCTTAAAGCGCCCTCACTAACATGATGAGGAGGTGGCGTCATTACAACATGAGCACAGCCTCCTGAACATCAAATATGCTTCACTATAAAGTAGGGCTGGGTGATAAACCGGAAACTGACCAATTCCAAAATTTACAACAATAACCGACGTCATCTTGCCCATGTTGGTATTTTTCTGTGTCAACAAAATGAATAAATCAAAGTTGGTTTTGGATGTGTGTAGGTAGGCTATGGTCTCATGTCCTTTTAAGGGATGTCAGAGACGTGACTCCAACCCATCCAGTTCATAACAAAGAGGTAAAGACAGGTGAGGAGATGGAGGACGGTTCAAAAGTTGTAGCGGCTGAAGCGGCAGCTAAAGTTAAGAGGGTGAGCAGCTTGTGGAGTAGTTATCGTCCATTTATCGTTATCGAGGTGAACTGATCAATATATCGTGATACTGATTTGAGGCCACATTGTTCAGCCCTACTTCCAAATGTGAGTACATTCTCATTTTAGTGCTCATTGCTTCATCTCTGGTTAAGACTTTTAAACTGAGCTGCTTTGAGATTCCTACACGAGGTCATAGTTCATTTGTTTGTCTGCTTCCCTGGAGACAGATTTCTATCATGTCCCTTTCCACCCCTCAGCAGGTTTCTCTGCTTCCTTCGGTGACGTAGCGTGGCCCCCTCACTTACTCTTAGATTCTGCATTTAGGTGGTTAGTGTTACAATCATAGACTGTATATTCTATGGACAACTTGCATCATGATACGAATTTGGAGCCAAATTGCTCTCAGTATTTCCACGATTTTTTCCAATTCCAGTTTATGACCTATACTGCAGCCTGTCACCAGAGGGTGCAGTTCTCACGGTGGCTTCACCCAGCGAGGAGGCAGACAGCATCCATTCTATATCTTCTTTTTGAAAGATCAGCAGCAGCACTGTCTTTATTTAATGACTATTTTCTTTTATGTATTTGCTCTCTTTAGCCTCGCCACTAAACGTTAGACAAACTTTAGATTTTAACCCCCGTTTGACCAGCAGAAAGAAAAAAAGCAGGAGTGGAGTTAGTGTTGGAGGGGTCAGAGGGCAGCAGACAGGAAGAAGCAGAAACTTACAGAGTTACCAGCAGACAAAGAGGCAGCAGAAGTAGAGACTGAAGGATGGAAAGTTTCTGTCAGGAAAGATGAAAGAGTGCAGAAAATGAGAAGAAGAGGGCATGCAGCAGCGTACGATCGGTACAACTTCCATTCATAAAAGCACAAAAAAGAAAATCTTGATAATAGTCAGGAAAACGCTTCGAGCAGGACTGTGGCTTTTTTTTTGTTTCTGACATTAAAAAAAACAAACTTACAAAGATAAAAATCACGTTTTATTTTTTAAGTTTTTACTTTTTCTTGTGGCAAAACACTAAAAAAGGGATTTCTGCAAAGTTTAAATACACAGTGTGTTAACGCAGGGATATTTCACAGTCAGATTCTGCATCTAAATGTTTCCTCGCTCTTCTCCTTTGTCGTCAAAGTGATGGTGGCCTTTGAGGACAAAAAGCTCCTGTGATGCATCATAAACATCAGCCTTCATTTCTTAATATTTCCCATTGAAAACATCTTTTCTTAACACACAACAACCTCTCTCTCTTCCTCCTTTGTCTTCCAATCAGGGCTCATTTTCAAGTTTTTCACACACTAACTTTACACAAATTAATGAACACTATTATTCTATTTCTACTAAGTCCGCTCTGCCAAATGCTAAATGCTCCTTGCTGCGCCTGTAATCCATCAAACCTGATTAATGTTTCTACTTTAGGCACCATTAGAGGGCCGCTACCTGAAGACCCGAGGGCTCTCACAGGCTCATGTTGTAAAAGCAAATCAGATTAAGACCATTAAAGGCCTAAAAACCAGTAAACAAACTTTCAAATCAATTCTTAAAGATACTGACACAGAGACAGACACACTAGTCGGCACGTACTGGTCATAACTTGACCTCTGAGCACTCACTGATACATGAACCCTCTGACTATCGCTCAAACCATGACTTACCTGTTTCCCCAGTCAGGGATGCCCACAGCCTGGATGATGAAGATCACCACTTGGCAGAAAAACACAAAGAAGAAGAAGAAGAAGCTGAAGGAGCTGTCTGTCCTGAAAAGAAGAAGAAGAAAAACAAACTCCGGTCAGTCGAGGAGGTAGAGGTTCGAGGTCAGGGAGGCATTTTCAGAGAGCTTCTGTGTTTTAGGTGGAGCGGATGAGTCGTTTTATACTCAGTATTGTAGAACTCTACATTTGTGAACCAGAAAGTTGCAGAGCTGCACACAGAGAGGCTCACCTGAAGGCCTTGTAGACGGGTCTGTACCAGCAGAGGAAGGAGCAGGGAGCGAAGAGGATGAGCCAGAGAATGGAGAGGCCAAAACCCACACCCTGTTTGGCATCGGTGAAGAAGAACGCCATACAGGCCAGCAGGTTCAGGAACAGAGCCACACAGCCGACTGAAAAAAACAACAGAGAAGGAGGACAAGATCATGATCCTGATCCACCAGTCCTGGTTCTTTAAACTCGCTCTTCAGTGGAACCGGTTCAGTAAATCTTTATCGTGTTTTATTCAACTATTTAATCGATAGTATTGCAGGTCAAGAAAGTTGCATTAAAAAAACATCCTTATTAAAAGAAAAAAACTTTTTCCTTCTAAAGAGACAAACCTTTCAGCCAAAACTCACGAGCAGCTGAACTTTTGAGGATTTAAAACTCTTGAGAACATTTTCCTCTTGTTCTGGAGAGATGTTTAATTTGTTTGACTTTTCTGTGACTGTTTTTATTTCATTTTTATTCAAATGTTTTTTTACATGTAGGAAATTATATAAGTGTTAAATTATGATTATATGGAAATGTGAAGGAGAAGAACCTAAAAACCTACCAGGTCCCTGCAGAGTGGAATTCTCAAAACGAAACATTCATTGTAATTTTAGATAAATATACAATATTTCATGTTTCCACCAATTAAAAATGTCATTGTGACAGTGTTTGTGTGTTAGTGATGAGTCTGATGTAACTGTGACGAGAAAATTATAACAGCATTGAACTTTCTTGAGTTAAAATTGTAAATTTATTCAGTTTATATTTTGAGTTATTTCTTTTGCTACTTCATGTGTCTTCCAGTTTCAGGCTTTAATATTACAACATAAAATTCATCAATCTTGTTTGTTTTTGTATATCATATCAGATATTAATATGAATTAAGGGCCGGGCCTTAACGCGTTAATTGCGATTTATTAATTACAGTAAAAAATATTCAGGCATATTAATCGCACCTACTGTATCTTTGCACCGTGAAACGTTTCTCACTGGACAAGTTTAAGGTATATCGCTTATACCGGCGCACCCCAATGTGAGTGAGTGCAGCAGTGATACCAGTCCCACCCAGCGCATGGACAAATGAACGAAGTCACGGATGAATGTGCTCTGATCGACTCCAGGCATTTTTGTTTGATGGAAGCCTGGATAAAAAAATAGTCTTGTGCAAACTAAACAAAATAGAATTTGCATATCACCGCAGCACGTCAAGACTCCGATATCACCTGAATGCTAAACATGTTGTAGCGAGCGTGGAAGTTAACGTTAGTCCGACCCCGAGTACAGTGACCCACAACTCGATCAGATGAGTGGATTCAGAGCTAAGATGAAAGCGCTTTTAAGGCTTTTGCACCCTCCTCCTGGTGTAAATTACAGGGTTATTTTAAATTGGATTATCTGCCAAGTATGGCACATTTTAAAACTAGAATTAAGGAGTTTTTGAGTACTGAATGCACATGTCTTCTTACGGAACGCTGATTTATTGTTGTGTTTTGAATACTGTAACTGTTTTGTGTTTCTGTGTGTGTGTTCTTTTCTTTATGTGGAACTTCTTGTGCTGCTATCCTGGCCAGGACTCCCTTGTAAAAGAGATTCTGAATCTCAATGGGTTTATATCCTGGTTAAATAAAGGTTACTAACTAACTAACTAAACTCTCTGTCTCGCTGGATTAATGCGATTAATTAATTACAAAGCCTCTGACTAAATTGGATTAATTTCTTCAACTGAGTCCCAGCCCAAGTCAAAAATCCTTATAGAGGCTTTAAATATGTTCAGAAATATCGGGCCGATATTTCTCTGTAGAGGAGATTATATATATTTTCAGATCTTATTGTATTAAAAATTGATATAATCTTTGAATCTCTGTCCAGTTTCAGCCTTGAAGTACACATCATGTCGGTGAACTTACACATCCAGAGGTAGTACATCATCTTGCAGACTCTCTGGTACTCTGGAGGGATCTCCTCTGAGAAGTCCTGGTAGAAACATGGCTTTATGGGGAAGCTCTTGGGAAGTGGCGGCCAGTTGTTCTCTTTCCCTGTCAAAACAAGAAGCAGAGTAAATATCAGGAGTCTTCGCTTTGTTGCGGTAGAAGTGATTATGCTGATTTCTCCGTGTGTGCTGCAGCTTCTGTTCATGAATATTTAACATTCCTCTCTTTCTAAACCCTATCCTGCATATTGCTGATTGTTTCCCTCTCTCTGTACGTTGTTCTACTTCTGCTGCTGAGGAGAGGTTTTGTCTCTAATGACCTGACGGGCCTCTGGTCTGCAGCTCCTGCTCTCTGCGGTCCAGCTCGGCAGCTTTCCTCTCCAGCTCCTCCTGCTGCCTCAGCAGGTTGGCCTGAGCCGCAGCAGCAGTCGCCTGCGGTAGGAGAGTGAGAAAACACTTTACTCGACAAACACGGAGCATGTACAGGAATTTATCTTAGTGACATAAGTGCAGAAACCAACGGATACTCTCAGAGGAAACCGTGGAGATGCTGCACGATTAATTACACATATCAACCAACAAATAAATTACTCTGACGGATATTCTGAGTTTTCATAGAGTTAAAACTGCATTTCAAAGGTCACAGTTTTGTTTATAGAGCAGAAAAATGAAGACTGAATGTGATCTGTAGCTCTGTCGTGAATATTCATGAGATTACCAGTGGAACAAGGAAGCTCATTTTAATATTGTGTAAACTGAGACGATGTTTGTGAAGCCGCCAGCATCATGTAGGCCGAGTGAAAGGAGTACAGGATCAACCACGAACTCTGTAGCCTCCTGGTTTGTGTGAGATATTACAATAACTATCAGAAAAAGTCATATGAGCTTGACTTCTATCTGTGTATAATCAGGTATTGTTGTGCTCTTCTCTTCTCGAGTGAACATGAAAGCCTTCATAATGCAGTCAAGAGCCCTGAGGGTAACAGCAGTAATCTGAAAAACAGCCTCTGAAAGTCTGTCTGCCTTTCACAGATGAACATTTGTTTAACAACAGGCTCCAAAGATGCACAACCTTCATGTCTGAGTTTGGTAGCATCGTATATATTTGAAGCACCGTTACAGCTTTGATGACAGTCTCTGCTTTGAACCATCAGAGTTCAGATTCAAAGGATCAGTCCTAATTGTCCTCTTTGGCCCTTTTTTGCTCCAGCTGCAGTTTTTTCCCAGGAAGGGTGTACCAATTATTTTGGAGCTCAGAGGGTAGTGGTCATTAAGCCCTTCAAAGGGTCATCCAAATGGATCCTTTACAGATACAGACTTTGGAGAGGAGGTAAGAAAACACGACCAGAATGCTTCAGGAGCTGAGGCGGCTCAACATTCAACATCACAGTGGAGAGGAGCAGCTCAGTCCTGATCTGTTTTCAGATTCAAACTCTGTCGATTTCTTGAGCTTCACTCTCATCATGTTAATTCCTCTTCCTCTGACTGAGATGGACTCTAAAGGGTCAAATTTGCAGGATGGAAGGACGAAGTACTAAAATATTCGACTCCAGTAGAAGCAAAGCAACTTTGAGGGTGTTTTACTTGAGAAGAAGTTAAAGGACTAGTCTGTGAATCTACTTTGTTTGACCTGTACTTCAAATATGGAGTACTTCCAACTCATGGCAGCGAGGTCAGGGGAGAGTGGAATATGCCCCCTACATTTTCCTAAACCAGTAGCTGTAATTTAACCAACAGCATTTATATGTGAAGTGATTTAACCCAAATTTCCACCGAACAGAACGGCTCTGCTGCAGAACGGCGGAATTTTTTTTTGAATGTTTGTGAGGCAAATTTCGTGGCAGATTTCAGACAACGAGAATCACAAGGATTCACAAGAACCCGCAGATTCACCTGCAATCACGAGATCACGATCCAAATCCACTTCTAGACTTCGAGAATCAGCATCTCCTCATTCATGGTGTCAACAGGGTGAAATGACATCTGAAAACCTTTCACTTGTTCGTCCCCGCCCATGTTTGCATCGTGTGAAATACAACCCGCCTGAAACATGGAGTGATTTATTTTGAAAAGAAGACGGATATTTTATTTTGTGTCTGTGCCCGACTTCCTTTCTAGCACTGACTAATCTGTGCTGAATTTATGTGGCATGCTGCGGCGTCCGGAAAAAATAGAACCCTGGAGATCAGCTGCGGAGTCCACTGAACCGCAGGGGGCCGGAAATAAGCGGGTAGAAACTGACACATCAACTTAAATGGAAACAATCAGCAGTGATCGGCGCCGACGGCCTTTTCTCTGCCGATCCGGATGCGGTGAAAATTGAGGGTTAGACTCTTCACCTGTTAACAGCGAGGTTATGGAAAATTTTCAAAGCATCTTTTGTGAGAATTACATTTAATAGATGCTGCTTCACATTTAAGTCATGGCTGCCTGTGCAGAGCAGGTTATAATATCATAACAAAACTCAGGACTTAATTGATCGATACGATAAGCTTTTGTCAAGGAGCTTTTGTGTGTGTGTGTGTGTGTGTGTGTGTGGGTGAGTGAGTGAGGGTGTGTGTGTGTCTTTGTGTGCGTCTGGGTGGGATGGTTGGGTTTTAATGTTATTAATTGTTGTTTTTAGCCTCTGTGAGGAACTTTGAACTACATTTTTTGTCTGAAAAGCGCCATAAAAATAAAGTTGAATTTGAAGGACTTGGCGAGAAAAACCTTGAAATAAAGTGAAATTTGAGATTAATCAGAGAGGGAGTGTAATATGGGACTCACCTGTGGACTGGGCTCTGTAGACGGCTGTAAAACCGCAGGCTGGAATGGAGAGGGGGCGGCCGGAGTGGTTTGAGTAGCTAGACCATCCTGAGAGACAATTCAAGCAACAAAGTGATCGATTAGGAAGAATTGTAAAACTTTTCAAGGATGAGGGGATGAGAGATGTTAACAAAACGAATCAAAAACCAGTTCACAAGAGAGGAAAAAGAATAAACACGAGGCGGGGGCATGAAAGAGGACAGAAATCAAGTTAAAGAGAAAAGAGAAAGATGATGACAGAAGAGAGGAAGGAGTCAAAGAAAGATAACACAAGATTCTCATGTCTTACTGATGCAGGGAAAGGGTTGTACTGGTCCACTGGCTCTACGCTGGAGTTGGTCACCTGTGTTACTGAAGGGTCCTGAAAGACAAAGACAAACCCACACGCCACTCATGATTACAGGTCACTCAGTCACACCAACTGTATCTGCATAAATTGGATCAACTGGGCCTGCTGGATCCAATTTAAAGGGCTTGACTTCCACTGAACTTTGCTGATCTCTTGTAAGAATTCAAGGCCTCTGGTCGGAGAAAGGTCAGACCTGCTGCTGGTGTATCGTCTTGTCCGGAATCATCAACAGAGATGAGGCTTAGATTAACCGTATTTTGGGGGTCATGAGTTCAGGATTAGTATTTGACCATGAGGGCAGCAACAGGGGGTGTTTAGTCAGGGTTACAGGGATATATCAGAGGATTCATTGGTATTGTAGTGGAATAATATAAAGTTTGACCTCTGTGAACTATCAAACATGAGTTTTACTGCTTTATCTGTCAACTTTTCCTCATTACCCTCGAGAATCAAGGTGAGTTTTAGATGTTAAAAAGTAAGCTCAGACGTGGAAATCTGCCACCAAGCTTCAACTGAGTCACGAAAAGGAATAGAATAACATCCTGATGTTTGACTCATGCAGGTCCTGATTAATGATTACCAGGAGGAGACTCGGACTCTTAAAGAGGTTAGACATAGTAAACATGAGTTCACTGCAGTGTCTGATCTGAAACAGGAGGAATAATTCAAGTGTTTCCAACTCTCATAAGAAACCAGTCAGTGTCTCACTAAAGCAGATTCTGCGAGGCTGTGGTCCTAAAAAAGTCAATAAATTTCCAAAAACATTCACCGACTCAATCCTTGTGGTTATTTGATCCAAACAAGCATGCTTTATAAGATTTTTTAAAACCATTTTTGATTCTGTGTAGTTAAGATTTTTTCTGTGTAGCTGGAAAACATTTTCTCGGGCAACAAAGCAGCCGTAAAAAAGTAAATCCAACGTGATTAGTCAGAACATAAATCGAGGCAACAGTTATGAAGAACTTTTCCGCCGTTGTAAAGTGAATCATTTGGGATTTGGGATTTTTTTTTTTTATAACTTAATGAGACATCTGAGGACATCACCCGAGGTTAAAGGAGTATTTCTTGCTCACTTCTTACTTTTTTTGACATTTGAGATGAATAATTTCCCATTTTGCATAATCACTGGAAGAATACAGTTTTGGTGTCCCTGTTACCCTTGTATATGGTGGCATATTTAAGCTGCACAAACACATATTTCTCGTCAAACAGTGGAAGCACTCAGACGACCTCTGATGTTCCCAGAGTACAGGGGAGGAGGCCGAGTTCCTGTGAGCATGTTTCAAATTCCCTGATAATCAAAGTCTGGACTTGGAATAAACATCCTGATATGTTCGAGTGTTTTTTAGGACTCTTGTGGTCATGGTTCAGATGCAAAATGATCCCAAAAATAAACAGTACACTAATCCTGAAAAAACTGAGTAATAGCTGTGGCCAATATAATCCTGCAACTATCATAGAAAAGGCAGCTGAATGGATTATGGGTAATGTAGGACTTTCAGAACAACCATTCTGGTAAGGTAAATTTACAGAAAATGGTTAACCTCAGATAATTACCCGACACGCCAGTTATCGACCATGTAATTTATATGCAATACCACTCACTGGTACTTTATCTGCTTTGACACACCTGTTATCATTCCCAGCAGGAAACACAGACATCAGGTGGTTTGGAGCCAAAGTGTGACTCATTAAAACAGTGAAGGAGTCATAAAGTACAACTAATCCCATCCTTAAAGATGATCCTTAAACAGCAGATTTAAAATCGGCGATACCTTCGACACATCGTCAATTTAAAAAAATAGGATCTCTGCCACCGTCAGTGAATCATGAATCATGCAAAGTGTGTTGTGTACCTCAGAGCATCAACAGGAAGGAGATCTGCTGAGTCACGACTAAGAAGCCGCCTGTGATGACACATTACAAACAAACAGCCGTGGATAAAGTTAAGCTCTAACCAAACTAATGACCAAATACTGCTGAGAGCCTCCCTGACATGAGGACTAAGCTGGGACAAGCCAAAACAAGACGACATGACATTTAAAAAAACAGAAAAAAAGGTGGGGAGAAGATCTACATTCAAGTAAATCTACAGTGAGATTAATACAGAGCCCTGTTTGAAGAATGAGTTATGTTTATTAACAAGATAACTAATGTGGTTTAAGGTCTCTGCACCAGGAAACAGGAGCGGCTGTGATAGCTGCTGATTGCGAGGCGCGGCTGACCCTATTTCAAAACTGCAGAGAGATACTGCAGCTTAAACACACTTAAGTCAATCTTGATATTATTACACACCACAGCACATTATTATAAATGTATGAATCATTGACTGTAAAGAATTAGCTTTAAAAAAAAACATGTTTAACTTCAACCATCTAAGGGTGTTTCCCTCCAAATTTGGCGCTTATCAACTATCAAATATCAGGTCTGAGGGCAGGCTTGTATAAACACAGGAGCAAGATAATGTAATGATGCACTACAGCATAGACAACATACACATATACCAGTTGCTGCTGGGGTATTTATTCAGCCACTTCCACGCCCACTAAACAAACAGTGATCTGGTCTATTCTACACTGACGTCGCCGCCATTATGCACCTGATATCATAAAGTGTGACTTTACACCACTGTGAACGTGAACTTATTATGTAATGTAACGGAAATCAGACGAGTTTAACTGATACTGAATGTTGTTATAAAGTACAGTATGAGTGTTTTTCCGTCAAACATGTCATTTAGCAAGTTCAACCTGGTCACCACCTGAGGCATTGACTGCTTGTTTAAGCTTGTAAACTGTTTATGTCTCTGTAAGACGGCTGACTTCTTTTCTTTTTGTCCCTGATGAATGAGGCAATCCTGAGTCTGAAATATAGGATTAAAGTCCAATCCCGTATTAAAATATCCAAACAAACAGACCAAATGTTGGAAAATAGTCTAGACTTCAGTATTCTGGATGCTTTAGTGGCTGTACATTATAAACTATGACTGAGTCAGTGGCCGAACAAATAAGATTGTTTTTAGAAATCATGGACGCCTCATCCTCAGCTCTAAAAGCTTTAAAAGACGGCATGGGGATGCTCAAGTGCATATGGTATAAGAAGATTACATATCTAAGGCACCATTAATGGTGAACATTGTGTACAGGACGATGACTTTCTTGTGGGAGAACTTACATAGTTCAGCAAGACAACACCAAATCACACTCTGTACATATTACAACAGTATGGCTCTGTAGTAGAAGAGTCCAGGTGCTAAACCTGCCTCTCTACATAAATATATTTATCTATTTATCCATTTTAATTTGTTTATTTAACTAATTTTATAATCATTTATTTACTTTATTTTATTTCTTTGCATGTACATATCTGAGATGCACAAAACCAAACCACAATCAGGCCACATGTGGTTTGGACATATCTGGGCCAAAACAACCAAACCAGAACCGGGCCTCATGCCATCATAAAAACCATGATCATTGACAGACCTGGCCCACATTCAGGTGACATACCCCCTACCATGCCAGAAGTGCCAGCTTGACAACAGATCTGGGCCAAACCTATCTCCTATGTGGGTATATGCTGCTGGTATACATATTTAATTGTGTTAATCTGGTTTATTTCAAGCAATTCAAGCTAATTTGCGCAGATTTTGATAATAAGTATGTAGAAAATCTATATCCTGATGACTGTGGTGGAAAAGCAGGGCACCGTGTTTATGTTTTTACAGCCCCAACAAGTGTTGAGTCACATCCTTGAATTATAATAATATGGTGTGTGCTGGCCTTTCAGGATTATTAAGGAGACGTTCAAAAGCCGTCTAAGTTACTATGAATCACTCCTAAAGCTGTATAAGGTCAAATTAGCTCTACGAATCTTTTTTAAGTACTACAGTATTGGCAGAAAAGCGAATAAAACGGTTTGACACACATTCCTGGTTGGCTACAGTTTAACTTCCTGCAACTACATTCGCTCACGACCGCGCCCACTCTTCAAACAAAGCCCGCTGATTGGCTATCGACCTGTCAATCTCGCAAAGACGATTCCGCCCCCTCACATCCACCCAACTAGTTTCCTGGCGTGTTGGCTCCTTTCTAACGACTGATAAGTAAGCACGAAAACATAAACGCCACACTTACATTGAAAGGGTTGTCCGAAACAGGCTCTGCGAAAGGATTGCTATCGTATCCCGACATTTTGAGTAGACGGCGGGATGTTTTCTCCTCAATGAAACAAGTACAAAGCAGCAAACTCCTCTCAGGCGCTTGACTTGTCTCTTCTAGCACTTCCTCGACTGAAGTTGACAGCGCAGGCGCACTACACCAGCTGGGCTGTGACGTGTTTCTGGTTGACACACATTCACAGCTGAAAGAGAAGAGCGCCACCTGTGGATTCAGGTTCTCTGATGCACTGTACAGGTGCTACTTTAGCTGTTTGTTCTTAGAAATTTAAACTGTAAATATATAAAGAAGCAGGGGAAAGTTAAGCTTTTGCTAGACCTTTGGATGATAGCCTAATTGATAGCCTAAAATGTACCTGAAAATATACATAGATAGAAGTATATACATGAGCAAATACACTATTTAGTCAATGATAATGTGTGTAATGTTTCCTAAAACTACAGTAGAAGATTGTGGCATCATTACACAGTCATTTAAGATGAGTGTTTGTAAATCAGTAAACTTTTCATAGAAAATTTTATAGGGGAGAGTGGGGTAAGATGCGCCATTTTTCATATTTTGGATCACTACATCAAGGCAATAATAGTTTTGCCTCAACTAGTGTATCTGCATATATTTCAAAATGTTGTTCATCCCTGCAAACCAACAGAATGTGTGTAAACATAACTGTCTTGATAATATAGCATGCAAAAAAAACAGTGGTCTTCTATGGTCAACTTACCCCGTGTATGGGGTAAGTTGAGCCGTATCCCTACTATCCCCCCACTCTCCACCCCAGCCCTCCCTCACCTTCTCTCTCTCTAAATAACAGTCACTTCTTCACATTAATATGTATTTTTAATCTATTACTCAACTTGTATAATAATTCTTTTTATTATTATTGGATATAACTGCTAAAAAGCTGTTTTGTAAAACGTCATTCTAACATGAAAATGTCTTTAAGTGATTCAGAACAATCACAGCTGTATTTTTGAAAAGAAAAAGTCAAACATTTCAACAACCTGAACTGCAACTCTGATCCTCTCATCAGACTCCTTTACTAACCCCATAACTACTATTATGACTTTATTAGTCCTCTAAGCCAAAATGGTGGACTTTTATGTTGTAGCTCATAGATACCACAATTGATGTATAAAACAAATTTAAAATGATCTTTTTTGGTCTGAACACAATTCTAATCAAACTTATAACAGACTTAGTTCACTTTCAAGATGTTTTTTGTAAATAAATATCTAACCCCTTCCCTCATGTGATTCTAACCTTCACAGACTCCATGAATTGATGTCCACCTCCTAAATATTTGGTCAGATGATCAATTTGTTTTACCATTTCTAACCAACAGGGGGTGGCTCAACTTAACTTTTGGCTCAACTTACCCCACTCTCCCCTAGAGTAATGATAGTAATAGTTATAAAAAATAATAATATAAAATCTGGACCTGGCTTGTAGTTCGAAGGGTACAGATAATATATTCTGCTTTACAAATTTTGATCTTCATCTTTGAAAAACCTACCATTTTAAGGCTCCTAACTTTAATAGTTTATATCAGAGTTTTATTTTTTGCTTTTCTTTGTTTTTTAAGTACAGCAAAACTTCTAGATAGGCCAGTTTTACAGAAGCCCTAAGCAGACATACATCTGCAGCTGCCTATACATTTTACTGGTGCATCTAAAAAAATAAAATATCTGTAAACCTTTTTATTTTAATCTCCATTTTTGTACTTTCATAATTTCTCCATTAAAGGGGCACCAGGGGAAGTGTTTCAAGCTTCTTTGACAACTATTTGATTATTTGATCCGGTTTTCTCAGGTTAACAGATCAAAGCTGGTCTCTTCAGTGCAGAACAGGAATTAAAAAAACCTGCTGAGTTAACCTAGCAAGTTATATCAAAAAATGTTTATTAAACATAAAATAATATTCCAACAAAAATAGTGAATGCATCAATTTTTAAATTTTCACACGAATTGCTCTTCTTATTTAAAAAGTAGCTAATTACTATTGATTTAACGGTTAAATTCAACGATTAATTGATCAGAATACAGAATAAAAATCGACCAATCCGGTTGGTCGAGCGGTGACGTCACCGAAGGTCTGACAGGCGACGTTGCAGCCATGGAGGAAGTAAGAGGTGAGTGAGATTTTCTCCTCCTTTTTCAATTGAATTAAACCACCTTTCCCGGCGATAAATATAAAGATAGCAAGGAAAGGGGCGTTTTAATTCTATTCCACATTAGCTGATACACGTTTAAAGAAACAAAGGAGTGAACAGAAACCGTTGTTAATCATCACTCTCTGTTATTTCACCGGCGTTTTGTTTGTTACAATAGGAAGCGGGTAGTGTTTCAAAGCGGCACCGTTGGCAGTATATAGACATAACGCGTATCTTTCCTGTCTTTAAAAACATGACGAACGTGAACAGCTATAAGTAAAGGAAAAATACACCCAAAGTGGTGAAGTGAGTCAGTCCCTCGCTGATGTAAACCTGCTTACTGTGAGCGTTTCTGTCAATGGACGTTGCATCGTCAGCCGGCCGGTGTTCTGCCAAAGAATGTATCCCCAGCGGAATCTGCGCCCCTCATATTACTGTATTATTAATCTGTTATATTCAGGCAGCCGGTTATGATTATTTCCCCTTAATTTCGCCTTGTTAAGCTAAGAACCTTCTCATTTAGTGAACATTTTAACAATGATGCGTGCTTTCTCTCGTCTTTTGTCCCTGTTGGGAAACATTTTAATTGTATAAAATGCAGCTAGAGTTACACATATAGACTGTACATAGAATATAGTTGATAATATATAGAATTTAGTAGATACAGTCTATGGTTACATGTGTATCTAGACAGTGCATCTGCATGAGGGTGAGTTTGGAAGCAAAGGAGGCCACAGAAACACAAAGGATTGTATGCGCTCTTTTGTTTTGAGAATATAAACTTCATTAATTTCTCCACAGTTTTTCCCCTTACCTGTGCTGTGCAAAACTACGCATGGGGGAAGGTGGGGCAGGACAGCGAGGTGGCCAAACTGGTCGTTGGTGGAGATCCACTCGCTGTCATAGAGGAAGGAAAGCCCTATGCAGAGGTAAACCCATCACTGGGAAGAGAATAGTTAAAACCACTAATTAGACTGGCTCTTAAGCCAATATTTGACAAACAAGTTTTTAATACTTAAACATGTTTAACTACAAATTTGAAAATTGTGTATAAATTGAGGGTTAAGTTGTTAAATATCAAGAACAAAAGTGACACTCTCCAGGGTTGATATAAGCCTGAAATAAGAATGTTAGATGAGAGCCACTCATTGTTAAGAGGGATATCAGATAACTACTCCCATTTCGCAGTCTTTTAGGTTAGTGATAATGGTTGGCATTGTAGGACCTCTGAGATATTTTGCCCTGCACTACACAGATGCCTCATCACGCTCGTGTTTTTCGACTATCTAGGGCATTAAAAGGTGGCGTTGTTGTTCCTCTGTGTCCTGGCAGGGAGCCTTGTTCACTTCATGCCTTTCACAAGTCTTTCCTTATTTAGCCACAGCAGGTCTGCAGGGTTTGTCGTGAAGGTCATCAGTTCCACTTATGGCAGGGGTGACATTTTCACATATGGCGAGTCACATAAATGTCACATGTCGTGGTCGTTCATGTGAGCTCTACTGGTCATCTTTACAGAGTGGTACAGACGCCTAATCAGTGACTACTGTCCTGCACTTCTGTGACATTTTTGTCCCGAAGTTTATGAGGTTTCCTTACAAGACAGTATTATTTTAATGAACTGTTGCAAGACAAAAGCACATGCATATTTTTAAACTAATCAGTCGCCGTAATTTTAGCACTAAGTCTTGAAACATGATGATGACCTGGATTGCAATTTAAAGAAATCAACCGGTATCAAAAAGGTCGCTGGTTGCACCATTTCGGCTCCGCTGCTGCACTTAGTGTTTGTCCACCAACAAGTGTGCGTCCTTGAAAGATAAAATCCTCCATTTACTTCTGGGGCATTAGAGTAACCCTCTTATCCAGAGTGATTTACTGAATGAGGTGGTTAGGATTCCTCCCCTCTCACTGAGAATAAACCACTTTAGATTAAAGGATTTGATGAATTGATTAAATGTAAATGTCTGACACTGGACTCTTTGTTCTCCGAGAATAAAAGACAGGAGAAAAGAATCTGTGATGGCTAATTTTATTTACTCTCAAAGCAATTTTCTCTGAGTAATTGGGTTGCTGTAGTCAATATTGGCTGATGTTAGGGAAGGGAGTAACACTTCTCACACTTATTTCGAGTTATATTAAGATTTTGACTCATCCAGCCCTGTAACCTGACCATTCAAAAGTGGCGATTCAGAGTCTCCTCTTCTGTGTTTACCAGCTGTGGATGGGTGCCCATCCAAAAGGCGATGCCCAGATTAAGGACAACAGGATTGCCCAGACCACGCTGGGCCAGTGGATCGCCCACTTCCCCGCCTCCCTGGGCTCCAAGGTCAAGGACACCTTCCATGGTCAGCTGCCCTTCCTCTTCAAAGTCCTCTCTGTCAATACGGCTCTGTCCATACAGGCTCACCCCAACAGAGTGAGTACAAACACGCCCACGCAGTGTCCAAACTCTGCGCTCAAAAGGACTCTCATTCAGCATTGTTAAATTATCTCGTTTTGGGTATTCCAGTGCTTAAAACAGTTGCATGTCTGTCCGCCTTCCCTCTCTGTTTACGCTCTTCCATCATAATGGTTTGGTCAGGAGTTAGCCGCTCATCTCCACGCTCAGTTTCCGGAGCATTATCCAGACAACAACCACAAGCCTGAGATGGCCATCGCTCTCACTCGCTTCCAGGGCCTGTGCGGCTTCAGACCAGTGGAGGAGATCCTGGGATTCCTTGAATGTAAAAGTCAAATCATGCTCACCTTTTTACGTGTGAAACGTCAACATATACTGTATTTCTTAAAAAATTAGAGTGACATTAAAGGGGAATGTTCTGTGTGTGTGTGTGTGCATCAGCTGTCCCAGAGTTCCGCGCTCTGGTAGGTAATGAGTCTGCGGAGAAGCTGCAAGCCTGCATGGGAGATGCAGTTCATACGAGCCAGGTGCTGAAGAAGTGCTTCACCAGGATGATGAACTGTGAGAAGAAGGTGTTTGTGGATCAGCTCAACATGCTGGTCAAGAGAGTCACTGAAGAAGGTGAGGAGGAGGGGGGGGGGTCACCATTGAGCTCCTGAGTGGAGAAAACACACGAGTGAGTTAAAAGTGAATTCACATTGAGCAAGAAATGTGACCAGAAGTGAAGCATTAAAGACTCAGGTTTTCACTCTGGTGTATTACACAAGAAGAGGGTTACTCGGTATGTTGGCACAATCTCTAATTTCACAATGGTCAACAATCTGGTTTATGATGCAAGTGTGTTAAACAGAGATATCCACATACAATATGTGAGCATAGAAAGCTAAATCCTAGTCTAAGTCTGGCTCTGCTGCTGTTGTGGAAAATCCAGCATAAACAATGCACAGGAGACAGGATGAGATCTGAGGAACACCCTGGACGTCTTTAATTGTACAGATGTAGAAATTAGTACAGATAACAAACAGAGTCTCGACCAAGACCGAAGGAAGCCTCCCTAGCTTTTCTTCTACTCTCTTTTATGCTGTTAGGTGTGTGTGTGTGTGTGTGTGTGTGTGTGTGTGTGTGTGTGTGTGTGTGTGTGTGTGTGTGTGTGTGTGTGTGTGTGTGTGTGTGTGTGTGTGAATTCTCCAGAAGGCTCCTCATGATGTCATGACTGCCCCACGACACTTTGTTTAGGTTCGTCTTGACCCTGGCAGAGATTAAATGTTCCAACAGACAGATAGTTCAGGCTCCTGCAAGACAGCCTTGCTTACAATCTCAGGGTCGTGAGGCTGCAGGAGCAGGCCAACCTAGATTATTTGTAGCTTCTTACTAAAAGATAATTACTGTTCATTTCTTAACCTAAATGTATGAAGAGATTCTCCTACACTGCTCAAACCAATTCATCTCAGTGTCCCATCGTCTGTGTCTCTGTCAGGCTCCACAATCAGACGCTTTTACAGTATTGAACCTCAAAAGGCCAATCTCCCCTTTTAAAGCTCGTCTTACTGATATGAAATCACACTTCTCCATGTTTACGACCCTGCAGGTGCAGCAGGGAAGGACACATCAAGCAGCAACGGCGACCTGCTGCTACGCCTCCACTCCCAGTACCCTGGTGATATCGGCTGCTTCTCCATCTACTTCCTTAACTATGTGGTCCTGGAACCAGGACAGGCCATGTTCCTGGGAGCAAACGAGCCCCATGCGTACATATACGGAGGTCAGATTGTAATCTGTATATTTTCTAGATCTTATCCAGATTGAATGATTATATGCAACAGTGGAGTGTGCCTCAATTGTGTAAATCGGCAGCACCTCTTTAGAGCTTTTAAATGAAAACTAAAGTTGGTTAAGTGTTTAAGAGAAAGTTTATTTTCATGCTGAACTTTGCTGTTAAAAGACATTCCTGGAAATCCCTCAGAGTAAAAGTACACGAGGCAAGAGAAGGAGAGAGAAATCCCCTGATGAGTTTAACACCCGACGAGGCTGATAAGACCGTATCTTATAGTGTAACAGTATCTGATCATTGATTTTTCCATTTAAAAGTGAGTCTCTGTTCTTTCTGTCTAGACTGTATCGAGTGCATGGCCTGCTCAGACAACACAGTGAGAGCCGGTCTGACGCCTAAATACATCGACGTGAACACGCTGTGTGAGATGCTGAACTACAGCCCTGCTCCCACCAGCTCCAAAATCTTCCCATGTGTCCAAGACGCCTCAGATCCCTGTGTGACCCTCTACGACCCCCCGGTGCCAGACTTCACTGTCATGAGGATACAGGTAGGACTCCTCAGCTACTGTCTACTAAATCATGGAAGTAAATCTGTGAACCTGCAGCTGCACTAACTCGTGATTTTCAGAGATACATTATTGTTCTTCCTAAACCCGACCTTAAGTGACATTAAAACCACAACAAGTGCCATTGAAGTGTGGACTACCTTTTGCTGTCTTGTCTATCCCGCAGGTCCCCGCCTCAATGAAGCAGTACACCATCGCTCCGGTCGACAGCGCCAGCATCCTCCTGGTCATCGAAGGCGACGCCTCTGCAACCTCTGCCGCCGCCCTCTCCGACGTCACCCTCAGACGCGGCACCGTCCTGTTCGTCTCGGCCAACGAGAGCGTCTCCCTGCACGTCACCTCCCAGTCGGGGATGAACATGTTCAGGGCCTGCTGCCTGCTGTAGCTGCGAGTCTGTGAGTGAGTGTGAGAGCTCGAACCGCCTGTGTGTGTGTGTGTTTTCCTCTGGTGTTACTCGGTGACGTTTGTGTTGATGGAGCCCAAACGGTCGCTCTCTGCACTTTCTGAGCCAGAGTACGCTAAAGGAGGTTCGAGACACAGTGTAGATGCCCATATGTGCCCGCTGCTCCCCCCCCTAACCCAAGCTCAGTAAGTTCAGCCTTCAGCAGGTTCTTTAGGGTTTTAAACAAGCAGTTATCCACTAACTGGTTTTAACTTTTGTAACTGTGGTAGCACATTAATATCTTTGTAGAAAATGTATAGGTACTGGACATGTATTAGGATTTAAAGGTGAAACATTGCCACAACACTGAACAGCAAACAAAACGTTTAAATAGAGGTGTCCCGATATGATATTGATATCAGATATTAATGCGATATCAGCAAAAAACGAATATCGGATTATATCGGCCTGCATCTAAAATCTCCAATATCAGCACTCTGATTCAAGCAGTCCATTCCAGATACCGCTCCGGCACCTCTATCTAACAGTGCCTGGATCAAACAAGCTGAGTCCACAAAATCACAACAACAGTGTGTACTAAGGTACAAACAAAGTACCAAGGAGTAGGATTGATGTCGGTCCTGTGGCAGTATTTTTCGTTAAAGTCCGAAAAAGACATTGCAGCTGAGTGCAAAACTTGTCATGTACAAGTTTGTGCTAATATTGGATCAATATCGGTACTGGAAGCTACAATATTTGTAGCGTATTGGAGATAAAAACTTTTAAATCATGTTATCAATCGTCTGAGAAAACATTTAAAAAATAGGTTGACAGATATTATTTGTTAAGGTGTGCCAGGAGTGAAGCCAAAGAAGCAAACTTTAAATCATTAATTTAATTGGGAAATTTTCAAAATAAAAGCCTGATACAGATTATCAGCCAAATGCCAAATATCAGCCATGATAACTGGCCAAGGCTGATAATCAGTCTACCCTTAGTCTAAATATACATCAATATTAGCCAAATGAATTTGAAAGTATCAGTTATCAAGTAAAAACTCTACAGGAGAGAATGAGGGCCACTGGGATAAAAAGAGGGTCTTTTATATATGTATAGGGGTGTCCCGATACGATGTTGATATTGGATATCGGTCCGATATCAAAATTGGTATCGGCCAATACTGAAGGCTACTATATCGGTATCGTATCGGAGGTAAAAAAAAAGTGGTATCAGGACACCCCTGTGTATGTATATGTATTTATTATTCTGGGAAAAATATTGGACCTTTTTTTCCAGTGGCTTTTATCTTCTTTAGTATAAACCTGAATATCTCCAAATATCTACTTTTCTTATTGCCGCTCTTCGGTGTTGTTGGCGTTTCCCCCTTTTTTCTTTATCTCTAACACACTTTCAGCTCTGCATCTTTATCTTCAAGCTCGAGACAATGATAACAACACACACCAACAGTGATTCGTCCAATCTGCACTGCAGCGGGGTAAGGGGATATGTTTACACTGGTGCAGTTCACCACCACTCACCTCTTTGTACGACTACAGCACCACAGAGCATGTCTGTTAAGTGAGCCAGCAGTTTGTTTTTTGTTCTTCAAGGTACAACTTCCTGTTTTATCATTTAACTTTTAGCTTGAACAAGTACAAACCCCGCCTCCGGGAAAACATACATTCTTAGTGTTAACAGTTGAGAGTATTTAGTGTAATGCTGAGATGCCTGTGCATGTTTGATTCAAAGCAGTAAACACTCAAAGAGGGTCTTCTATCTCGACCCCTGCGAGTGTGGCTGCTTTAAACTGTTACCAGCGCATGTTTACAGTCTGGAAACTTCTCCTCAAAGTAGTGACGGTCATAGAAATCACAAAATACAGAACAGCAACAGGCAATTTAAGGTCACAGTGATTTTCATCCCATTCAGCACATCTTCAGGAGAGCCAGGAATGCACTTTTATAAAGCTTCAACTTCCATATGAGTCAAAGTTAGAGTTGTTCTGATACCAAAACCAACATATTAGGAAATTATCTCTACATGTACAAAAATGCACACAGATCTAATAACCTCCTCTCTAAAAACTGTCATCTATTCAGCAATAACACACAATACAACTGGAATTCAATGCGAACACTTTCAAGAGGATAAAAGCACGGATTAGAAATCAAGAACAGGACTTCATTAGCAGGCAGCCAATCAGGCAAAATTATTCAAATTCAGGTTCTTAATGCAGGTGCAACTCAAAAATTAGGATGTCCTGAAAAAGTTCATTTTTTATATATATATTCTAGATTCATCTCACACAAAGTTAAAGTATTTCAAGACTTTTTTTTTTTTAAATCTTGTTGATAACATCTTTCAACTCATGCAAATCAAAAATCCACTATCTCAGAACATTAGAATATCATAAAATAACGATGTAAAACACATTACTGAATATGGCGATCAGACTGAGGCTCTGCTGGGATCTTTTCGAAGCTCCTTCAGCTCGTCTGTATTGTTGCTCTGGTGTCTCTCGTCTTTCTCTTGATGATTCCCCAAACAGGGTTTCTACACAGTTGGAATTTCCATACTTTTCCTTACCCTACTTTTTAGATTTATTTTTGGAAACACCTGCTTTTCTATTTTGAAAACAGTATTTTAAAACTGTGGTAATAGTCTGGAAAAAGAAATATTTTTCCATACTTTATTTTTCACATTCCATACTTTTTAAGACCTGGAAATTGACCAAATTTATTTCCATACTTTTCCGTACTTGTGAAGGAACTAGGGCCTGACCGATTTATCGGCGAGTCGATTAAATCAGTCAATTTTAGCCCATTTGAGACTAATCGGTAACCGGCCAAAACTCGCCGAGTTTCGCAGATATTTCCAGAAATAAAATGCGGAGAACAAGATTCAGTTTCACTTCGAAAATGTTCCGCCATTTGAAAAGTTTTCCCGACTTATCCTCTCAGTCACGCCGAGTTAACGGTGAAGCACCGTGTAATATGCAAGCTAAAGTTAGAGTTAGCCACCTGCTATTAGCCTTGCTACACTGTTAGCCGTGCCAGTAACGGTAGATAAACAACAGTACACATTAGTGATCGAGCTACTTCTCTTACTGAGTCTGTCTCCAGATGAGACCAGACCGAAAATGAGTAACGTGAGTTAAGACACGGAGGCACCAATGGGCGGAGGGAGTAGCTGAAAACGCTTTTCTGGTCCAAGTTTGATTAGTCGGTCTTTCTGTCGGCGTGAAGAGCAGTAGCCTACAGTATATCTACTGTATTAGTATACTGTAGATATCTACAGTGTATATATATTTTTTATAACTTCATAAAAAATGTTAAAAATCGTCCGATTAATCAGTAATCACATTTTTTTTCCCCTCTAACAATTGGTATCAGCATCGGCCCCAAAAAATCCATATCGGTCGGCCCCTAGTAGGAACCCTGCCCAAAGATCCTCTACAGTCAGAGTTAACTACTAGCTTATTCAAGCTCTTTTCAGGATTGAAGTAACTGACAAGACTCTGGACTTTTCCCATAATATTCTGATGTTCTGAGTGAGTGGATTTTAGATTTTCATGTAATCCAGAATCATCAAGATTCAAACCTAAAAGTCCTGAAATTTTTCACAATATGAATCTTGAATTGAATTTTAGGAGGAAATTGAACTTTTTCAGGACATTTGAACATTTTTTGAGCTGCACCTGTATGTAAGTTCGGTCAGTTTAGTCAGTTTAGTTATCGTGATATCAAACCAAACACACAGGGTTAACGGTTAACAGCTGTATCGAATCAATAGCATCATGTCCGCTTTCTTTATTGCAGGGTATGAGCCAGGTTTAGCTCTCAAGGTCAAGCTCATTAACCAGAAAACGGTATCGGAACATCTCTACTGAAAAAGCACTAATGCTGCTGCTTGTCGCAAACCAAGCTGGAAAATCCACGTCTTGTACAGCTGTGAGACAGAAATGCTGCATTCAATTTTATAAAGTTAGAGGAACAAACACGTCTGTATTTCTGAAGCCAAAATTTTTCAGACTTTTTTTGCATGTGATATTGTTTGTACTGATTCATCATCGATACTGAAGAGCCGACCCCGTATTACGAGGTTTCACCTGTATATCGTGACATCGCTAGGTGAGTGGTTCGTCTTCACAGTGAGCTCTTTCGTGGTCATTATTTCCAACGTGTCGCCACTTTACTGTAACTGTATTATCTCAGTTTGGTGCAAACTTGAGCGTGATATTCCAGTTCACACCGGGGTCAATCTTGAATCTAATCAAATATGAAGTGAGTCTCACTGTCGTAACTGTTTGTTTTTAGTAATCTTGAATCAAATATTTGGCTGCAAACGTAACAGTGAGCTCATATTTCGGAATAGTTCGACCTCAGAGTGACTTCGGTGACGCTTCTCTTCTTTTGTCTTTAATGTATCGGTGATGAAGGTTGATTAATATGCTTGTCCTTGATATAAATGCACTAAACCTTTATGATGTTTGTTGTTGTTGTTGTAAAGATTGTTAAAAAAAACAGGAGACTACTGACAGATACAAGAAGGGAGTCATGAGACAGAACTGTCACATTTTTGGGGAATCAATTATTTTTCTTAAACAACATTTTGATGATTTTTTTTCACCACATTAACAAAATGTTTTAGTTTAGTAACAGAATCCTTTAGGTGTCAGTTTAATGTTTCATTTCATGTTACTGATGTTTTTTTTGTCACTGTATGTCCAGGATTTTGCACACAAATCATTCTTCTTTTTTTCCCCTCTCACTTGAACACTTTTACACGTTGTTTTTAATTTAATAGTTTTATTCAACGTTTGTGGGGACTTTTCTTTCAGTATTCCTACAGTTAGGGCATGGTTTAGCATTTTCGATTATGATGATTATGTAGCCTGGGACTGCAGGGAACAAGTGTATGTAGAAACTGGTTTAATAAAGCCTTGTTCTGTTACTACTCTGTCTGAAGTGTTTGGTGTGAAATCACTGAGAGATGTTTTAAAAAGTGAAAATGTGACAAATGGAGGATCGTATTAATCTAACAGCACAGGAGCTTTTCGTCCTTAAAGGGATATTCCGGCGTAAATTTAAGTTAGGGTCAAACACACTGTAACACTGAGTTAGACACGCCCTCGAGAGATGAATGTTTTGATATCATTATGTAGTTATTTAGCATTATTTAATGACACGGTAATTCACCCTGATATTTTCAACACACATCCCAATCTTGATACTGAAAATAGGAAAAAAAGGACTGCTTGGAAAACAAAGTTAACTTGTTTGAAAGACTACCACCCCCACCAGCAGTTTTAGACATTCAATGGAACAATTTAGTCTGATATTATGCCGATGGTCTCATTTGCTTTTGGAGGTCACGAAAAGGCGATTCGATTTTAATTGTAGCCTCAAAGGAGTTTTAAAGAACTTCAAATTTTAGTAATTAACAGGCAAATAAATGTGTCATTTTGGACTCACTATAAAATATAATTTATTATCACATTTATTAATTTCCAAAAACTCTTCTGCAGAACTCATGAAAACTTTGAGAGACATTCAGAACGAACATTTGATTTCATCAGTTACACCCACACAGGGGACTTAAAATCCAGCTCCAAGGTTCGATGTGAAATAAGGCACTGACCTCAAATCTGTTAATTGTTGCCTACAGACAGAAAATGTTTAAACAGAGGTCTGAATCTTCAGTTTTTGTAAAGAAATGCTCTTCAGGAGTGAAAGCTGTCTGTAAAAGTGAAACTGGTGCAGACGCAACAGACTGTTTTCTTAGGATTTCTTCAAGTGGATGAAAAAGTTCATGTTTCTACAACAGCAACAGACCCTAAAGTCTCCAATCTGGACTGTGTTGTGCATCCAGTTAAAGTGCATGTTGGGAATGAAGGATTTAAATTAGAGGCTCTACACTCACAAATATAAATTAGAGGTCCTAACAACTCGAGTCATGAACAGAGATCTGAAACTGAAAAATAACTCCACCACTGACCAGGCTGTTGAAGGCTGCCACTCCTCTGTGTTATGATCTGATCAGAGGAAAGTCATGATCCATTGGCTTCTCCATCCTCTGCTTTGCTCTCTGTCAGCTTCACTGCCTGTCTGAAGTGCTCCCACAGAGGGCGCTGTTGCAGAGGCTTACCTTCTGCTTCGGACTTGCAGGCTTTGACAGGTTTGTTCAGCATTGTGTCCAAAGTAAACCTGTGCTTGCAGATCAACTCCGGCGAGGGTTTCAGCACACTGTACAGGGCCTGTAATGCCCTCACATCCTCCAAAGCATCATGGGCCTTGTAGTCCACATCCAGCAGCTCCTTTACCAGGTTCTCCTGACGAAAACTCTGGAGGCTGCGGTCCTTCAACACCTCCCGAGCCAGCGGCAGAGTGTCAACGCAACCTGAGATTGAAGAGTCGAACTCTGCTCTGAGATTAAGTTCATCCAGAGCTCGAGCCAGGAGGCGACAGTCGAAGCGGCGGATGTTGTGGCCGATGACCAGAGGGCGATGGAGCATCCGCAGGAAAGCTATGAAGGAGACGAGGACCTCTCTCAGGGAGTTAGTGAGGACGAGGCGACGGTGGAGGTACAGTCTGTGTCTGCGGACCTTGAAGCCGGTCACTTTGGCTGCTCCTCGCTGCATTCGACAGCGAGGGGTGATGTAGAGGTTGAGTGAGTGACCTCCGCTCACTGCAGCCAGCTGGACGATCTCACAAGTCTGACCTGAAGGAAAACACACAGAGGAAAGGCTCTAATTCACAAGGTTATATACAGGAGAGGCAAATCAAGCAGTGTGATACAGTTAAGCAAAGGTGCACTGATTGACATAAAACATGGGGGATGTTTGTGAAATACACAATAACTCAACTGACATTATTTGCCTACTTCTGTTTCTACAGTAGGCTAAGTAACTTTTTTTTCCATCGCCATTTTTTTTTGTCCGTAAACTTCCGTTGTTTTTTTTTTATTTTTTTTTTATCTGCACCGTTTCTTTCTTTCTTTCTTTCTTTCTTTCTTTCTTTCTTTCTTTCTTTTTGTAGCAGGCTTCGGTTCCTTTTTCGCATCGGTAATTTCCACTGTAACTGCTTTATTTGCATTTTTTTTTTATTTGCAGCAGTGGCAGTTCTCGGCCACCATAAAGGTAAATTAATAAAAACACACCCCAAATTTAAAACTATGTTGAGAAATGTTAAAATCTGTGGGTTTGACTGCTTCATACATGCAGCAGGTGAAACTATCTCTCTAAAACTCATTCCCAGGTGAAGGTAGTGGTTTTAATGGTGTATTACAGTCAGCTTTACTGGTTTAATGGTGCATTTATTAGTGCATTCAGTTCAAATAGAGCCTGTTTAAGCACATCACAGTGTCAACTGAAGGACCCAAAGACAGTAAAGCAGATTATAAAGTGAAAATTAAATCACAGAGGTCTATAACTTTACCATTAAAACACCTGTAGGTCACATAACAGCAAAAAAACATATGAGCTTACCCAGTCCAGTCGTCTCCAAGTCAAAGAAAACCAGCGACTCTCGACTTTTTTCAGCTCTGTCTGACTCTGAGCTTTGCATAACGCCACAGCAGCAGTCTTAATAAGTAAAACAGGCGAAAAAACTGAGAAATACGGAGAAATGAAAGACGAGTTTAGCTGCAGGACTTCACAGGAAAGTCTCTGGATTGTCGATTTTACACTTTGGCGGCCAGTCTGAACTCTCGGCAGGAAAAGGACTCATTGAAAGAAAAAACAAGCGATTAAGATGATATTTAGCGCACAAAATAAATAGAAAACTGAGGGTTTGGCTCATTCAGAGAGCTGAAAATCAAAGTTTGAACTTTCCCTCCTCATCCACAGCTACACTTTTCCCCATACAAACACAGTCTTCTTCTGTCACATTTAAAGCAATTACAGAGTTCCAGGGGACGCTGCTGCCCCCTTAAGGAGACAAACGGCAGCGCAGGAACAGGATGCAGATGTGTGTCAGTGAGCAGCTTAATATAAGGACTTTGATTAGATTTGTAATTTAAGTTTGATGAAACCAACCAACAACACTTTTTTAAGATTATTGAGCATTAAGAGGAATATTAACCTATCCTCTATTTTATACATTTACACTCAGCACCTTTGTAAATATTTTTCTTATACTTTTATTCACCTTTTCTATCTATCTATCTATCTATCTATCTATCTATCTATCTATCTATCTATCTATCTATCTATCTATCTATCTATCTATCTATCTATCTATCACTGTTGACCTTTTTTAACACACACATGACAAACAAACAAATCTTGAATCTGGAATATTTGAGTGACTTAATCAACAACCAGGCAACAAAAACACTTTTACAGTTTGCTTTTAATTCTCATATTTCAGCTGATCCCCTGATCCCACATACATTAAACTCATTGTGCACCATATTAAACCTGCAATCAATGATTTCCACTCTGTAGTAATGTGACCTCTAGAAACATAAGCAAAAGAAACGTACATTCAGCAAAGCATGTTCCCTATATTTACGATTTTTTCCACTTTTAATCAAGCAACATGCAGGAACATTACTCAAACACAGACACATGCAAGAAAGACGGACACTGCAGCACTTTCTGTAGGTACTTCAGGTGTAATTTAAAGATTTGTTCTTGCAGTTCAAAAGGAAAATAAAACACTTTTTTGGTTAAGTATGACAGATAAAGAGCAAGAAAAAAGTGCAATTTTTACAAGTATGGTGTCCTTTACTTTGCAGTGACCCTCATTTAAGCTGATAGTAATGAGACAGGCAGAGTTTAAGACCCCTGGTGCATGGAGAACACAAAACAGCAAAAAGCACCTAGCTTTTGTTTCTGTGGTCAGAGTGGTTCTTTGTTTAGCTTTGTTCAAATGAAAGTGATGCACGGTCGATAAATCTCTGGATAGTTTCGCTGTTTGGATTCCAGAAGTTGAACAGCTCCTGCAGCATCGTAGTGTCTCCAACAGCATTGTGGGCGTCGTAGTCCTTCTTTAGGAAGTGGTCTGCCAACTTCCCCTGAGAATGACTCTCCAGATCTGGATAGAGATCCCGGCACAGCAGGAGGGTATCCAGGAACCCTGAAACCACCTGCAGGAACTCGTCCCGCAGAGAGACCTGCTGCAGCACTCTCGTGAGCACAGGTACATCAAAACGCTTGCCATTATGCGCCGCCAGCAGCACAGGGAGGCTGAAAGAGCCCAGGAAGTCGATGAAGAAGGTGAGGGCTTCTTTCAGAGGGGTGGTTTCTACACGTTCCCCCTTGAGATACATGACGCCATCATCGACGGAGATACCTGTGACTTTTTCAGCACCCCAACCAATCTCACCCTTAGGGAGGATGTAGACGTTGAAGACCTCATCCCTACAGACTGCAGATAGCTGGAGGATTTCACACTCATCTGTGTCTGAAATCAAAGATTTGAAAGAGATTTAAAATCATCGTGTTGGCGATGTTTCTGAAGGAAAAGTCGCTTGTTTAGACTTAAATACGAAACAAAAATAACATTATAGTCTTTAGAGTTTATGAATATTTCCTCCGCTTTAGTTTATAATCCTTAATAACGAAGAGAATTATGACATTGAGGTTTGAATAATGAAACTTTCATCTGTTCCTGTCATGTATCTGAATCATCCCGTGTCACTCAAAGGATTAGTTTGTGCTCTGGCACTGAGGTCTTATCTTCCCTGGTTTGCTGTAATGACTCAAAGAGTAAAACCAGCTCCTCCTCTTATCTAACCAGACAAACGTAAAATGCAAACTGGAGGAAACACAGTCTGTTCCTCCTTATTTTAAGATTTCCCTGCCAACAAATGGAGACTTCAGTTTAATTGTTATGCAGTAACTTTTTATCAGTAACCAAAGAAGGAAACTCAGGACACTCTTATGAAGACAGACACTCAGTTTGTTGGCTGATTATTCTCAAAGTGATTTAAAAACTCTTAAACAAAAATTGATCCATTAAAATAGCTTCATTTTTTCCTTTCATGCTTCTTTCTTTTAAATCACTAAAGCCGATTCAGTGAGACAAGGAAAATGTGTCTGAAAGGAGAAATTTGGTTTCATGAAAAATTTAAACTCCACCTAAAAATTTGGGATTACGATGAACAATTTTAACATTTGTCGGTAAATTCACCGACTATCAGAAAAATGGTTTTCAGGTCTTTAAAATGTTATGTTTGAAGCTGTTATAGAGCTCTGACCCCTCATGTTCACTATAAAGGTCTCTGACTTTTATTTTGACTTTCACCCGCGATAATGACTCTCTGTCTTTGACATTTTCCTGCAAATAGTTCAAAGTTTTAACAATGAATCTCAATGAAATGAACGATTTACAACAAACCAAAAAGAGAAACTGAAATGATCTCTTTGATAGGTGAGTTGCAATCATTACATTACATTTGTAAAGACCTAAAGACAGTGAGTCAGTGTTACCTAATCCAGTGGTCTCCAGGTCGAAGAAAACAATGGTTTTGTAGTCACACTCAGACATCTGCAGGAGGAGAAGACGCCAAACAAATATGTTAAAAAAAAAAAAAAAACAGATGCACTTTAACAATCCGGTCTTCTGTTCATGGAACCGTGTCTGAACTCACCTTGGATGTTTGTTTGAAGAGTCAGCGTATCGACTCTGGGAAAGATTTCATGTGAAGTGACTTGAAACAGCAAATCAGTCGTTATTAACTCATCTGTCCTCATCTGAAAGGAGGGGCACAGAGAAAAACGCACAGCATGTAGGGCCTTATCATCACTTGCATTTGCACAAGTTAAGGCATGAACCCATCAGGCTGGGGAGGTGAGTTTAGGTTAGTGCGAACCTGTAATTTTTAAATTGTTGGCAGAAAATGATGTAACCTGTACGCACATGAAGTGACACATTTCCAAACTCATAAAGGTGTCCTTAAAAGTCGGGACACTCTGTACCCTGACGCTTTCTGGAACATAGGGCTGGGCGATACGGCCTCAAATCAATATCACGATATATTGATCAGTTCACCTCGATAACAATAAATGGACGATAACTACTCCACAAGCTGCTCACCCCCTCCCACATTAACTGCCATCTCCTCACGTGTCTGGATGGGGTGGAGTCACGTCTCAGATGTAGGACAGCGTCTTAAAGGGACATGAGACCATAGCCTACCTACACACATCCAAAACCAACTTTGATTTATTTGTTTTTCAACGCTGAATTTACCAATAAGGGCAAAATGACGTCGGTTATTGACGTAAATTTCGGTATCTGTAAATTTTCGGGTTTATCGCCTAGCCCTCCTGGATCACAAATCCATGGTTTGGAAATCCTTCAAAATCTCTTATATTTAAGATCGTGAAAAAAGAAAAAACAAGTCAACAAAATCGTCGCACTTGGAGAAAATTCTCTTGAGTTGAGTTTCTCAAAGGTAAAAATGTAAAGTCATTCATCACCACCCTGTGACCACATGAGAAAATGTCCTTCAGAGTAAAGCAGCAAAGAGGATTGCTTCATCTACAGCAGTGGTTCTCAACTGGTCGGTCCCGACCCAAAAGTGGGTCGCGGACACGTTCTGGATGGGTCGCGAACAGCTGGTCAAAAGAGTAAATATTTAATGATGTTTGACATGTCTTTTATTTTGAAAAACCAGAATGATAAATATGATTGACTCACATTAAAAACCCTTCAGGTGTTTAGTAACAATGATTTATTTTCTCTCACAAGCAATTAAATTTAACTGTCACCTGAGGGCGCACAGTGAGGGAAAGAAAAAAACAGTTAAAAAAACAACAACCATATTTTGACTTCATGCTCAGACTGGTGCTATGATGGATCTCTGGATGGCCTCTCCTGGTGGTCTCCACATATTGACCAGCTCCTGCAGCATCTTAGCATCCTCCACAGCATTGTTGGCTTCATGGGGCATCCCCAGGAAGTGTATCACCAAATACTTCAATCTATGTTTCTCCAGATCTGGATAAAGATCTCGGCTCAAGGGGAGGGTGTCCAGGTACCCTGACACCACCTGCAGGAACTCCTCCTGCAGGGACATCTGTGGCAGCAATCTTCCGAATATTCGTGCGCCAAAACAGTTGACATTATGCGCCGCCAGCAGCACAGGGAGGTGGAAAGATCGCAGGAAGGCAATGAAGGAGGAGAGGGCTTCGGCCAGGGGGGTGGTTTCTACACGTTCCCCCTTGAGATACATGACGCCATCATCGACTGTGATACCTGTGATGTATGAAGTCTCCTGATCAATCTGGCCCTCAGGGAGGATGTAGACGTTAAAGACCCTCTCTCCACAGACTGCAGACAGCTGGGTGATCTCACACCTTCTTGTGTCTGAAATGAAAGAAGGTTTGGGTTGAATGAGGACAGAAAAACAAGATCAAAATGTTAACTGTGTAAAAAAAAAGTTGAAATCATCGTTTTCTTCACAAACTGGAGATCTGCATGTCCAATGTCTTTATAATCTGAGTGATTATGACAAAAGTACGGTGGCCCTGAGGTGCAAAACACAACGGCAAATCAGAAAACAAAGAAACTAAAATAACTGTGAGCAGTTTTTATTTTTAGATTCTGGCTCAGCTGTTCTGAGCAGATATTAACTATTACACTATTTATAGGAATACTTTATCACTTATTTACTTTTTGTTTGACAAAGTACAGTACAGTGGTATTTTTATATTGTCTTTCCTGTATTGTCTTTCACGAGTTGTTTGTTTTTATGTGGGACAGTGTATGAATTTGTGTATGGCTTTCGTCTTATGTGTTTGTCTGTATGTCTTTCTCAACTTGCTGCAAATAAATTTCCTCATGAAGACAATAAATTCAACCGAACCTAACCAAAAAAAAAAAACACAACCCAAAAAGAGAAAACACAACGGCAAATAAGAAAACACACCCACATTAACCATTTTGTTTTCTCTTTTGCCGTTGTGTTTCCTGTTTTTTTGTTGTTGTTATTGTTGTTGTTGTGTTTTGCACCTCAGGGCCTCGGTACAATAAGGTTTTAATAATGAAACTTAAATTTGCTGCTTTAGTTTGACTGAGGAACTTCCTGGATGTGTCAATTTTGCCCCCCCCCCCCTGTGGTCAAAGCAGTCTTTACTTATCCTGTCCTGAAAATAGTATCTTTGGGCTCGAAGATCTGATTTCTTCTGCTGACTTTTGACGGTCAAATGAATCAGAATTTTTCATGTGGACATAATAGAAACTGGACTGTTTCTCCCTCAAACTAGTTACAGGCATTAAAAATGACAAACACACATTTCCAGTGTCTTCCCAATGGTCCTGTTTGATTTTGGAGACCACAAAAAGGCATCAGAACAAATCTAAATCTATTTCATACAAGTCAGAAAACCCCTTACAGGAGCTTTAAATAGATAGATGACAGCGTATAAAGTACATTTTTAACTTAGAGACAGACATTTATAAAGACTTAAAGACAGTCAATCAGACTTACCTAACCCAGTGGTCTCCAGGTCAAAGAAAACGATGGTTTTATAGCCACACACAGACATCTGCAGTAAAAGAAGTTAAGACATAAAGATCCAAAACTGAATCAGTTTAATAGTCTGTATAATCTAGTCATAAAGATTACGCTCTCTAAATCTGAACTCACCTTCCTGATCTGCAGAGTCAGCTGATCGTTTCTGTGAGAGGTTAAAGGTTGCTTCCTGCCTGAATAAACACACCTATCTCCAGCTGGGAGGAAACTTTATCAATAAATCACCGCCACGACATCAGGAAACCTAAATCACATTTTACTGTGATCACACTTTCATTTAAGGAGAAGGGAAACTAGGAGTGTTATCTGTCTTTTATTTTCTACAAAAGTCAGAGTCATCTGAACTGAAACCCATGGCTGTATGATCGAACACATACTGTAAATAATTATCAAAAAATTTTCTGTTATCTTCATCTTTAAATATTCCTCTTTTTGAATTTTTTTTTTTAAGTTTTGCATAATTTAGAGGACATTTTTGCAATAAAATCACTTCAAGTGATCTTGAAAAGCACTCCATTAATTTATGTTGTGTTTGATATTTGGTATCAGCTTTAATTAATGAATGAATCTACAGCCTGTCGTTATAATAAGTCCGCAAGAATAGGGCTGGGCGATAAACTGAAAAGTTACCGGTATGGAAATTTACGACAGGAACTGACGTCATTTATTCGGTGTCAAAAAATAAATGAATAAAAGTTAAATAAAAAAAGTTGGCAGCTTAAGTAATTTGAGGCCATATCGGATGTGATTAACTGCTCCTCCATTGTGATTCTTCTTCTCCTCTTCCTTGTTTCGCCGGTTTGTTGACGTCAGCAGAGCCCTGATTGGCTGTCGCGGCACGAAGTCGCTCCCAAAGTTCAAATATTTGAACTTTGGGAGCGACGCGACCTCGGCGACGCGACCTCGGGGACGCGACCTCGGGGACGCGCCTTGGCGACCGGTCGCGGCTGGCCATAGACTTTGCATTGGGAGCCGTCGCCAAGTCGCGTCAGGTCGCGGCTGGTCTGAACGCGGCTTTAGAGGGAGTGATCAGCTTGTTAAGTAATGTTGGTTTATTGTTTGTGAGGTGAGCAGCTCAATACATCGTGATATTGATTTGAGGCCGTATCGCCCAACCCTACACAGGAATTCAAGTGAGGGGAACCAAGAATTCTCCTGAGAATTTCACTTTTTTACCATCAGTATTATGGCTAAAATTGGGTTTACAAAAAAAGGACCAAGATCACCAATAAAAGTTAAAGTAATTTTTATAGTTTATGTTTGAAAAGAGTACAACAGTGGAGAAGACAAGACATGTTGCAGTTTATAAGTAATCAAAAAACTGGAATATCAATCACTTCACAAAAGAAACAGTGCAAGACGTCAAGTATTTTAAATAACATTCATTATTTATAGAAACTACCTGAGTGTGAAAAAAACAGCAGAGAACTTAATTTGTTTTTGTGGTCCGGTTGGTGCTCAGCTCTGTTAGAAGGACAAAGCTGCGCTGTAGACGAACCTCTGCACGGTCCGTCTGTTTGGTCTCCACGCGCTGAACAGCTCCTGCAGCATCCGAGCATCCTCCACGGCGTTGTGGGCCTCGTAGATCTTTTTGAGGAAGTACCTCACCAGGTACACCTGAGAATAACTCTCCAGACCGTAGAAGACATTCTTGCTCAGCAGGAAGGTGTCCAGGAACCCCGACACCACCTGCAGGAACTCTTGCCTCAGGGAGAGCTGGCGCAGCACCCTCATGAGCACAGGCGCGTCGAAACGCTTGACGCTGTGCGCCGCCAGCAGCACAGGGCGGCTGAAGGAACGGAGGAAGTCGATAAAGGAGGTGATGGCATCGACCAGTGGGATGGTGTCAACAGGTTTCCCTCTGAGAAACAGGGTGCCGTCGCTGACGGAGAAGCCTGTGACATTTTTGGCGCTCTCAGTGAGCTCGCGGCGGGGGAGTGAGTAGGCGTTAAAGACCTTCTCACCGCAGACCGCAGACAGCTGGATGATATCGCACACATTGGTGTCTGAAAGAAGAAAAGATATGAATTTAGAGAGAATAAAAACACAAGTAAACAAAACTGACTTTGTGTTTAAAAACTCGTTTTAAAACCCATGGAGAGCGAGCTTTCTCGGCTGTGGCTCCCAAATTGTGGAACGAATTGCCACTTAAGATTAAAGGTCCTTACACACTGGGAGCGTTTTTTTCGTGCGATTATTTCAGACGTCAATATTTTTTTTCGAACCCGTATCCTGTCAATACAAGCGTTCACATCAGCAACGTTTTCCCGTCCTGCGATATTGCGGCATTTATTTTTTCGTATCACGGTCGATTTCTCTAAAGATTCACATACAGTGTGTCCACTTCTGACCAATCAGATTTCGTGTTGTTGCGCCGTCAGATTCACCGGTATATCCAACATGACCAACCGACTGATTGTTTACGTGTCGGAGAACAGAGTGATTTTTGATAAAAGACAAACATTACAAAGATAAACTTGAATGTTTTTTAAAATGTACTATAGAAATAAAGCGGATTGGATTGGATCCTAACAAAGACGAACAAGCTTTGCCAATTCTGAATCAACGACTGCAGTTTATTTTGTTGTTAAAAGGCCAGAACTTTCATCATTCCTTAAAAATAAACCACAAAAGTTTTTAAAGCTCAGTAGAGTTCACTGTTTTCAGTTAAAATGATGTTAAAATGTGGTACTGCTCTGTTCAAAGGGGACGTAAACATTTCACAACAACTTTTCAGTGATTTAAATCTGCATGTGAATGTAAAAACATACTTGGTCACACATGTTATTGCAAACTGACTCGATCTGGAGCTTTAGGGTGTGGTGGATGTGACTCATTATTTATCCCAGGTGCTGTTTTTTGGTTGTTTATCTTGCCAAGTGGATAAGGATTAAATTCACTGTAGGCACAGATTAAAACTCCAAACCAAAACCTGAGGAACTTCTCTTTTAAATCAGTTCTAACTTGCTTTTGAAAGTTTTTATTTCATTTTATTTGACCTATATTTAATCTGAGGTTTAAAATCTCTTTTACAGAGGAGACCTTAATAGAAAAGGCTGGTTTTTACTAAAGTACTTAAATGCAACACAAGCTTTGTCATTTCTGAAAACCCCTAAAAACTTATGTCCAGCTTTCAGAGACCTGTACTTTCAATTTAAGGACATTTAAGGATATATCTCTCTAAACTGTGTGATTCTTACAATATGGTCTATCAAGCGAAACTTTGACGTTTCCTCTCATGTTACAGACACTTCCTGTCAGACGCTGAGTGGTTTGTGGTCACAGCATCTCCTCTGTTGTGTAACTGCACTGGCTCCGCCTCCTTCCTATCCAAACCATAAGCTTTTATTTCTTAAGAACTGGGACTGAGACAGACGTGAGTCATATGCTAATGTGAGATTAGAAAGCAGAAACTGAAACACAGTCAGTTCCGCACCATCACATCTAAAACCTGCACGCCACAGTCCTCAGATCTGATTGGAAGACAGAGATTATAAATCGAAGTAAACATTAGCATTACTATATAAAATATTTTAAAGTCCAGGATCAAAAATGAAAGAAATAATACAAGAGGCTTAATAAAAAAATCAAAATATTATAATCTGTATATTAGTTAAGTTATTAGTAACATATGGCACTACTCTTATCCCTTCATTCCTTCATTTGACTGTTTTTTTTTTTTCTTTTAGTGTTTCCACAAATATCACAATATTATTATATTATAAATATCACAATAACATCATTAACTGACTTTTTTGGCCAAAATAATCATAATTTAAAAACCTGGTGTAGTAAAAGCCTAATACTCATCGGCCACCCCAGCTTTTATCAGTTCCACGGGCGGGGCACCCTGGTCAAAAAAGTCTAAGCACGCCCCTGCTTGAAAAAAAAATTAAGAACTTTTTTCTTTTTTTTCAAAGGTTAGACTCAAAGAAAAAGTCACAATCTGAAGACAGTAATTTTAGTTATTTCCATTTGATCTATTGTTATAGTTGTCAAAGTATTTATCTGCTGCTGTTTTGACTCTCTGTATAGAACCTATAAAGCCGTTTACACTAATATATTGTAATGAATACATTGAGTTTTTAACAAATTAGAAAATATGAAATAGACATATATTGTTGATAATTAAACTTTTAAACAGGGATTAAATCAGATTAGTTGAAAAATAGCTCAGCGTAGTTGTTTATAATTGTTTATTCTATATTTCTACTTTAACAGCTTTACTCTGATAGTTTATTCTTATGCACCGTGGGTCTGAGAGGACTGACATTTCATCTGTGCTGTATGTGTAACATGTAAAGCATATTTGACAATAAAGTTGACTTTGACTTAAAAAAAAAACCCAAAACATTTCTGACTGACTTTATAAATGACTCTGTAACTATTAAAGTTCAAGTTGGCAGAAGAAAATACGGTAAAGTTACCTAATCCAGTGGTCTCCAGGTCAAAGAAAACGATGGTTTTGAAGTCAGACATCTGCAGGAGAAAAAGATGTAAAATATAAAAATATGAACAAAAACAGAGCAGTTTGAACAGTCTATGCCGGTATTTTAAAGTAACCTTAATAAAGTGAAATTCTGCTCCTAATAAAGTCCTGATGTGAACTCACCGTGGACAGATACTCGTTTAATCAGCTGTGAAAGACCTCAAGTGGAGTCAGCTCCCTCAGATCAGCTGTTGCTCTTATCCTCATCCAGGAGGGCGTCCGTTCAGGTGACTCACAGCTCGACTATTCAAAACCTGAACCTAAACCTAAAGACTTCAGTGTCACCAAACTTTCATTTCCGTGGAAGAGAAACTCGTCAGTCTGTTGTCATTCTTTCTTTTCTTCCTCTGTTCGCACAGCTCAACACAACAAACCCGTGGAGGTGGAATCTTCTCCTCTGTTCGTTTACTTTCACTTTTCAGCCGCTGGATCACAGGAAGTTAGAGGAAAAAAAACAAAACAGGCTTTTGTTGTGGCAACTGTTGCGTGGACATTTCATGGGAACGAAACTTACTTTTAAAACCTCTATATGTCAAAATTAAAGTAGTTCACATTTAAAAACAAATCAGTTAAAGTCAGATCGATGTTATACTGATAAAAACGTACCTGTGAATAAGTTAATCTCTGGAAATATCCTGTATTTACCGAATGTTTCAGCTTTGCTCGACTATTTTCACAGTACATACCGTAACTCTTCTAATATAGACGCCTGTAAGAAACGGTCACTTTTTTTTAAGTGACAACTTTATGTAAAGTTTGGACTTAAATAAAGACTTGACTATACTGTGAACACAGTTTCTGCTCATTGTTTATTTGTGTTGTTTATAGTGTAAATACTTGTATATAATCTCTTCATTTTCACTTATTTTATCTATTTATCTCTTTATTTTTTACATATTTTATCTATGTATCTCTTTTTTTAAAATCTTTTTTAGTTATTTCATCTAATTATCTCTTTATTTTAACTTGTTTTACTTCTTCTTTTTATTTTTTCCTTATTTTTACTCATTTTATCTATAATATATCCCCTCCTTTTACTGCATTTGCACTGGAGTACTGTGACAAAAGCAATTTCCCCCTGGGGATTATTAAAGTATTTCTGATTCTGATTCTGAGAACCTTTAACACGACAAAAGTGCCGAGCTCTTACGAAATCATATCCACACAGTACCTCTTACATAACCTTTAAACAAGTCTTGAATTAAACCAGAGATGCTGTTTTTTTATTTATTGCTGACAACTTTTTTAGACTTGTATGTAATATTAAAAAACTTCACTTAAGTTGGACACACAGTGTGGACATGAGATTTACCAATCAGTAAGAATAGTGAATAGTTTGTTATATTTTTCTTTTTGCTTCCTCGACCTCACTTCCTTGCTTTGACTGAGTTTCTATTCTTCTTTTTTTAGGCGGGGGAAAATAAGTACTGACTCATTGGTAGTTTACTTTTTCTTTTGATTCTGGTTTCTACAGCAGCTGCCCTCAGAGAAAACCAAAAGTGCTTCTTGCATGCTGTATGAAAACAATAACAACCCACAACTATATGCTACTTTTTAGTAACGTTTAATTATTTAAACTTTGACCTTTTCACATTTGTTGTCCATATTAGGACATTTAGAGAGGCCTTTTTTCATATATCTTAAAAAAACAACAAATTTCACTATGTGTCTAAAACATCCAAAACTCCTCACAGGAGCTTTAATGTAGATAAGAAAAATAAAAATGTATTCAATTTCACACTAATATTTATAACTCATTAAAGCTCCTGTAAGGAAGTTTCTGTCTGTGTCCGTTTTGGCGTCACCTGCCGAAATATAGGAAACTTCCAACATTTGAACAATTTCTTCCAAAAACTAAGCTGTACTTTTTGAAGACCTAATCTGATGAAAATCCTGTTTCTCTTCTTGTCTACATGTTCATATGGCATTTTCCTGATGCTACAGGACATATCATGAGAAAAATAAGAGCAAAATTAAATTTCTGAGTATTTCCTCATTCAAATCGCCGTGATTCTCTGGCAGACCCAAACAGCAGGTTCAGATTCAGTGAGATTTCCTACATCACAAATCCAAGCTCCGCCCCCAGAGCCCGGAACAAGTGTGTGTGTTAGCAGATTGCAATGCTCGTAATAAAGTTAATTATGATATTAACTTTTATCATGTCCTCAGAGACATTACTGTCGCAGAGCTGAATAGGTCCGATGTTACCTGCCACTTCTACGACATTAGCAATGTTAGGCTACAAACCAGCATGAGGAGGAGTGTGTAGAGCAGCGCTGTCTCCGCCCACGACTCGGGGTGAATTACTAATGAGAAGAAAAGTCCTTGAAAATGACACAGGAAACGTGATTTTAGCTAAAAACTTTATAATCACAATTTTAATCACAAAAAAAAATGATCGGAGTGAGACTTTAACAGCCTTGTTTGCCTCTGTAGGTCATAAAGAGACATTACTATTAATTTCTGCTTGTTTCATGACCCACAAAAAACTCCTCACAGTGGCTTTAAACATGCAGTTTATAAGTATTTTGATGCTAAACCCTGACTGCTCTTAAAAAAAAAAATAGCATGCAAACCCCATACCTGATGTATTTTTTTGTTTTGTTGTTTAAATGTAAGGCCTTGTTGGATTTAATCCTAGATGTGACACATTACATGTAAAAGAAGAAAGAGATGCTGAGATTTCTTTTGGATTTCTGGTGAAAATAACTCGACTCATTTGTGTTTGTCTGCAGTTTTGCTTTTTTAATAAGCAGATGAATTTCCCCCATAAAGTCTTTTTTTTTCTTACAACCATAGACAGGTTTGAATCATAAAAAAAAGAAATATAACACAAGTTGCACCTTTTACATAACCGTGTCCAGAGTGGTGCAGACAAAGAGACACAAGACACTTTTTTTTTTTTTCTGCTGCGTAGCACAAACATGACAGGCCGAGTGTGGCCTGTTCAAATGTAGCCATGATTAATAGTAGATAATAATGAACCGTACACAGGATAATATATCCTTTTATAACAGATTCTTTTAAACCAATGTACACCCCAAAAGCATGATCATAAATAGTACATACACTGTGTATAAAAGAGGAACAAAAACAACCAGAGAAAGCAGAGCATGCCTTCCAGTGACAGGTACATTCACTTTTTTTTCTTCCTTGTTATTATTATTATTATCATTTTTAATTTTTTGCATTATAGACAGTCCGAACGAGACCATCCGATTAAATACCAGCGTAGAGATGTTTGACCTGGAATCAGTTTTGTCCTTACAGCTCACCTCAGAGACAGTTTCTTTTCTCGTAACAGGACTACAGTTTAATATGCTCAAATAAGAAAACACTGTGCACGTCTCCACACCTGCGTGAAAACTGAGATCAGCAGACTTTTTACCGACGCTTTCAGCTTCGTGGAAAGTTTCGTAACACTGATTGAGTTGGTGAGATTGGAGAGAGCTGAGACATCGTTGCAAGTTCGCTCATTAAACTGATTATTACTCTGAAATAGGGGTGTCCCGATACAACTTTTTTTTTTACGACCAATACAATACCGATATTATAGCCGTCAATGTTGACAGATACCGATATTGAGCCGATATGAGCACAAACTTGTGCATGACAAGTTTTGCAACGTTTTTTCGGACTTTAATGAAAAACACTGCAACACAGCCAACGTTACCCCTACTCCTTGGTACTTTGTTAGTACCCTAGTACACACTGTTGTCATGGTTACGTGGGCTCTACATGCTGGATCCGGGCTCTGCTAGATAGAGGTTCTGGAGTGGAATCTGGAATGGACTGCTTGTATCGGAGTGCTGATATTGAAGATTGGAGATGCAGGCCGATATAATCAGATATTCATTATTTTGCTGATATTAAACCGATATCCGGTATCAATATCTTATCAGGACATCCTAAATAATTGGACCAAAAAATTTAAGGTTCTGCATGCTGGATCCGGGTGCTGCTAGATAGAGGCGCCGGAGTGGAATCTGGAATGGACTGCTTGTATCGGAGTGCTGACATCGCAGATTGGAGATGCAGGCCGATATAAGCCGATATCAATTTTTTTTTGCTGATATCGGACTGATATTCAATTTCAGGATCTTATCGGGACATCCTAAATAATTAGACCAAAAAAATTGGGGGTTCTGCATGCTGGATCCGGGCACTGCTAGATAGAGGTGCCGGAGCGGAATCTGGAATGGACTGCTTGTATCAGAGTGCTGATATTGGAGCTTTTAGATGCAGGCCGATATAATCCGATATTTGATTTTTTTGTTGATATTGGACCGATACCTATATCGTATCGGGACACCCCTACTCTAAAAGGATAATCTGTGGAGAGAGACGGAGACGGCAAGGATATGCAGACACACACGGACGGTATGAGTAAGATGCTACTTCTTCTTATTATCGGATTAACAGGCAGGTTAAATGCTACTTTTTACAGCCAGAGGTGAGAGAGGAGAAGATGGAAGAGCTGATATTGCAGTTTAAGAGGAGGGACTGACAATGATCGGAAAGAAACAGGAAAGGGGAGAAGGAGTATAACAAACAGGAAAGGATGAAATATACAGAGTATAACCGAAACTCTTGAAAACTTGTGTAAACACTGTGTAAAATGTTGATTTTGACGGCTTACGAACCGTTTGTTTTGTGACATGACTGGATAGAAAAAGCGGCATCACAGAGAGGACGAGTCTGTCAGAAGTAAAGATAAAAAAAAGAGGAAGAAATGAGAGACAGCGTGAGCAAATAGTTCAACATTTCCAATCATGTCCTTGGGTGTCAAAGTGTGGTTTGAAAAATTTAGAGAATCCAGAAGAAAATCTCTGTAAGGCCAAAACCTGCATCAAAAACAGACGAGGCTCTGTGGTGGAAATCACCGCATGGACGCAAAATCACTGTACCATGCTGAGAGAAAAACACTGATGTGAAATGGAAAACTGCCCTTTGGTCTGACCTATTTTTTTGGAAATCGTGGACGCCGCCTCACTCGTTATTAATCTGGAAACCTGTTAAACACTTTCCAGGTTTTAAACGGGTTTGGGAGCGACATGTGATGCCGGCCTGGAAATGCCTTTTTCAGGAAAGACCTCTGAGCGTTTATTTTTTACTTAACAATAAGATTTAAAAAGCTGCAAACCATTAAAATCTGTCTTTATTAACATTTTACACAGCGTCCAAACGTTTTTGGAGTTGAGTTTGTAGAGGAGGAAGAAAAAGAGAAGAAGAAAAGGAGGATGGAGGAGGATGAGTGACGGCTCAGAGGACATGGTGGACGGTCTGATATTATCATGGGTGAGTGCATCAGTTTCCCCGCTGCAGGTGTGACAAAACTCAGCGCGCTCTGTGACGTCCGCAGAGACGTTTTCACCTTCACGGGAAGAAGACGATTTTTTTTTTTTGGATGGAGAGACACCTGTGGATGTGTGTGTGTGTCGAGATTACAACACATGCACAAAGTGGGAGTGTATACAGTGGCAGGAATTACTCATCCATTCACTCAGACATGCACACACACACACACGCACACATAAACACACACGTCGCTATAAAGAAAAAACAAAATGGCTTTCATCTGAGCAAAAATAAACCATGAAACAATATTGACAGCAAAAACATGACATCTTTGATATCAATAACAACACCTATAATACAGCAATAATATATTTATATTTAAAAAATTCAAGTCCTGACGTAGTAACACTGATGTTTCTGGATAAAAATAGAAGAAAAAACAAAAGGAACGGAGAGCTCGCAGGGAAAGGCAGATACAATACACTTATGGCTGATTGACA